ATTATATTAATTATTATATTTAAAAAATAAATTCTTTATAAAAATAAAAAATTTAATTATTAAGATTTTATATTAATAAATATTAGAATTTTATTATAAAGACTTTTATTATAAACTTAATTATTAAAAAATTATAAATATTTAAATAATTAAAAAAGATTTTTTAATTTAAAATATTTTATATATTTTAAGTCTAATAAGTAATTTTATATAAATTTAAATATAAGTTATAAAAAAATAAATATTATAATTTATTATTTTATTATTAGATATATTTATAAATTTTTTAAACTATTTATATATATTATAATTTATTTAATTATATTTTTATTTTATATTTTTATAAATATAAAAAATAATTACTAATTTATTAGATTAGAGATTTTTTATCTTATTTAAATATTTTAAAAACTTTATTATTTTATATAGATAATTTATAAATCTGTAAGTTATATATATAAATTATATTTTAATTATAAATATTTCTAAGTAGATAATATTTTATATTATATTTATAAAATACTTAAATCTATAATTAATCTAAATTTTCTAATATATTTAATAATTTTAATTAATAATTTTTTATTATTCTAAAGATTTTAATATAATTATTAATACTTTATTTTAATTTTCTTAAACTAAAGAAGTTCTGTATATTTAAGAATATAATCTTAAAAATATTTTAATTAATATATTTTTAATTTATTTAAATAGTTCTATATTTATAACTTATATAATTAAAATTAATAATAAATTTAAAAAATATATTATTAGTAATTATTTTAAAAATCTAAAAATAAATAAGATTATAATTATTTATATTATTAATTTTAATATAAAACTTTTTTATATAAAATATAATAATAATTTATTTTATATAATTAAATACATTATTTATAATTCTTTTATTAGAGAAATTATAATTAATTCTAAAAATAATAATTTTATTAATTTTTATTCTAGTAAAAAGAATATTATAAATAATATTTTTATTATTATTAAAAAAACCTACCTATACTTTTTTCATTTTATAATTCTTAATATTTCTAAAGTTATTTATAATAATAATTAGTATTAAAAATATAATAAATATATTTAAAAATTTAAAAATTTAATTATTTATTAAGATTAAAAATAATTATATAATTATATTATTTATTATCTAATATATTTATAAAATAAGATATATTACTATAAATTATATAAGTAATTTTAATTAATTCTTTTTTTTATTTTTTTATACTGTAATTATAAATTTTATTATTTTATTTTTTTTATAAATCTAATTTTTATTATTTTTTACTAGTAATTATTAATAAATTTATTAAGTAGATTAATCTATATCTTAGAAAATTTATATAAAAAGTAAAATAATAAGATATTATATTAATTAAGTATATATAAATATATAATTAAAATATTTTATATTTTTTTATTTCTAATAGAAATATTTATTTTATATTTAGATTTTAAGTAAATCTATTTTTAAAATTATAAATTAAATAATATTATAATATTACTACTTATTTATTAATAGATAATGAAAATAAATATATAATTTAAATAATTAAAGTTATAATTTATTATAATATTATTTAAAAATATATATAATTTTTTATATTATTATTAATTATATCTATAATTAATTTAATATTTTTAATTACTATAAAAAAATTTTATATAAATTAATATTTAATATTTTTCTTTAATAATCTTAATATTTAATTAAAATAATATTTAGAAAAACTATTCTAAATTATATTTTTAATATTCTAAATATTCTAAGTATTTTTATTTTAAATACTTTAAGTAGAGTGGCTTAACCTGACTGTTATATCTTAATCTTAACCTGATCTTAACCTAGCAGTTAGGTTAAGATATAAAAATCAGATTAATTATAGATATAACAGTTAACTATAATTAATTATTATATTTAAATCAGATAGAATTAGATAGATATTAAATTAAATTAAGTAAAAATTAGACAAAATTAAGTAAGATTTAAATAGAAATATTCTATTATTTTATACTATTTTTTAAAAAGATTTAGTTACTAAAAAATTTAATCTGTAGATTAATTATTAGTTAATTTAGATAAGAATATATATTTCTTATACCTAATTATTAACCTGCAGTCAGGTATAAAAATTTTGATTAACCTGACCTGACCTGGCTGTTAGCTACTCTAACTCTAAGAGAGGTTCCTGATATTATAAAAAATAATTAATTAAATATTAATAATATTAAAAAAGATTTTATTAATTCTATTATTTTTATTATTAAATAATTTAATAAATAAATAATTTATTTTAAAATATATTATTTATATATTAAAATTATTATTTCTTTAACTACTAGTAAGAAAAGTCTTATTATTAAATTAAAAAAATTATAATTATTCTAAAAAGAATATTATAATTAATATTAGTAATATTTAAGATTTCTTATTATATTTTAATATTAAAAAGATCTTTAAATTTATTTTTATTTATATAAAATATTTTTATAATAATTATTATTTATTTATATTATTTACTTCTAGTAACTATATTTATTTATATTTATACTATAATTATATTATACTAATTACTATAATTATTAAGAAAAGATTTATTTAATAATATACTAGTTCTTTCTCTATTATTAAAGTTATTAATTAATATATATACTAATTATAATTACTTAAGTTATAATTAATATATTTTATTATTATAATAATATAATTAGAACTTATTTATAATATTAATAATTCTAATTTTTATAATTAAATTCTTATAAAGTTTTTATAAGTCTAAAATAAAATATTCTCTAATAATAATATATATTAAGAAATTAAGATTATTTTAATTAAATATATTATATTTTAAGAATAATATTATACTTCTATAATCCAGTACCTGATTAAATAAAAAAAATATAATTCTAAAAATAATATATAAATATATATCTTAGATATTAATATTTTTAAATTATTTTACTAATTTAAAAAGTACTAGTTTTTTTAATATCAATATATTTAATATTTTAATTTCTTATTTTCTGGTTTATTTATATATTTTTTTTATTTTTTTTATCTTCTAGTAATCTTATATTTATTTTTTTTATTTTATAATTTAGTTAATTTATTAATTAACTATTATATTTATTATCTATATTTATAAAAAGTATATATATAATTATTAATCTATATAGATATTAATCTTATAGAATTAATATATATAGTATTTTTAGTTTATTTAAGGACTCTATTATTTTTTTTTCAGCTGTTTTCTATACTGTTAAATAAGTAGAACTCTTACTTACCTGTCCTAGGATATATTCTTAGTTTAATTATTAAACTATTAATTTATCATCATATTTTATCTTCTTTCCAGCTACATGTAACATAATAGATTTAAATAAAAAGATATTTATATAAAAAAATCTAGAAAAGATTTTTATAAAATTTATTATTAAAAATATAATATAATATTTAATATTTAGATTAAATAATTATAAATAATATAATTATTAAAATAAATTAATTATATAATATAATATAAATAATCTTTAATTTAATATATAGATAACTAAAACTTTTTTAAATAAAAAAAAATAATAAATTTATTAAATTTCTTTAAAAAGATTTATTAATAATCTAAAAATATTATATTAATTTATAATTATTATTTTAATAATAAAAATATAATATATTTTATATAATTTATTAAATCTTTAATATATAATTTAAATTAAATTATAATTATATATTTTTTTTATATTTTTTATTATAAAAATAATAATATTATAAAAAATTAAATTATATTAATATTACTAGAATTTTCTTATTATTTTTTATAAATAAAAAGAAAAAGATATTATTATAATTTTTAATTACTTTTTTTATATTAGAAAACTTATTTTTATATATTTTTAAATAATAATTAAAATAATTAGATTAATTTTTATATAATCTAGAAGTATTTTAATTATATTAAGATTAGAAAAATATAATAAAAAAATCTTAGTTTTAAAAATAATCAAAATAATTAATTATTTTATTTTATATTATATTATAATTAGATATAAAAATTTCTTTAATCTGATTATTAATCTATAGTTAGGTATAAAAATTCTTATTAACCTAACCTAACCTGGCTGTTAGCTACTCTAATTATATAATTGAATTATTTTTTATATCTTAATCTAATTATCAGATTATAGTTAGATTAAGGTTAAGATATAATAGTTAGGTTAAGCTACTCTAAGAGCAGCCTTATTTAGAAAAATTATAATTTATAGACTATAGACAAATACTAAACTAAGAAAAGAAAATAAAGTATCAATAATTAATAAACCTTAAAGAAGCTACAGTTTATGAAGTTATATAGCTTTTTTATTAGGCTTATCAGAAAGATAAAACTCTAGAAATCTAATAATCTGATTGTATAGCTGATAAGAAACAGCCCTATTACTGTATACTACCTCACTGTTATTTATATAATTAAGCTAGTTATATACAGATATAGTATTTAGTGAGAGTAAAACACCAAGAAGGGGCGATTTAAACAGTGTAAAAAGGTTGACATTTGACTTCAAATTTGTATATAAAGCAGAATTATGAGGTGGGCGTTCCTCCCGCTTGCGTGTTCCTCTCGCTTACTGATTACGTTATCTATATAGAACTCTCTGTCCCTAAGCTTTTTGTAAACAGTTTATAGCCTAGTTAGATTAAATTTAAGTCTTACTTCAGCCCTTCACTTAAGATAATATTCAATATGATACGCAACTAGATGGTTAATGGCAATAATCCAATGTTTGAATCACATCTACATTCATATATCTATTCCCTGATAAGTTATATATTCAATTATATTAGCAGCAGTAATTACTTCTCTTTGTACCTGCAGGTGCTTCTCTGTCTGAAGTGATAATATAGCTCTGAATGGAGCTTGATTCTCTCTCCAGGAAGAATAAAGTCGTCCAAGTCGGACACGCCCAATCAAAAAAGCCAAAACAATTTAGGTATTGGCTTGGATTGCGGCCCAGACGGCATCGCGGAAGGCAAAAATCCCGTCGGAGCGTGGATGGAAGGTCTTGATTTGGCGGGTCGGTAACCACCATGTGATAGCGGTGCTGCTGTAGTTCCCACTGGCAATGTCGGCATTGGCTTGTGCGAGAAGCTGAGCTATCTTACCATCCGGCTCCATGGAGACGGAAATGGCCGCGTCACACATCACCACAGCATAAGGATCGGGGTCGGTTCCCAGGGTGGTATTGCAGGTCGCAGCGTCGGCGATGGGAATGCTGCCCAAAGACATCATCTGGACCATCTCGGCCGCTTCAATAGCGGCAGTCTCGGCCTCAACAGTGACCTACATTATATATATAAGCAATCATGATCAGTTGTCATGCGAAAAGATGAGGAAGGGGCGCGGACCAGCTCGTCGTGCTCATGTGGATAATCATCCCACCCACTGAGGAAGAAAAACGTCTCACCCCGATTAGGACTGGGTTCATAGACACCTTCCTCGCAAAACCGATGCGTGTCGAAGGAAGGCTGCATATCGACATAGGTCACGCGAGTAAAGCCATATGCCGAGTTGGCAACTTTGATTGCCTGCTGGATGACTTGATTCATCTGGTCCACTAAGTCGTCTAATTCTTTTCGTAAAGCGGTTGTCAAAGAAGAAAGGACGTCGTGCGGTAAACTGGGGTTATATGAGGACCACCAAAAGTCGAAGGTGGTCAGGTCACCGATAGTGGTGTCGTAATTAAAGAAACCGACATAACCAGTGACATAGAGCATGAAATCATCGTTGAGGGAGGCGTTGAGAATACCGAGGTAGGCTTCCTTGAGCTTGTTCCTCATTCCTAATGAGCTGGTATCGCTTAGGATGGACCTAGCCTTGTCCTTTACCACCTCACACTGGGCTTGAAACCACGCTGGATAGCCCGTAGGTAACTCCCAGGTTATGCAGTTGCGGATGATATCACTGAATCCTACGTCATTTCCTCCCATTGTTAACGTGCCGAGATTAGGTGAGATGGTGTCTTTCCACTTCTTGACTTGGTTAGCTAGTCCAGTCGTGGTGTCTCCCGAGCATGCATAATTCGCAAAAGGGATGCTGGAATCATTCAGGTAGTTGTAGAGAAGTTTCCCGTAGTTGTTTGAACCCACACGGCAACTATCCCGCGAGGTCGATCCTGTGCCCATGCCAGCGGCGTATGAGTCCCCAAAGTGTACATAGCCCGTGACGCTCACCGGCTGCTCATCTTCGTCCCAGATGAGGTAGTCGTCGTATATGGGGCAGTTTGTATCTCTTCTCCTGGTGCTCGAAACAGGATTTGTTGTGTCTCCGTCGTCATTGCTCGTAACCGGCACCACTGGGACGTCGTTGCTGATTTTAATTGCGCGTTGGCACTGCGCACTGAAGTATACTCCACCCGCAACGCTTTGCCATGACTCGGCGTTCCATGCAGATCTTTCTGGTTTGCAAGTACCCTCCTTTTGTAGGGGCCAGGACAGAGAAGCTTAACCCAGGTATCAGGTAAACTCTTTCACACAGTTATTACACTGCGGTCCCAATTTTTCTTAACCTCTTTAATATAGCAAGATACCGGCTCATTGGGGAACTGTTTAATCATTAGTAATAATAATATATATCTCAAGTACCCCTCAATACCGATTCTCTCGACATTGTTATTCTTCAGATTATGGGACAATAGAATAAACTCTTCCTTGCTAGAATCTATGAATAGTTACCAGTATAACCAGAACTGCTGATTATTTAGAATCCTGCGTAAAATAATTATCAATAAGTAGCCTGCTTCCTTATCCTCTATCTAAAGTATTAGGCTGCCACCTAGCTCAAGGACTAATAGCAGAATATCAGGCCTATACAAAACGCTTCTTAGCGGGTGATTTTATAACAGTCATATTCAACATACAGCCTATTGCTTTCCTTCCATCTTATGTACGTATCCATTTGCAAGCAGACTCAATAGTTTATCAGGGTCGGAGGCGGCAAAAAGTCGGGAAAGCTTGGGCTGGAAAGTAAAGTGTCTAAACTCTTGAATTGCATGAATTGTCTCTAACCTTAAGTATACGTAGTAAGTCAAGCTAGGCGGTGGGTCACCTGCTAGCTGACTGACAGCTTATTTGCACTTTCCACTATCCACCAATCGGGTGACTCTATCACGGATGTAGATATCATATCAGTAAGTAGTTCGTACTTTTGTACGTTAGAATGAAGATTGCCCCTTCCCTCCTCCCAATTTCCGACGCGCGCCCGCAGCGCCCCCCGTACCCTTCCTTCCCTCAACGGTCTTTCTCAAAGACTCACAATTTCCCTTTATTTAAATCACTCAAATCTTCTAATAACTTTCTACCCTCAAAGCTACTCTCAATATCCTCGTATGGAAGGAAAAGTGGAGAGAACACCCGAAAAGAATGACCCCTTCCTGCCCTAACTGGCTTCGCGTGTAAGTATCAGGCCCTGCGAGTAAATGTAACCCTACTGAGTTTCCACCCTAAACAGAGTCCTCCTCGGCCTCGAGATTACGGTGTTTTTGCCTCAACTCTGGCGCATCTGGACCCAGAAGGCGAGCACTGGCCTCTCCATTCTCTACATCTTTTTCAATCTCCTCAGTGCCACCGAACGTTTTACCGTAGGTTTCTTAACAGCCGTCAACCTCACCATCGCTGGCGCCGATCCGCCAGGCGTTTTCGCCCATACTCCGAGAACAATCGGAGACTGTCTGAACCTGGTGCAGCTGGGTGTCGATTGGGTGCTGCTCTTGCTCCTGTAAGGTTAATCCTCTTTTCCATGCGGCCCGCAGACTCCGGGCTTCGCCGAACCGAACCCCGTGATGAATACTAACGAAAAATGGCCCAAGCTTCGTTCTATGTCTCACCTATCCCCCTCCCCACTATCCCTACCCTAGTCAGGCACTCATCCTTGTCGCCATCCTGTACACGGCGTTCACCCTTTTCTCCATCATCCCGACCTTCATCGACGCCCTCTTCCCCTCCATCTTCCATGAACCCGGTGAAAATCAAATCGACTTCGGCGTGGCGATATTTATAGGGTTCCATCTCTACTACCTGAATACCATATTTACCCTTCTCAGCATCTGTTCGTTTATTCCCCAGGCCATCCAATTACGCTCGTCGTTGTTGGGTTCAGGCGTGGTGAGTGTCCGGGACTGGGCTCTTCAAGCGGTAGTATTGGCGATGCTAGCTGTGTCGTGGCTGTTTCGACTGAAACTCCCGAGCGGGGTCGATGTCTTGACGCCGTTCCGATCCATTCTTTGGTACGTACTGGTAGGTTGGCCGGCCGGAGGTACGGGAATATTCGCGGTAGTCCAGTGGGGGTTGGCTGTTTTGGGGATGGTGGGGAGAAGGGGAGTAGTTGTTGGTGGTGGTGGTGGTGAAGGGCTAAGAGTAGGTGAGGGAGAAACAGATCCGCTCCTGGGAGGGACAGGGGACGCTGTTGAGGAGCACGCCTAGACCTTCTATTTCGTTTTACTTTTCCCTTTCCTTTCCCTTTTTCTGGTAACTCCGTGGAAGTCCACTTGAGCTGCCTGGTTAGTGCATAATGGCCAAGTCCGAAAATATATCGCCCTGATACGCTGTATATTACTCTAGGAGAAGCCAAGGTACACAGACAACCAAAAAGATCCTGGTCATCACCCCCCAGCCCACCAATTCCCACGGTAAGCGACTAATCTAGTCTCTCTATGACTACTTGTGGTGAAATGAACTATGGCGATAAGAATGACCATGACCGGAGTTGCCAGAATGACCCACAGACCGCTTGTGTGCGGCCTAAAGCAAATTATGTTTGTCAGTTGATGATCTGAACTGCTGCCGTGTGCGAGTAGAAGAGAAGGGGTAGAGGGAAGTGAATTGGGGTACCGAGGCACTCGGCAGGACTGCAACAGCGCTACTGGGGACACCAGAATGACTGACCATAGAAGAGGACGAGGCAACGGATGCAAGCCCTGAACTACTAGCAGCAATCATCGCCAGGAGGTTTCGTGGGGCTGGTGCACATCCACCATATGCAAACAGCTCATTTGGAGACGTAGCAAGAGCCGTGGCACGATGTAGATCACACTGGGAGGCATATTCCAGGTACAGCCAGGCCTGACAATTATTGGTTTCGCCACACCATTGCTCGCAGGCGCCGATGTTGGTAATCTGGCGGCTGAATGTGATCGGGGCGTGACTAAATAGAGCGAACGTCTGGTTGTTGATGTTGGAGATGCATGAGGGTGCCGAGGTGACTTCTGCTTGGGTCGTGGTAGCGACGACTAGGATTGCAAGGAAAGACTGGAGCTGGATAAAGTACATTTTAAAGAGATGAAGTAAAGACTGTGGGAGTAGATATTTCGTGCAATTAATCAATGGAAAGGAATAATGAGTGTTGAATGGGATGGGAAAACATTGAAAATAGTAAATTCAGGTTATTTAAACTATCCTAGTTCTCTGTGTGCTAGTTGCTGTATCTGTGTCTTATGCGGGTGCTACTACTTTTGTGATTGGGCCTTGTGGATCCGGCCTGTCCGTTCAATTGCTGCTAAATGGTAGGGGCCTCGTAACAATTTTGTTGTTGGCTTGGGGTCTCTCGGGGGTGTCTGTGTAGTTGCAAGCGCCTTCATCATGTCTAAACAGTGCTTGGCGGATGTAGAATAGCCGCGGTATAAGATACCTAAAACAAAAGGCTAGAACACCTGCTTGACACTTAAGGTACGGGTGGAATGAGGACTGTAATCAGATGCAGGAATCTTCATTTCGACGTCAATATCACAGGCCCTCATATTCTAGCTGTAATGATTAAGACAGGAATGTGTAGATACCTTTCCTGGAAGATACTATGTTGTAACTATCTTCTATTTCCTTCTCTATTGAAACACTAAAAACAGAGAGATGTGGTTATGAAAAATACCTATGATGTAACTCGAATATGTTATGAATAGAGTGGCTTAACCTGACTGTTATACCTTAACCTTAACCTGACCTTAACCTGGCGGTCAGGTTAAGGTATAAAAATCAGATTAACTGCAGGTATAATAATTAACTATAATTAATTATTATATCTGAATTAGACAGAATTAGGCAGATATTAAGCTAAATTAGATAAAAATCAGATAGAATTAGATAAGATTTAAATAGAAATATTCTATTATTTTATACTGCTTTCTTAAAAAAATTTAGTTATTAAGAAATTTAACCCACAGGTTAATTATTAATTAATCTAGATAGGAATATATATTTCTTATATCTAACTATTAATCTGTAGTTAGGTATAAAAATTTTGATTAACCTGACCTGACCTGGCTGTTAGCCACTCTAGTTATAAAGGGCTGAAGGAATACTTAAATTCAATCTAACTAGGCCATAAACTATTTATAAAAAGCTTAGGAAGAGAAAGCTTTTTATTATTTTATTTCTATATTAGTAAACTAAAGTTATATAATTTATATAAATAATAATAAATACTAATCTATAATAATATTTTTTTGATTTAATTTTTATTTAAGAGATTATAATATATTTATTAATATTAATTTACTATTAGACTACTATTAAAATAAAATTATATTTGTTTTAAATATATCTAGTATAAAATAATTTTAAATTATATTTAATTTTTTTATATTTATTTTATTAAAATTTTAATTTAATATTTTTAATTAATCTTCCTATACTATATAATTAGAATTTATTTAATTTTAAATTTTTTTTATTTATTAATAGCAGAGAAAATTATATATTATTAATAATTTAAAATAATAATAAATCTATAACAGCTAGATAAACTAGTTATTATAGTTAACCTGTATAACTAAGTGGTTACTATAATAGAATATCTATATTATTATTATAAAATAGTTATAATATTAATAATTTTGTAGAATCTATATCTTAAATATTTAGATTTTATTATATACTAGAAAATAGAAATTAATTTATATTTATATAATACTAGTATTTTAATTCTATATTTAATTTAATTTTTTTTATAATTTTAATTTTTTCTTTTTTATTATTTATAAAAAAAAGTATAGGATATTATTTTAATAATATATTTTAAAAATAATTTAAAATTAAAAACTTTTTTAATAGATATTAAATCTTTTATTTTAATTATTTATAATTTATTAATAAAGAACTTTATTATAATATAAGATATTATTAATAAATTTTAAGATTATTAATAACTATAATAATAAACTACTAAATTAAAATAAAAGATTTAATAATATAATTTTAATTTTATACTAAATTATTAGTAAAAAATTTTATTACTTATAAAATAATTTAAAACTAGATATTAAAATTAAAAATATTTCTTAATTTAAACTATTCTTTAATATTTAGAAATAATAGAAATAATTTTATAATTTAAATTATAATTTCTAAGAAATATTTTTTAAATTAAATATTAATTATTAAAAAACTCTTAAAATTATTAATAATATAAATATTATTTATTAATAAAGATAATATTAATATCTTAAAAAATTATTTTTAAAATAAAAAAAGTTCTTAATTATTTATTATCTTCTTTTATTAAATAAATTCTTTTTTTATTAGAAATACTATTATATTTAAACTAGATATAATAGACTAATTTAAATAAATATAATAATAAAATAATTAAAATTTATATAAATTTTATATTTATCTTAATATACTAGAATAGTACTTTTCTTAAATAATAAAAAAGATTTTCTTTTTTATTAAACTATTTTCTGATTTTAATAAATATATAAAAAATATATTTATTAATTATTTAAATAATATAATAAAATAATATTAATTATTATTTATTATTAGAATCTATATTTATAGTAATAAAAATAAAAATAAAAATAAAAAGATCTAAATATATTATAAAAATAATTTTATTTTAATAAAAAATCAAATAATTTCTATAATTTTATATTTCTAATTAAATTTAAAAATAATTATATTATTATTTATATAATAATACTAAATATCTTATAAACTAATATTCTAAAAAAATAAAAAACTTAATTAAATCTAGAGATTATAAGTTAAAGAAGTTAATCTGAAAAATTAATTAAAATTATATTTTATCTTTTATTCTAGTCTAATTCTTTAAAATAAATATAATTAATTAAGTTTTAATATTTATATAAGTATTAAATATAAGTAAAATACTTATAGATATAAATACTAATATTAAATATAATTAAAGTAGTATAAGGACTAATATCCTTACAACCTTTGTGATAAGTTTATTATAAAAGAATATTAACTACCCTTATAAAAATAAGATAAGAGATTATATAAAAGACTAGATAAATAATTATAATTATTATATAAATAATAACTATTTATAAGAATAAGAAACTAGTAATAATACTTTAAGATAATATAATATTATCTTTAACTCTTATAAGGGATATTTATTTATCATACTATCTTACTACTTAGTCCTTATAAGTAGCTAACAGCTAGGTTAGGTCAGGTTAATTAAAATTCTTATACCTGATTATTATAAAGACTAATATTCTTATAACTTTTATAATAAACTTATTATAAAGAAATATTAACTACTTTTATAAGAATAAGATAAAAGATTATATAAAAAATTAAATAAATAATTATAATTATTATATAAATAATAATTATTTATAAGAATAAGAAACTAGTAATAATATTTTAAAATAATATAATATTATTTTTAATTTTTATAAGAAATATTTATTTATTATATTATTTTATTTCTTAATTTTTATAATTTTATTATTTATACTTTATAAAATAATCTAGTAAGTAATATCTAGATATTATATATAAAATTAAAATAAAAAAAATTCTTAGGTATTATTATAAAAAATATAATTTTTAAAAAAAAAAATCTTTTATAAAAAAAATATAATCTTATATTTAAATATTTTATAAGTAATTAAATTTATTCTAGTAAATTATAAAATTATAATAAAAATTAAAAATTAATTCTATAAAAAAATATTTATAAATAAATCTAAATGATTTAGATTCTAGTATTATAAAAATTAAAAAAATAAATATATAAATTAATTTATTTATAAATAAGATTTATTATAATATCTATAACTATACTATTTATTATATATTTATTATTTAATAAAAGTTAATTATAAAAATAAATAATTAGATTAAAAATTAAAAAATATAAATTATAATAATTTATCTAGATTATATATTAAATAATCTATAAAAATAATAGAGTAATAAAATTATATTATAGAAAAAATAAGTTAATTTTTATAAATTTTTTAAATTATAATTAAAAAATTCTATAAATTATTTATAAAAAATATAATTAAAAATTTTAAAAATAAAGTTTTATAAAAATAAATAAAAATTTATATATTTTTAATAGTAAAAAAAGATAAAAAATAAACTTAATTATAAAATATAAAATTTAAATATTATATAATTTTGTTTTTTTTAAATTATTCTATTCTATAATTAAGAAAAAAATTTCTAAATAATAAAATCTTTTTTATTTTAAAATAAAATTTTATTATATTATTTATAAAATTATATCTAATCTTAAATTAATAATATAAATAATATAAAAAAAAGTCTTATAAATAAAATCTAAAAATTAGAAAATAATAAATTAAATTATATAAAAATAATATTAGATTAATTAAAAATAAAATATTTATAAATAATTTTAATAAATAAAAAAATTAATTATATAAAAATAGATTAATAATAAAATTAATTATAGAAATCTACTAGAATTATAATATATATATTTAAAAAATCTATAAAATTAAAAATATATTTTAAATATAATAAAATTAATTATTTTATAAGAAAATATAAAATAAATAAAATATTTATAAAATAACTAGTTAATTAAATTATAATATTATTATTAAATTAAATTAAACTTATAATATATTTAAATTTATATTTATATAATAAATTTATTTTAAAGAATAAAAAAATTTTCTTATAAAAATAAAAATAATAATTAATATTAATATAAAAACTAATTTTATATTTATAATATTTATAAAATAAATTAATTAATTAATAATATTTATAAAGATTTTAGTAAAAGATATTAATAAAAATATAATATAATTAAAAAAATTATAATATTTATAATTATATTAAAATATAAAAAAATATTATTAAAAAAATCTTATAATTATAATATTTATAATAAATAAAATAATTTTAAAAATATTATAAATTAAAAAATAATAATTATTTATAATATTTTATAAATATAAATTAAAATTTTATAAAAAAAAATTTAAGAATATTATAAATTATAATAATCTAGATTAAATAAAAAAAATTTATAAAAAACTAAATTTTTATCTAGTAATAATATAATAGATTAATAAATTAATTAAAAATTAGATAATATTAGAATATTATCTAAAATATTATAAAATATTTATAAAAAAAATAATAAATTTATTATTATAAAAATCAGAAATAAATCTAGAAATAAATTTTTATAAAAAATTTAAATTAAAAATAAAATAAATTTATAAAATATTTTTTATAGAAAGAAAATCTTATAAAATTATTTATAAAAAATATTTATAAAAAAATAAATAAAATATTTTAAATTACTAGTAAAAATACTAGTTTTTTTTATAAAAAAAAATAATAATTTATAAATATATATAAATTACTATAAATTAAATAAATAATTAATTAAAAATATTTATTTATTATTATAAATTAATAAATATATTAAATAATTTATAAAAATCTAATAATTTATATAATTAGATTTTTATAAAATTTATTATTAAATAAGAATTATAATAAAATATAAATAAAAAATAATCTTTTATATAAAATATAAATTATTTAAATATTTTATTATGTTATTTTAACTTATAAATATATTTATAAAATTTTAAAACTTTATAAATTATCTTATAAAAAATATTTTTTTATAATAAAAAAAAAACTTCTATAATTAATTTAATAAAAAAAATTATAAATTATAAGGACTAAGGGGTGAAATAATATAATAAACAAATATCCCTTATAAGAGTTAAAGATAGTATTATATTATCTTAAAGTATTATTACTAGTTTCTTATTTTTATAAGTAGTTACTACTTATATAATAGTTATAACTATTTATCTAGTCTTTTATATAATCTCTTATCTTATTCTTATAGGAATAATTAATATTCTTTTATAATAAGCTTATCATAAAGATTATAAGGATATTAGTCCTTATATAAATAAATAATTACTTATAATAAATAATTAAATAAGAATTATTATATTTTATAAAAAAATTATATATTTTAGATAATTATATATTTAAATTAAAAGTTTTTATAAAATTATATAATAATCCTATTATAAAATATTTTATAAAGACTAGAATTAAAAAGTTTATTATATATAAATTTTAATAATTAAAATTTATAAGTTTTATATAAAAATATCATTATATATATAGAATATACTAGAAAAAATAAATAATTTATAAAAAATAATAAAAATTATTAAATTTTTTATTAATATTTATATAAATATAAAAAAAAATAATAATAAATTTTATTACTAGACTTTTTATAAATATAATAAAAATAAAAAATATATAAAAATTATTTAATAATATATTAATAATAATAAATTATTTTAATAAAATAATCTATTTTATATTAATTTATAAAATATTATTAAATAAGAAATTTATAATATTATTTTTTAAAAAGATTTTTTATTTATATAAAATATCTATAAAAGTAATTATAAATTAAAAAATAGTTTTTATAAAAAACTTCTAATTAGATTTTATTTATATTTTTATAATTAAATAAAAATTAAATATAATTTATTATTTATAAATTAATAATCAAATTAAAAAGCTAAATAATATATTAAAATAATATTTATAAAATTATATTAATTTTAAATAAAATAATTAAATAAATATATTATTCTTAATAAAATTTATATATAATAACTTTTTATAAATATTTATTAAATATTTATTTTTTTCTATAGCTACTACTTAATACCTATAAATAATTATATTTAATTTATAAATAATAAAAAAACTAATCTAAAATTTAAAGAAATATTTATATAAAATTAAAAAAATTAAAAAATAAATAATTATAATATATATTATAATAAATAAAAACTAGAATATATAAAAAGATTTTAATAATAAAAAAAATAATATATTTTTTTTATATATAAATAATTATTATATTTTCATCTAATTTTTTTAAATATATAATTATAAAATATTCTTTTATAAAAAAGCTTATAATAATTTATATATATATTTAATTAAATAATAATTATTTATTAGTTTAAATTAAAAAAATATTTTTATAAAATTAGATTTAAATAATTAATTACAAGAATTATAATTATTTAATATATATAACTAAATATATAATAGATAAATAAATTTATATTTATTTATAACTAAATAAAAGCTATTATTTTATCTAAAAAAAAACTAGATAGTATAATAAATATTATTTTTTAAACTTTTATAAAATAAATTACAGAAGATAATTTAATAAAAAATAAAATATTCTATTTTTTATTAATAATTTATATATATAATATTAATTTAATTTTAGACTACTTTAGATATATTTATAAAAAATAAAAAAGATTTAATTACTAAAAAATCTTAAATTATAAAAATTATTTATATATTATTTATTTTTAAAATATATTCTATAATCCTATTCTAGAAAAATAAAGTATTATAAAAAAAATTATGAAAAATTATAAAATATCTAGAATACTAGTAGAAAAAATAAAAACTAAAAATAAAAAAATAATTATGAAAACTAAGAGTATTGAATTAATTATAATAAAAAAAAATTATAATAATAGAATTAATTATAATATTTAAAAAAAATTTTATAAAAAATTATTTATAATATATATTATAAAAACAGAAATTAGTAATAAATTAATTTTATTAAAAAAAATTTTATAAAAAAAATAATAGTAGTAATATTTAGAACTATATAATAAATATTAATAATAATAATAATAATAAATTACTTAAATTAATAAATATTTAAAAAATTTATAAAAATAAAATAATTTATAAAATAAATAATTTAACTAAAATTAAGAATAAAAATTATTTATAAATAATATTATTTTATAAAAAATTAAAAAAAAATATTAATCAGAATCTATATTTTATAAAATAGAAAAATAATTTTAATAAAATAAAAAACTATATAAAAATTTAGAAAATAAAATTTTATAAGAAGAAAAAAATTATATTAAAATAAAAAAAATTTTAAAAAAAATATTTTATAATAAAAAATTATATAATATTTTATAAGAAAAAAGAAAATAATATTATATTAAAAAAAATCTTTATAATATTTATTAATAAAGAAAAAAAAATAAAAAGATTTTAATTAAAAAAAAACAAAATTTTTTATATAAAAATAAATTTTTTTTTATAAAAATAACTTTACTAATTTTTTTAAAAATAAATTATAAATATTAAAAAAAGAATTTTTAAAAAATAATAATATTATTTTTTATTTATATAAAATAATATCTATAAAAAAAATTAATAGATAATTAAAAAACTAGAATTATATAAAAAATTATATAAATCTTTATAAAATAATTATATAATAATCTATATAAAAAGATATTAATTATAAAAATAATTATTTTTTTTATTATTTTAAGTTTTTTTACAAAATAGATTTATTAGAAGAAGATTTTAATAATATATTATAAATATAACTTTAACTTTATTTTATAAAAAAAATAATTATAAAAACTAATATTTTTATAATTTTTATAATAAATTTATTATAAAAAAATATTAATTATTTTTATAAAAATAAAATAAAAGATTATATAAAAAACTAGATAAATAATTATAATTATTATATAAATGATAATTACTTATAAAAATAGGAAATTAGTAATATTATTTTAAAATAATATAATATTATCTTTAACTCTTATAAAGAATATTTATTTATTATATTATTTTATCCCTTAGTCCTTATAATTATAAATTAATAATTAAGTATAAGAAATATATATATTTATTTAGATTAACTAATAGTTAATCTATAAATTAAATTTTTTAATAACTAAATTTATTAAAAAAGATAATAAATTTAAATAGAATATTTTTATTTAATTTATATTTAATTTATATTTAATTCTATTTAATTATATCTGATTATACCTAATTTTTATTTAATTTAGATATAATAATTAATTATAGTTAATTATTATATTTATAATTAATCTGATTTTTATATTTTAATCTAATTACTAGATTAAGATTAAATTAAGATTAAGATATAATAATTAAACTAAGTTACTTTAAATATAATATTATTAATATTTAATTTATATACTATTTTTTTATAAAAATCTTAATATAATCCCTAAATTTAAAAATTATTAATAATAGAATAATTTCTAGTTATAAAATATAGAATATTCTTATTATAATAAATAATTTAAAAAAAACTTAATATTAATTTACTAAATTTTGTATAATAATTTATTATAATTTAAATAAAATTATTATTTTATTATTTATAATTATTATTAATAATTATAAAATCTATTTAAGTTTATAAAATAAAATAAAATAATTTAAATTTGATAATATATAAAAGTTATATCTCTAAAAATTTATTAAAGTGTATTAAAATTATATTTATATATATATCTTAATTAAGTTATTAAAAAAGCTATAATTACTTATAAAAAATAAAAAATTAAAATATTTATAAAATAATAATATTCTAATAAAACTTCAGGATTTTTAAAATATTTTTCTTAATAATCTAAAATATTACTTAATTATTAAAAAATAATTATATTATTTATTTTATTAATAATAAAAAACTCCTGTTTAGTTCTATTAGAGTAGCTAACAGCTAGATTAGGTTAGATTAATAAGAATTTTTATATCTAATTATAATATATTTAAAAATAAAATAATTAATTATTTTAATTATTTTTTATATTAAGAATTATTTATTAAATTTTTTTTAACTTTAATATAGTTAAAAGATATCTAGATTAAATAAAAATTAATCTAATTATTCTAATTATTATTTAAAAATATATAAAAATAAGTTTTATAAAATAAAAAAAATAATTAAAAAATATAATAATATTTTTTAAATTAGTCTAACCTGATTATTATATCTTAATCTTAACTTAATCTTAACTTAATCTTAATTTAATAATTAAATTAAGATATAAAAATCAGATTTATTATAAATATAATTAAATAGAAATTAGATAAAATTAAATAAAATAAATAGAATTAAATATAAACTAAATAAAAATTAAATAAAAATATTTTATTTAAATCTATTATTTTTTTAATAAGTTTAATTACTGAAAAATTTAATTTATAAATTAATTATTAATTAATTTAAATAAGAATATATATTTTTTATATCTAATTATTGACTTATAATCAGATATAACAACTTTAATTAACCTAATCTAATCTAGCTAATAGCTACTCTGATATCTTTTTTTTATTTATAAAAAATAAGAAGAAGATTCTAATAATATTAATATAATTTAATTTCTTATAATATTAATATTCATATAATAAAAAATATAAAAAAATATATAATTATAATTTAATTTAGATTATATATTAAAAATCTAGTAAATTATATAAAAAATATTATATTTTTATTATTAATATAATAATTAAAAATTATAATAATATTTTTAAACTATTATTAAATCTTTTTAAATTAATTTAATAAATTTATTATTTTTTTATTTTTTATTTAAAGAAATCTTAATTATCTATATATTAAATTAAATGTTATTTATAATATATTATATAATTAGTTTATTTTAATAATTATATTATTTATAATTATTTAATTTAAATACTAAATATTATATTATATTTTTAATAATAGATTTTATAAATATCTTTTTTAAAGCTTTTTTATATAAATATTTCTTTTATTTAAATTTATTATTTTTATTTAATATTTATAAAAATATAAAGAATAAAATATTTATTAAAATATAAATTATATCTTAATAAAATAATATATTTAGATTTTAAATTTATAATAAAAAAAGATTATTTAAATTTTAACTTTAAATATAACTCTAAATAATTAAATATTTAAATTATTTAAAAAAAGAAAATATTTAATAATTCTAAATTTTAAATATAATTTCTTATTTATTATATTTATTAATAATAATAAATATAATAAATAAATTAAACTAAAAAAAATATTATAATAAATTATATTTATATATAAATATATTTTTAAATTAAGTAATATTATTTTTACAAAAGTATTTAATTTTTTTATTAATTTATTATTTATAAAATTTTTTTAATATTATAAATTAATTATAATTATCTAATTTATTTTTAAAAACTATTATTAAATTTTTTATTTTTATTTTTTAAATTTTTATAATTAATTATAAATCTTAAATTAAAATAAATAATTTAAATTAAATTTTTTATTTTTTTTAAAATTTTAAGATTATATATATTATAAAAAATTAAAAAATTAATTTATATCTAATTTTATAAAAAAATCTTTTATTTTTTATAATTAATAATAAAAAATATTTTTTTTTTAAAATTTATTTATAAATTTAAAGATTATTATTTTATTTTAATTAAAAAAAATTATTAATATTATAAAAGATTTTTTAAAAATATATATTATTTTTTAATAAAATTTTTATTTTTATTATTTTAAATATTTTTATATTTTATAATATTTAAAAATTAAGAATTTAGAAATTAATTTTACAAATTATTATTTTTATTAGAGTAGCTTAACCTGATTATTATACCTTAACCTTAATCTAACCTTAATCTAATAGTTAGGTTAAGATATAAAAATTAGATTAACTATAGATATAATAGTTAACTATAGTTAATTATTATATCTAAATTAGATAAAATCAGGCAGAATCAGATAGGATTAGATATAAATTAAGTAAGGATTAGATAGAAATATTTTATTTAAATTTATTATCTTTTTTAATAGATTTAATTACTAAGAAATTTAACCTGCAGATTAATTATTAATTAATTTAGATAAAAATATATATTTTTTATATTTAATTATTAATCTGTTATCAGGTATAAAAATTTTAATTAACCTGACCTGACCTGGCTGTTAGCTACTCTAATTTTTATAAAAATTATAAAAAAAATATCTTTAATTATATTTAAATATATAATTAATTAAATATTAAATAAAGAATTATTATAAATATATATTATTTTTTTTAACTTAATTTTTATTAATTATTTTTTATTTCTAAATTTTTATTATTTATAATAAATAATATTTTTAAAATTAAAATTTATATTTTATAATTATTTATTATTTATTATTCTGAATTATTAAAGATATATAATTTAAATAAATAATTAATTTTATTATTTTATTTTTTTTATTAAAGATTAAGTTCTTTTAATTAAATATAAATTAAAAAATATTTATTAAAGTTATTTAAAAAAATATATCTAAAATTATTATTAAAACTTTTAAATATTAAATAAATATTAATTGTAACTAATTATTAAATTAGTTTTAATTAGAAGATATTTCTTATTTTAACTAGATATTTTTTAATAAAAGATATAAATTATTATAAGATTTTATTAGGTTTTTAATTAATATCTAGATCTTATATTAATAAGAATTTAATTATAATTATTTTATTAATTTTATATAAGTATATTTCTTTATATTAATTATTAAATATAATAACTAATAATACTAGTAATAATAATTTAATATTTAATTTAATTTTTTTAAAATTTTAGACTTAGTTTATTTAAAATATTTAGTTTTATAATATTTTATTAACTTTAATCTTATAAAAATTATTTAAAATTAATATTATATTTCTTATTTTATTTATATAATTTAGTTTATAGTTAATATTATTTTATAAAAATTTTAGATTAAAACCTTAAATAATATTATTAAATATATTTAAAATAATAATAATAAAAATCTTAAAACCTTTTTTAGTATTTTAAGAATTTTTAAAAAAATATATTTTAAAAATTATTTATAAAAGTTTTTTATAAATAGTTTTTAAAGATTCTTTTTTATAATAATATATTATATTAATTTTTAATTATAAATTTAAAAAAATATATAATTTATAAATATAAATTTTTAATATTATAAGAAGTTTCAGTTTATCTAATAATTAAAATCTAATTTAATTTATTATTTTTTTTAAATTATAAGATTTATTAAAATTTAATCTATTTTATAATTTACTAGATACTTAATCTTTATTAAATAATTAAAACTTTTATTTAGTACTGTAATTATACTAATATTAATTATTTTTAATTAATTTTAATTAAATAAAAATAAATAGAGTATCTTTTTAAGTTTTTATATCTATTTTCTTTATATTCTATTTATCTAAGAATAATAAGTTTATTATTTATAAAATTTATAAAATTTATAATAAATTTTTTAATTATTTAGATTACTTTATTAATTAATTAGTAAAAAAATAAATATTCTAAAAAAAGATTTTTTAAGAATTTATAAAATATATATCAAAAATTATAAAAATATTATTATTATATTTATTAAATAAAAGATTATATTTATATAATTATAATAATTTTTAACCCAATATCTAAATTTAAGAAGTTTAAAAAATATATAATTTAATAATAATATTAATTAATATAATAAATACTAGATTATCTTTAAAAAAATATTTTAATTCTATTATAATTAAAATTTAATTATTAATATATTATTTATTATTTCTAGATTATATTTAAATCTAGATAAAGTTTTTTATAATATCTTTAAATACTAAAAATTTTTATTTATGATAAAAATATTTAAAAAACTTAAAATATACTTAAATATTAAAAATATATAATTTATTAATTTATTTTTAATTTAATTAATATTATTTTAGATATTATAAGATATACTAATATTTTTATTTATTAAAAATTTTATTATAATTAGTTTTTTATTTTTTATTAGATAACTAGAGATTTCTTATTTATTATAATTAATAATATTAATATTAAATATTTATTTAATAATTCTTAAAATATCTATTATTATTATTAAAATTATTTTTAGTTTAATATAATTAAAATAATTATATTTTAGATATATATTAATTATTTTATTATAAATAAGAAATACTAGAATATTCTTAAAAATCTTAATCTAGATTTAATTATTTTTATATCTAAAGATTAAAAAAAATAAGATAATTATTATTTTTTATATTAATAAAAATAAAAATATAAATAACTTAAAAAATAATCTAAAAAATAAATTATTATTAAAAATAAAAAAATAATTTTATTTAAGTTTATAAATATTATATATTTTTAAATAAAGATCTATTTCTTATAATTTCTATATTATTATAATTATTATTCTAAATAATATAAAGAATAATTAATATATATATTTTATATTAAATATTATTTTTTTTATATTAAGTTTTATAAAAACTTTTTTTTAAAATATAATATATTTCTTAGAAGAAATAGATAAAATAAATAAAATAAATAAAATAAATAAAATAAATAAAATAAATAAAATAAATAAAATAAATAAAATAAATAAAATAAATAAAATAAATAAAATAAATAAAATAAATAAAATAAATAAAATAAATAAAATAAATAAAATAAAAAAAATAAATAAAATAAAAAAAATAAATAAACTAAATATAAAAAATATAACTATACTATAATTAAAAATATTTTATATTTTATATATTATTTATATAAAAGAGATATATATATTATTAATTAATCTATAATTAATAATTTATTTATTATACCTAATCTTTTTAACTAGTAGATATAAATAATTAAAATAATAATTATATCTTAATCTAATCTTAATTATATAGTTAAATTATTTTTTATATCTTAACCTAACTACTAGGTTATGGTTAGGTTAAGGTTAAGGTATAATAATTAGGTTAAGCCACTCTACATATGGGTCAATCAGCTACTGGTAACAAATACTCTTCTCAGAGGGGTTCTCATCAACTAATCCGCATTGATTCATGGCATAGTTCTCTAAGAATTGAATTATTAGCTAGGTGCCGGTTAGGTACTGTAGTCGTGACTTGCCAATCAATCCTGCATAGCCTATTAATAGTACCCTGCCCTGTCACCACCTGTAATACTTCGCTGTATTTAATTTTCAAGAGACATGTACTGTGGATGTATGTTAAAGTCTAAGAGTAGCCACCATCCACCACAGCGCAGAGACACATATCTCGCTAGCCCCGCCAGTAAGGACAATGTCGAGAGCCGGCAGAAAGACCGCTCATTTAGTCTTGAAGAGGGGGGTGCCGCCAAAGATTGTACCAATTACTTGATCATAGCGGCGGCGTTGGACATGGCAGGAATCGATTCAGCGAGCGCGAGGAGAAGAAGTGGAAGATGGTGAAGATAGAATGAAAGCTTAGATAATCTGACAACCTCAAACTGGATTAAGATATATTGATAAATAATCTCCATCTTTTCTTCTCTTTCCATAGTATAGTAAGTATAGGTCGTCTGACAGATAGCGGCTAGAAAACTTGGCTTTCTGCTAGCCGTGCTCACCGGGAGCCTCAGATATATACGAATCACCGAGCCAGAGGGTACCATCATGATTCATCACCACCTCATCTTAGTAAGGAATCTGCTCATGGAACCACTTCATCATGAATCGCACCTGCTCCTTCTTCGCGATAGGCACATTGCCAAACCCATCGCCCAGCTCCATGACCAACTGCGTGCCATTCTTACTATTGGGCCTCCACACCGGCAGCGTGCCATTACCTGTATAGGAGCCTCCCTCATTAGGATTCAGCGTCTTGGCGAAGTTCGCCCAATACGCCGCCATACGCTCCTGGATCTCCCAATCCTCGTCGGTGAATGGGTAGGTATCAACGTTCGCGTACAACGCGTTCAACGCGTACATGATCTCGGACTGGTGGAACGCGCCCTGGTTCTGGCCGGGAGGAGCGTGCGTCCAGTAGTATGTGTAAAAGTCGGAGGAGGCGGCGTCATACCAGTCGGTCGCGTAGGCCCACGAGCCAATGAGCGAGGCATCGCGCGCGGCGGCGTTCCAGGAGCGGTCGGCTGTGCTGTTCGTGCCGTTGTCTGGGTACAGCTTGATATACTCATTGTACAGATTGCCGTATTTCTGGCGGGTGTATTCCTCGTACTCGGCCACGCTGTAGTCGGTGGTTGTTGAGGCGCCGGATTCATCCTTAGTGTTACCCGTGATGACGGGGACGTCGTTGGCGGGCCCGTTGCGCAGGGTGTCCAGGTAGGTGGATGGCAGGACATACCCGTCGAGGACGGGCTTGAAGATGAGTGGGTAACCGGCGGAGAGGGCGGTGATGGGGTCGATCCAGGTGCTGTTTACCCGGTCTTGGGAACCGATCAGCAGGTCTTCCATGGAGAGGGTGCGCAGGTCGGCGATGGTCGATGCATTGTGGAAGGTTGTGTAATTCACGCCATGGGTCAACGCGGCGGACATGTTCACGTAGGAGGTGGCCAGGCCCGCGAGGAGAGGGTCGTAGGGGTAGCGGATGCCGGATTCGGAGATACCGCCGTGGAAGTAGCCCTTGAAGAGCGGGCTGTTGACCGCGTGGTAGATTTGGGAGGAGCCGAACGATTGTCCAGCCACGACGACGCGATCCGGGTCCCCACCGAAGTTGGCGATGTTCTTCTGCACCCACTTCAGGACTTCGAGCTGATCTAGAATGCCGTAGTTACCGGACGAGTTGTGGCCCGTCTGTTTGAGGCCTTCCTCGTTGAGTTCGGGATGGGCAAGGTAACCGAACGCATCGTCACGACGGTTGAAGGTGATCAGAATCACGTCCTTGAGGGCCATGCCGCCGCCGTACCACCAGGGATCGTTAGAGGTCTCGTCACTACCTTGGTTCCAGACCATCACGGGCATTTTCTCGTTGGCAGAGCCGGCGTTGGTCCACAAGTTCAGGCTGAGGCAATCTTCGCTGATGTCGCTGGCGTAGTTGCTGGGGCAAGCAGGACCGAAGGCCGTCGCATGGAGAGTTTCATTCCATGGGGTGCGTGGCTGCGGTGGCTTCCATCGGTTCTGGTAGCCGGTGTCGGCAGCGAAAGGAACGCCCAGGAAGGCCGTCACGTTGGAGTCGGAGACGCCAAAGTACTTCTCTAAAGTCGATTGATTGAAGTATTGGAAGCCTTGGACAGGGCCGTAGGTGGTCTGGATGACTTCGTCCCATAGCTGGGCGTGGACTAGGGAAGCGCCCAAAGCCAAGGAGGCGAGGCCCTTGGTGGCGAGGGTAGGCATGCCTTATTTGCTATGACTTGGAGGCTAAGAATTCAGAAGGATGATGAGTGAAAGAGATAGATTGTGGCAAACGGAGGAAAGGCGACTTCTTATATTTTGATCGCTCCCAGTAACCCAGCTCGACACGGCTGAGAAGGACGGGTAGACTGCAGGCAAAGACGGGAAGTATAATGAGCCGTTGGATCTCCGAGATCACCGAGGGTGGTCTGATAGGAGACTTGTAATACACGTGGGGACATGATTGAGGATGATACTTCATGCGTAGACCTGCACGACGATCTTTGCCGGAATTGATAGAATGGCACTTCTAGAAACCAAGGTGCCTTGCGAGACGCATCACATACGCCTCAGCCAGAAACATAACAGATTAATGTTAAGCAGGTACGGTGGGAACTCTGTCGTCATCCTGCTGAAAGAGTAGACTTGGGCCCCAGGATTTTAAGGTTTTGATTCTTCATAGATCCTTCTTCCGTGGAGAAGTCATGGGAGTTTGATGCACACCTACACCCCCTGCAGGAGAGGTTCACTAGACAGACTGGATTGTAGGAAGAAACTCAGGTCCTGCACAAGCATCATGACTCAGTGATGATACTATTTGAGTCTGATGAAGGAGACTCTCTCAAAGGTCCGCATCGCTTCGTCTGGGCCACGCGTAAGGATGCAGATGCAACGGGAACAATAGATTGGGACGAGGTCGGAGGATCGGGGATTTGATGGAATCGGCCGGGCCGCACTACCGTCTGCAGGAACCAACTCCGCTGTGCTGCGTGAGGACTCGGCACTGGAACCTAAAAGCGGTATCCCCGTACGAAGTATCCCCTCCTGGTCGGATCTATTCGGAGATCTCGGGCTTCGCTCGCAAACACCCCTCATTCTGGGACATAGTCGGTATTCACGAGCATAAGTGTATGACGCCCGGTTGCAGTACCGTTGTGTCGGGGTATCAGGATATGGGAAGTCTGCTCTATAAGGAGATAAAGCGACAAAGTGCACCACTGTATTCACAGACTGGCAATGGGCCACCTATCCTGTTACATGAAGGAATCACTGGGCCGTTGCTCCTGACCGTGCGAGTTAAACGCTACTGCCGATTTCTTCGAGGGCATCTTGACTCTTGTGGCCTCGAAAATAAGAGACACGCTAGAGATAGTACGAGTCGCAGGGATTTACTGCTTGAGACACTTCAACTTGAATAAGGACACAACAAAAACGCCCAAGATACCAGGTTCTCGTCTTTTCCAGCCGGGGCTCCTGAGGGGTCTCGAATCAGTCTTTCATCGATAGCTCCTTCACGTATTGGGTCAGCTTGGGTCTGTATCTTTGTTTGTCGGGAGATTGGCGCACATTGCCTACATTCCTTCCTTTCCAATTGGTGTCTTCTGCAATCTGATAATGCCATGGTAGCCGTTCGAATAAGCATCGAAAACATCTTGCCCCGTACTGGAATCAAGCTCCGGGATCGGCTGTGGTTCTGGGATAGGTTCTTGCTCCGGGAATGGCTCCGGCTCTAGCTCTGGCTCTGGCTCTGGCTCAGGCGCTGGTTCACCGTTCGGGGGTGTCGGCAATTCAAAGTCTCTGCCAGGAATAGGGAGGCCTTTTTTGACCAATTGTTTCTCTCTTCTCTTTCGGTCCTTAGAGTTCAAGTTCCACCAGTTATTGTAGAGAGGGTTGTCTGGTATGGCTGGCGCTTGCGGCTCAGGCTCAGACTCGGGTTCGAGTACTGGCTCAGGCTCGGGCTCAACGCATAGCTCAGGCTCTGAGAATGACTCTGGCTCAGGTTCTAGTTCCATCCCTGAACCACGCCTTGCCAGGAGGTCAGTAGCGGACACATCCTCAAGTGGCGGGGTATGGTCTCGATCCAGGGCAAGGTCATCGCACAAAGGCCCCTCAGCCGGAGCACTCAAGACTCTTTCAAGGGCCGATTTGAGTTCGCCCTTCTCATTCTCATATAGAGCCAGGACTTCGTCGAGAACGAAGCGATCGAAATTCTCGTCCTTCCCGATATCATACACTTTCATCAGTCGTCTCAGGCACCCGTCCCTGTCCTTATACGTCTTCGCCAATTTGTCCCGAACGAAGTCCTCCAACCAAGTGCGACCGGACTCGTCCTCATCGTGAAGGCTTGTGTATACCCCCCGCGCAACAGTAAGGATGTCTTCTATCGACAATCGCTCTGCAAACTGTTCCAGAAGCCTATGGGCAGTTCTCTGTAGTCCCGGGATCTGATACCGGACTGCAGCGGCGTACGTGTGCGCGGCACGAGTAAGTTCGACAGTATCGCGGGCGCGGACAATTTTCTCGAGATCGGCAGTTGTCTGGGGATCGATAAAAGAGCTTTGCAGGGTCTCATAATTGCCAGTGCAGAGGTAATGGATGAAGGTATGCGCGATTTGCGGTTCGATAGCCAGCTCGAGGTGATACGGTTTGTTGTCTTCAAAGCAGTCATACCAGTCATTGTACCTTCGCGGCGCCCTCTGGGTGTGCTTTGGGTCACAGTGGAGACGATCAAAGGGACGTAGGTAGTATTGTGGGATGGCATAGTAGCTGTTGTTGACCTTGAGAGTAATGAGGGGTGTCGTGTAGGGACTAAGTCAAACATCAGAGTGTGGCTTGCAAGAAGAAAGAGGATGAAAGCTAGAAGGGCCGTGCTCACCTCTCGCTGCGTTGGCTATACTCCTCGAGCGATGGAATCTCAAGTTTGACGGGTGCCTCAACCGCCTCTTCTGAAACGGGTGGCTCATACGCCTCTTCTGAAACGGATGGCTCATACGCCTCTTCTGAAACGGATGGCTCATACGCCTCTTCTGAAACGGATGGCTCATACACCTCTTCTGAGACGGGTGGCTCATACGCCTCTTCCGTAGCGGGTGTGGGGTCGCTCTCGGCGATAGGGTTGCGATTTGTTATATTCTGCTTCTTTTCCATGGTTTTCGGATGGTGGCAAGAGACTTAGGGGCTTTTGTTCGGAGTCGCGAAAAGGAGTGCGCATTTCTGCTTATAATCAAGTGGCAGTGAGTGCGACATCGGAAAAAAAAGAACATGGAGCAAGCACAAACCACAAGATTCGACTGACACGTCAAATGTTATCCCTGCAAGAAAGGCTGCGAGTGATATGTTGACGTGTGCGAGATGCGCTCAAGTGACTGGCGTGCGGGGTTTTCGGGGCGCATGCATGCTATGCGCTGGCATGCAAACTGACTGCGGCGTTCCAAGTACCGCTGGGACGGGGCTGCCAGTGAGACTTAGTTGGAAGTTCGTCCGACTAGCCTCCTAGTGTGATTGTGTACTTTTCCTCAGACTAGCAGTCTGTGTTGGGAAGAAATGATTTGGTTCGATCGGGCGACCGCGTGCAATGCGAATCCCATTTCTAGATTAACTGATGCATTTGCATTCAGACTTGAAAACGCCTGGTGATGGAAGCTGATGATACAACGTGATATGTGCAGGGCCATTAGATCAGTGTGTGTTAGTATCGTGATAACACAATGATAGTCGTATTCAGGTTACATTTACAGGAGTTCCTTTGCCCAGCCATGAGCGTTGCCCAAAGCCCATAACAGATGCTCACTCGCGCTGCTGTAGCTTAGCGAGACTGAAGTCGAAATTTGCCTTGTCAAGGTCACCCAACATCTGCTCTAGGAACAGGGTGAAGGAGAGACATAAGGTTGGAGAGGTCATTGTTGAGGGATGTATGGGGTCCAGGGTGAATGTACAGTACATAGTCACCTGACTCATGAATGTTTTGCTCTCGCTTGATTGTTTATTGTAGCCAGAACTTACAAGATAGCTATTTTCAATGTTGAAGTCTCACGTTACCAGAGTGAATCTCCAACTTAGCACTTCATTATCCCTTGTTAATGATCTGGAGTGGGTTCTCTCTTTTTTCTACAATCACTCAAATTATTGCACCTCTTCACCCACTCCATGACATGGATGCAGCAAGAGAAGTGTTCCCCGACGCGGAAAGACGGCGGATATTCCTTGCGTGCAAGGGCATCTTCTCCGGCCCACATGCGAACTTTCGCAAGGAAAAAACAATCCGAAAATGCCTGAAACGCCACGAGAATGCGCTAAGATCACTAAGTTCCAACTACGATCTCGATCACCTAGTTATATTAGCCAGAAACTACCTGAAAAGGGGTCTTTTTAACTCAAATGCCCGAGCCGAGCTGGAGTTTCCGGGCTTGTTTGCGCCGTCCTTGGGGCCGGAACCACGATCCGTAAACCCCAGAGAAGAGGTGTCGCGCACAGAGACGGAGGCGCTCGAGAGAGCTCGTTCAGGTTACGCGACAAACAACCCCGATGAGACTGGTGAACCTGTGGTGAGGTCAACCATTGCCGCATCACCGACGCCCAGCATTAACCGTGTGGCCAAACGAAAACGAGAAGATGAATCAGGTATGGGGTAGCCCGCGCACGAACCTGACATGAAAGTCGTTTACTAACAAGGACCTAAGACCAGACAGTAACACCCGGGAGATCAAATGCCTTATCCTTCTCTTCCTTCTTTACCTACCCTACTCAGCATTGTATTTTGACCACTGTTCAGCAAGTCTTGGAAGAGGGCATCTTCGACTTCATGAAGAGATGGGTACCTGAGGAGCTCGCACGCAATAATTGGGACTGTGCGTCGGCAGTCGAGCTTAACAGGTGGACAAAAATACTGGTTGATTGGTCCTCAAGACTTCCAGAAAGTGCTCGTCTTTCAAGAAATGCCGGACTCGATGCTATTGTCCCCGAGGTGACCGAACTCCGCCATATCGCCGTACATAGAAGACCGATAGCAGCACAGGACGTCAGCAGGCTCGTCTTTGCGGCTCAAAAACTGGCAGAGGTATTAGACGATGAGGTGCGCGCTTTACAGCTCAGGAGTCTGCACCACGACATAGAAGATAAGATCATAATGATGAAGTGTGGCAAGGATGCTCTCGATGATAGTCTTGCTGCAGCTCGCAAAAACATACAATTGCAGCGTGAAGCATTATGCCGGGAAGAGGAAGAACTCGAAGCCAAGGCTATTGATAATGACAAACAAAACAGAATGAGAACGGGCATTCTCTTGGAAGAATCGATGGCGAGAATCTTCAGGAGTGACAGCCTAGTCACTCATTCTGAGATAGTCAGACTTAGTACAGCCGATGAGAAAAGCACGGCTGGAGAAAACTAGAATGCTATGACGCGGTCTGTAAAGTACTAGGGACAAACTTTGAGTTGACCTCGAGAATATATGAAAGATTTCCTTCAAAGAATGCCATCTATCGATTTCTGGTCCATAATGGCACCAGTGTTAATGGTGTGAAGAAGAGGCAAAACTTGAGAAGCCAGCAAAGACCTCATTAGAGGAAAGAATTTTAGAGTAACTCTCGATGAAGTCTAATAACAAATTTCGGTCTAACTGGATCTCAGCTACCAATCTTACATTTTGTACTTGAGCTGAGGAAAATAAGCCCTTCGGTGTCGACAGAATTCGATAGGAGCTTTCTGCAGCGCCCTGATCCGATGTGCAGGCTGGGTCCGTAGATGAAAGGTCTCGCTCCGGTATTTTGACCGCAGATAGAGTATAGACGGCAGGTCCTTACCGTCCTTGGCTCTGTAGGCCATCAACCCCCCATATCTTAAAAAATCATATTTTGCTTGCCTCATACTTCAGCTGTCAATGTGTCAGCGGCTAAGGCAGGGATTCTCTCGAAACGTGTTTACCTGATTTGCCGGAGAGGGAGAAATGACCACACTGATGCGGGACTTTTTCGATTTGCAGTAGTGTGTGGGATTTCAGACAATCAGCGAGCATGGCAGCAATCGCGGCATTCATTATCACCAGCTTGGTGAATAGGTTTGTTTGCCTGGAACGTTTCTTGCGAGAGTGGCAATGGAGATTATCTTGAGTACCACACTCCCAGCCTTGCAACAAGTCCGTCGGCCTCTAAGATCTCATCTAAAGGACCTATCGAAATCCCGCTGCCTGAGCTTTCTCCTTGAGCGAGAGTTCGACTACGAATACGATATTTACTTCAGTTGTGGTATGGACGTCGTACCTTCTGATCAATCTGCATACGACAATTGAGAAACGCTACTGCTCACAAATGTTACTCAGCCTGGGCTGTTTTTAGTCTTGGCAATCCAGCAATATTTCTATCTTCGCATGACTACCTATATATAAATCCTGTATCCTTCCTTTTTTAACGAGCATAACTGTCTTGCGTCCGAATTGGAACCATTTGGCGTCAGGAGACGCATGCTTTTCTCTATCAAGGCTCCCTCTTTCTCCGTTTACTTCCTCCAAAGGAAACATTAATCAATCGTCTACCAAAACCACCAAAGCCTCATCAAATTCATCATCCGCAAGCACCTCAAAGTGATCTAGACCCTCCTCCTCGAGAACCTTGGCCACATCCAAATCCTCGCCATCCGTCCCAACACCGAATGTAGCTCCCGTGGAATACGGATCCAGCGACCAATTCCTCGACAACCACCCCTTATGCACCTTGGCCAACCGCACCGCCCACACAAAATCCGACTGATGCGTACCCTGGATGGTAGTTGACTCTTCGTGCGAGAGATCCAGGGTCGCTGTCACGCTCGCGATACCGGCAACGTCCCTGCCACAGCCCAAGTCATCAGCCATGCAATTATTACCTTTCATACCCGAACCCACGGTCGTATACCCAGCAAATGTGAAAAGGGATGGAAGACTTACACATCCGGCCCCGCATTCCCCGCCTTCCCGCGCGACTCCGTCGTCACGCTCTCCCCACCTTTCCCGCCGCACCGCGCAATCTTAATCCCGGAGATCATATACAGGGTCCATGCCCGCATTCGCCCACCACCCCATGCCGACCCTTCCTCCTCCTCTAGAGCTTCCAAGCAATCCGTGACATACTGTCTCGTCGGGGTGACGACATAGGTATCCACCCGCTCATAGGCCTCGTGATTCTCAACTGCCTTCTTGAACGCAAGGCTGGCCCCAACGCCCGGCGTCACCCCGCCAGGAGTGACAGCGCTAGCGATCGGGGCTTTCAGCTTGAGTTTTCCAGTGTTATCTGTCTGGCTGGTAGAGTGCCAGGCAAAATTTGTCGTGGAGGTGTGATAGACATACATGCGCGGCGGGAAGGGGAGGATGTGGTGTGCGTTGATGGGGCTGTCGAGATGCTTGAGGTCGGGGATGAGGTGGCCGAGGGTTATGGTGTTTTGAATCTCTTGCGGGCTGGCGTTGGGGTCGTTACGGCCCGAGAGGAGGGTTGCTTCGGGTGGTGCGGGGTGGTCTGGTTGGCGGAGTTTGAACCATACTTTTTCCATTTTCTGTATATATATTCGGCGTGGAAGAGGGCTTTGGCTGTTGGTTGTTAAGGTCAGTGAGATGAAGGAAAGGATTGGGACATTTGGAGATTAGAGGAAGGAGGACTGGGAGATTTATGTAGTACTTGTGAGAGCGCGCGCTAACATATAGAGGATGATTGGTTGGTAGATGTTGGCAGGGCTAGCAGGGATCTGGCATGTCTGTCAGCGAACAGTTTAGTCAACTATCAACGCCCAGTGAGTACTTTCTGCATCATTTTCCAGTAGCGCTGGAATATATCTTGCTTTCATTCGATTGCATGTTCATCAGATCAGGTGCTGGCTTGGATGATGACTGGGAGAGCTGTTCGAAGATAAGTTTGATGAGAGGCGTCTATAAACATACTATTAGCAGCTTGATGTTTGAGTCCACATTAGGACAGCATTCTGGGGAGCAGGCGGCGTAAAGCTGCAGCCTCATTTCAGTATAATCTCTGGCCGGAGGAACAGCTGACAGCAGCCTGTAGCGAAAATCTCCTGTAAAAGGACCACCTGATGCCGACAACATTCACTATCCACGAAGTCAGTTAGCGAGTTACCTCTACCCACAAACCAAGAAATCGAAATCCAGGCTTCAAAGCCATCCTAGACAGGCGTCAGATGGCCAACAAGACTCACTCAGAGTACAAGGCTGTACATACGACAGTTCACCCAAGACTGGTGATGCTTCGGCAGCTTATCATCTCCAAAGTTTGGCAATTTCATTTTGTTCCTCCTTGGTTGCTTGCTCTACAGCTACTTCCGAACGGTCGTTGGCAGGCTGTGGTTTTTTTGACACTGCCAGACGGCTTCGATTCAACTTCTGTCTGACAATCAACTTGCGGACACACTGAAGGTACTGTACATCATAAACTTGGAATAAGTCCTTGGTTTGTAACTGACTGACGGGAAAGCTCAACTATGTGTGAATTCCTTGTGGCCTTGATCCATTTCCACGGCTGCCCCGCAACATGTGATACAACTTCGAGATTTCTGAACCGATGTGCCTCAGCGAAACAGACTGGCGTGGATTGTTCTGATCCGAAGGACAAGATACTCGGTAAAACAACATATCCGAGTCATTGCCCAAAGCATCGCGATGAAGGGTACAGTCGACGTTGATCATTCAACAATTCAGTTTGTCGATGATGTGATGGATAGCCTTTCGCACGTCACCCGCTGAAGCAATTTGAGACAGCCAACACTTCTTGATAATATCCCCACAAACAATACCAGAGACATCGGGAAATTCCTTCTGCGTAAAAAGTCTTTCCACCTCATCACTGGGGATCTCCGCGTAGGGACTGGTACCTTGAAAGATTTGGTAGATAGTCGATCCTAGAGCAAAGAGATCGGTGGCCACTGTGGGTTGCTCTCTCCAGTCTCGTGGGAGGTAAAATCGAGTTCCCTCACACGCGCTTGGCCTAGACCCATCCACTGAGGAGCCTGCAAAGTCGATTATCTTGATATCGAGAGCCTCAGTTAGTAGGAGATTGCTCGGTTTAATGTCGCAATGGATGATTCGACTGTTGTGCAGCAGCTGGACTGCCTCCGCGACCTGAGATGCCCACTTCAGTCTAAGGTCTGTTGGAATCGAAGAGTTCGCTAAGAGATATGCCTTGAGGTTACCCTTCTCCATATATTCAAGCACGAGACCGTCCTCAGAATGACCCAGTAGCTGAATCAGTCTTTCGTGGGGCCCAAGACGACGGTAGATGCTGGCTTCTTTGGCGATGTTCATGATATTGCTTTCCATATTCTCACCGGGCAATACCGACTTGAGTGCAGTCCCATCGTCCAGAAGTTCGACGATGCCCGTGGTGCCTCCCGCAAGAAATTCTCCTTTAGCATCGATTACGTAGTCATAAGCTTTGGCGTTGGCATTGTGAATTTCGGGAGAAGTCTCCTTGACTGAGGACGTTTGCATGTCTCCCTGTCGTTGAAAATGATTAGATATGATTTGGGCAAAAGGACGAGCGGAGATGCCATACCTTCTCCACATCCTTGATAGGAGACCGGCTAGTCAAGTGTTGAACTGAAGGCACCCACGACCATATCCAAGTCTTGAAAGTGAACCAAAAGGCAGATATTGGGTGCAGGCCAAACCAGTGCAGAAACGCCATGTTGAAGTCAACATCAGTTTTATGTATGAGGATGAGCTTGGGTGAGGTGAGTAATAACATATTATATCCAGAGGATAAGAATACTATACCATGTGATCGTCACCGGCGTGGCTATTATCCGGGCGGTTATCGGATGAACGCGGCCTCACTGTGGCCTCATATCGTGTTTATCCTGATCATTCACTCCTCACATCTTAGCTGGACTATGAAGCTGTGAACAGCTCCTAGTCCTCAAGTCGTGCAGAAAAGAGATTGTCAGCTTCTCAAGTAACGCCTTGTTACACCCAGAGGTATAATATGATTTTAGGCAAAAAGTATTTGAAACAGTCTGTTGTTCAACTGTACCCTGACTGGTAGTCATCACCTATATACGCTTACTATATAAGCCAGCGCTGACGAGGACTTGGCGTTCCAGTAATACTTGTTCACAAATCATTTGAATCTATCAATCGAGAGATAAGGAAATATGAAGAAGACCCCGGAGATAAGATCTATATAAGTGTCTCAAGAGTCAATGCTATTCCCTGCCACTTTTTGCTTGGCCGCTCCTCGAAGCAATCTTCATATTTGGGAACACAAATGATGTGTATACTACTCCCTCAAAGTCTTCAGCAGATTCTTCAGCTCTTCGAAGTCGAGCAAGATCCTTAACCTTAAATGAGCTAACTTGGCTCCGAAATAATAAACAAAATCATTCCAACGACGATGAGAGACGGAAATTGGTCTTCTGTCAGCGTGCGCCATAGCTGGACTATCATGGCTAAGATTGGCAGCCAAGAGCCATCGGGCGGATGCTAAGTGAATGTAATCCCCGAACCATGTGCGCTAACAGCCCCCTGCCATGTGGAACTGCGACCGGTTCTCGCCTAGACAGAGCCAAGGCTGATGGAGCCATTCTCGCCTTGCTTGTCGGTAACCGACCTATTCTAGGCTAAGTGTTGAACAACGGACGCAATCAAAGTCCGCAAGTGTCTCTATTTAACTCGACTCCCTCCCGATTTTGAATTTTGCTACGTTCAACTCAAACAGGTTTCCCCATCATGCGTTTCGTCTCTGTCATTGCTGCTTTCGCTGCGGTTTCTACTGCTGCAGCCGCGGACACCGTCCCCCCTGAGCTGGCGAAGGTTGGGGAGCCGTCGACGGTGCTGAATATCACTTACTCCGTGGGGTCGACTGCAGTCAGCTTCACCCCTGGCGAGTTCCTCAACGCCACTGGTATGCACGACCGATCCCCTTTCCAGGCTGTCTAGCTAATCAACATTACCTACCGTACAGTCGCCAAGGATGCGCCGGAGCCGCATCTCCAGGACTTGGGGTTGGGCAGCTCGGGACCCTACCTGCTGCTCATGATCGACCCGGACTGGAACAAAACCACTCCTCCCTCGGTGATCGTGCATACCGTCGTCGCCAACCTGACTACCGCCGTCAACAGCACCAGCGACGCGAACGTGCTGGCCTCCTACATCGCCCCTGAGCCCAAGTCTGGCACCCACAACTACACGTTGTTTCTGTTCGACCAGCCTGCCAACTTCAGCGTCCCCGGCCGCTACGAGTCTTTCATGAAGACCACCGCCCAGACTCCTTTGAATCGGCTGAACCTGCCGCTGGACAGCTTCCTCAACCAGACCGGGTTGGGCAAGCCGGTCGCGGCCAACTACTTCCGCGTCACGGCGGCGAGCAACGACACCAGCTCCAGCTCGGGGGAATCTGGCTCCAGCACGAGCACGAGCACCAGCACGAGCACCAGCACCGGCGCCGCCGCTAGCAAGACGTCGAGTGGAGCGGGCCAGAAGATGGCGGTGGGGGGTTATCTGGCCGGCGCACTGGCTTTGGTCGGTGCGGTGGTGGCCTCCGTCTGATCTACGCGTTTCTCAGACATAATCAGGGCACTTGAAAAGTGGAGAGAAAAGTGGCATATTGCGTACTTTGTATATACTCAGCATGTACGGAGTACTCCGTACAGTAACTAAATAATCCAACTCTCGGAAGTCCGGCACACGTGCGCAGCGAAAACCTTGACTCTAATCCTTCTTAATGTAAGCTGCATGCACTAAGCCCGTTAGCGGGCACCAGACAATAGTATTCTGTTGGTCATGCAATCTGGCATTTCCATCGACCTCAGATGCGCAGTCCGTCTGAAACTAATCTTCGCGACAATCTTGCCATCTACCCACTTTTGCCCACTTCTCCCCTCCCCCCCCCTGTTCACCATGGCCTCGCGCATCGAAGCCCTGGCCACGACCATCGCCGACTCGGCCCAGCAACTACGAACCCTGCTAGCGCAGCACGGAATTGACGAGCCCTCGTTCGCGGCCGCCTGTCCTCCGTCGCTGGCGCTGCCCCGGCCCGTCGAGGCCGCGCGCAACGCCCTCGTGCACGCCGCGTGCGAGATCCAGGATCTGCTGCTCGACCCGGCCGATCTCCTACGGTCCTATGCCATTGTGCGCCCACTCTCATTATCCCCCTAAATTGCAACTACTGAATCAATGGAACCGAATCAAGCACGCCCATCTCATTGCCCTGCACTTCATCCAGCAGTTCAACATCGCGCAACTGGTCCCTCCCGCCGGAACCATCTCCTTTGCCGCCCTATCTGCGCAATGTCACGTCCCCGAAGCCGACGTCCGGCGCCTCCTCCGCCACGCCATGACAATTCGCGTCTTCGACGAGCCCGCTGAGAACGAAGTCGCCCACACGCGCGCCAGCATGCTCCTGCGCCAGGAAGGGTTCCACGGCTGGATTGGCTCGACCTGCGCGAATAGCTGGCCCGGCGCGACCAGGGTATATAGTGCCCAGCGCCAGCACGCCGGCTCATCTCGGCTAACCCGGGTGTTATTGCATAGACTATCGAAGCGTTGAAGCGTTTTCCCGGTTCCGAGGAACCGAATGAGTCGGTCAGTATAGACCCCCATTTTTCACCTTTCCAAACATCATGTCACGCACAACAAGATCCCTTATCCAAGAAGCTGAAAGGAAAGGGGGGTCTGGGGGTTCTACCCCAGAAAGCCCACCCTGTGCCAGAATAGCAGCGCTCTGGGGGAGAACCCCCAGACCCCCTTTCTTTCAGCTTCCTGGATAGCACCACGCAGGCAAAATGCCGCGTCGGAAGAAAGATACTGACACAACATAGGGCTTCGCGCTGGCCAACAACGGCCTTGCGCTCTACGAGGTCCTCTCGCAGTCGCCCGCGCGCGCGGCCACCTTCGCAGCCAGCAAGCGCGGCTACGCGTCCGGGGCCGCCATGGGCCCCGCGGCGCTGGTCGCGACCGTTCACCCGGCCCTGGCCACCCTCCCGGCAGATAACGTGGTCGTCGACGTCGGCGGCGCGCAGGGCGACATCAGCTTCGCGCTGGCAGCCGCGTTCCCGCACCTGCGCTTCGTGGTGCAGGATCTGCCGGGCGTGATAGCTCGCGCGAAGGAGAAGCCCGCAGCAACAGAAGCGAAAGGGCGAGTCGAGTTCCAAGTGCACGACTTCTTCACCCCTCAACCGATCACCCCCGGCGCGCGCGTCTACTACCTCCGCCACGTCCTCCACAACTGGGGTGACCAGCATGCGGTGCAGATTCTGCGGCAGCTGCGTCCGGGGCTGCGTCCGGGGGCGCGTGTGCTTATTCACGACCACGTGCTTGAACGATACCCGGCGCAAGAGCCGATGTGGAAGCGCAGACTTACCAGTGCCATGGATCTGAATATGCTGCAGCTCCTTAATGCGCGAGAGAGGGACGAGGAGCAGTGGCGCGGACTCTTCCGGGAGGCGGACGAGCGGTTTCGCTGGGTTGGGGTCCGAAGGGCGGAGGGGAGTGCGTTGGCGGTTGTTGAGGTGGTCTGGGATGAGAATCCTGATGATTCCTAGTCAAATGATAGGCAGAGTCTCTTGATACGAGCTCCGCGAATTGAGCAGGGATGTTCGCTTTCAGTACGGAGTACTCCGTAATTTGATGGGCATCCGACGGAGGCCGGGAGGGAGGCGTTGCGTGGTGTCGGAGTGGCGTGCATTAGGTGCATTAGCAAGCTAGGGCTAAGCTTCCCACGCTAAATGCTCTCGTCAGCACTAATTGACTTACCCCTCCTTGGCTACAATAACATGGCAGGCTTGCATTCATTTGCTTTTTGATTACGCCGAATCCCCCTTGGCAATTAACTCTCACAGCGATATACGACCGACCATTGTCCTGTTTCATTCATTCTCTAGCTCATCCATCAACCCAGACACTGAGTCCAGCCAAGACATAATCTCAGCCACCATGTCCACCACCGACACCGCAACCACCACCACCAAACCGGCCTGGTACCAAACCAGCGTCACAGCCATCGACCCGGTCGCGCAGTCCCTGCTGGAGGATTACAGCGGGCTCGCACCCGAAGAGGTCCTCCCGCATGTCTTAGCTCTGGTAAGCATTCCTACCCCTACGCCCCAACACTATCTCCGAATCCCCCATTGTTTCACGCAGAGACAAGCCCCCTCATCCCTCAAGCCACCCCAGTCCCTAAAGCACATTAAAAACCGTCCCGGACGAGAACCCCGGGACCACTTTTCCCTTCAGCTTCCCAAGCACCTCAATCCTTAACCACGGGTTGTATAGCGCATCCGGGGGAGAACCCCCGGACCCCCCTTCCTTTCGGCTTCCCAGACCAACTCCCCACTAATGAAATTAAACAGAGAGATGAAGCCTTCAGCATCTTCCCATACCCCTGCATCGGACAAATGCGGTTCCTAAGCTGCCACCTCGCCCGCCTCCCCTTCTACCCACAAGTCCTGGCACGCCTCCGCGCCTCCCCAGCCAACGGCTTCCTGGACGCAGGATGCTGCGTCGGCCAAGAGCTGCGCCACCTAGTGCACTCCGCCTCGATCCCGGCGTCCCAGCTGCACGGCTTCGACCTGGAACCCGGGTTCTTCGAGCTGGGCTACAAGCTCTTCCGCGACAATGCGGAGACGTTCCCCGCGACATTTGTGAGCGGGGATCTAGGGGCGTCGGATGAGGACTGGACGGCGGGCGAGATCGTGAGTAAGGTGAAGGGTAAGGTCGACGTCGTTTGGGCTGGCTCGTTGCTGCATTTCTGGGACTACGAGGGTCAGCTCCGTGGCGTGGAGCGGTTGATCGGTTTGACGCGGGGTGGACCGGGGACGGTTGTCTGTGGGCGCCAGATGGGGAGTACCGTTGCTGGCGTGTATGAGTTGACTGGGTTGATGGATAAGACCATGCACTACCGCCATGATGTGGGCAGTTTGCAGCGCTTTTGGCGCGAGGTGGAAGCGAGGACGGGGACGAAGTGGGAGGTGCAGGCTGAGTTGGAGGTCGGGGAGACTACGACCAAGATGCGGAATATGAGCTTTGTGGATGATAATGCTAGGGTCATTTGGTGGTGTGCTACCAGGGTGCAGTGAGTGTTTTCTTGCATGGGAATTGGAAATCATGAGTATGACCAGGACATGAGAATGGGAATAAAGGTATCTGTCTCCTGGCTAGGTTTTCATAGATACTGTGTGTGCGGTATGTCGATATGTACTACCGGATATCCACATCCATCTTCACCATGATCCCATTCGTCGACACGAGGTCTCCCCCGCGTGCCCAATCTTCGGGATCCTTGGAGGCGCAGCTGGTGGTGGTGAAGTGGCCCATCTGCAGCTGTTCGGTGCTGCTGCTGGCCTCGTCCTCGAGGCGCCGGCGTGCGGCCCGCGCCGCTGCCGTCGAGGCATGGCTGCGGGAGTGGTAGGCATTCCCGCCCGTGCCCCCGGCCGTCCAGCTCTTGGAGCCGCGGAACTTCTTGCTGAATGCCACGCGGAAGCCCGAGGCGATGGGTACCGCGGTCGCGCACACGATGGCCACGTTCAGCTGGATGACGTCCAGCAGCTCGAAGGGCGCCGCCGCGTAGGTGAAGTCCGAGTGCAGGTTCGTGGCCGTGTAGAGGACGGCGACGCGGGCGACGGCCGATACGACGGCGCTGCGGAGTAAGGTTAGGGTTACATCTACTGGGAGGAGATTTGGGTAGAGGGGAGGGGAGGGGGAATGTACATACATGAATCCGACCGAGAACACGATCATGAGTCCCGTTTTGCGGGCCAGCGGCATCTGCAGCGTGGCGATGGTGGCGATGGGCAGCACCAGGATCGCGACATCGGAGACCAGGTCCAGAATCAGCGGCAGGGCATCGGCGGTGGTGGTGTTGCGACAAGTGCCGTGCATCGTCGACTGTGGGTCGAAGCGTTCCCAGTAATAACTGGCTGGCACGCACGATAGCATGTACGAAATGGTGGAGCCGATGGCCCACAGCACCACGTACACCATGTTAGTCCACCAGAAGATGCGCAGCCAGATCTGCTGCACGATGAACAGCCGCCGGTAGTAGAGCAGCAGGGCCACCTTGGTGGCCAGCATCGAGGGCCCGTTGAAGGTGGCTGTGAGCCACACGCACAGGAAGATCCATTTCAGGGCATGCAGCGACGGATCCTCCAAGTTGACGCGGAAGAGGTGGTATCCCAGTCCATAGTGCACCGCGACTATGGTGGCGATTGACACCACATTGGCGAAGAGCTAGAGGCAGAGAAGAGGGGTCAGTATTTTAGATGAGCCCGTGTATGCAGAGCTGCGAAAGAAAACAGATGAAATGAAACGTACGACGGCCAAGACTAGCCAATAGTCCTCCTGCATGGGGCGTTTGTGGATGCGCCATTGGGCCCAGATACGCAGCATCACGCCCAGATTGCCAAGCACCAACATGGTGACACTGAGGCCCAATACCACCGGTTGGAGGGACTGCGACCACTCCGCCAACTCCGCCGCGCTTAGCGTCGAAGAGTGGGTGGTGGACGACGAGGACATCGTCTCCGACATGGTGACGGTGTTCGGATCGTAGACAAAAAAGAAAAAAGATAAGAGAATGACAATAGAAAGAGAAGGGAAGGGAGGACAATCGTCAGATCGTCAAGATCCTCTCAACAATCCAACAAAGCGCATTGTCCGCGAGGAGGCACTCGGTCGCTGATAAATAACCCTCAGTGCCTCCTGATGGTGGCCAGACTGATCCTGGGGACAGGGATACTGTTCCCTGTGCTGCACTGCGCACTAGACTACTAGTTAGTTAGTTCCAATCTCCCATGCGAAGAGGAGAAAGGCAACTGGCCCACTTCTCCGCCCCTGCGTCGGCCCTAATACAGTTTCTGCACGAGTGAGATTTGTGCGTACTTGCTGGCGCCATCCCCAGAATGCCTCGTCCGATAAGACAAGCCTCGCAAATCTGCGATGCGGTGCTTAGCTCGGCAACTCCGCCCATAAAAATGCACCCAAGCGCCATAGGATTTTTCTCAAATTGTCGCTCGAATCCCTCTCATCATGTTACTGCATCCTGCTCCTTCACCTGCCGCCTTGGGACTGGGCAAAGACCAGGTTCGGAGCTGCACTTCAGAAGTCGTCGGTGAGAGCCTGCCCCCACGCGAGGTTACCAGCCTGCTCGAGCTTCTGCAGCGAGCTGCAACCACCTCTGCAGGCATCACCTTTTACAAGACGTTGGGGTCTGCTGCAGAGTCTGCAGAGCCTACAGAGTGGCTCTCTTACCAGCAACTGCTTGACCAGGCCCGTCATGATGCGCACTGGCTGCAAACCTCGGTGTCGAACCTGCAGCGGGACACGGTGTTTCTGCTGCATTTCGACACCCACGAGGAGAACATCCGCTGGTTCTGGGCCTGCACAGTCGCGGGCTATTTGCCTTGTATTGTTCCCAAGTTCGCGGTTTCGACCGACCGTCGCATTGCCCAGGCCGAACATATCCTCCGGCTGCTGGATAGCCCGGTGTTGCTCACCAATGGCCGCATGGCGTGTGCATTCCAGGGCATCGACACCCCACGTTTGTACCGCGTCGATCAGCAAACCGCATTGACCACCTCCCCACCGGCCTCCACTCCACTCCCACTGGATCGTAATCAGCGGACTGACGATCTCGGAGCCCTGATGCTCACCTCTGGCAGCACCGGCTTCTCCAAAGCCGTGTGTCTCCGCCAGCCGCAGATGCTGGCCGCAGTGGCCGGAAAAGCCGCGCACTGCGGGGCGACCTCGCAGGACGTCTTCCTCAGCTGGATCGCGCTCGACCACGTCGTCAACCTGGTCGAAATGCACCTCCACGCCATGTGGCTGGGCGCCCATCAAATCCAGGTGGCTACTGAGCTGGTGGTGGCCGAGCCGCGCTGCTTCCTCCACCTGGTCGATCGCCATCGTGTCTCGCTCAGCTTTGCCCCCAATTTCTTCCTGGCCCTGCTATGCGAGCGCGTCTGTCGACCCACACCGGAGCAGGAAGCTCAGCCCGCCCCGACCTGGGACCTCTCATGTCTGCGCTGCGTATTCTCCGGCGGCGAGGCCACCGTGCGACAGATGGCGGTGCAGCTCCTTCGCGCGCTGGAGCCCTACGGCGCCCGACCCTTCATCCGCGCGGGCTATGGCTTGACCGAGTCGTGCGCGGGCATGGTTTGGGACCTGGTCGATCACACCGTCGACGGCCTCCACGACGCGGCAGGCGAGTTCATGTGCTGCGGCCTGCCCATTCCCGGGGTGGAGATGCGCGTGCTGCGTGAGACCGACGAGAGCGAGGCGGCCGCGGGCGAGGAGGGCATGCTGCAGCTGCGCGGCGCCGTGCTATTCAACCAATACTACCGGGATGAAGCCGCCACGCGTGCGGCCTTCACGTCCGACGGCTGGTTCATCACGGGGGACAACGCCTACCTGGACGAGCATGGTCAGCTGTACATCACGGGCCGCACCAAGGACACGCTCTTGCTCAACGGACTGACCATCTTCGCCGTCGAGGTCGAGCACAGCCTTGAGCAGGCACGCATCCCCGGTCTGACCCCGAGCTTCACGCTTGTCTTCGCCCATCGGCCCCCCGGGGCCCTTACAGAGTCCTACTGCGTGGTGTACCTGCCCAGCTACGCTCCGGACGACGCCGCGGCCCGCGTGGCCACCACCGAAGCCATCGAGCGCATCGCCAGCCTGGTCGTGCACGTCAAGCCAGCCGCCACGCTGCCCCTGCCACGCAGCTACTTCGAAAAAACCTCCCTGGGCAAGCTCTCCCGAGCACACTTCCGTCGCCTCTTCGAGTCCGGCGCTCTCAATCACGAGCGCGAAACCCACGAGAACAGCATCCAAGCGCACCGGCAAGCGCACCGCCAGGCGCCCTCCTCGCCGACCGAGCAAGCAATCCTCACCCTCGTCTGCACGCGCCTGAACGCGGACCCGGACTCCGTCAGCGTGACCACCAACCTCTTCAGCCTGGGCCTGTCCTCGCTGGACTTCTACACCGTCACACAGGACCTGCACCAGACATTCGGGGTAGTCTTCACGCTCCCAGACCTCCTCATGGACCCGACGGTCGCCGGCCTCGCGCGGCGTCTTGCCACCAAGCAACCCAGCCCTACCCCGTCCGCCTCTCCGCACCCCAACACCACACACTCCTATGACCCCGTCGTCCCCCTCCAACACACCGGCCCCAAAACCCCCTTATGGCTCGTCCACCCCGCCTCAGGCAACGTTCTCATCTTTGCCAACCTCGCACGAGCCTTCCACGACCGCCCCATCTACGCCTTCCGCTCCCGCGGCGTACAGCCAGGCGAGCCACTCTTCACCAGCATCACTGAGATGGCAACCACCTACGCGGCAGCCATGAAACGCACGCAACCCTCCGGACCCTACGCACTAGCCGGCTACTCACTAGGCAGCAGCATCGCCTTCGAGATCGCGAAGCACCTCGAATCCACCGGCGAGGAAGTGCGCTTCCTAGGCGCGCTCGACGGACCGCCCGACATCGCCCCGTTAGTCGGCCAGTTAACCTGGACCGAGGCGCTGGTGATGATCGGATACTTCTACGAGCTGATCTCCGAAGCCAGGTGCGTGGTTCTCATGCCTGAGTTACGCGATGTGGATCCCGAGGTCGCGTTGGATGTGATCTTGGGCGAGGGGGACACGGCTCGGTTGAGGGCGTTGCGCTTGGATAGGAGGGAGCTGAAACATGTTACGGACGTCACGGCGGGGTTCTCGCGCGCCGCCGGCAAGTATACGCCCGTCGGCAGCGTGGCGGCGCCTGTCGATGTCTTCGCTGTTGATCCCCTGCTCACTGTCACTGACTCGCGCGAGGTCTGGGTGGACCGGTACCTCGCGCAGTGGAAGGCGTTGTCTCGATCGGACATGGTGGTGCATCAGTGCCAGGGACGGCATGCGGATATGCTGGGGTCGCGGTATGTCAATGGGCTGCAGTTGGTGCTGAGGCGGGTGTTGGAGGAGAGAGGCGTCTAGGCTGCATACCATACTAGCGGAGGCATTCTGGGGGAGAACCCCCAGACCCCCCTTTCTTTCAGCTTCCTGGTTAGGCGTACATGGGCTGGTAGAGGTGTTTGAGGAAGGTTCCCCGCTAGGGAAATCTTTCGTGGCGTGTTGCTGTGCTTGGAGAGATGAAAAGAAGGGGGGTCTGGGGGTTCTCCCCCAGAACGATACTGGCAGAGTGTAAACTTGTGTCTCGCTCGCTCTGTTTTATATATGACCTGAACGGTTGTGGAATTTGTCATGACTTGTGAGGATAGCATTTTCAGAACTTGAACGGAAGAAAATTGATTGTTGATGTGATAGTCACTAATCGCTACCTCTATCTCTCTCCATGAATAAATTCTAATCGGCGCTCTCCATTGCTCGGTGCAGACTCTCCCGCACATAGGCGCGGTTCTTTTCCCTCGCGTTGGATCGATATCGCTCCGACATGAGACGTAACGGCGACACGCATTGGAACGGGCCCGCTCGCTTGGACATGAAGCGGAAGATGGCCGTCATGCCTGCCAGGGAGCCCACGTCGGCGACCCGCTCGATCGTCGCATTATCCCCCTGTCTACTGAAGTCGACGATGCGGGCTGCCAGCCCGGCGGCGATGGCTGTGGCCATGGAGGTGCCGCTCTCGCGCCGCTGGGGGTCGGCGGGGTGTTCCAGGTCCTCTCCCAGGATGGCAAAATTGTTCTCCCGCTCGCGGGGTTCCGGATTGAAGGAAGAAGCCTGGTCGTCGGCGTTGGTTGAGAACATGCACATGGTTCTGAAGCTGTGACGTGCTGGGAAAGGGACGCTGCCCCGATTGCCCCAATTTGACGCGGCGGCGAAAATCAGGGCCCCGGCATCGCTGGCCTTTTCCACGGCACGTTGGAGTACGGTTAATTGAGTGCATGGCCGAACTAGGTGGTGGGCTTGGAGATGTCGCAGACGTGGTCGCGCAACCAAAATGGGAAGACCGTCTGAACCGAGTTGTTCGAGCAGCTCTGGAGCCCGATAGTTGGAGTTGTGATATTTGGGACTTGGAGCCAGTATTTGAGAGACAAAGCCTGGAATGTGTTCCATGGGGGATGCGCCACGATGCGTCGTCAACACAGGTTCGCACCCCAGCACATTAGAAACAGGCGCCTTGTCCAACCCCGAGTCTGCATCCTTTCGTCCATCAATCCATTTATTTTCTCATCGACTCACGCAACGGCACGCTGCCGAAGGAGCTTACACTAACAGCTACTAACCCAAATGCCAAGAATAAATTTTACAAGCTGCCTGTGCAGATGGCCAGCACCAGTTTGAGCTTCATTCACTAACTTGCCGCAAAAGCCTCTTTGCTAAGTCTTGAAGCTGCAGTGAGACAGAATCCCAACAATTCCGAAATGGCACGAACAAATGCAGAGCATCTAGGTCGGGTCTACTCTATTACCAGCAAATGGGCAAGCTTCGTTTGCGTATCACGAGATGTTCAGGGCCAGGAACGCCAGATCCAGAGTGATGTATTTCGTGCAATACGTGGGGTCTGATGATGTCTCGGGCCGAGAGTGCACTACTAGCCATTCTCAACCTTGCAGACGACGAGGAAAGTATATTGGAGCCGATTTACAACATGTTGCAACTTTCAATCATGCACCGACACTTCGTGGGCTTTGCCCAGAGTCGAAGCATTGACGTACCAGAGGAGCGAAGAGATGAGAGCGGCTCCGGATTGATGTGTCCTGTTTGTGACAAGCTGTATGGCGCTGTGGATGGTGTTAGTCGCTTCTTTTGTCCGTACGATGAGGAGGAAGATGATGAGCAGCTACAGTGGGATGACTGGCCTAGTTACTGGGAGCATCAGGTGCAGGCGGGGCATGTGGTGTGTCATGATGCGGAGACTTTGACTATTTCTGAGTGAGCCGTTCGAGAGAGAAGTTGGTCTGTCATTCGTGCATTTGTGATAATAAATGTCCTCTGCATCCCAGTCTTATAATTGATTCTAAGCATATGCTCGATTCAAACGGCTCAGACAAGGACCATAGCCGCTCAAGATACTCAAACACCAACAACACTTTATTCCAATAATCAATGGACCTTTTATAATACAAGAAGCCGAATCAGCTGCGAGAGAAGAGAATTGAGCACAAGATGTGCTGCCACTTGAGGTAGAAAGTTGAGTCCACGCCAGGGGACACACTACAGATGCCATCCACAACAGTAATCGTCCAAGAGTGTGGAGAGTGCCCATAACGGCCAGCCCCAGGCAGTCCCCGAGCTCCTTACTCAACCTTGAAGTTCAGATACCCCTTCCCAGAGAATCCTTCCAAGGTGACCATCTGAAATATCGGAGTTCCCGGGTCGAGCCCCATTTCCTTCCAGCGCCGAAAATGCGCGGCCACGTCGACGGTGCCAGAGGTGCGGTGGGAGCGACGGACGGACCAGTGCTGGTCGAAGTTGGTCACTCCGTAGATCTTCGGCACGTTTCTGTAAGGCAGACTGTAGACATCGTAGAGACCGCCATCGCTGTTGACCTGGCCGAGGATATGTCCGTTGCCCGGGGTGCCGCTGCCGTGCGACTCCACGATGTACCACTCGGTGACGGGGTTCAGGGTCCAGCCGTAGATGGCCAGGGTCCAGTCTCCCTCTGCAGTAAAGTAGCCGTCCCACGTCAAGGATCTGGAGGTTGTTCATCATGAGTCTTCGTCGAAAGCGGCGGGGTAGGCTGAGCATGTGGACCTTTGTGAACTTACCGCGGGTTGCCGCCTCTGTAGCCCTTGCCCCCGAGGAACTCGGTCTTCGCGGACCACCCGAGCTCAAACTGGCCGGTCGTCGGGTATTCGGTGTATCCCACGTCTGCACCGTTGGCGTTGTACAGCGAGTAGTAGAAGCCCGCGGCGTCGATGCCGTCTTTTCTGGTGCTTATGATGGTGCTGCGCTTGGAGACGTCCGAAGTTGCGTTGAAGTCGGTCTGGTTGCCAATGATTTCGCGGATCCACTGAAGACGCTCGGGCGATAGAGCGTCGCGCGGCATAGGTGGAACAGTCGTAGCGACTGTAAGCATACAGGCCACAGCCGATAGGACTGGCAGAGCCATGCGCAGCTGGCTGAGAAAAGACACCATGATGAGTGGATGGACAGGTTCGGTGAAGAATGAGGTTGTCTTGTGCTTTTCAATTGAGAACTGAGTCTTGGTGGCCGGTGAATGTTGCCTCTTAACAGAGTATTTATACATCCATGCTTGTTCCTGGCAGGGGGTCGGTCACATCGTATGATGATTTCTCTGCTTCTCTTGTACCTTCCTCGCTTAGCTTGTCCGCAGAGGTTATGTGTTGTAGCAGGATGAAACCGAGTGTCGATACATGATCTTCACAGCGACCGCGGTTGTCATTCTTGTTAATCACTCCGTCCTTGTGCTCAATATATGCATTGTAATCATTCCATGTGATTGGGTGATATCACTTCAGCGGTGATATCCGATGACCAGGCTGAATCTAGAACATAGTGAAATGAGACGTGAAAATCCTCGTGCCCCACTGTCTAGTCTGGGCACCGGTATTCCTATACTGCGAAGAGTTATCAAGCCGTTGAGCCACAGTATGCAGACTCAGGCTAGCCCTGGACCCTTTTTCTATTTTCTTCTAAGGTTCACGCTAGTCGGGAGTAGAAACAGCTAGTCTCAACTTCTAATTGAGCAGCCTTGTCAAGAAATTGCAGCGGCATACTGCCAGGAGCATCTGCCGAAACGAAATGACCAAAACTTCAAGTGGCACCATGTTCGAAGCTACTCTACAGGGCTGACCATAATACCATTCCACAAGATAGTGCACAAGTCTCAAAGCACTCGTACATGGCGTCTGACTGTTGCGACACTTTTGACAGCAAGGCAGCTCTTGACTTGCCGGAAAGCAGTCCAGGACCACTGGAGAGACCCTGACTGAAGGCTGAATTTGGCCCAAACACTCAAATCTTACAACAAGCTCGCTTCCCCTGTCCCAAGCCGAGGCTGAAATCCGGTTGCCAGATATCCCGGTGAGAGATTTGGTTTTAGGGCGTTATCCTTGGACAAAAAGGCTTTGTTCGGTAGGACTGGCCGGGCCCACAGTTGCCGTCCCATCGCAACGGGACGGCAATCGGCAGGGTCCCTTCCCCACCCACACACCAGGGCTCAGGGACTGAGTTGGAGACCGAAGGCGGAGAGCACAGGGGAGTGTGTGATTCCCTGAACCGATCTTATTAGTGGAAGAAAAGCCTGTCACCAATCAATGTAGTGTCGCATGTTTTCGTCATGTGAATAAATATATGCTCTCAGATTTTGGTGCCGCGTATAGCAGGACGGATAGGTAATACTAATGAAAATATATTTTGGAACAAAAAGAAATAGCTGAAGAACTATTTCTCTTATTTATATGAGATTCTTTAGTACTAGCCGCGCAAATACTTTTTGTGTAAAATTATATGTCCACGCTCCTACACGCGATATGTCTCCACAACCAATGTCTAAGGCCATTTTAACCAGACTACACAACCTGATCTCTACAGCTTAATGTCTACAAGCCCTGGTTACTGTTCTGCTGCTTTTATTCTGATTAAAAAGATTTAGTCTTTTAGGATAACTAAATAGAGCCTTTGTTCAACATCTTAACAGCTAGTATAACAATTATTACTTATAGTCCTGGTACCCTTGGTCGGGAGGGGCCTACTACTATCAAGAAAGCCTAATAGATATGTATAAGGCCCCAAGTCCTGTCTCAGTTTCATACCGCACTTTGCACAAATAGCTTCGTACTGACCAGCCCCTGCTCAATTCCCTCACCGGCCCAATACAGCCTTCTTGGCTCCGCGGCGCTCTCATTAAACGCCCACAGCTGCTCTCCGTTCAGCATGAAGAACCCATCATCCGAGACTCCCCAACCTGTCAACGTGTCGACAGCCTCGGGCTCTGCCTGGGGTTGGATGATCCAAGCAACCGAGGTCTCATCGGCGAGCACGGCCAGTGCCTGACCGTAGGGCCCGTAGCCGATGGTGCCGTCTCTGTAAGGAGATACTATAATTACCAGTATGAAAAGTGATCAATAGCTGTACGTAATAGGTAGGTAGTTGGTACAGGAGGAACAAGTGGAAGCTTACGCGTTAATATAGTTTCTGTGGTGCCGTCGTAGATACCCCAACCATCGGTGGTCAGTACCGAGTTGTCAAGGGTGGAGATTAGGGTGAAATTGGCAGGAAACGAGGTGGTTGTGGACGCAGCTGAGGCAATAATGCCAGATATGGCCAAGAGGGATTGGTTGTATCTCATGTTTATAGCTGGGAGGGAGTTGTTTGATTGAATGGGGGTATGTTTCAAAATGGTAGTAGTGTGGTGAAATGATATCCTGAGATGGAAAGGCGAGGGGGCTCTTTATACTTATCTTTGGCAAATTCCAGTTTGTGCTATTGGATACCCCATAGCCAAAAATAGCTGTCTTCTAATACGTAAGGCCGGCCACCGGCCCGTCTGATGTCTTCCTTGACTGGCGATGTGGGACGCCTAAGCTGACTGCTGATCTTTTGATAACTGCTGTGGAGTATCTGAGTATATAATTGGGTCATGACAAACTTAACGGCCGTTCCGCGTACCTAGTTGAGTTTCGTTACATTTCAACAATTGTGGCTATTTACAATTATCAGATGTGAAAGTCTTCAAGAATCTCACTTTGGGCTGCCTACGGTCCCAGCTATGGGGCAAAGAGTCAGGTGACTCATGACTGGTGCTAATAGGTTATCATAAACACCGATTGCTTGTGCTTCATGCTTACCCAGGTGAGCACCCCAATTAGAGTTGGATAGAATAGGTGATCGTGAACTGTTGCACTTTACGCTGGTGTTTAAGACTGATATTAGTGAGGTAAACGGGCTATAATATAAATTTAGATTGCTTGTCTGCCACCCTATTTCTCCTTTCGCAAAAGATTGGATCGCTGTCACTCAACATCACTACTCCAGCTCACCTCAGCCTAGCCTCTCCGCGTGACCTCCCAGCTGACTGATCGGCCATTAGAAAAATAGCAACTGCACACAACTGTCTCGCGCCTTTACAGGCATGGATCCCCCATTGTCTGGCAGTGCGAGCCGAGCTGAGCGAGCCTCGAATTTTCGAGCTGCCCCTGTGATGTCTTTAAATAAGTCTTAGTATCAGAAATAAACAATATAAGCAATTATCCAGTTTTTAAACTATACTATAGTTAAGTAGAAAAAGTTTTCTCAACCTGACTATCAACCTGATAGTAGGAATAAAAGTTCTAATTAACCTGACCTGACCAGGCTACTAACCAATCTAGCCGCAAGCAAGATTTTGATAACAATGTGATGTTCGCTAAGGTATAGACACTAAGCCAGATATGTCACACTGCTTCAATGCGTGAGCTGCACCAGGGGACACAGCGCTGTCCACTCTGTCATCAGCCTTGAAGAAGCGACGAAGAATGGCACGAAACTCGGCTTGGCTTTATCCTCGACTCTGGTGTCTGGTGAAAGAAACCATTCGGCTATAAAGGTCACTTGACTCAGGACCGGTCTTGATTCTGGTCTTGATCAGCGTATCGTTGACAATGGATGCACTGAATTGCGCATATCAGACCAGCGGGTGACAGTCATTCCTCCCACGTTTTCAGTTCATTATTCCCAAGTCACAAGCCAATCTATATCTCCCAAAGGGAAAGAAAGTGGCGCTGCCTGTTTTCAGGTGCCTCCTCCAGCGTCGAAGCTATAGACGTGCAGATTATCCGCTTGTTGCGAGGTAAGCCCGCCTCGGTGTTCACGGCCGTGTGCGCTACGGTTTGGGATGCGGATGCCCTGTATGTGAGGTCCCTGGGCGCCGACCGCGTGTTTGATCCCCAGAATGCACGGGTCGTGTAAAAGGTTCTTGCATCTGTTGAACAGGACGGTTGGCAACTCGGGTATGGCTTCCTGGCGACCGGGGAGCTGGCGTTATAACAGGCGGTGCTGAAGGCGTTTCATAGGGAGGGAGGTCAAGATGTGGGACAACAGTCAACATTGCGTCGATGCCTAGGATTACCCCAGCTGCGAAGGTGGAGGATGGCGTGGAGACGACTCTTGTGATCCCGGCGATGTTGAGGAGAAGAGGCTGGAGCAGTTCCGGTACTAGATGGAGACGTGGCTGTGGGAGAACCCGGCCATGGGGATTGGGTCCATCAGGCCGAGCTCGGAACCGTGTGTTGTCGGAAAATAACTGGGCCCCTTCAATGCAGTGCTGGCTTGGATAGGCTTCGCCAAAGAGTGAGTTGTATGAAGTTAGTTGTGGAGATATTAGCAGGGTGACGGCGTCGAGACCGAACATAACAAGAAATGGTATTGGTATGCCTAACGCCAAGTATGCGATAAAATGAACTTGCAACAATTCGCTTAATGAGACTCGAGAAAGTTTAAGGTCTATTCTAAAAAAAGACCAGGAATATAGTAAGAGCCATCAATTCTAATAACGCCAATCATAAATAACACATCCAATCTGCTCAGTGGCTGCCGGAGCCGTTGTGAAAAGAGACATGTACAGTATTTGATACATTATGCAGACCAGATTCTGGCGTTTGTAGCTGTCGTGAATCCATAGAAATCATGTGGTGAACATCAACCGCAAGCGGCTGGACCGCTTCGTCTTCTCCTTCGGCTTCTTGGAGTCGGTGTGACGAGACTCCGACTTAGAAGGGGCGCGCGAGGGCGCTTTCGAGCCGACATAGGAGTCGGGGCGATGATCTGCACGCGAGTGGCCGTGGTGCGCCCGAGACCGACGCGACCGGCGGGAGGACGCCATCGAGTAATCGTCATCATCATACTTGAAGCGAGGATCACGAGTCATCCGTGCCGTCGTCACATCGATGCCTGACATCATCGCCGCTGTGGGCGTGATGAATTCACCGTCGACGGAGGTGCCCGCGCTATCGGCTTCGGCGTCGGCCACCCCGCGCCGCCACATCTCGACGGAGCTCAGGCATTCCGTGTTGAGCTCCATCAAGTCCTCCATGCTCGGTTCCTCAATCTGCGGCTGGGGTGCTTCCAGGACGGGTGCCTTGGAGGTGGTGGACGATTGGATCTGTTTGATGATCTTGTAGCCGCCGAACATGACGATCGTCACCCCCAGACCCACTCCCGCGGCAATGAGGAACTGTGGACTCGCCAGCAGAGCAAAAACACTGGGCGCTGCGGCCTTGAGCGCTCCCAACGCGGACGGTGCCAACTTGGTAACTAGATTGCTGATTTCTGCCAACGTGAGCGCCACAGCCGCCATAGATTCGGGATTCTTCTGCAAATGGGCAATGGTGGCTGTGGCTGTGTGTTGCATGCAGTCAGCTTCTTCAAGAAGCCACTGAGCGCGGGTCACTAGACCGTTCAGCTCGGGGTCCTCGATTCGTTGAAGTTGGCCCTGCTGTGGTGATAGTTGGCTCTCGTTTGGAGCTTGGGCCTCCAGTGCGGATGGATGGAACTCGCCGTAGGCCAGGTCCATATCGACATGGGGCGCGTCGGACCGGGAGCGAACCGGCACCGGTCGTAACGCCGTATCACGCACGCCCACATCATGGTGCGTGTGCCGTCGTACCATTTCTCTGGGCTGGTCGTAGTATGAGTCCGCTTCGTGGCCCCGCCAGTGTACATCTTCCTCATACAGGGACCCTCCGCGAGTATAATGACTGCGGCCGGAGTGGTGGCGCGACCGGCTGCGGCGGGAGGATGCGACTGACGGCGCATCGTCTATGTGATAGTTCTGTAGAGCCTTCAAGGCTTCTCTCTCCGCAATCTTGGCGTTCCGCTCGGACTGCACTTGGGCCTTGCGTTCCCGATAGGCATTCTTGGCTTGGCTGAAGACACCAAAGAGATGTTTACTCTGTGCGCAGCAAGAATTCAAGGGTCAGTACTATGCGCGGTATCCCAGCACAGAGACCATACGTACTGTGCTGACCACCTTCCCGGACTTATCGATCACCGCGATCGTCTCGCCCAGAGGGGCCATGTTTGTGCTTTAGCTCCTATGTTCTCGTGTTGCCGTGCAGGAAAATCGACACGACTGGGGAGTCGAGAGGAAATGACTCCCAGCCGACATTCAAATATGCCACAAGCTCAAGCTAGCGATCGGGAGAAACTCCGGCAAAAGGGGCGAACGTCAGACGAGCGGTGTAGCGGAAGACTAGTTGATAGTTGGATCCTCAGTGGGGATCTTTTGGCTTCGATCTCGAATTGTGAATGCACGGGTTCTTGGCCCCGAATGTGGAGATCACCCTTGGATGACAGACAGTGGGATAGAGAAGCCCCTGGTTTATAGTCGATGATGATGATGAGGTATAAACCAGAACGCGATGGCAAAATGCAGAGAACAAAGACAGCTGACGCCTAGATCTGGATGACGGTCTGTTCAGCTGGGGAGGGGATGGGACGATCTCGAGTGACAGTTACACGATCAGCGGCGGCAAACGGCGGGATCCAACGAACACGCTAGGGGGATTTTCGTTGCGACCAGTGGACAAGGCAAAACAAGTCAAGGCAACCATATGAGAGTTAGAACAGGAATAGGAAGAGACAAATTCGAGGGGGCTGGGAAGGGATTAAAATAATAGGATGCAATGACCCAAGCGCCGCCTAGGATGGACGGGCGTAAAGCAACGAACGAGAGCAGCGATTACCGCATTCTCTTCCAAGCGGTTGGGTGTCGATAAAGCCAAGGACAAGGCAGCACACGGTTGGAAAATAGGCTTGAATGGCTGCATGGATCGCTGGGGATTGCAGTGTTGTCACCGCGCCATCCTCCGGCGGGATGCATTATTGGCGGGGGAGGGGAAGGGAGAAAAAAGAAAAGAAGGCATTTGGGTATTAACCTTGACGTGTGAATGGAGAAATCAGGGCCATGTCACCAGGGGGAGGAGTCAGTGCTCCGCCCGAGGTTAATTGCAGGTGTACCTGACGTGTAGGGGAGTTTCCCTATACCTTGCAGGTACCAGCATCGGAAGAAAAGGACATGCGACCTGCGAAGAGAACGGAAGGATTTCTCCCTCTCCTCCTCTTCCATCTTCAAGATTCCAACTTAGCTTACATTTCCTTCCACATGAATAATGTCTCCTCAACTCATCCCTGGCCCAGATTAGAACCTGGAGATCGAAGCGAAGAATAGAGAAAGGGCCATCATGCGACCGACTAGAGGACGCTAGACAGGGACTAGAAGGATAATCTCGTCGCCTTGCGAACCCCTCCCTCTCTAGAATACTTGGGCCGTGAAAGAATGGCGGTGATGCACAGACCGCTGATTGGTTTGCTGCTGATACCGCCACTGTGGCTGAACACAGCCTGTGGCGGAGCTGTTATTTGCACTGTTTGCTTGCCGGCATCGCCGCCCCTGTGCTGCTTCATCTCCTGATTCTCCGGTGATCTATGTTAGGGTGTACGATGTAAGGGAAAGAAAGCTGTATTATAAAGAGTGTGTTTGTGCCCTATGAATAATCCTGTGGCTCGAATGTATAAGGTGCTCTATACCTGAATATCAAAGCGAAGGTTCTGTGGTTGACAGAGTGCCAGCACTCAGTTGTTGTCGCGAAACCGCCGTTGAGAAGCAAAGCCCAGACTCATAGAGAGTGAAATCGAACCACCATGGAGGACGCAGCACGGGATTCAAGAAAAAGACAATAGTGAAACGGAAAGGAATAGTTGGATGAACGAAAAAAAGAGCAACAAAGCAGTAAAAGGTCAACTTGCCGGCCATTCAGGGAGTTCTTATACCAGTCTAGTACACTCATTGCTATAACTTATGAGACAACAATACCATCATACCAATCAGCATCTGTGTTATATCACAAAGGCCACTGTCAGGTACGGTATAAATATAGTATTTGCAGGGTGGTAGTGCTGACGCTCATTTCCGAGGTCAATTTTCATTCACACTCTAGCCATTCGCTACTGGCATCTTGGGTTTCTTTAAGTTAGCTTCGGTTTCCTCCTACAATCGCGGGGTTTCTCAACAAACTTCCCTCCCCCAGAAGACCCTCCACCATCTCCCCTTAGCCAACAGGCACCCGCAAACGGGGCATTGTTCTTCATGGAAGATCCTTTCAAGCAGTACATCAAGGTATCGGAGGAAGACCGTCGGTGACCAGTCCCCTTTTTGAGACACCGCCAGAAGTGGAAACAAGTGCTGATGGCCCTGCGCTGAGCTACGGTAGGCCTAACACTCCAGTCGTCACTGTTCACGCTCCGCGCCGCAGACCCTTAATATGTCCTCGAACCAACCACTTTGGGCTTTAGCATGCGTGTTAAGCGGCACCCAGACCGAGAAGGCAGCTGCGAGAAAAACCAGGCTTGCTTCCTAGACTGGACCTCTTTTATGACCGACGGAGAGCAGGTGGGCGCAGTGGGCGGGTTTCTCCTCTTCCGGGATTTGCCGACTGGTCATTATGAACCGGTTGAATTTTAGGAGAATGACTTCAAATATCTCTTGAGCTTGTTACAGCTTGATCTTCCTGAACGCTGGTTGCTCCCACCAGCTTCTGTCTTGAACACCCTGTTGCATCCGCGCATTGAGAGAGATGCTTACCATGGCCTACGGCCAGGAGAACGAGACGAGATCTTATGGCCCGGAGCCAAGGTAAACCGATGGAAATGGGGGTCTTCGGCAGATGATCAGCTACTGTCCCAACAACACATTCTGACCCCCCAGCCAGTCCCCGTCGTGATTCCCGGCGGGGCTCGCTGCTCTTTCATGCTTTCCAACGAGCACCCGATAACCGAACCCCAATGGACCCTACCGCTACTGTCGCAGGCGGACCGAGTGTAGGTTCTCACCTGTTGTTTCTGTATGTCCTTTTTGGGACTCCCTTTAAAGCAGCATTAATAGCTAACTTTCTGTGCAGCTCTGGGGCGCCAATTCTCACGGTTGAGATGACAGCTTCCACCCACTGGAACCCGAAGGAGAGCCTCGCCGTAACCTGGACGGTGACCTACCACGGCACCGGAAGAGAGAATGATTCCAACAACTCCAGACCAATCACGTTCCGCACTTTCAACTTCCATGTTTACGGGACTTTTCTCGCGTATCGCCAGCGGTATGAGGATGGAGAATGGGAGCCTTATACAGAAGGCAGGGACTGTGCCTTTCCCAATGGACCCGATGATCCTTTCCAGGTCACTGTAGGCGAGAAAGGAGAAAGAGGCGGGTTCGTTAGCCTGCGGCCCGGGCAAAGCCGCTCGAAGTCGATACATATCGGTCCCGGAGACCATTTACCGCCGTATCCGGCCACGGGAGAGATCCTGCGCTATCGCTTCAATGGCTGTGAGTTGGACTGGTGGGACTGGGGCACACTGGAAGATCATGCCCACACGGTGCTCACTGTTCCGGGGTTCCTTGGTGGCGAAGTCTTGGACCCCCCGGATAATGGAGGGAGGCCCAAGGTGGTCGTTCCCGCGTCGACACCTGTCGTATTTACAGTGATTTGAGTGTTTGATCCTTGGCATCATGTTCTCGTATTTCAATGAATTTGTAGAGAGGCTGAGCGCGTATGAAAATGTCAAGAAATTACTCACTCAATGCTTCCCTGTCTCCTGTTTGCCAGCAATGGCTCGGTTTCCCCTGCGGCCGCAGACTGCGGCATCCGCTACGCCGCATATGTCTTTGGTGTGCACAATTCAGCGCGCTGTGTCTTCTATGCTTTTCATGCACATATTTTCAGCATAGAACGCGCATGAGCCGATTGGACATGCCTGGGTCAATCCCTTTACAGACCAGAAGAACCGAGATCTCAACGACTAACCGCAGTACTAGTGCTGCTCAGAACAGACTGCGAGGTTGACTGCATCCCTTTAGTCTCCGATTTCTAGTTTCAGTGAGACGGTAATGGCCGCTTCACATGGAAATGCATAGTTCAACTCCCCGGTGTGCCGGGTGGCAGCCAGTCGCGAGTACACGGACGGTGTCTGACGGCTACGTTTCGACAAAGTGGCTCCCATACCGCATCGCAATCAACGCAGAGGTGGACCAGTAAGGTGAGGTAGCATGCGGTCCAGGACTAATCGCGATGCACGGTGAGTTTCCGTCCTGTGCGTATGTGGGAGGTGGTAACACTGCCGAATATTGGAGTATAAAGTGAGGTTGAGCAGCGAGGCTGCGCGAACTCAAGCATAGCTTAGATGCAGGGCAGTGGCTCGAGTTTTAAGGTCAGAAAGAGTTCAAAGACGTTTCAACGCCGACTCCATGCGTATGATTGAGACGAAATGAGAGGCCTGGCATGTCGGGAGACAATGATGGCGCGGAAAGACACGGCCGATACTATAATGCAATCTGAAGAGTGATAGACTTGTTAGCCATCGGGTAAGCACTTCAAGTAAAGCCCAGCCAGCATCATTGTTGCGTGTGTTGATGAACGACAAAATCGCCGTTACCGCGATGATATATTATTGTTTACCTCAGCGAGCTCAGGCCCTTCGCAGCAATATGTATAAATGCATTATTTCCTTATGTAGGGATATCAACCAATCATAAGTAATTTGGACCCACCCAGGCTGTTTTTCAGCGAAGCGCCTGAGTTCAAATGGTTCCACACTTGGTGAGCGCGTATACGATTTTGATCAAAATCATCATATTCATGAACTACGAATTCTTATAATTAAGTAACCAAATTTCTATAGAGTTCCGGGTATCACGATTCGTATTTAGAAAGAATTTCTTAATAAATGTATATAGTTTTTTTCTTAATTTAAAAACTATTTGAAAGAGATATACAGGGTCAAAGTTTCAAGGTTAGATTTTCTTCGCGTATACAAAAATTCTTGATTCTTAAAAACTACCTAAAAAATCAGAAATTCTCTTAAAAAAAGATACCGGGAGATTCTTATTACTACTAAGAACCACCGGGTATCTTTTTTTAAGAAGATTTCTGGCTTTTTGGGTAGTTTTTGATCTTGGTTGAATTTGAGTAAAATATCTTCAAATCACGTGATATTTTGATTCTGTAGATTTCACGCGTGGATTTCGTGGGTTTTGTGGATTTTGATCAACTTTTTACCCAGTTTATCTTAGAAATTTGATCTGTATATATAAATTAGTATAGCGCAATTAAAACTTGAAGATCTTAGGAATAGAATAATACCACTTACTTAATATAAATCATAAGTTGAAGATATGATTTAGATGGTAAAGAAAAATGAAGTTTTTCCTAAGAAATTTAGTAGAGAAAAGTTATTTTAACTAAGAAAGTTGAACCATTTGTTCTCAGACCCTCTACGAGGAATCGCTGCTATGTATCCTGATTGGTCTGGTATATCCTTATATAATCAAGAGTTTTGCATAACTTTACTAAGGCGGCGCTTCCACGTCCAGAGGGGCTGAGTCAACTGAGATAAATTATTGTGACAACATTGACATGACAGCGCTGCGGATGAAAAACTTGAAATTGAATCGAAGATGATATTACAAGTCAGCTGTGGTAAAAGCCAACACGGCAATAAGAGAAGAAGAGCGAAGAACCAAAAGCGACAAGATAAGTCTCCATACTCGATATCGATAAAGACGCGAAATACAGGATCACAGAAGAAGTAGAAGGAGCGCATGGCGCATTTTCGAAATCGCCGTCGTAGTGGCTCTCACCGCCTTGCAAGCTATACTGCCGCGCGTCCACCTTTGCTTTCAAGAAAACCAAACATCAACAAACCTACCAGACCTTTGCTTTTCCCAAAAAAACACAATCGGAGGGATGAAACAGGGTCCACCCATGATCGTGTGTGGTTCGATTGCTACGTGAGCTTAGCCTAATAAGCAAATCAGATGGGCCCCAAGTAAACCCCATGGGTTCGGGGTGTCGGGCACGAAAAGATTACCCATCAATTGTCGATCGCCGGGTCTTCTCCACACCAATTTCCATTGGTTCGGACTTCGCGCATGCATGGCTCTTATCTGGTTTCTCTGCCCATACACAAACGTCTATGCGACCATGCACCCTGTTTTTTTCGAACGGGTGAAGTGGGGAGCAAGTTTCAGAAGTCATTGGCTGGGCGGCAGGGTGGCGCCATCTAATGCGATTGGCTGGTTCTGGACACCTGGGAGATTTCCTCGCGTTCGGCCTGTTCAGGGGTATGCTGCGCGTTCATTGGGAGAGCAGGCATACCAGGAGATCGTATGATTGAAGGCTTCATCGTTCATCGAGGATGTGAGTTTTGGCGAGGGAAGCAGAGCTTCTCGCCGTGACACCGCTGTCGAAGCAATACCTTTCTGCTGGTCCGAGGAACACGCACGGGCGAGGAAGCACGCATGGGCGCTACTAGCCCACGATGGGCGATCGGCAAGTTGCAAATTGGGTGAAAGTGGCGCTGTCTCGGAGTGCCGCTGCAATCTAATAAGGTGTCATAGCGCCGCGGTAGGGGTCGATAACCAACAAAGACGGTACAAAAAATCTGTCACAACACGAGAGCGAAACAGGTCCTCTGCGCGCTGCATGATACCAAATGAAATTAAAAACCAATTGACATTAAAGATGTGAACGACATACACTATTTTGGGCAAAATGACAAAGTTACAACATTGGATATCCAACTCTCGCCGAGGGGTCTCTAATCACGAAACTCGTCTCCCTCTCCATTCGGTGCATTGGCATCGGCCTGCGTCTCCGGCTTTTTGACGAACTTGAGATCGGACAGACCATAGAGTATGATCGACCCCATCCCCAGGAGGGCACTCAAGACCGTGAAGACCATCGACACAATACCGCGCGTGGTGAACCCGTCCGGAATGAAACCGGGCTGCTTGTTCTGGCCCTTCAGGTCGAGGTAGTCTTCCGTGTTACCTGCTGCATTGCCTTCATACTCCATGCCCGATGCGCGGCAAGCCGCGTAGTGGTCCTCGGGAATGGTCAGTTCCTCTTGGATCATAAGGGGAGCCTCGACGAAGATCATGGCCAACCCCTGCATCAGATGCCAGTCGATGTGGCAGTGGAAGATCCACACTCCCGGATTATCCGCTCGGAATCGAAGGATAACGTATCCCTCTGGCGGCAAGACGACCACATCACGTCGTGGCGGGTATGCAGGGAAGGCGGAGTGGTTGGAGGGGTCGTATGGCTGGGGAACCCCGGCATCCGCGAACTCGAAGAAATCCGGGCCATAGGGCGGGTAACGGTCGATCACTTGGAAATTGTGGCCGTGAAGGTGGAACGGGTGGGAGCCCGTGTCATTGTTGTTGAGGATGATCTCCACAATGTCGTTGTGGTTCAACACCACAGTGTGAGTGTAGTCACCATAAACGGTGGGGTCGGTGGCCTGCTCACCTGCAGACATGACTGTATACAAGATAGGGACCTTGGGAGCGGTATAACTGATATCGTTCAGAAAAGCATATCCCTTTCCATTATTGAGGTTGTCCATGACCACGGCCACATTTACAGTCACAGTTGGGTCCTCCAGTAGTGGCATGTGGTCATAGGGAACGAGGGTGGCATCATCGAAGGGGTTGAGATCGGACGATTCATCCACTGTCATGGTGGCTTGGGGGTGCGAAGCGGAGGTGTTATACTCAAGCCAATTGGTGTTATTTAGCTGGAGGTCGGGAGTAATGGTGTCCAGCAGCGTAGAGTCTACCACCGTGACGATGGGATAATTCTTGTCGGCCGTGTCTTTGGTGGTCAGAAGCACGCTATACCGTTGAGCGACCGCAATATAGAGCATGTCTGCCTCAGTGGGCTCCGTGTAAACACCATCAATCTCGACAATCTTGAATGTATGGTCCTCGATGTAGAAATACTGTGCGGTAAACGCAGCGATATTGACCAGTCGCAGAAGGTATGTTGTGTTTGGTTTCACTGACAAGCTAAGACCCTGAGTGTCGTTGAACAACCAGGAATTCGGAATGGGTTCAGCACCGGTAGGGTTGTACAGCGACATGAACTCGGGCTTGATGTCCTCGGCCAGCTCATGATACCAATCGCTGATGGTCACAAGAAGCTCCTCGTCATAGTCGTTGGCAAAGTAGGAGGTGTTGTCATGGACGATCAAAGCCTGTCGATAGCCATCCGGGTAGCAGTAGTCCGTGTGGCAGTGGTACCAATAAGTCCCATTCTGGTTGACCGTGAAGTTGTAGGTGAAGCTTGAACCGGGAGCGATAGGACATTGGGTAACCATCGATGGCCCATCCATCTCGTTGGTGCCATTCTGGAACATGCCATGCCAATGGATACTGGTACTCTTGTCGCCCAGGCCGTTATACGTGTGCACAATCAGTTGATCGCCCTTGTCGACCTCGATGACAGGCAGTGGCCATTGACCGTTGATACCCACCACCTTGCGCTCAGCCAGTCCATCGGGATTGGCCGTCACCCAGGTGACATTGAAGTTATAGACAACTTCTTTGGCAAACAGAGGCTTGCTGAACAAAATCAATAACACGTAACAAAGATAGGGTAACATCCTGAGCGAGGGGGAGAGGGATAGGATGGAGGAAAGAGAAGAGAAGGCAACGACAGACTCCTGGGAGAAAGAAAGAGTGTCTATTGCCGGTCCGGTGTAGTTGCTTTATACGGACGCGCATGCCGCGGGATTTTCTTGCTCGGTTGGTGCATCAACTAGTGTGGTATTGATACCTTGAAGGCGTGGTGGGGAAGTGGTAAGTGGTAGGTAACTTTGGATTCAATACGACGAGCCCCCGTCTGGGCCCATATCAGATGGCGGCGGACCCTGGATCGATTGGCCAAGGGGCGATAAGATCGGGTTGTTCGGTGCTTAATGGGTCTTACAGGATTTGGACGGTGGATCCTCACGGACCCGAACAGGGACAAGCTTGCGAAGGGGTCGAATGATCAGATAAGATGACTCCCTGGAAAAAATACGCGAGAAAATTAGGGTGGAAAAATTGGGCCGATTCTCGCCAGAAATTGCCGTCGGGAGAGGTGAATGAGGGGCGACCGACCAGCAGGGGGTTTGCATTTCGTTTAGCCGCTATATAGTCCAGTCCGAGACCTGCATGCATCACACCCTTCTTCTTTTTTTTCTGCTAAACACCCAGGATTTCAGTGCGATTCTCTCGCTCAGCAGTCGCCCATCATGGTCAATGTCTTTGCTGTTCAGGTCTTCTTTATCCTTTTTCGTGAATGCCTCGAGGCGTCCATTATCGTTTCGGTGCTACTCGCCTTCCTCAAGCAGAGTTTGGGTCAACCACATCAAGACCAAGGGATATATAAACGGCTGGTTCGTCAAGTATGGGCGGGCTCAATAACAGGCATAGTCTGTTGTTTGATCATCGGCGGTGCCTTCATCGGTGTCTTCTACGGGTTGGGCCATGATATCTGGTCCAACGCAGAATCCCTGTGGGAAGGCATCTTCTACTTGATCGCGACTATTATCGTGACCGTCATGGGACTGGCTCTGCTGCGCATTAACAAGACCAAGGAGCAGTGGCGGATCAAGATCGCAAAGGCGTTGGTCGAGAAAAGCAAGCACCAGAAGAAGTCCAAATGGCTTGGGAACTGGGCCCGTCGTTACGCCATGTTCCTGCTTCCATTTATCACCACCATGCGTGAGGGTGTCGAAGCCGTTGTCTTCGTCGGTGGAGTCTCCCTCGGCTACCCAGCCACTGCCTTCCCCTTACCCGTCTTTACGGGTATGCTTGCCGGCTTGACTTGTGGCTATCTTATCTACCGTGGTGGTAATGTCATGTCGATCCAGCTCTTCCTGATTGCCTCCACGTGTGTTCTGTACCTGATTGCGGCGGGAATGTTCTCCAAGTCCATCTGGGATTTGCAGTACTACCAGTATCAGAAGGGAGTTGGCTCTGATGTCGCTGAGGAGGGTAGCGGAGCAGGATCATACAACATTCTCCAGACAGTCTGGCACGTGAACTGCTGCAATGCCGATACCGATAACGGATGGGACGTTTTCAACGCAATTCTTGGATGGGAGAACACCGGGACATACGGTTCGATCATATCTTACAACGTCTACTGGATCTTCATCATGCTTTGCGTGGCATACATGCTTTGGGAGGAGCGGTCAGGCAAACGTTCTCTGCGTGAGCGCATGCTGATCGGACTCGCCAAGGTGCCGGGACTCAAGTGGTATGCCAAGCCCAAGCTTGAGGTGCTGCAGCAGAACCCCGAGGACATTGTGCGCCAAGTGCACAGTGGGCTGTTCAACGAGGAGACGGTGGTGGAGCAGCAGACAGTGGAGTTGAAATGAGCTTCAGGTGTAAGGACGTTAGAGGACGCCAAAAGTTTTCACTAAGCCTATCCTGACCGGGAGAGAACTCTCTCAGCTGTCTTTGTCACATTTTTGTTTTGGCTCTATTTCCGCGATTTGTTTCTTGTTGTTTTGTGCTGTCACATAATTAATATTGCGGATATCGCATTCGTCTCTCTGCATGTCATTAGTCTATCTGCCTTCATCTAACTGTTTCTTTACTAGATTGACAGACATTACAATACAACTGGTCCATCGTGGTGCCCGAATTCTGCGCGTAACGAGTGGCCAGACAGAGGTAAAGACTGCAGTCGCGTCAAGAAATACTAGGTGATCGCCAAGAGAGGGTTATGTGGGGATCTTGGCAGCTTAGCCTCGCATCTTCGCAAACTCCTACCGTTTCCGCTTGGACCGGATTAACCCCACCTCATTCTCCGTATGTCTTTCGAGCCCGACTATATTGCCTTGACTCATGGCCCTTCAGAACCTGCAGCTTTCGATCGGTGATACATGCTTGAAGAGGAATAGCATCCAGGGGCGAATACAACAACAGCAAGAAGATTCGTGATCCATGGAGCACCGCGCTTGCCAAGAAATCCGCACCTCACGCCAAATACACTAATGTAATCGAGTCGGGGCTCGATAACCACGACAGGATTTAACACTCCCTTGGGCTGAATCTCCAAGAACCTCCTAGCCTGTTAGAGTTTGCTGTGCGTTTTGATTGGCTCGGAAAGTCAAGATCGTACGGTATTACCTGCAGTGACCTCTCATCTAGTTGCCGACGACCTCAAATCCTCGCACGGCCTCCTCCGACCACTACACCACCACTGCAAACTAGTAGCTCTTAGTTGAGAAAACTCTTCGGATCGGATCATCTCCGTCGCGTCACATCCGCAGATAAGAGACATATTGTGCCGGTTTTCGGCCTTCATTCTCTCCCCATCAGTTTTGAAGATTTCGTTCGGCCTTCGGATGTTCGGGTGTCCGAATGCGGCAAACTGTCGTGCCTCTGATTGATATGATTCCGATTATCAATCTTTTATCCTATCAATCTAATCTCACGATCTGATCGGGAGTCATCCTCAGCCCTATCTGGCTAGTGGGTGTGCGTGCGTAACCATCAGAATTTTCTTCGCACAGGGAATCACAAGCAGAACTGGAAGATTCAGACGAATTTTGCTGATGTCGAGATCTTGACTTTTGAAGAGTGGTGCTGGGCGGAACATCCTCCATGGCAGATTTGATTATTGTGGCGAGGGGACATCGGTAGTCATGGCTTTTAGCTAGGAAAATTGTTGGATTGCACGTGTAGTGTTTTGTAATAAGAAGCCCTTCGGGTTAATGAACCCGAACAGGTATAGGCAGATGTATGCGGAGGGTTTCGTAAACTCCGACATTAGGGGACTGCTGGGGGACTGTGGTTATCAAGCTGATGTTCCATTCACAGGTGCAGTCCTCACTAAAAACATGAGCAAGTGGCCAACATGTTGCATTCTTCCAAGGTTTGTGTCAATGCTCCCCAAGTGATCACTATCGTAAATATAAACTTATTTACTCTAAAATGCTGAATAATTTGCATGCTGGGGAGTCTTTTGTACGGCATAAACGACACCTTGGATTCTGTGGGTCAGATCGAGTGTCCCATCACACACACACTATTATAGACTGACCAGGGTACTCGCTTTCTACAGCACGCGCAAGCTAATGTCCACAATGTTTTCGTGACATCTCAATGAGTATATTTCTCCGATTCTGGTGCTATCTTAGATATTGTTCATGGATACCTAGTCTACGTCAAGTCGAAGGGTGCAACATCATGGTGTCTACTTGCCACTTATCAGTATCCACATTCGCGCCAAACACTGGTAAGGTTTCCTCTTTTGCTCGGACAGTACCAAAATTTGTAGCAGGAAGATAAACACTCTGCCAAGGTCAATTGATTTTGCTCTCAGCGACTGAGGAACATACACAAGCAACTATGATTCCGAACCTGCATATGAAGAGAGACTTTTACTCCCCTCCAGAGTTGCTTTCGCTGGGCTAGCCTCAATATTGAATTCCGAACAGGAATCACAACCTGTCCCTTCTTGATGAGGTCTACGTGAGAAGTCCTGGCCCTGGGTCTCAGCTCGTATGCTGCGGCCAAAGGCTTCTCACCCACAAACGCCAACCAATACTGCATATATACCATATACGAGTCATTTTCTTCACTGAAATGGCAAGATACCATCAATGCTACGAGCGCCAAATCTGGAGGTTCGCCCGTTTGACATCTGCATCTTAATGCTCCAACTTAAGTGAGGTAAAATCGATATACGTTTCCATGCGAGAGTACTGTCAAGGCAAATCATACGATGCAGGCCTTGAATTCTGAGAGGACTTGTGTGCTTACAATGGCGCATCGCTTATGCGTCTGGACGCAATCGAAGCAGAGGCCACTACAGAATACATTGAACAGCTGCCCTTCCTCAATCCAAACACTGAGACACAAGCTAAAATTGCCCGCACCGGTCTTACTTGAGAAGTCGTACTATCGGCGGGCTGTTCGGAGTATGGTATGTGTCTCAATCCTTTGCTTCTCAAAATAAATCCCCAATGCAGACTAGACGTTAATTGTTCTCGGGCTGCAAGCAAAGCCGATGATACCATCTCCTTGAATATCGCCTGGGGAGTTCATGGATACTGGGCCTTTGTGGTGCTCGTAGGAATGGTTTCTAATTCCCTCACTTGGCTTTTCCATGGACGCGTTACAGGACAACCACAGGATACGGAGAAACCTCGATCACACCTGCAATTTCGGCACCGATCAAATCCGGTGTGTCGGATATTTGATGCAGTCAATACTTATTTAAACCTGTCACCCAGCCTGGGAACATATCATCAGCGTCTTTGGTATGGCTGTAAGGTTCTTCTACCCCTTCAAGCTTTGGCCATCTGGGCGACGGGGTGGGTATTCCACACATTCAACCTGTTTAATCGCCATCTGGCCAGAGTGACCGTTATCTACGCCATTTTTCACTCCATCTCGTATACCGTCAAATACTTAGCTTATTGTAAGATCTGATCTTCGTCGCTCATTTCTACTCTCGCTAATATATCCCTTCAGCTCCTAGCAAGTATACTTAAGATCTCCAGACAGATTGGTTCTGTTTCGGCATCGTGGTATGTCCACTCTAACATCTACTGTCAATCACTGGGAAAGATACTAACGCCCTCCAGGCAACAGTGCTCATTTCACTAATGATCCTGATCTCATGCGCCGCTCTACGCAAACGATTCTACGAGCTCTTCCTGATCGTGCACATCATATTCGGCATCGTAATCGTCTACGCCCTCTTCACGTACGCCACCCCCTTACCTCCCTATTGCACATCCAACCCTAACAATGAACCAGCCACGCCTCCAAGTTCGGAAGCAGATACACCCCCCACCTCTGGCCAGTAGTGGCTATCTAGAGCTTCGACCGGCTCCTACGCCTCGTCCGCCTAGCCATCTGCAACCTACGCATCAAACACAGCGACGCAATCCACCCCACAGACCGCAGCACAATAACCTACTACCATGAAAGCGATCTGCTGCAAATGGAGATTCAACCATCAAGTCTACCAATTTTGCCAAAAGCAGGCCACTACTTCCACCTCTACCAGCCCGCGACGCTCCGAAGATGGGAGAACCACCCCTTCACGATGTCCTCCTTCCGGGGGGGCTGCACCCTCGCTCCCCAGCAGTGAAGCCCGGTCTGCCCCTACCACCATCGACAATGACACCAAAGAAGCAAACACCACCACAACAACACATTCCCCTGTATCCCAAGACAATAACCAACACTAACCTTCTGGATGCGCCCTTACAAAGGCTGGACCAGCCGCCTAAAAACCCAGTGCTTCAACGCCGGCGGCACCTTCCATCCCACCCTCCTTCTCGAAGGCCCCTACGGCCGCCACGAGGAACTAGGCAGCAGTTTCTCGAACATCGTCATGATAATGTGTGGGACGGGGATTAGCGTCGCGACGGCGTATCTCAGGGATCTAGTTCTTGGAGATGATGTCCCCGCGGTGCAGATCGAGTTGCATTGGACGGTGCGGGAGGTGGCATTGGTTAGGGAGGTGTGTTATGCGGAGCTGCGCGAGTTTTTGGATCGTCCGGATGTGAAGGTAAGGTTTTATTGTTTGAGGGGTGGGGTTGGGAGTTTGGTTACTGGTGCTGCGGAGGGAGTGCACGGGGTGAAGGATGGGAGGGCGCCGATTGCGAGGATCGTGGGCGGGGCTGCTGCGCGGGCAAGGGAGGATTGTTGTCCTGTTGCGGTGTTGGTTTATGGGCCTGCTGGGATGGCGGATGCGTGTCGGGCGGCGGTTTGTGAGGCGAGGCGCGGGGGTTATAGGATGGAGTATCTTGAGGAGGCGTATGGGTGGCAGAACTCAGGTTATGGGGGTTTGAAGGGGGTATGAAATTTGTTCAAGTCGCAAGTTAGATATACTATCGATCTGTGCTACTAGGAGGTGGTGTAAGCTACGGTAGGCTGGTGTGAATCGCTTTGGCTTGGTGTAATATCTCATGACTCTCCTTTTTTTCTCGAAGAAGCGTGTACGATTTACGACCACCGCTTACAGACGACAGAGTCTCTGGTGTTCTGGAGCTATGAAACTAGATATATAAATAGTTCTCCCAGACGAAAAGGATTGCGAACTCTCGAACCCAGAGTCGAACGGAATGGTAGGATCCACCACCAGCACCCTTGTTTCATACGAAGATTGCCTCCGATGCAATGACATACTGTTCCAGAGATCTGACCAGTGAAAGGGTCCAGGAACAAGTTTCTGATCGAGGCTAAGAATTGGACTCCCGACGGGTTGCCGAAGCCGGGGTTTTTTCGGCCTAAGCTATAGATAAGGATCCCGCTGAGATCGGGCCGAGTGGGCGGCAGAGAAAACAGAAAGAAAAAAAAAAGGGGAAAAATCAAAGGGGCGAGGAAAATTCGAAAGGCTAACTCAAAAGGCTCTTGCTGTACCTCGTATCGAATGTCTGGAGGTAAATTTTAGTCTCTTCTTAATATGCTTAGCTTTATTCTAGATACTGCTTAATTTCCGTCTCTAGTCAGTGCCTAAGTAGTCCCGAGCTCAAGAGTTTGCTCCCTGCAGTAGACTGCCGGAGCGATTCCCAGCGAAACCTCCACAACCATGTCATCCCTCGCTCTGAAACATAAGCCTGGTTTATGAACGCACAGTCAAGGCCCGCGGAGAGTTTCGCCGAGTCGCACCGACGGGCACTTTCTCGGAGACATTCTCCCGACCGATTGTTCCGCCGAGGTGCGGACACATTAAAAATCTCTATCAGAGAATTAATCCAGCACTGATGAAAGCAGTTCCACAATTCTGCAACGTCCTCGCACTGAGGCTCCCGATTCGTTGCCCAGTCGCCCGGCGCGACCCACCCCTTCCAGCATGGAATTCTTCTATATAAATCCACAGGTGCACGTTTCTCTCGCGACGGTCGCTACGTGATAAACTGAACGAAAACAAAGTCAATCAATCGCTTCTTGATCACAATGTCCTCCTTCACATACGATGTTTTCCGCGGCTCCGCTGAGGGCAAGATCGTGCCCGCCCAGACGACCAGCGAGCTCGGCCATGGCGAGGTCTTCATCGAGACCACGCACTCCGGTCTCTGCGGTACCGACGAGCACTACCTGAAGGCGGACCAGGTCCTGGGTCATGAGGGTGTCGGAATCGTCAAGGCTGTCGGTCCGGGTGTCACTGATGTGAAGGTCGGAGCGCGTGTCGGCTTCGGATACACGCACAGCGTGTGTGCCAACTGCGACAACTGCGTTACCGGTATGCTTTCCTGTCTATGTCAGGTATAAGACGCTCGCGATGCTAACCAGACGCCGAAAACCAGGATGGGACCAATATTGCCGCAACCAGAAGCAGTACGGCTTCCACGACCTGCACAACGGCACGTTCAGCTACGGAGCGATCTGGGACGCCAAGTGCGTGTACCCGATTCCGGAAGGCTACGACTCGATCAACGCGGCGCCGCTGATGTGCGCCGGCGCGACGGTGTGGACGGTGCTGTCTGAGTACGGCATCAAGGCGACTGACCGCGTGGCCGTCATGGGCATCGGCGGCCTGGGCCACATCGCCATCAAGCTGGCGGCCGCCATGGGCTGCCACGTGGTGGTGCTGTCCAGCTCCGAGGCCAAGCGCCAGGAGGCCATGGATTTCGGCGCCTCCGAGTACCACGTCTTCCGGTCTGGCGACGCCGTCCCCGAGGGCTTCAAGCCCGTCAACCACCTGCTGCTGTGCGGTAGCGGGGCCGTCGATTACCCTTCGTACGTTTCCCCCTGATCATAAAAGTTGGCAAATGCGCTCCAGCTAACTAACTCAATTCCGCCCTGCAGGCTCATCCCCCTCATGGCTACCCACGGAAGCATCTACCCGCTCACCGTGGCCTTCGAGCCCGCCCGCATCCCCATGCTGGACCTCGTCTGGCGCGGCGTCCGCATCCAGGGCTCCCTCGTCGCCTCCCGCAATAGCATCCGCTCCCTGCTTGAGTTCGCCGCCCGCAAGAACATCACCCCTGCCGTTATGACTTTCCCCCTCACCAAGGAGGGTATCGAGGTGGCCATGGAGACCCTCAGACAGGGTAAGATGCGCTACCGTGGTGTTCTTGTCAAGCCTTAGGTGGCTGTTGCTGTCGAGGTGACTGTTGACGGTGTATGATGATTTTGTTTTGCACATACCAAAAGTGGCGTTGAGGCGGGCTGGACTTGACTTGTATAGATATAGATATAGATTTAGACATGGATATAGACTTTTATGCTATCTAATCATGGTGGCACCGATTGTTGCGGTGGCTGCTTGATAATTCTTTTTTTTTTTTTGTTTTTGCGGGGAAGATGTTGGATTATTCGTTGACTGCGTGGTTGGATATGCGCTATTCGCACAATCAGAGGCAGGGCCTGTTTTGTCATATGGTGGAGCGGCGGGTGGGTGGACCTGTCTCCAGGCTCCAGCTGTATTCCGTGAATACTCAGTTCGTCGGTAAGAATCATGAGTAGAGCGGATTCTATCTGCTGGTCGTGTTTGTTGTTGTAAATTTTGATTACAGTCTGATTCGAGAAGCGAGAAAAATTCTTCTATCCTAGCATTCTCAACACTAGTGCTGGCTTTGAAGAGAGTTTGAGATTATTGCGAGTGTTGGCGCATTTAGTGAAGTGCGATGTCTAAGCATAAGCCACGGTTGTCTAACACCAGGGATATAGCGACCATGCGCAAACAAGGTGATCTAGGAGTCCACAACACTCGGACTGATAATACTGGTTAGCACAAGTAACAGACTCCCAAACAGACCCGCGCCGTTAATGAGTCCGTCACCACTGTCCCCTCCACTCGCACCTTATCCACCCGAGGCGGATTGGTGCCAGATCCGAACTTCTCTTTCACACCAAATCTAGGTAAAGACATATCTATCATCTGTGTTATAAGGATTTATGCTCAAGGTGCCGATCCAGCCATCAACTTCTCCGCCGTGCGGCCCAGGGACGAGCCCTCATCGTCGATTTCCTCCAATTCCCGCTCACTGACCTCCCGAGGGCCGATGCCCGCCAGGCCCCAGACCGCCGGGCGTCGCCGCGCGAGCAGCTGCGCGGCAGTCCGCTCATCCGAGTGCAAGTGGCCTCCGGACTTACGGAGCAGCAGCACGTGCTCGGAGAGTCCTGCGTTGGCCGCCAGGAACAAAGGCGTGCGACCGTTGCGGTTTCGGATGTGCACTGAACCACCCTGTAGAAGGAGATAGCGCAAGATTTCGACAGAGGGAGAGGTGGCCGCGAGATGCTGTGGGCAAAATGTCAATTACTGTATCCGATCAAGAAGCACGGAATCGGAGAAAGAGAGACTTACGATCGGAGTATTGCCCGAGTAATCGGCATCATTGAGCAGCCAATGGTGCTCTCTGACCACGATTTCTTTCACCCGGTCAATGTCTCCCTGGGCGATAGTGTAGCCCAGGACGGTAAGAGACTGGACACGCTCCGGAAGGGCACCGTCTGGGTGGCGGAATACAGGCTGGGACATCTCCGTCAATTCTCCGCGGAGAGATACAGACATGTTTTTAGCGACCCATTCCGGAGTGGATTCGGGCAGGGCAAGAAGATACGCCAGCTTCGTCAATGCCGCCTCGGTGGTCAGGTCGAGTCCGGCGACAACACCTGCGCGGGACAGGCTCATACCCGGAGCGTAGACCGGGCTGACACTTCCAGTGAGACCTACGTAGGTCAGCGTTAGCTGGCATAGACACAATGACGGAAGACCGAGGTGAACTCACACTGAGTCACGTTGACGATGACGATGCCTCTCTTGATGGCAGCAGCCAGCACGTTGGTCATAGCATTATCCTGCCCGCTAGGTGCATTTCCGGCCCCAAAGGTCTCCAGGACCAAACCGCGGAGACCATCCAGTTTCAACACAGCGTCCACCATTTCTGGTTTGATACCGGGGAAGATACGAAGACAGGCAACGTGGGTAGTGTCCAGGTTAGTCTGAATGCTGAAATGGTCCAAGCTCTTGGGTCGATTTACCAGCTCCCAATCCACATTCGTGCGCATTGAGGTTGTGACCGCCAACGGGGGGCAATTGGGAGAGTTGAAGGCAGCGAAATCACTGGCCGCCACCTTGCATGATCTGTTTCCGCGGAACAGCTTGTTGTTGAAATACAGACAGACCTCGGGAATCATGAAGTGGCCGGCCACAACAAGTGATCCAAGAAGGTTATCCGTGGCATCGTTCTGCAACTCGAGCATCGGGGCCTGGGCACCCGTCAAGACCACCGGTTTTCCGAGGTTCTGCAACATGAAACTGAGAGCCGAGCAAGTATAGGCCAGACTGTCTGTGCCGTGCAGGACGACGAAGCCGTCGAAGCGTGTGTAGTTCCGCTCAACGGTGCGAGCGATCTCGGCCCAACCTTTCGCATCGATGGAACTACTGTCTAGCAGCTCCTCAAACTCGAACACGGTGTATCTTACTCGCTGGCCATATGCGGTTACTGGTGTCCGCAGACTGGGATGCCCCTCCACCTCTTTGTCCGCGTTCACGACGACGTCCATCATGCTCGTGTGGGAACCATCATTAAAAGTCGGAACACGGGCGAGACACTGATCTTGGAAGCCCCGGGCAGGTACAAAACCCGATGGTGATTGCCGCATACAAATGGTACCTCCAGTCATAATGATGAGGACGCGGGACTCGGGAATTGTATCCTCGGCCTGCTGCTCGGCCAGTTCAGGCAGAGCCCCGTTCAAGGCCACCATGTTGCTTAACTCTGACGTTGATCGCATTCTGGGTTTCCAATAGACTTGTGGTCCAAAGCAGGGGCTGTGGCGCAGAGAAAAGAGAGGGAAAATTTAAGGATGGCGGGGGAAAACAAAATAAGAATGCGGGGCCTTCCCCTTCAGGCAGCGCTCCCTTTTTGAGTGAAGCTCAAGGTTACTTCTCAAAATGTATCGAGTCTAGAAGAGCTCCAAAAATACTAAATCCTGTTGGAGTCGCGGCCAGTGGATTGAGGTTGTCTGCCCAGTCGGAGATGGTCAGCAGGCCGGGTTATACTGTGCAACAGATGATCACTTGACTTGGGCACCCGAGCAAACTATCTTGTATCTTGCCCCTCTTGATTATGACGTATCGCCCAGGACAGTCTTTTGAGAAGCCGTGTTTGCTGAACGACAAACGATCGAAATCCAGATTGGGGCCATACTGTTCGTTGAGTGAAACAGAGATTGATTTTGGAGTAGGTTGGCCACGACTCCGATTCCCGGCCGTGGCATTACGTACAGTTTTCCAGTTTCTCCATTTGCCGCTGCAGTCGGGCCGATTGCCACGTGACTCGAGATCTGGTTAGTCATTATCCTGCTCACGTCACGTGACTACCCGCTCATGCAAACAGTGCAACAACCCGCCAAGGACGCCATGCCGTTGATCGGCTCGATCGTCAACTCTCGAAGTTGTCAGCTCTCCTCACCGCAATCCACTCCTCACTTCTCCCTTTCGTTGAGGAGCTGCCTACTTGAAAGTTTGACTGAGCAGGTTTGCTCTAGCATTGATGCCAAAATGATCATTTGTCACAGCCGAAAAACACCGGACGAACGAAGTCTCATGTTCAAGCGCCATGTACGCGTTTCAGAGCTATTCTTGGACGATTGAATGCCGCCGAACCTACTCGCCTTCCGTGTGTCACAGAGGACAAACTACCGCCAGAGTCACTCCCAATCTTGAGTCGGGTGTTAGAAGCGGAACAAAGGTGAAATAGGAGCTACCCACTTGTCGGGAGTGGCCGCGTGTGCAAGCCGCCTGTCGCGGTCAAGACATGCTTTCTATAGCAATACACCTATCAGCATGCCTGATGCGTTCGTTGCTGACAAGTTTTCGCTTGACTATCGCATGGCGGAGTCTTGACCATCGATATAAGTACGCGAAAGAGTAGCAACTGTCGCAGGATCGGGGCAAAAGTGTGCTTGCCAGCAGCGGCTCGACCCGACCGGCGGGTCGAACCGCCTGCCGCAATCCTCAATCTGGGCGCTTCGATCCGAATGCCCACCGCCGCAAACAGATAGAATCTTTCCTCTCGAGGCCATGTTATCATATCTCGGCGGGACCGTCCGGACCATACTCTTGTCTGATGGTTATATATGCTGTCCTGCCCTCTGTTCTCCTCCCATGGCTTTGTCCAGTATGAGCTAGCCTCTCCACAGCTTCTCGCCACGCCTGGTTCTGCGGAGCGATCTACTTTTCTCATAGAGTTAAACTGTACCTTGGACACGTCTTGACGGCACTTCCACCGTCAGAGGCCCACTTCACTTGATTATCTTTCGTACCCCCGCCCCGCTCTCTACCACCTGACATTGCCGCAGTCACTCTGGTGGGGGCGACATACTCACGAGCTTATGGTCTTGCAGAAGATTTTCAAATCATCGGGCAACATGGGCCAGCTTCATGAGCCCTCGCGCACCTCGAGTGTCCCTTATCCTCAACGGCCGATTATCATCTTAGGAGCAGGGATTATTGGTTGTGCCACAGCAAGACTGCTTTTGCAGAATGGTTTCCGGGTAGTATTGGTAGCCGAGTATTTGCCTGGCGATCAAAGCATTTGGTATGCGTCCGCCTGGGCCGGGGCAGCATGGCATGCAGCTGGGGGCATTAGCCCAGAGTATCGATACATCCAAGCTGTCACCCACCGCCATCTGCTGAAGATGGCACAAGAGGAACCGGATTCGGGCGTCTGTGTTGTCGACTCATATGAATACCTCGAGCAGCCTCCCTCCGAGAACTCGTCAGCATGGGGAAAGATTGTTCTTTCTAAGGTGCGATAGACTGTACTTCGTTTCATCATAACGTCTTGCTAACTCACTCATCAGTGGCGCGACCTGCAACCAGGAGAATTTCCCTCTGAATTCAGCTGTGGATGGCGCTATGAGACCCTTGTGACTGATCCGACAATCCACATGCCATATCTGGGTAAGAAAATCACCGAGCTTGGTGGCCAGTTCATTCGCAAGCGAGTAGAGTCTCTCGAAGAACTCTATCGTATGTTTCCCGAATCCAGTATCTTTATCAACGCCAGTGGTATTGGGAGCAAGACTCTCAAAGATGTCCGCGATAACCAATGCTTCCCTGAAAGAGGTCAAAATGTATTTTACAGAACAGACAACTGCCGCACCATGTATTTCAGGAATGGACAGGAATATACCTATATCATCCCCCGGCCTATGTCGCATGGTGTGGTTCTCGGCGGCGTCAAACAAGCGGACACCCTGTGAGTATTGTTTCACGATATTTCCACGGGCCCGAAACGCTGATTTGTTGCAGTTCGCCCGAGATAGATATGGATATTGCTCGAGATGAGATTGCGCGTGCGCACCGACTCGCGCCGGACATTGTCCCGGAGTCACCCTCTGAGGAGGCACTCAGTTACATCGTGGGAATCCGGCCATCACGACGAGGCGGCTTCCGCTTGGATTCTGAGAAGCACGGTGACCGTGTTGTTCTGTCGGCCTATGGTTTCGCAGGGGGTGGTTATGCCTTCTCTTATGGCGTCGCTGATGCCCTGGTCAAGATGGTAGAGAATGCCGAGAAGGATAATGTCTTACTCGGATGATCGCCGGTGTCATCGCAGATGACTGTTAATTCCCGCAAATCGTGCTATCTAGCGCGATATATTCTTGTCTTAAGACCCAGAATTGATTGGAAGGTGGAGCACGTCGAATTGCACCGCTGAGACAAACAATTAAAAGGATACATCCCCTAATGAATGATTAATGAAATTGTGCCTGTGGAAGGTCTTCCACAATTTTTATTATCAGTCAGATAAAAGACGATATTTTCCGAGAGTATGAGACGAAGAATTTTCACTACCTGCTGCGCCTCTGAAACCTACGGTTGACGTGATGGTGCAGTGCAGGTGGCTTCTATTTTGGCCCCTTATCGGTTAGGGACAGGGAATCTAGTCCAGATTGAGTATCAACCTTGGAATCTTCCGGACCAGACCGGCGCGAACCTCCTCCACTATTGCACCCACAATCCAATCCAATCCTAATCCAATCCACCTGGCATAATCCACAACTGCACCGTTCTAGGGCTGACGGGCCGGCCGGGGCGGGCTGGGAGAGGCGATGCAAATGGCACAAACGCGTCAGCCTGCAACAACTCTCCCGGTGAGTGTGTGGGTCACGTGCTCTCCCTTCCCCCCCCGGTCCAGTCCAGTCCAGTCTGCGGTGGTGGTGGACATTCTCAGATCCTCCCCTTCCCGCCCTGTCATCCAATGCATCCACTCAATTCCTCCTCCTTCTTTTATTCATCCACACTTCCCCCCTCCCTCCCTCTCTCTCTCTCTCTCTTCTCCTCCCTGTCTCTGACTCCTTCTTTTACTTCCCCCCATCCCATCGTTACCTTTCAATTTCATCCTTGCTACTTATTCTTCTTCTTCCTCTTCCTTAGTCCTTCACCTCGTTGAGGCTAGCTTCGACTCATGACACCCTCCGTATCACTACTCCCCTTTTGATTCTCTTGCTTTCTTTCACTCCACCCCACACTCCCAAGTCGAATCTCAGCTCCTTAGTATAGGAGTCTCTCAGCATGCGGTGGCGGCTGCCTGGCGCCCAGTCGACCCTCCCTTCCAGTGTCGCACTTCTCCTGCTTCCTGTTCTTGTTACTCCGCAGCAGTGGCAACGACAACAACATCATCAACAGCAATATGACCTTCCTTCCACCGTCTCCGTTCTGCAACAACCCAACGGACCCTCCGCGGGGAGCAATCCCCCATACGTATCGGATGTGAAGTCCAACGATGTGAGCGCCCTTGCAACCATGGCTCTGGCGGGCTCTAGCCGCGCCGTTCGAGCCCCTCCTGCCCAAGTCAGCAGCAGCCCGTCGGCTGGTCTGGCTCCGCAGCTTCACGCGCGGTCTCTGCAGGACTGGAAGGTTGAGGACTTTGTCCTTCTGGCGACCGTCGACGGTTCCATTCACGCCCGTGACCGCAAAACCGGTGCGGCCCGTTGGGCCTTGGAGGTCCCAAGCAGCCCCACGGTCGAGAGTATCTATCATCGATCGAATCGATCGAGTTTCGATCGCCAACAACCGGAGGATGATTTTATCTGGATAGTAGAGCCGAGTCAGGGCGGTAACCTCTATATCTACAGCCCAGGTCCAGATGCAGGATTACAAAAATTGGGGTTGACCGTGAAGGAACTGGTGGATGAGACACCCTACTCTGGGGATGACCCGGCTGTCACCTACACGGCACGAAAGGAAACAACCTTGTATACCATCGATGCACGAACTGGGACTATCCTACGTGTGTTCAGCTCCCGAGGCCCGGTCTCGTCGGGACAGGAATGTCGAAAGGTGGATGGCCTGGATGCGGACGCAGAGGAGTGTGAGACTCCTTCCGGCACCTTGGTGCTGGGTCGGATTGAATACACGGTAGCGATACAAAACACCGAAACGGGCGATCCCATCTGCACGCTTAAGTACTCGGAGTGGACGGCCAACAACCGTGACATCGACCTCCAGAGTCAATACGTGAACACCATGGACCAAAGCTTCATCTACAGCATGCATGATGGTGTGGTCCTCGGGTTCGACCATTCTGAGATGGACCGCCCACGTTACACTCAACGTTTCTCGAGTCCAATCATTCGAGTCTTTGATGTCGCTCGTCCCGTCGGTAGTGACTCGCCCAATCAGCCCACGCCGCTGGTCCTTCTCTCGCAACCCTCACAACCGCCTGATCCTGACTATGGATCGCTGGATGAGCGTGATTCGCGCGTTTTCATAGATTGCACGGAGGCGGGTGGATGGTACGCCATGTCGGAAGAGACGTACCCTCTTGTTACGGGGAGGGCGAAGATGGCGCAGTGTTACAAGAAAGACTACCTCCGCCATGGGCAGCCCTTGACAAGCTTGAGTACGAGACAGCAGCAGGACGCCTTGGCCGGCGTACACTCTCTGCATGCTCCCCGCGTGGTTCGCCGCCACATTCCAAGCATCTCTGGGCCGTCGTCTGCAGACTATTCTAATGACACGCCTCCTCGGGGACTCGTCCACACCTCATCCGAAATAGCCTTGCCACCTGCTCTTCGACACAGTACCATTATTCGCAAGGGCTGGGACAATGCTGTAGACATTTTTGTCACGCTACTGTTGCTGTTTTTCGGAACATTCATCTGGTTCAACTCCCACAATATCCAGGAACTGGCCAAACAGAAATTGGATCTAAAGAACATTATTGTGTCCTATGGACAGCCATCATTGTCGACGCCGTCAACACCAGTCATTGATGGCCCTCACATTAAGCGAGAAATCAACGCTACTGAGTCCACACCCGATGTGACAGTCGATGTGAGCGTTTCTGAGGAGCAACAGTCTGCTGGTGACATGACCCCGAAGCCCAAGAAGTCTGCAAACACTTTAGCACCTGACACTACTCCTCGAGTACGCATTCGCGAGCCGTCTCAAGGACCCGACGCTGATGACGACGTGGACGACTTCAACCTGCAGGATTCAGAAAAGGGCGAGGGAGAGAAGCCTAAGAAGAAAGCCCGTCGGGGCCGCCGGGGTGGAAAGAATCACAGACGTGGCAAAAAGCCCACCGAAGGCGAGGCAAAAGAGCAGGCGGATCGCGTCGTAGAGGAAGTGAACAATCTTCAACCGCAGACTCACCTCGAACCAGACATCCAATTGACCCGGACTGTCTCGAACGAGATCATCCAGATGGATGGCGTGCTCCAGATCGGCCGTCTCAAGGTCTTCACAGATGTTGTGCTAGGACATGGTAGCCATGGAACTGTTGTCTACCGAGGCTCATTTGACGGTCGAGATGTTGCCGTGAAGCGCATGTTGGTCGAGTTCTACGATATCGCATCCCACGAAGTTAGCCTGTTGCAGGAAAGTGACGACCACGGTAATGTCATTCGGTATTACTGTCGTGAGCAAGCAGCTGGGTTCCTCTACATTGCTTTGGAGCTTTGTCCGGCCTCTCTGCAGGACGTCGTCGAACGCCCGGGTGACTACCCACAGCTGGTTCAAGGTGGAATGGATATGCCCGACGTCTTGCGCCAGATCATTGCGGGCGTACGGTACCTTCACTCACTCAAGATCGTCCACCGAGATCTGAAACCGCAGAATATCCTCGTTGCCATGCCCCGCGGTCGCACGGGTTTGGGCTCGCTGCGGTTACTCATTTCCGATTTTGGTTTGTGTAAGAAATTGGAGGATAACCAAAGCTCTTTCCGCGCGACTACAGCACATGCGGCAGGTACCTCTGGTTGGCGAGCACCTGAGCTGTTGATGGACGAGGACATGACCCCAGCCATGATGAGCACTGAATCTCAGCACACTGAATCTTCTGAGCCTGCCGTTGTTGATCCTCAAACGAACCGTCGGGCGACCCGGGCTATTGACATCTTCTCCTTGGGCTGCGTGTTCTATTATGTCTTGACTCGGGGCTGCCATCCGTTCGACAAGAATGGCAAGTTCATGCGGGAGGCCAACATTGTCAAAGGCAACTATAATCTTGATGAACTTCAACGCCTCGGCGAATATGCCTTCGAAGCAGAGGACTTGATTCAGTCCATGTTGTCATTGGACCCACGCAAACGGTATGTCACCTCGACTTTCCCTAATTAATACTAGCAAGTCTAATTTATCTTAGTCCTGATGCGAGCGCCGTCTTGACGCATCCGTTCTTCTGGCCTCCATCCGACCGTCTCAGTTTCCTGTGCGATGTCTCGGATCATTTCGAATTCGAGCCACGTGACCCTCCGTCAGATGCCCTGCTCTGCCTTGAGTCCGTGGCTGAGCGAGTCATGGGTCCTGATATGGACTTCCTACGGTTGTTACCTCGCGACTTCAAGGATAACCTGGGCAAACAGCGCAAGTATACCGGATCGAAGGTCCTGGATCTTCTGCGGGCTCTGCGCAACAAGCGCAATCACTACAACGACATGCCCGAGCCCCTCAAGGCGCATATTGGTGGTCTTCCCGAAGGCTACTTGAACTTTTGGACTGTGCGATTTCCCAGCCTCTTGATGAGCTGTCACTCGGTTATTGTAGAGTTGAAGTTGACCCGGATCGATCGGTTCAAGCGGTATTTCACTCCTGTTGAGTAGACGTCGAGCTTTGTGGATCTATGACTGAAGAGTCGAGTACATATGTTGAACATAGTGGACCAAAAGTAGCTGAAATATATTTCCTTGGTTTTGAACGGTTATAATGCTTCGCTGGTGGGATGTGTTTGCTGTATTAGAAAGTGGACGGACGAGGTTGGCATGGCACCGACGCAGTACTATGGGATGAAGTGAGTGTGGCTTGATTGGGATGGGAATTATGAACGTAATGTAATATGCAAAGAACGAACGACCCAGCTCGACCCAGCTCGTACATAGCTTTCCACACAGTTGATGGGAGAAGACAACCAAGATCTTGAAACAATCTAGCGGGCCCCATTGCGTCGAGCGCGAGGCATATGAGTCATTATTCATTCTTATCCCTCAACCGCAGAGGGCGTGGATGACGGCTCAGAAATAGAACCCACAAGCCTGATAATTGGGAGGAGGCTGGTGGATCGTGTGAGACCCAGATCTTTCACATGCCATTTCCCCGGACCTCTGCCGCTCCTCTCGGCGTTGTCGAACAGCTGGACTGTACGTAGTGTAGTAGTGTATAAGTGAACTGTTTTGCTGCGACTCGCGTTTGCTTACCCGAGTGAGGTGCCGCCGCTTTTATGAGGGCGGCACGTGAAAGATCTGTGTGCGCTCTGGGACACTCACGGATTGCTCACGGAGCACGCCCTGGAAACTCCGGTCACTCCCGGATTGCTCTGGCTCGCTTCGTCAGCAATCCCTGGGCAGCTTCCGCTTATATACCGCGGTAAGCCACGTGACTGGAGTAGGTTCTCTAAACCGTGTACAAACTAACACTCTCCTAGATCTGTGGCACTGATACAAGGCTAAGAAAACTGAGGGCATCACCATAACAAGGGCTGTCAAGTTTTCTCGGTTTTCCTTCTTCTTATAGCCATCGATTGCCGGAGTTTGTGGTGTTGCGCCGGCGCAGGGAGTGGTGCACGCTAATGCGCAGGATGCCGTGCACGGCATCGACCATCGGTTGGAGGAGTAGGAGTCGCGGTGCGTGGTCCTGGTGGAGGATCGAGCCTTTCTGCAGGTCTTTGAGCAGGCACCATTGTCGGTCCCACTGCAGGCCCGTTGAGGGGTGAGATGCCACGACTGTTGCACGGGGATCGTGTAGGCGGCGGCGCCGTGGATTGGATAGATCATCAGGGTGTGTGTACGTGAAGGTGCTGGGGTGCAGGAGAATTGGACGGAGGCGCCAGGGGAGGAACGGCGCCTGCACCGAACAGATGGTGCACAAATCCTATAAAATGCTCGACATCGTTCAGGGTGCTCTATCGCCCCAAGGCTCACGCGGATTATCCCTGAAGGCTTATGCCCCACAAGCACGCTGCGACAGCCACAACGTACTTCCGCCGTGTAGTTCTGGAACAGCTCCCATTCCTCCAGCTGGAGGAGCTTTGCGAGTCCGCCGGGGTTGCAGACTGAGCCTGTGCGAAGGTGGATGCGGTGCTCGTTGGCCGCCTCTTCGACGTGACGTGCGAGAGCCGGAGCCATCGCCCCTTGTCGGAGCGGATGTTGAAGGCGACGATGGACCCCTGGGTCGTACTGTCGCCGTACTCCGCCGGTGGATCTTGGTAGATCTCGCACACCTTGACGCTGTTATGGTGGCGAAGCGAGGAAAGCGACTGGTAGAGGTGTGCTGTAAGCCGCGTGGTGTGGTGAGACACGTGCTCCTGAGAAGTGTACAGCTGCTTGTGGGTTGTCAGAGCACACCCCAGGGCCAGTATGCTATGAGAGGGGACTGTGCCATCCTCAAGTATCTCGTGGATGCGGGATGGGTTCCTGGAATGCCAGGGATGGTCGGAGCAAGTGACCAACTCAACCGTGCCTCCGCCAAAGTAGGGTCGCTGCACGAGAGCCTGGGCGGATCCCTACGCACAATCAGCCCTCCCAGGTCAGGGAATCCGAAGATCTTATAGAAGCTGACGGCTGTAAAGTCGGGGGCTCCATTGGGGTCCCGGAAGCAGTCCAGTGACGCAGTCGGAGCCAGTGCAGCAGCATCCAGCAGGGTGAAGACTCTCTGGTGAGAGGCGTATTGTGATTGTCGGAGACGGCCCGGCCAATGAAGAGGGAGCCGTCGTCCGGTCATGTTCGATCGTGCTGGATATGCAAACAAACCGACCTGGAACGTGTTGGAGGTTTGTACTGGACATCGATCGGTCTTGTCCCTGGCGGGATTTGGCCGGATCCAGGCCTCAACTTCGCTATCCGACATGAAGCAGTGTTGCCCGGCAGCAGCCAGTTCACGTAGTCCCACAACGCTCGTGTGAGACTCGAGATGATACCCCACCCAGAGTCCGGGCCCCTTGAACGTCTTCCCGGGGCTATCGGAGACAGGCGGATGGGTAAGACCCTCAAGAACCAATTTGATCGCCGCGGTGGCGTTCATGGCAAAGACCAGATCGAAATGCTCCGGGTCGGCGTGAAAGAATGCCAATGTTTGCTTCCTGATCTCATCGACCCTTTCGGTTGACAGCCGGGAGGATCGTGAGTCTGAGTGTGGGTTCCCGAACAGATTGCTTGACATCTTGTTTATGAAGCTCGTCAAAGCAGACTGCGCATAGAGAGTGGTGCCGGTATGATCTAAGTATGTCTCGTCTACATAGGTATATTAGTCTTCAAGTGGGACATAGGGAGCCATGACAGTTGTGAGTGTGTATCTCGGAGTATTGGGTATTCACTCTCCCTCAATGCGTCAGCATTATAGGGAATGAGGTTGATTGGTTCTTCCATTGTTGAAGTCTTTCTCTTCAACAGGTCGAGAGTGAAAAATTGAAGAAGTGTACAAGGATGCAGAAACTGGTGTACAGATAAGGGAGGCTGAGTGCAACCGACTGGGATATTTGAGTTTGATATCAGACCTGGCTCTATCTCTTGCTCTATGTAACCGAAAACTCGCCTAGTGGTGTCAGCCACCTTTGGTAGGTGGCCAACCGCACCGCAGGGTAGTCTGAACGGAGTTAGTTTACGGTCTATTACTTCCGGCTACCTTCGCTGAACCAACGGTGGCGATTCTTATTGAATATGGGTACTTGCAGAAACAATGACTCTGTTCTGTTGCAAGGGGGTCGGATGATCGTGTCTTTACTTCATGCGCCAGAGGTCGAAGAGGCGTAGGACGATCGGTTGACTTCAAGTTGTCTGCACAGCTCCATCTGGACGATAGTGTCTTAGTGGTTTGAGGGCCACGAAGTCCATATTTTGAATCCTACCGAATTGCAGCACGTAGTCAAATGCCCAGAAGATTTGTTTTTAAAAAGGTTTAGTGTTGTCCACGGCGTTCAAAGGACCAGATCTATCCTAATAACAAGAAAATCCCAGTGAACACTTGTATTGTGGTATATATATACTACGAAGCACTTAAAAGTAAACCGGGCCTCGACTCTAGATCATCATTGTCCTAACAAACCTTCTTCAACACACAATCCTTGCACATGCATAAGCCGCAAGCACCACCCCCACGCCAGCCCAGAGGCCGCTCAAGCTTTGCTGAGAACGAGGTCCATCTCTGGGCCCTACGCACGAGACTGAAGCCGGTCTGGGCGATCGTCTTCTTTCACCGCCAGCTTCGCCTGCCTGTGCAGGATGCGAGGCGGCATCATGGTGCCCGTCTGGGCGATTGCGAGATTGCGCCGCCACCGACTCGCCCAGCGGGCGTCGTCATCGGCCTGCCGGATATAATAGGCCAGGTCGGCAGTGGCGTCCCACTCGGCCTGGGAGATGCCCGTCGTCCCCAGCCACGCGAATCGATTGCCCGTGTACCGGAGGTCCCAGTCATCGTAGCGCGGCTCCCGGATGGCTTCCAGGTAGTGCAACGTGCTCCCGGGCCAGGTGGTCGGGGTACGACCGCCGATGGCATGGTTGTTATGCGAGTTGCGGCAGCGGTCGGTCCACACGGTCTTCTGCATCACGGTCGCCACATGCGCCGTGAACGCCGCGCAGGCCTCGCGCTTCGGGGCCATGGAGTGGATGGGCTCGGTCTGGTAGCGGTCGATGAACGCGCAGATGTAGTCGGCCTGCGCCTCGATGGCGACCAGCGTCGGTCCGTTGGAGACCGGCGTGTAGGGCCCGAGCATGGTGAAGGTGTTGGGAAACTCCGGGATGCCCACGCCCATGTAGCCCACGATCTCCTGGGCCCACTCGGCTTGGAGGTTGCGTCCGCCGGGGCCAAGGATCGGGTAGCGCGGGATATACGAGGTGTCGAAGCCGGTGGCGCAGAGGATGACATCGCCGCGGTGCGCCGTCTCGTCCTCACTGCAGCAGCCCGTCGCCGAGACGGACGACACCCCGCCGTAGACGATCTCGACGTTGGCTTTCGACAGGGTCTCGAGGTACCGCAAGCCGGAGGGTACCACGCGCTTGCAGCCGACGGCAAAGTTGGGAATGAGCCGTCGCTGCATCTCCTCCTTCGGCAGACCTTTCCGCATTACGGACTCTAGGAGCTCGCGACTTTGACGCTGGAGGACGGTGTCCCGGAGGTACATGGCTGACAAGCACCCCCCCCCGGATGTTAGTTTGTGTTGTCTAGAGCGAAGCCAGGTCATCCGGTCCTGAGCAGAAATTGTCGGGGGAAATCGCTTACTGAAGATACTGTTCATCGTGCGCTCATTCTCGAGGCGCAACCGCTGTACGCTCTCCGGTTGTTCAACGAAGCGGGCGATCTGCTCCGGCGAGAACTGTCCCGCCTCAGTACTGATATCGGGCAGCAGCCACGTTGGGCAACGGATGAAGATCTTGACCCGGTTGACAATCGGTTGAATGGCCGGTAGGATCTGCACCGCCGAGGAACCCGCGCCGATCAGGAGGACATCTTTCCCCGCCAAGGAGATCGTTTCATCGTAGTCGGCGCTGTGAAGCTTGATCCCCGTGTAATCCTCCCAGCCGGGGATCTGGGGCCAAGCGGGTTGATTCAAGTAGCCCGTTGCGTGCACGAGGATATGACACCAGTCGTGGATAAGGTGGCCCGATGCCAGGTCCGTGACCTGGACTTCCCACTGTCCACTCGCCTCGATCCAGCGGGTTTCCACCACCCGATGGGAGGGTTTGATGTACTGCCAGAGATTGTGCCGGGTGGCAAACCCTCGGAAATACTGTCGGATCTCGGCGGAGCCTGCATAGACACTGGACCAGTCGAGTTTCGGCTCGAACGAGTAGGCGTAGTTGTGGGAGGGGACATCGCACGCGCAGCCTGGATAGCGATTCTCATACCATGTGCCGGAGATATCGGGGTTCTTCTCGTAGATCTGTCCCACTCCACGTTAGCACGATATGGTCTTTTCGGCTGGCTTGGACAAGTACAGGACGTGTACATACTGTGAGGGAGAATTGTCTGAAAGATCGCTGTAGCTTGTACGCTAGACAGAGACCCGATGCACCAGCACCAACACAAATGATCTTCACAAATCGCTCATTGTGAATGGCGTCGGTCTTGCGAGGGTCCATGGTGTAGAATCGGGAGGTGAATGCGTGTACCACCGAGAATTGAGGGACTTTCTCCAATTCCAGGGTCAAGGGGAGGTAAATATTGGAAGTGAGCTGGGTTATAAAGCCCCCATGCATGTAGTACTGGACACATCGGAAGAAACAGGGGCCTACCAGAGGGGGGCTACCAGAGATAAGCACTAGATACAGGATACAGGACTATGAATGAAAGTATGGCCTGCACCGTGGGAGCAGTAAGACCTGATGTTCATAATATCTGGCTAGTAACAAGTCTAGTGACTAGTATGTACAGTGCATAAAATTACCGTCCGAGACACGTAATGTATGCAAGGACAGTACAATGTACAGTACGTAGTTGAAAACTAAGCAAGCAACAAAGGAGGCTTGATCCGCCCGCTAATTTAGCTGGACTGGAGCTGGACTTTAGCTGCAAGGCACAGCCCGCCCGATCACCGAGCGAGACAGACATCTTGCAATTGTTCCACTATTCACTGATCCACTGTTCCATATAATACCGTATAAAAATTGCTCTCCTCATCCTTATTCTGAGCCCCTCTCTTCCTCTTCATCTTCCTCTTCCCCTTTCCCTCTCTTTTCATTGCTTCGCACTTGTCCATCGTCCAACTCCAACTTCAAACTACCTCTTCTGTCTCAATCCACCTCTTCCCCCTTTCCTGTCTCGGTCACATCATGGCTCCTCATCTTGTCCTCCTCACTGGTGCCACTGGCCTGATTGGATTCCGTGTACTTCAAGAACTTCTCCAGAAAACCGACTATACCGTCCGGGCCACTGTGCGCTCCGAAGAAAAGGCCCAAATGATCCTCTCCAATCCTGTTATCCAGAAACTTAATCCCGGGGCCCGGCTGACCTACACCATCGTCCCGGACATCCTGGCGGAGGATGCATTTGACGCTGCGCTGAAAAATGCGACGTACGTGATCCACACGGGGTCGCCAGTGCCCGTACCCGGCTTCGACCCTCTCACCCAAGTCTGGAAGCCCACCGTCGAGGGCACCGCCAACCTGCTGAAGTCCGCCCTCAAGATCCCCACCATCAAGCGTGTGCTGATCACCTCCTCCATCGTCGCCAACATGGCCCCGATGCCCGATCCCTCCATCACCGTCACAGCAACATCCCGCGTGACCCTGCCGGGAATCCCCGATACCTTCTCCAACGTGTTTGAGGCCTACGTTCTGGGCAAGATCACGGAGCTCAACGAGACGGACGCATTTGTCGAGCAAGAGAAGCCGCCATTTTCGGTGGCCCGCGTGATTCCCGGCTACGTCTACGGGCGCGATGAGTTGGTGCTGACTGCCGACGCGGCCATCGCCAAGGGCAGCTCCTGTGGAATCCTGCTGCGCAGTGTGACGGGCATCGACTGCCCCGCCCCCATCCACGGCGGGTACGTCCACATCGATGATCTGGCGCAGGTGTATCTGAAGGTCCTGCAGCTGGAATCTGCCGCAGACGCCGCCCCGCACAGCTTCGGCGCTTGCTCGCTCGTCGACTATGCCGACGCGTGGCGCATCGTGGAAAAGAATTTCCCCGCGGCGGTGGCTGCCGGCCAGCTCAAGCAGGCCAACTTGCCTACCCTCCCGATCGCCTACGATTCAACTGAGACGGAGAGATACCTGGATGTGCAATTCCGTCCGTTCGAGGATGCGGTCAAGGATGTGGTACAATTTTACTTGAATCAAAGGGAAGCAGAGAAGGCTTAGGTTTAGGTGCAGATATGGGTGTGGAGCGAAATTCTGGCGGAGCATTCAATGTGCCTATGCCGCCTTTTGCCCTGGTACTGTAGTTGAGTCTTCATGCCTAGCATGTTCGAAATCGACTCCCTCCCTTAAAGCTTTCTTCTTCCTAGTTGTGTAAATCACTAATTTGGGGTCTCTGCCGTGGCTCCGACCATGTTACCGGCATCTGTATTATTCATATGACCGATCTGCGTACGTACTGTACTGTACTTCGTATGCATTAGCACGCAGTAGCTGCATAAGAGATTGCAGGGGAATCACCGCCTCAAATTATCGCTGACACCCTGCCTGCAGACACGGCCCCCAAGCTAGTCAGTAGCTTGAAAGGCGCAGAAAGTAAATAGCCAACACTGCCGCCCTGGAAGCAAGGGAAGAAGGCGTTGGATGGCTGATGCGGGCATCATGACTGCGCTGCAAGCCCCTCCTCGCCATGGATTATAAGCTCCCTGTATGTCATTCCGGAACCAACCCAAGGGAATCAAACCATTTGTTCACATTGTTGTCTTGTGCCTCGCAGGGGGAAATCCCGCCTTCTCATTCTTCGCGCGATCATGTCTGCACAATCAAGTAGCTATCCTGCTGGATGGCTGGAGGTTGATCATGGCAGTCGGGTCATGGCGGCTGTAAGCTTTATCCTGGTCTTCACCACGATCCTGCTAGCCTTGAGGCTGTATGCACGCAGCCTGACCTCTGCTTCTCGTGGATGGGACGAGTTCCTCCTCGTCCCCTCCTACCTTTGTCTCTTGGGCCTCCTCGTATGCCTTTACCGTGAGTTCACACCGGCCCTGGATGCGGGCTATTCAACTCGCAACAAAAGGCCTACGGGCCCTGCTAAGTATTCTCCATTCGGTAGTCGACGTGATCAAAGGAGGGCTCGGTCGACATGGCGCCGCCGTCGAACAGGAAGATCCGCAGAAGCTCATGACCTTCCTCGAGCTCCTCTACGTGCTGGACTGGTTCTACGTGCCCTCCAACGCCATGTCGCGCATCTCGGTCGTCGCGCTTTACCTCCGATTCTTTACGCAACCCCTGTACCGGGCCGCCTGCTGGGGGGTGATCGCGTTTCTGCTGGGAAACATGATCGCGACGATCATCGCCGCGCAGGTTGAATGTTTCCCGCTGCAATTCACCTGGGACAAGACCATCCGCGGCGGCCACTGCTTCAACCTGATCCTCTGGTACAAACTGACCAATCTCCCCACCGTCATCAGCGATGTGATGGTGATGGCCTTACCAGTCCCCACAGTCTGGGGCTTGCAGGCGTCCTTCAGCTGTAAAGCCGGGATTGCAACCGTCTTCCTAACAGGGAGTATGTACGTGAAGCGCCCCCCTTCCTTACGAAAAGACCTTCCTGACTAATACTCCACTCTTTCTCCGTTCTACTCCGTCAGTGGCGGCGGCGGCGGGAGCATATCCGTCGGGTCGTTGTCCCGAGCCCCAATCCTCCTCCAATACCAATCCCGCGGCGGACCCCGTTGTTCTCGTCGTCCGTATGCATCGCTTTCCACGCCCGGAGATTTAGCGGCGTCGCGGGACGAATTGCAGGATTCGGGCGAGAGGACGAGCGTGCTCACCACCGTCGTCAAGGTGGACTCCACCCCGTCCGAGTCTGAGTTGGCTGACCGGCTGGCCGAGCGGGAGCCCGGCGACATCCGGGTCCAGACGCGGTTTGAGGTGCTGAGCGAGCCGAACTTCTAGGGCTCGTGGGCTTTATGCTTGATATTGGCGCTGTGGGGTTTCTTAGTGTGCAGTACATAATGAGATGGGTTCTTCGCGGGACGACAGCAGTCACCGATCTTCGGATTTCCACCAGTGAAGGGGCTAGGTAATAAGATACCGTAAGCAACCATCCACGGCGCTTGCGATGGCCAATTCCAAGTTTGACAGACAGCACGTGAGTCGGCCTCGAAACCCATGCCTGGACAGGATGCAGGTACTGTAAAGGTGGTCCAGAGCAGTTGGGCTGGGACTGGGCTGGGACTGGGCTGCTGGGTCCGTGCTGACTGACTTTCACAACGCTCGGGGCCAGCCTCCTCCTTGGGTCCATGGGCAACAGTCCGTGTAAGCGGAGAAAATCACCACTGTACTAGGTAGCTAGCTGCTCGGTAGACCCAGCAAGCAACATGGCTGATGCACAAATGAGATGGGGGAGCGGCTCAGTTATGGCTCGTCTCAGTGCATTAGCTTGTTTCTGACCAGGCGGCCTCATGATCGCTCCAATCATGACCCCGACTGCAATGCGGGGTGGGATGGGGCGAAGGGGGAGAGCTGAGCCCTCAAGGCTGAAATTAGTGCTCGAGTAGGCAGGCGGGGGTTGCACTGGAGACACCGATGAACTCGTTCATTTGGCGTGTTGTACTGTATGGGGTACGGTGTGGTACTGTATGGTACTCTGTACTGCAAGGCTATAGCCAACAGGGAACGCTCCTAGGCGAACTAAGCTAAGGTAGCTGGTGTTTATTATTCCTACCACGAACGACTGACTGCTGCTGGGTGGCAGTCTTCCCATAGCCGCTGCAGTTGCTGTTCACCCCTCCTCCCACTTCCTAATACTTTGTAATACTTCGTAATATCGGTCATGGGTTAGCATCCAACGTTGACCAGTTGGTCGAACCTGGAAGCATAGGGAATCAGCACTACCACCCCTTTAAATCATCGATTGCTTAAGCTTAAGCCCAGCAGATACAGACGGATAATCAGGCACTGCACTTCTGGACTGTAGATGGTATACCCTTGTTAAACCAGGATCCGGATAATTCGAGAGGAATACTTCGCACAGACAAACTTAATGATATTTAGGCTTCCGGTATCATCACGCCATCTCAGCCAACATACCCAGATAGACAGGTGTAGACTCGGCTAAGTTATTGTCCGGTATATTTGTTTCTGATAAGCACTCACTATGTAAGTACTAATCATTGAATCTAATCCTGATATGGCGAAAGCACTCAGCCCCTATGTTATATGCTCGATGCACGATATCCCCTCCCCGCCTAAGAATTATTTCTTTTCTTAACTACCAACCAAGGACGCCCGCCGGCAGACTGCTCCGGAACCGCCGCCCCCACCCCACCCTTAGCCCATACCTAATCTACAAGCCTGTGCAAGAGGATCAATAGAGATCGAAAGGAATGTCATGGGCTCATTAAAGCCGGTGATCTGTGCTTATGACCCGGCCAGAGTGGAGATTGAGGGGCGGGGCGGGCGCTGTGACATGCAGTACTGTGCAGTAACTCACTTGCAAGGCCGATTTTCTGCCTTTCTTACGCCAAAGGTGTCTTGGACAGCTGAGCATGGATGCCTACAAGAGTCATTTCTGAAGGAATCATCACGCGGGTTGGGGTTGGTGATGACTCCGTCGGCATCTCCGATGTAAGCATATTGCCGGATGAGGAAGCCGGAGCGAGTACCTAGCCCACGTTTCCGGTTGTTCACTCGGTTATTGATGACTCTGACTCTTTGAGAGCCGAGGGCTTAGCGTAAGAGGGGGTTTGGGGGCGAAGAGTACTATTCAAGTGTGATTCCCCCTCCTGCATGCAGCGGCCATTGGCGCCGTGGGTCATGGTTGCGAGAAAAGATTATGCCGTGACTTCCATCAGATTGCATTTCGTCAAGTCCTAGTATGATTGCCTAAGTCACCCCCCTTACCCCCTCTCCCGGGTCAGTTGCTCGCGCCCCATTCGGGTCGAAACTTGTCCGTCTGTCCGTTGATGTATGAAACCACACGCAATTCCCCCCCTCGTTGAACGGAGCAGCCGATATAGGTGTGAATTCCGGTCTGATTCTCCAACGCACTAGTTCTACTGTGGGGCCCCACCAGTTAGTAATATGGACATACAGAGCAAGAGGTGCGAGGGCAGCCCACAAGATGGTACCAAGGGCGCGACCATAGTGCGGGATGGATGCACTGGCTTGGCCATTGGCTTCGCCTCCGCGCAGATACTCCCTCAACCCGGTGAAGACCTGCCAGTCGCTGCGGGCGTAATGTCGGACGGGAATATAGATCTTGACTTTGGGCGTCTCACTGCCCAGCCGAAATTCGACGTTGTAGAGCATCCCCGCGGTTCGGTGAGTACTGGTCGTCCCTCGTAGCGCACCCTCCTCGGGCACGTCTCCCTGGTCGAGCACATTATCCCACAGCCGCTTCAGGTTCCTGAGACCCGGCTGCAGCCAGGGGTCGCTGACTTTTCCCCCGAGGGACATTGTCCGGCGAACGGAGGCGAAGCTCGTCTCGCGGCTGCGGAAATAGATCTTGATGCGGGACTGGGCGGGGTCGACGAGGTCGATGGCCATCATGTCGAGCTCCAGTGGGGCCGTGGAGGGGTCCCTCACAAAGGCCTGGAACAGACCGAGGGCGGCCGACAGGTGGTGGGGGGCGCTGTCGCTGCAGCGTGGTGCGGTCTGAATGGCCCGGACGAGGACGTCGAGATTCGTCTGGTGGGTGGCCCGCGCCTCGAACCCGGGAAAGTAATAGACCTTTCCGGTCTGGTCGGCCTCCTCCAGGTCAAAGGCATAGAAGATCTTGGACGGATGGCCCTCCATGAAGCCCTCCGGAGGCACTGCCGGGCTCAAGGCTTGGTCGAAATGCCGGAGCCACTGTGTATTCATGGCCGGCAGGATCCGGGGGAGGACTTGACGGAATTGTCGGTCCCCAGACCAATTCTCCGGGTCTTTCATTGTTGCGGCGGCGCGGCTCACCGGTTCGATTGAGAACCGCACTGTGGGAGCCTGCTGGCCGGTGTGCCAGTCCCAGCTCAGTTCGATGGGATGGTGATCGTCGGTCATGAAACTTTTCCAGCCCGGTGCACCGGACTCCCGTTCCAGACCTAAGAACGGCACAGCACCGCCGCCAAAGAGTCTCAAAACATCACGCTGTCTGTCCTGGGTATACTCAGCATCATGCAGAAGTTCAGCTAGCAGGATACCAGTTCTGCGCCACCAGAATTGACCATGACAGTCCAGACTTGTGTCAAGTTCCTCGTTGACGGTTCGCCACGCACTGGGAAGTGCACGCTCTGATGCGCGGGTTCGGACAGATTTCGTGACTGCTGGCGGTATGACGAAAACACGGAAAATGAGAAAGAGTGAGTAGAGAATGGGCGTGCCTAATAGCAGGAGAAAAACGCGTAGATCGTGATCCAGTTGATAGATCGAATACGCCATATCTGGGTTGGAGTGATAGAACTACCGGATTGGTAAAGCGCGACAATATCCCTAGAGTGGTGTCGGAGCAGCGTTAGAAGTTCAAAAAGGGCAGTTGAGAGCCTGGAAGCCTGGCTTTGTAGGTACTGACGGGGTGGAGTGAAGTCCTGCAGCTGGAGCTTAGGTAGGTGCAAGCCTGTTGATGTCCAATGCGTCGAGGACAAAACCACCTGCTTAGGAAGGTTCAGCTGATCTGAGACGGTTGCGACTAAGCCGAGAGCATAGCCGCCCAGGCAGAAGGCAGGGCAATCGGCCCCCGTTCAAAGCTGCTTGCTTTCTGGTTATTGGTCAACGTGAGAGGTACCTAGGTAGCCACAGGGAATTTCAAGGGAGCAAGACTGAAAAGGACCAGGGTGCGGTGCAAATCAAGACCTGTCTCGGTACGCGTGTCATGCCCAGTGCGATTTTCTCCTTTTCCTTTTTGGTTGTCCCTTTCGCTCACTGCACTTTTGTTAGTATATTTGGTCAGGTTGCATTTCCTCCTCTTAGCAATGGACCGTTACTATCAGTCGACAGTCTCGTAAAAGCGGGCTGAGGTGTAGAATCGTCCGGTCCCCACATAAATACCTTCTTGATACCTCCCTATTATCCCACTGGGACAGCTCGTGGCCAGCACATGTAGAACTGCAGCCATGTCTTTCCTACCTTATGTCTTTATTCCCATTACCCTACTGGCTTGCTGGAGGCTCCTCAGCACCCGATACAATAGGCTGAGGCACATACCTGGGCCATGGCTGGCCAGCTGCAGCAACCTCTGGAAGCTTGCCACCATCTCCCGAGGGGACATGCACACGGAGTGTGTGGCTAATCATGACAGGTATGGCCCGATTGTTCGCATCGGTCCCCATCATGTGTCTGTCGCTAGTCCTGAATCGTTTTATACCGTGCACGCATCCACGAAAGCATTTGCGAAGGTATTATTCTTCTGCCATGGGATAGAGAACGAACCCTGCTAAGCAACGCAGTCCGACATCTACGAGGTCGGTGCACCGACCTACAGAGGCAAGCGCTTGGAAAACCTCTTCTCAATCCGCGACGTCAACCATCACGCAACTCTGCGGAAGAATCTCGGTAGCTTGTACACCAAGGGCGCAGTAAGGAGCCTTGAGCCCCTGGTTGACAGCTGCGTCGACCTCTTCATCCATCGCCTCCGAGATCTCTGCAAACACGGGCCTGCCACCGTCGACATGTCGCTGTGGTTGCATCTCTACGCCTATGACAGTCTCGCTGAGGTGAATGTGTCGCAAAAGCTTGGCTTCCTGCAGAAAGGGGATGATGTTGGTGGAATGATCGGTGCCGCAAACCGGATATTTTACATGGTTGGACTGGTAAGATGCGCGAAGAAAAGAAGAGAATCATCTCAATCCTTGCCTTTCAATGCTGACCAGATTCGGACAGCTAACCCAGGCACCGTTTCTGCATGCTCTGTTCAAAATCCTCCGTACTGCCGTGCCGGCAGAGAAAGTCGAGCCTCTCATTGAGGTCTGTGATTACAATTCACTTCTAATCGTGGTCGTGCTAGAGGCTGATTGTGGAACAGTATACCTTCAACATCGTGGAACAGCGCCTGAGTTCACCTACCGCCGACGATGACATGCTCAACAAGATGCTCAAGCTACACGAGGCACAACCCCAGAAGGTTACCATTCATGAACTCACGTCAGCCATCTTCATCAACCTGTGCGTCCGCCCCTCATTTTGATAATCCTATCAGCACTCGAATGAGCGTATATAGTCTCCTTGTCTATATTGTGATGATGACTCATCTCTTTCCACCTGTCTAGAATGGCAGGTCATGATGTCCTGGCTGTCACCCTCCGCGCCATGTGGTACTTCCTCGCCCAAAACCCTCCAGTTTTGCAAAAGCTCCGCAACGAACTGCAGGCTGCAGCGGCCGAGAGGTCGACGAGTGTCCAGGGCCTTACTGCTCAAGATCTCTCGTCGCTCCCTTACCTGTACGTTCATGAAGGCTCAAACCCTTTCCACACACCACCCCATTGTATGATGCAGATGGGCCTCTGACCTGTGCTAGTGGCGCCGTGATCCTCGAGACATTCCGCATGCATCCCACTACCGGCACCATCCTAGAACGACGAGTGCCTGCCGAGGGCGCGACGTTGGAAGGGCACTTCCTACCAGGCGGGACGACAGTGGGCGTGAACGCTTGGGTGTTGCATCGCAACCGGCAAATCTTCGGTCAAGACACGGATATATATCGCCCGGAACGGTGGCTGGAGGCGAGCGCCGAAAGGAAGACCGAGATGAACAGAAATCTTTTCACGGTAAGCTCACGGAATCCTCCCCTCTCTGACTGCGGAGCTGTGCAATCACTTTGCTGCCTGTTTTATCGCTCTATTCTCGTTTCACTTCGTAGCATTTTTTTCTCAAATCTTGGGTTACCCTTGGCCCCCTTTTGCAACTCGACGGCTGACCTTGGCGTGCGATACACAGTTCGGCGCTGGTCCTCGCACCTGTATTGGTCAGAACATCGCGATGATCCAGATCTATAAGGTGGTGGCGGGGTTCTTCGACAAGTTTGATGTCAAACTGGCAAACCCCAACCGGCCCTGGAAGGTCACCGGCAGCTGGGTTACCAAGCAGATCGACATGGACATGATCGTCACGCCACGTGGCCTGTGAAGGACATCTGAAGATGTTGATGGTGAACTGGTTCATCCTGGCCAAATGTACTTTACCTTCTTAGAGCTCTTCCTGTCTGGCATTAGGTTACTCCGATACAGAGCACAATGCTCCCTCCCTGCAATCACAGAAACCTGAAAGAACGCGTGAATGTCCGGGGATCCAGATGCAGGTAGAACCTCAGTAAGGACATGTTGATCAGCCCCATAGAAAGCGTGTAGAGGATAGGCGTCACCCAGATGCACTTGCCGGTTGGATAGATAGATAGAGTTAGAGATTAGTGTACGTGGTGAAAGAATATTTCGGGGCGTACCTTCAACACAGGCACAGTTTCGCTTTCTGTTATGGCCAAGTGCATGTTTTCCAATCCCGTACTGGAAGCCGATCATGATCGTTATCGATAATTCAAAGTTGAGGATCTGATGGACTGAATGTGAGTGGAGATTGCTGGTTGTAGGGTCTCGTGTCGCTCGCCGCGCCGGTGATCATCAGAACTAGACATGTTCTCGGTTCGGTCTCACGCGTTGAGGGTTTCCATCGGCTTACTATCGTCCGCCCCTAGAGCGCGCAGCATGGAAGCGCGGGCATAAATGCGCAGCGCGACGACGATGGAGCCAAACACCATGAATCCGATGCCCACGCCAACGATTGCCGCATGTCGCGTCTCTGTCGATTCGATCACTAGGCCCACTTTATCATCTCGAGCTGACTATCGAACCCCGAGCCGCGCATACCTTCATTCATTACCTCTCCACCGGTCAATACGAAACGCTTTACAGCGTGTTTCCAGCCATCAAGAATGCTGCAGATGCTACCGAGACCCTGCGCGCCCGTGACATTGAGGAGCTTACGCGCGCAGCCCACACCTACGCTGCGGCGGTGCTGTACGAAGTCCCTGGCCTACAGGAGCTGGCCAGGGGCTTTCTAGGGTTGTTCACCGAGCGGCTGCCAACTGAGGATATCTTGAAAGTGACAAGGGAGATATACGACAGTCTCCGTGACATGGAGCTGGCTCGCACTTGGTTGGAGGCGTTTGTTGGGGGGTGTTTAGAGGTTGCATTCTCGGATGGAGAAGTATCTCTGCGACAGATTATAAGTGAATATGGCATTGGCATGGAGAGAAGCTTTGATCACTTCATCGTCCATGAAACGCTGGCCATCTTTGACAGGGATAGAGAGAAAGTCAATCAAGCCCTTTGTGGGCTTGGTGAGCCGGAGGTATTGGAAATTCGAGGAAGAGGGAACTGGCCGGGACTCAATGTTCCGCGCGGAAACCTTTGTACTTCCGGAAGATGAAGGTGGTGCTCCTATTGCTGACGGGGATCGCCGAACGATCACCGATGGTCCGAACGATGTTGAGGCAAGCTTGAGTGCCTTCTATATTCCCGGAACAACATTTTCACCGGGAGAAGTTATGACAATGTCGGTTAAAATTGATCAACACCTGAAATACCTCCAGTACTTGGGCAGCCGCTTCGCAGTGAAGCAGGACGGCAAGCTTATGGCATTGGGGATTGTGCGGGTATGGGGAAGGTGATCGGAGTGTAACAGGCCAGAGCCCGGCAGCAAACCAAGTGCCATGGCTGTATAGGTCGCGTTGATGAGAAGACGGTGGAAGGATACCCCGTCTTCGGCAGAAAGGCCTCCATACCGTTTCACCGCATGGACGGGGCCGTTCTTTTTCCTTTCCTTGCGATTTCGGTAAAAAGGCATGTGGGCCTAGTACAATCAACTCAATTCTGCTACAACCCTTCACACGAGGGTTGGTAGCAACAGTATGATATGCGGAAGCTAAGAGTTCTGTACTTTGAAACAATCGTTGTATATGTAAGGCTATGTCTGTTACAGCTCAGTTACGAAGAGACAGACATCAACCAATATAGTAACATTCAACAAAGCACTGATGACTCTGCTTCAGGGCCCTGTTGAGCGATGCAGCTAAGTATATCGTGAGTTTGAATAGGCAATGGAGGGTTTTGGTCGAAAGTCAACGACATGTTTTCGTGATTGGGCAAAGATGGAGTTTATGAGAGGTGACATCCACAAATTTATTAACAACATTGCGGGATACAAATCAACGATCTCTGTTAGATTGGGTATTATCACTATATTAATCAAGGTTCTACTTATGTATGTGATCTAGTGTTATATAGCAAATATTGGTGACAGGACTTCTTAACTATTCAGTGTCTGGAGGCGGATTGTCCAAAACAGTCGGTCAAATATATTTTATTATCTGCAAATTTATGTTCTTGAATCTTTATCATATCTGCAAGTCTCGCGAGTTTAATTATAGCAGTTATTCGGTCAGATGGAGTTTCTTTCCCGAGACTAAACCGGCTAAGGTGTGAAGGGCTGAAGTAAGACTTAAATTCAATCTAACTAGGCCATAAACTGTTTACAAAAAGCTTGGGGAGAGAGAGTTCTTTATAGATATATTTCTATATTAGTAGGCTAAGGTTGCGTGGTTTATATAACTGATAATAGATACTAGTCTATAATAATACCCCTCTTCTAGTCTAGTCCTTATTCAGGAGATTATAATATATTTATTAGTATTAGTTTATTATTAAATTACTATTAAAACAGGACTGTATTATTTTTTAAATATATTTAGTATAGTATAATCCTAGATTATATCTAATTTTTTCTATATTTATTTTATCTAACCTATTTATTTTACTAGGGCTTTATTTTAATATTCTTAATTAATTTTTCTATATTATACAGCTAGAATTTATTTAATTTTATATTTTTTTTTATTAACTAGTAATAGAGAAAGTTATATATTATTAATAATCTAGAATAGTAACAGGTCTATAACAGCTGAATAAATTAGTTTAATATAGAAGATTAGATATATACTAGTAGAGATATTAAGTTAAACTATATAAAATAAGAAAACCTCTAATATATAATATTAAGTATATACCTAGTCCAGCTTCTTTAATAGTTATTATATATATATATTTCGGAGATTTAGTTATATTTAATTACTTTTCTTATAGATAAAAATAGCTTATTATTCTTAATTAATTTAATCTTTTTACTAAGTCTGCATGAAGATAATAACTATTTAGGCCTAGTTTATAGCTTTTTAAAAATATTTTATAAATATTTTATTAGTTATCTTAGGCTATATCAGAGTATCTTAATTCTGGTTTCTGTTATTAATATTAATTAGGTTAATATAATATTTATATATAAAGAAAAAAGATAAGATTCCTGTTAATATAATATTATAATTATTAATAATAATTCCTTTTAATTATCCTGAGTATATATAGTAAATACTTATAGAATCTATTTAATCTCTTAATTTACCTACTTTATAGAACTGTTAGTTTATAGGTAGAAAATAATTAATAATTAATATTAGATTAATAACTTCTTATAAATCTTTCTCTAGAAAATATTAATAAACTAGAGATTATAATTACTAATAATTACTAAGAGTAGATTATAATATATATAAAAATAGATTAGGAATATTTTAATAATATATTCTACTATTATCTTAGCTATTCTAATAAGGATTATACTTTTTATTAACTAATTTATTATTATTATATAATTAGTAATTTTTAATAATCCTAAGAATAGTAGATCTATAATAAAGTTTATTAATATTTTAGTCTAGATTTACTAGAGAATTAATAGTAGTTTTAATAATCTATACTTTATATCTTATTATACTATATTATATCTATAGATTATATAATTTCTTAAAAAATATTATATATTCTTTACTACTTCTAGCTAAAAAAACTATTAGGATAATATTAAATATATAATATCTTATTCTAGATATCTAGTAATATAAAAATTATAAATCTTTTATATAATTTTTATATATAAAATTTTATTATTAGAAATCTAGATTTATTATCAGAATTAAAGTACTTTTTAATTATCTAAATAATACTCTAATAAATTTATTTTAATATTATTTTCTATAATAATTCAGTATTCTCTTTTCTATAAAATCTAGATAATTTATTAATATATTATATTTATTATTCTAGTCTTCCTCTATTTAATTTATAATTCTGATTTTTTAAAAAAAAAAATATTTTATATAAAATCTAGCTCTATACTTAGAGATTTATTAGTAATTAGAAAAACTACTTATTTATTTTTTATCTAGATTTCTTTAAAAAGGACTCTGAATTAATTTAATAATCTTTTATTAGTATTATTCTTTAATATATCTTAATTTTATTATAATAATATATCTGGTTAAGCTGTTAACTTATCTAGTTAATAAATAAATTTAAAATTAAACTTAGTTAAAAAATTTATTTAATATATTTATTATTTATTAAACTATTATATTTTTCTAAAGTATTATAAGTTTTTATAATTAATTATAATAATAAATTATAGAATTATCTTCAGCTTTAGTTTTTATTTATATAAAATATATATAATAACTAATAATTTTTTATTATAGATCTTATAATTTAACTCTACTAGTAATAATTTTTAGAATAGATAAGTATATAATTATAATTATTTATTAGATCTATACTAAAATAAAACTATACTTATTACTTAACTAGAGATATCTACTTTAATAATTATTTATTATTCTTTTTTAAAATATACTAAGATTAGGATATTAATAAAGAGATTTTTTAATTTTATAAAGGCTTATTAATAGTCCTTATCTTATTTAAAGATTATATTCTTTTTTATTAGATAGTTTAATAGTATCAAAAAGTTAATAAATTATAGAATAAAGAATTAGTAAAAGTTTATAAATCTAATAAAATTTTATATATTTTATATTATTTTTAATATCTTTTATACTTTAATAGTTTTTATCTTCTTAGAATTAACATAAATCCTTTTTCTAATTTATATAATAAAGTTAAGATATTTTATTAATTCTTATTTAAACTCAGACTTTATAATATTATACTATAGTCCTGTATCTAATAATTTCTATAATATTTTATTAATTTTTTATTAATAGTTTAATAAGGTCCTGTTAGAATAGATAATTATATTATTTATATAAGCTGATATAAAGTTATCTAGATACTTATATAAGATTTAGTTAATATATTTCTAAAATATAACTAGTATACTAGTTAATTTAAAAAAAATAATATTTTATTTATAAAAATTATAATATAATTAAAAGACTATTTTTTATTCTTCTTCTAGATAAATATAAATCTTATAAAATATAATAATAATATTAAGTTTAATAAACTAATATACTTAATCTATATTTTATAATATTTTATAAATTAATAGTAGGGGATAATAATCCTTTACTATTTATTTATTTAATCTTTAGTAATTAATATAAAATTATATATTATTATCTAGTTTTTAAACTAATAGAATTAGTACTATAATAAATAATTAGCTAATTTATATAAACCCTTTTCTAAGTAGATCTATAAGTATTTTTTATAAATAAAATAGTTTTTCTTTATTTATATTATAAAAAGATTTATAAAATAGTAACTTCTTAATATTATTTATATTATATTTTAATAGTATCTTATAATTAAACCTTAGGTAGTATAGTAGTAATTTCTTAATTAATTATTAATTAAAGATATCTAGTTATTACTAGTAATATTTTAGTAACTTATCTTTTAAATTAATATATTTTTTTAGTTAGAGTATTTTCTTAATATTATCTAGTAAAACTCTTCTAATATATAATTAGTTTAATATTAATTAACTATATAAAAATTAATAAATTATTAATATTATAGTTTATTTAATATACAGTACTTTAATTTCTTTAGATCTAATTAATTAATTTATATAATTCTAATATCTTATTTATTTACTTATTTTTATAAAGATATCTAGATATCTTTTTTAGGTAGAGTATTATTTATTTACTTTATATAATTATAAATTATTAAGGATTATACTATTCTTCTAAGATCTAATAATATATATAAATATACAGCTCTGTTAATAGCTATATATATTAAGATTAAAATATATAATCTTAGTAATTTAACCTTAATTTAGTACTACTTTATTAAGAGTTTATAAAAATATTTTAATATATAGAAGATTAAGTACTTAGACCAGGGATTTATTTACTATTATATAATAGTAATAATTATTATTAACTAAAATTTATATAAACTAGATTCTATTTACCCTAGTATCAATTAAAAATAGTAATATTTTATTTTTTAGTAGTTTCTTAATACTCTCTTATTCCTACTTATAGCTTAAAATAAAAGATACTCTTTTTTTAAATTATTTTTTATAGTTATATCCTTTTTACTAGAGGATTCAGTAACTAAATTATTATTATCTAAAGGCCTTACTTTTCTAATATTAGTAATATACCTACCTTTTCTTATACTTAATCTTATTATAACTTATACTAGATTTAATAATTAAACTAATTAAAATATATAGCCTATAATTTAGTATCCTAATCTTTTATATTTTAGATACTTTTTTTTAGTATATTATTTATTAAGTTTTTTTTAAGTAGCTTATCTTATCTATTATAAAGATTTAATATTAGGTTAACAGGATTCTGTGTATAATTTAATATAGTTTACTATAATAATAAATAACCAGTTTATCTTATTATTAGATCTTAGAAAATAAGGATAAGATATTTATTTAGTTCTATTAATATTAAGAGTATTTATATTAGTACTAATCTTATAAAGTTAGAAGATTAGATCTAAGAAGATAATAAGAATATCATGATTTATTAAGACCCTAGTTATAATTTTATTAAGTATATCTAGAAAGATTTATTTTTTAATTTTATTATACTATTTAAGAGTACCGGTATTAGTAAATTCTTTTTCTAATTATAATAAAAATCTTAAAAAAATTATATTCTTTAACTACTATATCTAATATAACTACTTTATTATATATATTTTTATATTTAGATCCTTATAAATATTTTTAAAGTAGTTAAATAAAACTTATAATTTACTAATATTTTAATATAGTTTTATAAAGATTCCGGTATTCTTCTATACTAGTTTCTCTAGTCTAAAAAATATATATATAAATTAATCCTAGAGTAAGCTGATAGCTTCTCTATTTATACTAAATTTATTTTCTATTATAATATATTATATAAGCTAGTTACTAGAGCTGCTACTAAATAATATAGAATCCAATAAATATACTTTTAGTTAATAAATTATCTTTATTCTTAGATATTCTGGTACTGATTTAACTATTAACTGGGCTACTATTACTTATTCTTTATTTATTATAATAGTTAATAATAGAGAGACTTACTATTCTAGTATTATCTTAAAATAATAAATTTATTTTTTTTATATAACTTTTTGCTATTTATATTATTCTTTTTCTTTATTTTATATTATTTAGATCTATATTATCTACTATAGTAGTATTTATACTTATACTAGAAGACTTATTAATTCCTGTATTTATATTTTACCAGGGATTAGAGGTTATACTAATAGTACTTCAGTATTCTTTTATCTAATATTTATTTTTTCTAATATTCTTAGTTTTATAATTAGAGAAATCAGAAGCTTTTTATATGTGAAGGGCTGAAGTAAGACTTAAATTTAATCTAATTAGGCCATAAACTGTTTACAAAAAGCTTGGGGAGAGAGAGTTCTTTACGGACATATTTCTGTATTAGTAGGCCAAGGTCGCGTGGTTCACGTGACTGATAGCGGGCACTGGCCCGTGACACAAGGTATAGTCATTAAAGCAGTAATTGAAAGCTTCGACTTGAAAAAACTCTATCTATTTCCCCCAGTTCCGCTGACTGTTCTTCTACTTCTTTAAAATTCTCCTCTAACAGCCTGGTAAAAAACGGTAAATATTTGTAAAGAAGTGCCTTGGAAACAGTGTAGATTGCAGCTCCTGTTTCTATACGAATAATAAGAATATGGTAAAGAGGTAAGTGACTAGGTTATAAGCCATTAGTCATATGTTTTACTAGGAAGATAGTTACACGGACCACGCCATAAATTCTTGATAAGATATACTGAGTAAGTTGTTAGACTGTTCAGTTAATATTATAGGGTCCAGAAAGCAGAAGTATCATCAAGTATACCGTTATGGCCCACGCTCCTGATTTGATATTAGTTACTGGTACTGGAAATATTGCAGAATCAGGTCCGGCCAAGAACTGCAGGATGGTTATTAGTGTAAGTAGTAGATCCGGAAAAGGCATCATGCATAGCAGGACACTCAACTCCGTGCCTGCCCCTGTCGCACCCCGCAGTCTCCATGGAGTACATGGGTTTCTGGAGTCTTGTATCTTGTCGGTCTTCCCCGAGTCAAGCAATGCAAGCTGTAAATTGGTAGTTGCTGTCAGTTCATGTCGTGTAATCACGGGAGGAGGCTCCTTGAATACCCGACAGGCATTCTCGTGGAGGCCGATTAAGCAGAAGTATGGGCAGTCGATCAGCCCGAGGTCGGCGCGAGTCCCTTCTCTGGCTTCTCTGGTTGGTGGCCGGCGAGGGGGACCTACACGGGGAACCGAGGTTATTGCTCTTTCGGGGTTGGATGGTTGTGGTATGGATGCCTGCAGTTTGAGGCAGTAAGGATGGTATGGTACTGTCAGGCTGATACAGCGAGTCCTACCGCCCGGAAGCACATGCGTTTACGTCATGGACTTCTCTACTCTTTCTGCCTCTTACGCTTCTTCATCCTTCCGGGGTAGGAAAGACAAAAGCTTTTCTTGCAACACAACAGGGGGAGTACAATTGCTCAATACTATAGACCTTCATCTGGTTCACGTTCATCTGCAATACGATCCTCCAAATTGCCAAGGACCACCCATCGCCGCGGCGTGGCGACCGGGCCAGGGCAAAATGCCTCAGGCAGGGTCCCTTTAGACCGAGGATCTTCAGCAGACGTGATCCTCTCTTCCGAACCTCATCCACCAACCACTCAGCGGCCTCCTTGGCTCCGAACCTGGCTTGTGAAATCTGGCACATCTGGGATACGGGCAACCTAATTCTTGACCACTCTACCATGCAATCCTCCCTCCTTTCCCCAGTTTTCGAGATGCCGGGTGCGTCTGGCCCTTCCTTTTTGTCCCGCTGATCCGAACGTTTACCGACCATTGGCCAGTCATTGACTGTCAATGCCTCTGACGCACCGACTATGGCGCATGCAGCTGCTGAGCCTTAAGTATCGGCCCTTTGGCTCGTGATTCCAGTTGCGATGAAGGTGCTTGTGTCAGTACTTTAACCCTCTCTTACCCTCCTTGTCGCCTTTTCCCCTCGAATTCTCTCCACTCACTTTCACTTCGTTCTTCCTTTCTTATCTTACGTCCCTCCTGGCGTTTGGATGTTCTATTCCTCATAGTGTGTTCTGATAGAAAGCAGCTCGCTTTAGACGGACTATACTGTATACACTTCCTCAGTCCCCTGGTTGATACCCCTGTTGATCCGCACCATCCACCCCCTCATCCAACATGGGTTTACACGAAGACGAAGACCAGAAGTATCTGGAAGACGTCCAAGCCGTCAACACCTGGTGGCAGGACTCCCGATGGAGACATACCAAGCGGCCCTTCACGTCGGAGCAGATTGTCGCCAAGCGGGGCAACCTGAAGATCGAATATCCATCCAATGTGCAGGCCAAGAAGCTCTGGAAGATCTTGGAGAGCAACTTTGAGGTTGGTCAAGACTATCCCATTGAATGCGTATGGTTTGAAGCTCACCATACTCTCCACACACAGAAAAAGGTTGCCAGTTTCACCTATGGATGTCTCGACCCCACCATGGTCACCCAGATGGCCAAGTACCTCGACACCGTCTATGTTTCTGGCTGGCAAAGCTCGTCCACTGCCTCTTCCACCGATGAGCCGTCGCCGGATTTGGCTGACTACCCCATGGTAAGCTTGTGCCACTACAAAGATTATGATTGTGCCCGCTGACACCAGACCAGAACACCGTCCCCAACAAGGTCAACCAGCTCTTCCTGGCCCAATTGTTCCATGACCGGAAACAACGAGAGGAGCGCATCACCACCCCTAAGGAGCAGCGCAGTAAAGTGGCGAACATCGACTACTTGCGGCCCATTATCGCGGACGCTGATACTGGCCACGGTGGGTTGACCGCGGTGATGAAGCTGACCAAGCTATTCGTTGAACGCGGTGCGGCGGGTATCCACATCGAGGATCAGGCTCCAGGCACCAAGAAGTGTGGCCACATGGCCGGTAAGGTGTTGGTCCCGATCAGCGAACACATCAACCGCCTCGTTGCTATTCGTGCGCAGGCCGATATTATGGGTACGTATACCGTGCGCTTCCGTAATGGAGGATCATAATAACAGGGTCATGGCAGGAACGGATCTCCTGGCGATTGCCCGAACCGACTCCGAGGCGGCCACCCTCATCACCTCCACCATCGACCACCGAGACCACGGTTTCATTATCGGCTCCACCAATCCCAAGCTGGAGCCTCTGAACGACCTCATGGTTGCTGCCGAGCAAGCCGGCAAGTCCGGGAGCGAACTGCAGGCGATTGAAGACCAATGGACCGCTCAAGCTGGCTTGAAGCTGTTCAACGAGGCCGTCGTTGACGCAATCAACCAGAGCTCCCACAACAACAAGAAAGCCGCTGTTGACGACTACCTGCGCCAGGCTAAGGGCAAAAGCAACCGCGAGGCCCGCGCCATCGCCAAAAGCATCACCGGCGCCGACATCTTCTGGGACTGGGATGCCCCGCGTACACGCGAGGGTTTCTACCGGTACAAGGGCGGCACCCAGTGCGCGGTCAACCGGGCCGTCGCCTACGCCCCCTTTGCGGACCTAATCTGGATGGAGAGCAAGCTGCCGGACTACGCCCAGGCGAAGGAATTCGCCGATGGCGTTCACGCCGTATGGCCCAAGCAAAAGTAAGTTGCCTTTTCTGCCTCTAAAAACCGTCCTGCGATGTAGATAAACTAACCCCGCATTCAGACTCGCGTACAACCTGTCGCCCTCGTTCAACTGGAAGAAGGCGATGTCCCGCGACGAGCAGGAGACGTACATCAAGCGCTTGGGCGCGCTGGGATACTGCTGGCAGTTCATCACCCTGGCGGGCCTGCACACCACCGCACTGATCACAGACCAGTTCGCCAAGGCGTACGCGAAGCAGGGCATGCGCGCGTACGGCGAGCTGGTGCAGGAGCCCGAGATCGAGCAGGGCGTCGACGTCGTCACGCACCAGAAGTGGAGCGGCGCCAACTACGTGGACAACCTGCTCAAGATGGTCACGGGCGGCATCAGCAGCACCGCGGCCATGGGCAAGGGCGTAACGGAGGATCAGTTCAAGCATTGATGCTGTGTTGGAGGGGTCGAATTGATGTAATTTGGTAGATACCTATAGTCAGTACCTATGTTGATAGCATTTTATATATCTTTGGATGTTACTTTTCTGTCACCTTGCCACACACTTCAATATATATCCAGGGCAAAGCGTTCCGGGGGAGAACCCCCGACCCCCGTTCTCTTTCAGCCCCCTGGTCCACCCCAATTATATACCAGAGATAAACGTCCCGGGGGAGAACCCCCGGACCCCCCTTTCTTTCTGCTTCCTGGTCTACCTCAAGTAAATACTATGTAGAGATATATACGTCCCAGGAGAGAACCCGGACCCCCCTTCCTTCCAGCTCCAAACCGAGTCACGTGCCCACCCCACCGCAACCACAATTACTTCACCACCACTCCCTCTACACCTCAACAAAACAAATCGAACCACAACCAACCCCCAGAAAGACCGCATCACAAAATGACAACCCCAATCCCAGGGCTCCGCCCATCGAGTCCAAACAGAACAAGCACCCTCCTCGCGAACCTGGCGCACGTCACCGCCCGCATAACCGCCGCCACCCCCTCCTCACCATCGCCAAAACCACCAAGATTAATAGCAGTTAGCAAACTGAAACCCGCCTCCGACATCCTGACCCTACACACAACCACCAGCCCGCTGCACGCGCACTTCGGCGAGAACTACACGCAGGAGCTGCACGAGAAATCACGCCTCCTGCCGTCGTCCATAAAATGGCACTTCATCGGCACCCTGCAGTCGAACAAGTGCGTGGCGCTGGCGCGCGACGTGCGCGGGCTCTTCGCCGTCGAGAGCGTCGACTCGGCCAAGAAAGCGACGCTGCTCGATAAAGGGTGGGGCGAGCGCGCCGCCGAGCTGCGCGCCCAGGACCACGAGGACCGGCTGCGCGTGTTCGTGCAGGTTAATACCTCTGGTGAGGACGCGAAGAGCGGGGTGCCCCCTGGGACTGAAGCTGTGGAGCTGTGTCGGTTCATCAGGGAGCGGTGTCCCCGGTTACGGCTGACGGGGGTTATGACTATTGGGGCTATTGCGCGGAGTCGGGGGGTTAAGGAGGGGGAGGAGAATGTGGATTTCTTGTGTTTGAGGGATACGAGGGATAATGTTGTGAGGGAATTGGGATTACAAGGGGAGGAGGGGTTGGAGTTGAGTATGGGGATGAGTGAGGATTTTGAGGGCGCGATTAGGCTGGGTAGTGATGAGGTGCGGGTTGGGACGGGGATCTTTGGACAGAGGCCGCCCAAGGAGCTTGCTACTGTTCTTTAGGTTCTTTGGTATTCGTATTAGATTGGGATGTCTGGGGTGCTTATCTCTAGTGTTTAGGATTGAGGTGCCTGGGAAGCTGAAAGAGAAGGGGGGTCCGGGGGTTCTCCCCCGGGACGCTTACTCTGGTGTATGGTTTGAGGGGTCGCGGAAGGTGATCATGGGGCCAGTGTATGATTATGCTTGAATGAAAAGGTATGGTTGGGTTTAGCGCTATGTCTATAGCTGCAGGGGATGGAGAAGATCATGTACTGTACGATGGTTGTTCAATCGCGGGTTTTGCATGTTTATGCTGGCGTTAGTCTACCATAAGATCTACGCCCACTCCCCGCAATGCGTCGACTACCCAGCTAGGGTAGTTTGTCTTCTCGCCGTAGAGATCGGCGAAGAACTGGCGCAGGAAGGCGGGGTACCGATCTTCTAAAATAGCCTGGCGAGCGGACCCCATCAGGGACAGCAGGTAGTGGACATTGTGCATCGTGAGACTGGCACAGTTAGCATCCATTCACGCACCGGCCGGAGAAACTTACAGATGTGCCCCCACGGTCTCCTTCGCCGTCAGGTGGTAGATATATGCACGCGTGATGCCCAGTCCGCCCTGATCCCTCGGCCGGCAGATGCTGCAACCACAGCCTTCTTGCACCGGCCGGAAGTCCTCCGCGTATGACCGATGACGCAGGTTGAGTGTGCCGCTGGGGACGACCGCATTGCCGAATCGCTGCACCAAGTCAGTCATTGAGAACATCACTCGGACGGAGAACGTACGGCTGTTCGTGTCGGCCAGACACAATCGAACATATCTGCGCCGAGAGCCACGCCGACAATCAAGTCTTCAGGATAGCCCTGGCGATTGTCAGTACTGAGCAACGAATCACTGCGTTCAACCTACCACTCCCATGACATAGCGCGGCTTCTTCTCGGGAAGCAGGCCCGTGCAAGTGTCCACCCTGTACCCGTCAGCTAAGATCCACTGACAGGAATGCATCTCCATACACTTTGCAGAAGTCTTCCTTGGCCTCGCCGCCGGAAAGGCCCCCAATGGCGATACCCGGCGTATCTCGAGCGACCATCTCGGCGCAGCATTGTTTGCGGAGTTCTAGATCCAGGCCGCCTTGTATGATACAGAACAGATTCTGTCTCTCGGGATATTTATGTGCGTCGATGCACCGGTCGAGCCATCTGACAGATCGTTCCATTGCTTCGTGGATGCGGGCATGGTCTGGGGAGGTGGTGGCGATGACGTCGTCCAGCTGCATGATGATGTCGGAGCCAATGGAGTTTTGGAGGGAGATTGAGTGTTCGGGGGTGAGTAGCCTGGGCGGTTAGAAAGTGTTGTTCTGGTAGGGGAGGAAGGAATGCGAACATCGGAGTGCCGTCATGGGGACTGAGGAAGCGGACGCCTTCTTCGGTGACTTGGGCGAGCTTGAGGAGGGAGACCATCTGGAAGCTACAGGCAGTGTGTCAGTCTCAGTATAGGATCGAGATACTGGGAAGCTGAAAGAAAAAAGGGGGTCCGGGGGTTCTCCCCCGGGACGCCTAATTTCCAGCTATTATTTTGACGTTTGTGGTGTAGTCGGAGGGGCATGGGCAGTGTATAAGTATGCTCATTGGATGCGATTGGGTTAAGCGCTACATCTATAGCTGCAGGGGATTGCTCACCCTCCACTGTCGGTAAGGATATTTCGATCCCACCCCTGCAGCTTGTGCGCACCGCCGACCGTATCCAGGACTGCCTGGCCGGGCTTGAGGCCGAGATGGTAGGTGTTGTTCAGGCAGAGTTGACAGCCGGTCTGTCGGAGTTGATCATATGTCAAGCCCTTCAGGGAGGCTTGTGTCGCGACGGGCATGAAGATGGGGAGGGGGACGTCGCCATGGGGGAGTTTGAGCGTGCTCGCGCGGGCTTTCGTTGTCTAACAGGGAGGAATCTAATTAGCCTGGGTTCTTGAGGTGGGATCAAGAGAATGAAGGCACTGACCGAGCACTTAGCATGTAGATCGAAGGTCAATGCAGAGGGCATTGGTTTGCGCGGGGGCGCCGCGGTCGAGGTAGACATGGCTACAATTCGAGCCCCGCTCGGGAGTTTGAAGGAGGGACCGCGGGAGAGGAATGGGGCAGTAGCTTTGAAGACTGAAGAGATACTGCGACTGGTGTAGTAATGTCGTGTGTGCGTCATGAAGGAGAATGTCACGAGGAGGAGAAATTGGCCGCTGTCATTGACAATCGATCGAGGAAGATTATCGCGATCAATGGACGCACTTTGCCTGATTTGTGTTGTTTGGCCTGTTTGCTGGGTGGTGGTCTTACGCCGATCTTGCCTTCCCCGCATCCATCCACTGCGGAGAACTTCTGCAACCTTCTCCCTACTTATCGTTCGTGCTATTCTGTCAGGGACAATCACGCTCGCCTGAGAGTCATTCAAGAATTGTCAGATTCTCATCATACTGGGGAATACTTCATTGTCTCTGGATTGTCAACCTGCATTGCCGTGAACGTGAGACCGCTGACCTTCACTAGCGATGTAACCTAGCTAACAAGAGCCTCCCGTCTCCTCGTCCACTACGCCCTTCCGTACGGAATCTGATTTTACATCTGAGCTTGGTCATAGCTTAATATGGAGGCAGTCAGCAATCTCAGCAACTCTACTGTACTAGCACACGAAACTTAATTCGCAAATGTGCCGTGTGTCGAGAAAGAGTCCCTCGAACATGCATTGACAAAGATAGCGGCCGCCACTGTAATAGGTACAATACAGATAAGCGGAACCGACCAGGCAAAGAAGCCTCCTCCCCGGGTATACTTAATGATCTGTTCTCGTCGCAAAGCCGATCGATCTCACGAAGCACTTCGTAAGGCAAAACAAGCACCGACTGCCATGTCCTCAACCATGGTGGTAACAAACTCACTTCCACAGCCTTCGGAGGCTACAAAGATCTGATAGTGATCCGTAGAAGGGAGGCCAGTCGTGTGGCTTCACCCTAAGGCAATTTGGACAGAAAAGTCCGGAACAGTTACCTTGCTCTGGTCATACTTCAGCTCAAGCTCCCCACGCGTGGGTCTGCTACCACCCCCGGTTGCATTAGTTCATAAGAGATCCTTTTATAAGATCCTTCGGCATAGGCTGCCGACTACTGAGCTTAGAGGAGGAATGTTCCTGAACTCATCAAAAGGTTGCTAATTCACAGGATTGCGTCCTACATAACCACAGTATCTCTCTCGATATGAGAGTTCAAATTTCAAACACCGAATCACAATATCAGAAGCCGAACCAAAGAACTTTTTGACTGCAACACCAAGATGCACTATGAGAGAAAATCCACCGAAAACGGAAATCTCATGGAAACCCCGGGATGCAAACTCTTCTTGACGGCGACTAGGGAGACTGGTCGCTTAACGGCGTTCGCGGGGACCAGCCCATTTCTTCGTGAAGATCTACTTCTCTTGACCAATCAGTATCGAGGGATTCACCTCGCTGCCCCGGCTGATGGACCGAAAAGGATGAACCATAGATGGGGCGCGCAAGGGGAACCAAAGATTAGACATGCGCTCGGGGACCTCGGCTGCCTGAACTCTGAATAAGCCCGCCAAGGAATGCAGGTAATTACCAACACCTGATGCTATCTATGCCAACTATGCGATCTTGGGTCCCAGCGGGCTGGATCTCTCTTCCCCTGCCGGATCTTTCTGCCGCCGTTACTTCCCCGAGCAATCTGCTACCTATATATATGGCTCGGTGACACCCCGGAGTTTGAAGTTTGTTTATCGCGGTTTTACATGGGACAACGAGGAGAAAGGAAGCTCATTCTCCCACCATCGATCACGTTCTGAGTCACCTCAGCACAACTGTCTTGAATTGAAATTTATTGACGTTTCTTACACTTTCTTGTGTTCCTTGACGGCCAATCCATGGTAAACATGGAGGGAGCATCCATTCCTCTTGACGATACCAGGACCCTGGACTTGGAGCGTAGTGACAGTCGACACTTCCTAAGAAATGACACCGTGGATAATTTCTCTTGGAGCGGACTGACGGTCACCGTCAAGGACCGACAGACGAAGCAGGCAAGAGATCTTCTTAACGATATTTCTGGGGATGTGCAAGCAGGTTCGTATTCGAATACCTCTTGTTGCTATTCTTGTTATCGCTATGGTGGTCACGTACCGCCACGGGACATGATCAAGGACCATAAGCTAACGTCGATGTCAAACAGGTGAGCTCGTGGCTCTGATGGGCCCATCGGGCTGTGGTAAAACGACACTGCTCAATCTTCTAGCTCGTCGGCCCGCTACCTCTGGCTCTAAGGTACTAGGAGGTACCTATGTGAATGGCGCTGAAGTGGCCTCTGCTTCATTTGGGCAGATGACTTCGTACGTCGAGCAGGAAGACGCGCTGATCGGGTCGTTGACTGTGCGGGAGACGATGAAATTCGCAGCTGATTTGTCGCTACCCAGGTATGTAGCTGGAAGAATGGCCCCCATTACAATCGAATGTCTCGGGCCCATTTGATCCCGCTCGACTGATGGACATATGCTAATATTGATCTGCGCTCCTTGCATAGTTCTGTCACCAAGCGCCAGCGCATGGAACGAATCCAGGCTCTTCTTGAAGCATTCGGTATTCAGAAACAAGCGAACACGTTGGTTGGAACGCCTATTCGAAAGGGTATCAGTGGTGGACAGAAGCGGCGAGTCAGCGTGGCGAGCCAGCTCATGACCCGTCCAAAGATTCTTTTCTTGGACGAGCCCACGAGTGGTCTGGACTCGACAGCCAGTTTTGAGGTCATGTCTTATGCAAAGGAGATAGCGAAGATCAATAGAGTGAGTTAGACGGCATCACCTGCTGGCAAGCGTTAACCATGTCCATTGCAGATCATTATTATCACCAGCATCCACCAGCCTTCAACAACCACCTTCCAGCTTTTCGACAAACTTCTTCTTCTCTCTTCGGGACGAACGTGCTACTTTGGTCCGGTCGCTAAGGTCCAGAGTTATTTCGATCGTATCGGTCATCCAATCCCCACGAGCATGAACCCCGCCGAGTTCCTCCTTGATATCATCAGTTCCGACTTCGACACTGGCAAGGGAGGTGGAGGTGCACAGGCGCGGGTTCAGGAGATCCAAAAAGCATGGGCAGAGTCCACTGAGGCGATTGCTATCACGCGCCAAGTGTCAGAGCGTAATCAAGAAGCTGGTAAAGGCATGGACAAACGGTCTACCGAAGACATGGCGCGACCGGGCCCGATCAGAATCACTGCGGCTCTCCTCCATCGGTCATTCATTAAGAGTTATCGCGATGTTGTTGCATATGGCATTCGAATTGTCATGTATCTTGGTAAGTATGGTTCGCTGGTGGGCGCCTTTCGCAGGATTACTGACATGGGACCAGGTCTGGCCATCATGATGGGCACTGTGTGGTTACGCCTCCACCCTTCTCAGGAGTATATTCAGCCGTTCATCAACGCGATCGTGAGTCTCGCCCCACCCAAAGAACCCTTGAAGGAGAAGTCCTGACTTAAATTTTCTTATTAAGTTCTTCGGCTCGGCCTTCATGTCTTTCATGGCAGTCGCCTACGTCCCAGCCTTCCTCGAAGACCGCGCCAACTTTGCTAAAGAGCGAGCAAATGGTCTGTACGGAGCGACGCCGTTCATCGTCTCGAATTTTCTCATCGGCTTGCCGTTTCTCTGTATGTCTTACTTCCTAATCCGTGCAAGGTGGAAAATCAACAAAGCAGCTACTAACGGAGCCTAACCTTCCAGTCATAATCTCCCTCCTATTCTCAATCGTCTCCTACTGGCTCTCCAATTTCCGCCCGTCCGGCGATGCATTCTTCACCTATGTGATGTGGATCTTCCTAGACCTAGTCGCCGCAGAGTCTCTTGTCGTCTTCATCACATCCATCTTTCCGAACTTTGTCATTGCACTGGCTCTGGTCGCATTCGCCAATGGTCTCTGGATGAGTGTGGGCGGGTTCCTGGTCACCCCGAAGATTCTCAATCCGTTCTGGAAATACGTTTTTCACTACATTGACTACCAGGTATGATGCCGAAGGCCCGTGTCCCTTATCGGGAACGTCTCACTTCCTAAACAGGGCATAAATTGCTAACTGTGTCCAGTCCTATGTCTTCCAGGGAATGATGGTCAACGAGTTCTCGCATCGAAACTACTCCTGCGGCAAGCAGTGCCAGTGCACGTATGTCACGGACTTGGCTGATCAGTGCCTGATTCGCGGAACAGGTGTGCTCCAGGAGTACGGGTATGCGACGGGAAGGACGGGCAAGTGGGTGGGTATCCTCATCGGGATTATCGCGGTGTATCGGCTGTTCGGGTGGATTGCGCTTCGTCTTCTGAAGAGGTGATTGAGTGGCTCCGAAATAAAAGGGTCGTCGTCTGCACCATCGCGAAGAGAAGGGTGGTGGAGGCTTTCCCTAGTCTCCAGGCACATTGCATCCATCTGCTTACTCTACTGCACTGTTTATTGTGGTAAGCCGACCAAAAGCAAGATAAGGACCTGCGGTAACTAGCCCTTGTGTTTCTTCTTCTTCTTCTTCTTCTTCTCCCTCTTTTTTTTCTATCTACATCTTGTTGATGTTTCTTCGAACTTTAACTTCTTCTAGTATATCTTAGATATACAAAGATAATTGAGATAGTATATCATATAGATTTTAATATATTATTAATTAATTATTACTTTATCTTTATTATTATTTTTTCTTTTCTCAATCTTACAAGACTTTAATATAACTATATCCAATGTACTAATGTATCTATACGAAAAGTAATGACTCATTGACTGGAATCTTGCGTGGTGACGTCAGTTCTTGCCAGACCAGATAAGACAAATTAATTGCCAACTGAGCCGATCAGGCTAATTTGGCGGCAATAGATTTGAAGCACAATCCCAATGCCGGGAACCTCCCTGCAGCTGATCTCATGAGTGGCGAGAAACGATACAACGCTGCTTAAGGAAAGGTTAGGGCAATCGGTGACTGCGCGGGGCAGTTCCCCGGGGATCAAATGGAGTCGCCGCCCATCAAGCTTTGAGCATATCCTCGGGCATCGGCGACCTGCATGCGCGCTAGAAACCTGCATTGTAATAGTTCCGAGTGTCAGGGGACGATCATGATCATGGCCCACCACCGGCATTTTAACTCCGGACTCCTCCGGACTATGGACTGTACTCTACAAAAAGCACCAGCACAGCCCTATCTCCAGCTAGACAATAAAACCCATCATAGACAATCTCCGCACCTATTCCTCTACTTTCTAACCACCTCAATCATCTAATTCAACCAACATGAACCCATTCACTTCCCTCCTGATCTCCCCCGCCGAGCTCCACCACCACCTCTCCAAAGCCCTCCCAACCCTCTCTCGCATAATCCCTATCGCAGCCGGCAATGGCGCCGCGCTTGCATCTTTCGAAGCCCGGCATGTGCCCAACTCAATGTATGTTCCCCTTTCACTGCCTCCAATCGTTTTAACTCGAATGCTAATGCACAAGAAACAGCTTCTTCAACCTCGACGCCGTGAAAGACACCACCTCCCACTACCCAATGATGCTACCCTCCGCCACCCAATTCGCAACCTACATGACCGAGCGCGGTATCCGCAAGGACGATATCCTGGTCATCTACGACACCTTCGAGACGGGCCTCCGGCTCTCACCCCGCTTGGCCTGGACGTGCCGGCACTTCGGACACCGGGACGTGCATATCCTGGATAACTTCCCGCGGTATGTGAGCGAGGGGTTTCCGGTTGCTAGTGGGGCATTGGCTACCTCCGCGGCAGGAGGTTCCGAGGTCCAGGCGGCTGGGTACCCGGAACCACGGGAGATCAACGCAGGGAATGTGGTCTCCTTCGAGGAATTAAGGCAGATGATTAAGGCTCAGCGGGACGGCAATGGAGCGCAGGAGTTCCAGATCCTTGATGCGAGACCTAAAGATCTCTTTACTGGCAACACGGGGGCCGGTGCGGATGCGTCGGTACGGCTGGGCCATATGCCGTCGGCGATTAATGTGCCGTTTGCTTCTGTCTTGGGGTCTGATAAGACTTTTCTTTCTGCGGAAGAGCTTAGAGATGTGTTTACGAGAGCCGGCGTGAGGGAGGGCGTGCCCGCGGTGCTGACTTGTAATACTGGTGTCACTGCTACGGCGCTGGATTCCGCGCTGCGGGTTGCTGGTCTGCGCGTGGACACGAAGCTCTATGATGGGAGTTGGAGTGAGTGGGCTGACCGGGCTGAGGAGGATATGGTTGTTTCGTAGTTGTTCTGGGTATATTGTTACTTTACTTGGAAATCGATTTAGCTGCAGGCGAATAGATCGGTTTATTTGAAAAGAGCAGATTTAGAGTGTGTAATCTCCCATTATGTGTCTGGAAAGCTACGACGTTAGGCGACGAGGCAGGGTAAAATTTGCCCGCGAGATTGCTGATTGAATGGGAGTTTCTCTCATGAGATGGGCTTTGTTGACTCCGGAAAGTAGCATGATTCTGTGGGTCAATTCGGGGTTTAGCTTGCGCGGAACGGTTCGGTAGTCGCCGATATTAGTCTTAGGCCTAGTTACCAAGCAGCAAATGACTAAGATCTAGTGAGTTCTTCATAACGCATTTGGCCCCATATTTCTAATCTCCGCGGGCTACCATCAAATGTTTTCTCTCGGTAATTGAAAAGTCCTCCACTCCACCGCATGGCACATGCTTACATAGAATATATAGGAAGAGCTGCGCGATTTACCCAGATTCAAAGACGACCAGCCTTACTCTCGCAGTGTAAGAGAACACCTAATTCCGCGCATTCAACACCCGGTGTCGGACACTTCACCCACCAAGTACGCATGATGGCCGCACCACCCAATACCAAAGATATCCCAGCCCACATGGCGCTCAACAGCGCAAACTACCTCGACGCCTGGTCCTCGCTCTGGGACACCGGCGACGACCTGCCCTGGGACCGGGGTTTCCCCAACCCCGCCTTGGCCGACGCTCTCATCCAGCACCAAGCCACCATCGGCAAGGCCATGATCCCGAACGAGCACGGCCAGCCATACAGACGCAAAGCCCTCGTTCCCGGCTGCGGCAGAGGCGTCGACGTCCTCCTCCTCGCCAGCTTCGGCTTCGACGCCTACGGTCTGGAGTGCAGTGCCTCGGCCATCGAAGCCTGCAAGCGAGAAGCCGCCACCCACCAGGACTCATATCCAGTCCGCGACGCGACCATCGGAAAAGGGACAGTCACGTTTGTGCAGGGGGACTTCTTCGATGATTCGTGGTTGCAGGAGATTGGGGTGCCGCGGAACGGTTTTGATGTGATTTACGACTATGCGGTAGGATTCACCCTGCATTTGTCGCTCTCTTTCTAAGACTGGCGAGTAACTGACGAGAGAATCTAGTTCTACTGTGCTCTCAATCCGTCAATGCGCCCTCAATGGGCCTTGCGGCATACCCAGCTCCTGGCCCCCTCGCCGGCAGGGAACCTGATTTGCCTTGAGTTTCCACGCAGCAAGGACCCTAAGGCGCCGGGGCCGCCTTTTTCCTCTGCGTCGGAGACGTATCTCGCGCATTTGGGTCATCCGGGGGAGGAAGTGGCCTACGATGACCGTGGCGTCGTCGAGCAAGATTTCCTGCAGCGTGCGCCGAGCTCTGCTGCTTTAGAGAGGGTGGTGCATTGGCAGCCCGAGCGAACGCATAAGCATGGTTACAACGCAGCCGGAGAGGTCGAGGATCGAGTTTCTATCTGGCGTCGACGGGCCTAGAAATATGTGTGATGAATATCGAATAGTCATAGAATCACATCATCTTGACAAACTGTGGAAAAAGGTTCTTAACTCAATCACCCACTTACTTTGATATCAGGCCCGGTAGATACTGTCATCAAGATGGGTGGGGTAATCTTCAGATAAAGAATCGTATTTCCAACACCTGGCTTATTGGTCCTATGATAGAACTAGAACTAGAATTAATTGCTGAATAACATCATCCAATCTAGAAGACGCTGTTGAACTTGACATATAACATCATGGTATCTAGAACATGGCTCAATATCTATACACAATTTATGTTATCTCCCCTTTCTATATACAATCGACCCCCTTTTATCTCCAGCTATCCCCTCACCCCTGCTCCTTAATCTTCGGCGTAAAGAAGAACCCAACCATAACCACAACCTTGCAACACCCACACATAATAAGCGTAATACATGACCCAGCGACCTTTTCCACCGCAGCACCAGCAAAACACCCCGCCGTCAACATGGTCAGAAACAAAACCCGACGATTCCGCATCCGATTCCTGACCTTGAACAATTTCGGATCAATCACCACATCAATATACGCCGCCGTAGCCATTGCGGTCGTGATATCCGTGACCTTCAACGCTCGGCCCATGGCCACCTGCGCACCGGACGAGAACGCCAACAGGAAGAGCGTCGCCAGCGCGGTGGGCGTCCGCTGTTCGGTGGTGGGCGTGTCGTACGCCGTGATGGCCGCCGCCGCGAACACCATCGCCGTCTGCAGCAGGCTGGAGAACAGCAGCCACCAACGCATGCGCACCGCCCCGAGATAGTTGCCCAGCTGGCCCATCAGTAGCCCGCCCGCCACGAAGGACCCCAGGCTGAGGCCCAGGTTGTCGAACCGGTAGTCTGCGGTGGTGGCCAGCCCCGCGCCGCCGATCGCCAGGAAGAGCATGTTGCCTGTTTGGTTCGAGGCGAAGCATCCGTAGTCACGCCAGGCGGCTGCGTCCTGGATGCCGATGGCGAAGGAGAGGAGGAGGAGTTGTGCTTCGAGTGCTAGGTCTTCGCGGATTTGTTCGCGGAGGTAGGTCGGCCATTGTTTGGGTTTGGTGGGCGGCAGTTGGGTGGCCGGGGCCGGGAGCGTCATGGGCTGCGGTTGAGGGGGTTGTGTAGATGCTGTTGAGAGGCGGTCGTCGGAGTCTGCACGCATTGTTGGGCGATGTGAATATACATTCCGTTATTATTGGGTTGGGTGGTTGGATGATTGTTCACGGCATGGGAACCGTGAGGGTAGGTCTTGACATGTGGACGGGGTGAACTAGCAGACTACACTGTACATATGAAAAACCTGGGTAAGACGCTTAAATTTGGTCAAGGTACGCTAAACAGATTTGCCTCTAGCCAAAGACTTACAGTCGGCCGAAAAGCTCTGTCGAATCATATATTGATGCTATACAACCCATGGTGGAAATTTCTGGTTCAGGGGAATCGGCGACTGGGGATTCGCCGTCTCGGCACAAGTTCGCGGTCGGCGTTTGACCAGTTTCTGGCGAGCACCGTGCCCGAATATTGGAAGGATGAGGAATTGTGGATAATATACCTGTTCCTTCAATAAGCTATCCTAAGGGGTCCATGCCATAGAATTGTCTCAGTTCCAAGAGCCCGGCCTTGGACATATTTGAATATTCCACCGATAGCCTTAACCTTCATCGTGAAGCCGATACGCTAAATCCGTTGTTAGGCTCAAGTCTTCGATGGTAACATTGAATGGATATTGTTTCTCCTGATCATTTTGGAGAACATTTTTGTAGGCCCTATGAACCAGTCTATAGACCCAATGGACTTATACATATATCCAACCTCAAAAGGAATAGTCCAGACAATTCAACCCAAACTCGAATTATAACATCCAAGCACCGAATCCCAACGCAACAAAAATTATCGCATAGTTCAGGCTGAGCAAGACAAAAGCTACACGTGTAACCCAAGAGAAAACAACCATCGGGCAAGTCCTCTGGACTGAAAACCCAAGCCCAACTCCCCTAAACATCTACCACTCTTCCCCATCAATCTTCAGCGGCAAATGCAGCATCCGTTCCTTAGACTCCCCAGAAGGCGCAGGTAGCCTTCCCGCCCGAATATTCAGCTGCAACGAGGGATTCAGCAGCTTCGGCTCGCGGAGCGTGGCATCACGCTCCTGCCTTAATGACAGGAACTGAGCCTCTGTGACGGTCTCATTGACATGCTTGTTGCGCATCCGGTGGTCGCGCACGCTCAGCCAGGGGACGGGGTCCGGCCGGTCTGTGTGGGGGTAGTCGTGGCCGGTCCAGATCTTGACGTGGTCGGGCAGGCGGAGGAGTTTTTGGGCCGAGTTATAAAGGTCCTGCGCGCTGCCGCTGGGGAAGTCGCAGCGGGCGGTGCCGAGGTCGGCGTGGAAAAGGGAGTCGCCGCAGAAGATGTTATCTGTTTGATAGATGAATCGTGAGTTTAAAAACTCTGAGGAGGGGATAGGGGAGGGGATGGGGTGCATGGATAGCGGGAAGGGGCAAACGAACCTCCAATCTTATAGCCAAGGTGGTCCGGTGTGTGGCCCGGCAGGTGCATGGCAGTGGCTTTTAGCTGCCCAATGGCGAATGTCTCGTCATCGTCGAAGAGCTGGTCGAAGACGTCTTCGTACTCTGTGGCCGGGATGCCGAATCTGCGCCCGAAGTGTTGTTGCACTTGCGTGATGCGCTTGCCGATACAGATTGGGGGTCGTTGTGAGCCGGGTCGCTGGCTGAGGCGATGCGCTAGGTAGGAAGCTGCGGTGAGGTGGTCGGCGTGTGCGTGTGTTTCGAGGATGCGCTGGATGGTGTAGCCCTTCTCCTCGATTAGGGATAATAATCCATCTGCAGTGGCGGTGGTGATAATCTGGGTTTCTGGATCGTAGTCGAGCACAGAATCAATGATCACGGCGGCGGAGGTAGAGGGATCGGCCACAATGTACTGCCATGTGCCGGTCTTGGGCTCGAACAGAGAGTGAATCGTGGGCTCTGCGGTCATTTTTGGCGGGCTATCCGGTATATTGCTTGTAGTACGTGTTTCTTTCTCGGTTCGAATCCGATGAAGAGGTGGCCTTTATCATCGATAAATATGGAGTAACATCGGGGTTCAGCTTCAGTCGGTGGATCGGCGAAGTTATTCATAAAAGAAATAGGGTTTCATGATGTAACCGTACGGGCACTTCCTCTGGTACGGACCATAGTAGTGGAACGGGAATCAATATGACGACCCTAGAAGCTATGCTGCAGTTATATGACACCTTCACTAGACTGGCAAGAATAAGATACCCTCGAACATAATGGAGACATGGCCTGATAGCCCTTTGAAGAGTAGTAAGGCCACGATAGGTATCTTGAGAGCATAATAGTTATCTCGGGGTTAATGAGCAGACCCAAAAGCGAGGAAACAATGATAAATTGTTCTTTGCAGCACAAAACACCGAGATTGTGGCAACACGTGGGGAGGGGGGTCGAAAGACGGCGTCTAGAGTGGACTCCGTATCAGCGTCATCACCGAGCAATGATCCCCAGTCCCGTCACTCCCCGCCCCGTGGGATTGGTCTCCGATAGACTGAGCTCTCCGGCACGGGATTCTGCAGAATTATCCAGAGAACCCATTAGTCAGCTTATGCAGTTTCCACTAACTCAATATAGTGATTTTAACGTAATCGGTAAGCGAGTGGTCCATGTAGGCGAGTGGCCCAACTCCGTATTCCTTATAAAATAGTTATTATTCAAAGCTGAATATCTCAACAACTACAATACTTAAGAATATAAAACATGAATATATGTTAGTTAAGTATATTCTCTATATATAGTATTATTTCTAAAGACTAGAAAATCATATTTCTTAAAATATTTAGAATTTATATTAAATTACAAAAAATACTAAGAATATATATATATTTTTAGGTAATTAAAATATATACCAGGTTTTCTTTAGGCTATACTAGATAATCATAATAATATTAAGCTTAAAACTAAGTTTTACAAGAAATTTATAAGAAGTGGTTGAGATATTTAGCTTTTAATAATGGCTACTTTATATGGAATACGGAGCTGGGCCACTCGCCTACATGGACCACTCGCTTACCGATTACGGTACCGGTCGCATGTTAGAAATCTGCTAAGAACATCAAGACCCTCGTATATGGTGTCCACTGCTCCCAGGCTTGTAGAAAAAGCGAAAGAAGGAAGGTCCTGCCCTATCGTGCAGGTGCAGAGAGCGTAAAAACGCCCATGGCTACTAGCACATCTCTCCAGGCCAACCCCTTCGAGCCTGACCGGCATTCCTCGCTCTTCGGGGCGCATTATGCCAGACTTCAGACTATCAAGAACCAATACAATCCCCACAGCCTCCTGTGGTGTCGGTACTGCGTTGGTAGCGAAATGTGGACGGAACGGACCGATGAGAGGTTGTGCCCTCCGTTTTAAGGTTCAACCATGAAGCAGCATATTGAGAGGAATGGAAGGAAGCCGGGTGGTATATCTATTGAAATTTCCACCTGTTGAATAGCCAAGGGGTTGTCTGGCTGATTATGCGGGGGGCTACAGTTGCCCGCGGCGCGAATTCCCAAGCCGTCGAGGATGCGATCCAGCACGCTGGTCGCAATGAAATCAACGCCCTGGTCTGGCATTGGTACGCTCCCAATTGTTTGCTCGACATCGCAGAGCAGCCGTGGTACAAGGGATTCTACACCAAGGCCACCTGCTTCAACGTGGCGGACGCCGTCAACGACAGCAATGGGGCCAACTACCAGCTCCTGTTGCGAGACATCGAGTCGGCTTTCAAGTGTGTGGCCGGAGAAGTACCTCAGTTTCGCTAGGCTACCCCGGGAGTGGTCCTGGTGGCAAGCGGTTGCTAGTTGTTTCAAGTGCCCGCTTGTCTAGGGTGTACTATCATTATTACTTTCGTTGCGATGGACTGTATATAACAGCAATTCATTATGTCATTTATCATTGCCCTCTTTCCTCAACTCGTAGTAGATTGTAAAGACCAGCTATGCCAATCAAGCCATGTAGTGATATTATTTTATGGCCAAATGTTAAGTACACGGAACCCTGACTGAACACACAATTCTATTCGTAACCCTCTCAGAACGCCCGGTTTTACTGTCCAGATGGGCGCCTTTTGTTGAGGGAAAGGTACAAGCTGCAAATATACCCAGCACTTTCCGGTGCCGTAAGAAGCATTCTGCCCCTCCTGGTCTCAAGAAAGGAGAGACCACCAGGCGCTAAGGCCAATTTCGACTCAGTACGTCAAAAGCACATATATAAAGCTCGCTTTAACCAACGTTTTTCAATGCCATAAACGATGAAAATATCATGCGGAAATTATCTGAACCACTTGCTCATACAGAGGCAGCCCTGCTAAATAAAACTTCTATCGAACACGGTCAACTCACAAGACAGAATCGATTACTCGCTCGCACCTATCTCACTCAGGCAGTTTCAGGACCAAGCCTAGTTCCTCTAGACGTGAGGACTGACCCATTCTCGGTCCATGCTTGCAGAATATTCCACGCTAGTGAGAAAACCAGCCCCCATATCCGCCACGCAGGCAGAGGTATGCCAATCAATGGGGTCAAGGCTTGCCAGCGTCGCCTTTGCCATCCCCATCAATGATCGCTCTGATTGTAGGTTGATAGAGTTGGGCGAATTAGGCAGGCTAGAAGGCTTTTAAAAAAGCTTCTAAATCGGGCCAGCAACCAGCCGCATACGAATGGCTCTTAGATGTACTTTCAAATGGGTGAAAAGTCAAAAGAAAGGAGAAAGAAGGAAATAGAAGAGGAAGATAAAGAACGCAACAAGACTCGCTCCGAGTAGTAAAAACATGAAACATCATAGGTATACCAGTGAACAACAAGCGCCCCTCTTGTGGGTGCTTGGTTAGTGCCTCGCTGCCCTACCCATCTTCTGCACCTGGCGGTATAATCTTTACCCATAATAAACCACAGGTTACTCTTCCACACTTTACTTTGTCTTCAAGCCGTTGCAATAGCTATTAGTGTCAAAGGTGGATGCCATTTGAAGGGGTTTTACGGGATAATCTTATTTGGTTCCGAGGGTTGTGTTTCTAAAACAATGAGGCCTTTGTGTATCATGTTACTCATGAAGAAGTTTGACTTACATGGTCGATATATGTTATTAGGCACGTATAGTACTTATCCAGCACACTCCCTTACATGAAACCAAGCCCTGAGCCCTTAGAGCCTGTGTCACCAGACAAAAGGTGCCTGCCACCAGGCCTTATCAATCATCGAGACTTGATTTGCATCATATCAAGATCGGTGGCCTTCTTATGGAGATCATCAAGTATCCCAGTCTTCCGTCTTGTAGAGGTCTCCCCAAGGCGTAGGCGGAGAGAAAAAAGCATCAGCTGGCGTTTTTCCGTAGAGGGTAGAAGGGCGGATAATCCTAGCAGTAGCTTCCAACCCGACAATACTGCATACCACATAGTCAGCTGGAGATTTTCTCATCGTGCCAACAACAGGGTGAGGAAAACATACTGGGATTGGTTGATTAAATCCATTGCTTTTCCTACCTCCTGCCCATTGGCGATCTTGACAAAGGCTGAGGAGTTTGGGCTTTTGTCTTCATTATTGGTGATAACATGCTAATTCAGGAGAATAATAGTCAGTCTCGGTCAATAAAACTGGGACACTAGGATCCCTATATGGGGAGAAAGAGAACATACAGCTTCGGCATGAAGGCCGTGCTGGGAGAAGGCCTGGTTCAAATATGCATCTGTTGCGTGGTCGAGGTGGCTAAGGTGGATGATAGACATCTTGATCGAGTACGCCGAAAGAGAGCTGGTTGTTCCGATATGACGGATCTACGTGGTACGCTTATTTATACAGATGTCTAGAATCTAGGGGACGTCGGAATGACGTTCTGAACCAGTAGTGAGATCATCAAACATCATTTAACCCTTATTCTGAAGCTTATAGGATGTCTGCCCGCGCCTGATTGGTCTCTGCTCATGCATGCTCTTCTTACCCCGGAGTGCGTGCGCATCACGACTGCTGCCGCCTTATTTCGACAAATCCGTGGCACAAGCTTATAATCATAGATCAGCAAAAACATACAACAGAAGGGATTCGCTGGTGGTCACCCACCCAACTACTAACCTCCCGGCGTGTGGCTTAAGTACGGCTGAGCGGACGGGAAGCCCTGTTTTCCACACCCTGTGGTCGTATGTGCTAGACAAATAAACAAAGGTAATCATGTATAATTTGTCACTTTACTACATTCCATATTGAAAGCCCTTTTTCGCTACCTGTTTGAGTAGTGAGTTTCTTAATTACTAGCTCAAGAGAAACCTCTTATAGCCCGATCCTTGAAATGTTAACCGGGAATTTCTCGAGCTTATGGGGACAGCTTTACCTCAGCTTAGTGATTTTTCGTACATGGATAGGGTCTTAAATAGCATGCTTCTGATACTTGCCTTTGAGAGCATGTTCACAGACTAAGAGAAGGAGGGGAACAGTAATTTCTGCTGGCCGAGAGGCTTCATGCCAGCAGCAGCGGTAAGGAAGGTGAGGCTCAATTCAAAATCATTCAGATTGCCCATGCGATCGTAGCGCGACGAGAGGTGGGCTGAGAGGTTAATTGAGTACCCAGCATGGTTGGAATAGCTGGTCGAGGTGGGTTTCCTTCCATTCACTCGTCCTGTATATCTCCGGTCTATAATGGATCTGCATGTCGGTGAATAGTGTTCCAATTTGAGCCCTAACCTAGATTTATATAAGTTCTGCTTAAATATCTACGTTGGACAGACTCCGATTTACTATTATATCTGTATTCAGCAAACTACAGAGTATGTATAGTACATGTACTAACCTGGCTATTTGTGCGCAGCTTTCTGTTCAACTGTCTTATCAGCTAAACTAGCTACAAGGGTTGATAAAATGCCAAACTAAACACTAAAGGGGACTAGGTAGTAAACCCTGACCAAGTACTGTACATAAAACCGGCCGGTTCCCCCTCTTCAAGTTCCCTCTCTCTGCGCCAGGCTTCAAGATATCATCCTACCTCTCCCGGCTTCATTTTTCCTTGCATCTCACTCAACAGAACACCTTCTCCCGCTCTTTCTCTGTCATGCACGATGATCAATCACTCCCTACCGACAAAGGCGACCAGCCCACCATGATCACCTTCGACAACAGCGGCGACGGCCCGCTCTGCGTACCTGGGTTTGGCACGATCCCCCTGACATACGAGCTCCCATCTGACGCGCGCTTCGCCCACGGCATCGACGAGTGGCGACAGGCGCCCGCCGTCACCGCGCGAGAGCTGGCCATGACCGCCGCCATGAACCGTCTGACTGACCAGCCGAACTGGCATATCGACGTCTTTGATGATGGGGTCGTGGCGCGCTGGCGGCAAGACAGCATCGCCTCCCTCGCGATGAATCCCCTGCTGAGTGACCGGGCATGGGCCTGGTGCGTCCAGGAACTGCGCGATAAGGCCGGCGAATATCGTCAGAAAGGACACATCCGGGTGCTAGACACGGGGTCCTGTGTTTGCAAGTCCGACTTCGATGTCCCTGCGCGAGGAACAGGGGATCAGCTGGCCAGGAAGTTCCGACGGGCCGTGAGGCCGGTGCTCCGCGCCCTCAGGCACTCCGGGATGGTGGATTGGCGGTCACGGCATCGATTGAGTATCATCGACCCGACCTTGTTTCCTCTGGTCTATGGGCGGAGCTTGGTCTTGACGGATGGGGGTCGAGTGGAAATCGGGGATGTGTTGGGCGCGTACCAGGGAGCGGCTACTACCGTTGCGCCTACTCATGTGGACAAGAGGACCGATGCGGCGGATATTCAGAGGCAGATTGACGAGGCCCGGGATGTGCATGTCGATTATGAAACAGCGCCTCACTATCGGTGGAGCGCAAATTACCAGGCTCTACCATGTGAAGTGGAGTTCACCGGCGAGCCAGGGTCAACGCAGGTGCGTCTCACATCGTACATCAACAATCTACATCCGACGCACAAGCACCTTTACCAGGCAATAGAGTCGCTGGTTAGCCGAGCTATTCCATTATGGAACGACTGTCTGGTACGGGGACAGCGCGGCTGGAAGGATATCCTGAATCAAGGCCAGCTGGGGCCGGTCCCAGTACGGATCATCACGTATGGAGTCGAATGGGTGAATGAGCTTCCGGAGTGGTTGCTCGCCTTCCGGGTCCCATGGCCAGTAAGGAAGGCAATGTACCGCAAAGCACGAGAAGCGCTTCTGGATAGTGCAGCAGATGACACGGACGAGGGCCGCAAAAAGCACCGAGAGGCGCAACAACGGCTGGAATGCTTTCCAGACGTGGAGGAAAACGAAGAGAAGGAGTTGCCGCCACCCGAGTCAGACCTCTGGCAACGCGCGAAGGAGTATCTCGAGCTCCCTGAGGACGGGTCTGACACTCCGGTTCCTGCCCCGGACGACTGGCAGCAAAACACTTGGTCCAAGATCGAGGGCAAGCTCAAGCAACTGCTACGCTTCTGTCATCCAGAGCCGGGGACCGCATTTTCTTATGAAGAGTGGAAGACGGCGCGCCACAACGAGAGAGCTGTGGTGGATCTAGTCCGCGAGAGGAAGGACTGGTATCATATTCCCTATAAGCCAGTCATACCGCCCCACAAACCCTATACAATTCGACTCCAGGAAACCTTCCGTTTGCAGGGACTGCAGATTATTGTCAAAATGGAAAATATTGAGCTCACCCCTGACAGTCGGGTCTATAAAGGAACGGACTGGCACATGGAAGGCCAGCTCAACGAACACACTGTTGCTGTTGCTATGTTTGTATACGATATGGACAATATTACTGAACCCCGAATCGCCTTCCGTCAGAATACTAAACTAGACGAAAGCTTCTATCGATACAGGGACTACAAAGAGCAAGGGCGGGAGCAGCAGTGGCATATCAGAATGCTGCCGGCCTGGAGATGTGGCAAAACCACCTGCTCGGATTTGAATGAACTGGCAGAGATCTTAGGATTTTCAAACTTCGACCTCGATACCGATAATCACACAGCACGGACATGGCAGGATAAAGGTGCAGTTTCGCTCTCGCAAGGGCGTTTAGTCGCATTTCCCAACCTTCTCGAGCACCGAGTCGAGCCCTTCTCCCTGGCCGATTCCAGTCGCCCGGGGCATTTTCGTTCCATCACATTACACCTGGTTGACCCGCACTATCGAATCTGCTCCACCCGCAATGTGCCGCCGCAGCAGCATCACTGGTGGGAACAAGCAGTCGGGGATACACTGCGCGCTGCTGTCCGACTACCCCAGGAGATTATTGACAAGATCATGCAAGATACCGGCAGCTGGCCTATGGGTTTGCCGGAAGCGCGACAGCACCGCCACGCATTCTGGAAAGAGCATCGCTGGAATAACCTGGTCAGGGTGGATCGGATGGATTATCCGTACTTCAATTGTTGATTGTACGGTATATCTTCGGAGCCCTACAGGGTCTGGCGGGAGCCAAAACGGTGATTTTGTCTAATAAGCATAATTTCTAAACTCGGCATCAGCAACATTAACATGTGAACAAATTCCGAACTTACAAAATCACACCCGAAATGGCTTGCTCAAGCTAGCCTTGATAACTTCTGAAGCTTACAGCAGGCACATAATGGGAATGCGCCGAGAGATACTGCCCGAGTCCCGAGAGATGATAATTGGCTGGAATAGCAGGATGAAAGCGTCAAGGTTGAGACTGAATTGACAATATTTTGCCAGAGATCAGTCGACTATACTGGAATATCGGTCAGCCCCCCGGCACATTCTGAAAGTTAGATAAACTTCGTGATGGGCACCAACATATGGCCCCGAGTAATGACACTGAATGAGGCGGTAGTGAGCGATAGGGAGACCGAGACAGTAGAACTTGAATTTCTCTGGTGGCAACTCCTTATACAGCAAAATCAATTGAGCGAGCACTAGTGAGTCCAAGTGACGAGAAGACTTCGAGGTCGGGAAAATCTTATCAGCTCGTGCGGGGGGTGGGGGGCAGGCAGTGCTTCTCTAACGCCTCTTACCGGCTCTTCATTGGACGAGCTCTTGATATAGCGCATAAAAAAAAATCAAGCATGTTGAATGTGCACGATTTGGCTTGCGTGGCTGTATTTAGGCAGTTGGAGTGTGCTTGTCCGGATGAGCACAGCCGATCAAGTTGCTTAGCGAAGGAAGGACTTTTTACCGGACACATACCACTCTATTATGCCTACACCTGGATTGGGTGAGTGCACTGACATTCGGAGCCAATGCTTTCCGGGCATCGTTGAACGAAAATTTCGAGCCGCTGTCGTCGCATCTAAATGATGACAATAACAAACATCCTGGACCGAAGGTAGTGTCTAGATATGCGATTAGCCAAGCCAGATAACAAGCAGCAAACAAGGATGGCTTGGCACATTTAGGATCTTGAGATGCATGAAGGCGTGCCAGATACTGAATGCATGGCCAGACTTTCCCTGAACGAAGTCAGACCATGTCCTCTCCGTCGCATGAAGCACTTTTAATAAGTCCATCTATCTCTTCACAGACATATAATGGACCGCGCCTATTTCCACTACGGCGTGGTGAACAGCGCAGTCAGGGCTGCCTAACAGAAAAATGAGTTTGTTTAAGAGAGGATAATAAAAACCAATACAGCAGCTTGGGTTTTGGTCTGAAAGTAGACGTCAGAGAAGCACCGCCGCGGATCACTTATGGAGACTCCGACGGGGTGATGCATTTATTATGAGAAATAGCGAGTGCATCTTTACAGTTTGTATCTCATCTCCTTGATGAAGAAACAATTAATACGGTGAACCCCTGCAGTCTGTCTCTTTCTGGGTGAAAATGGGGTGAATATCTTGCCGATTGAACCGAATCTCAGCATGGAAAAACCCCTCTTCTGAATGACTTGGATGGCTTCTGTAACGCCCAGAAAGCTTGTGCTTTGTAAGTTAATGTGTACCAGCGATCAAGTCACTTGGCCAGACATGAATTCCCACCCTCTGAGAACGTACCTTATAGAGTCTCCTGGTTGGTTTAAGTTCCTGCTGTTCGAAGCCAATATTCGCTCATGTTCAAGTATAACACGGGCTGTACTAACATTTATTATGCTGCGGAATGAACAAGATCTGACGCAAGAGGCGTCTTGCGATAATTGAGATGATCATATATGCTTGTCTCGGATTTCGGTGCTTCAAAGTTCCTTCAGCCCGCTAAAAGTCCGGCGGCCATTGATGTATTTGAATTCGGAAAGTAGACTCCAACCTCGCTTTTGAGGAAACAATTTCCATCCTGACCACCATCAAAAGAGGCGGTCAAATTTGCCGAGTAGACCACCCCTTTACATGGTGTATCGGCAATGACACGGTTCCACCTCACGCAATCGGCAATACATGACTCCAAGGTATACCGCGTAGTAAAATCAAGGTCTCCCACAGTTTTGTTCCCGTAAAGCCCTGCATCGCCCTTGGGCCAGTCGACAGCGCATAGCAGCGTGAAGATCGATCCATCGGATGCGGTCAGCGTGGTGAGATTCTGCCCGGGGCATGGGTTCGCAGCTATTCCGATCGTTCCGGAGGTGATTGGTGCTGAGCTTGTCACAGATGCGGTCCGAGTAGTTGCCGCTGCAGAGGTAACGCTTGTCCCTGTAGCAGACAGGGGTTTGGTCACCGAAGAGGATCTATATAGTTCTCAGCCTCAGAAAGAACATCCGCGATATGGCGTACTGAAATGTAACTCACGCCACTGCACGGTTGGCCTCTGATGCTCGGGATCCTCCAATACCGCCGCCGATGGCAGCCCCAATAATCACAATCAGCACTATTGCAAGTATCCACCAAAATCTCCTGGTCTCAAGTCCACAAATTCGTCTATTGTCGCTTGAAAAGTCAATTGGTCTCCCCGTGACGGTAGGTTTCTGCGGTCCTGAAACATGGATCAGCCCTCCCCCATCTCTCCATACCTCTTTGTGCGTATCGGTATCCGGTAACGTTTCAAGGGTCCGGCCGTCCGCTGCGATTCTCTGCCCTGGCTGCACCACATGGAGCCCGTCCTCCATGTCTGACACTGTGAGTGAGAGGCAGACACAACCGTTAGATTGATTTCGATTAATCCAGACCGGCTTGAGTGAACTGTGGTCGCCGAATTTTCTGGCTACCACCTGTTGGAAGTGGGCGTTAATGACAGGTGAATCAGATTTCGGAGAGGGAAAAGACTTCGGTTTCTTTGCGCGGGGATGTGTGCTTTAATAGTGCACGACGCCCCTCAAAAGTCAATGCCGACCAAAGCATGAGCGCCTACTGTACTGCTTTGTTTGGCTAGCCCTTCTTCGTTAAGTCGTGCTAGTTCTCCCAGTCTGGTAAGTTTTGTCTTTTAGCACGCACACGTCCCGCATTAGCGCTTACCTCCTACATACTCCGGTTGGCCCTGGTGATTTTGTTAGTACAGTGGTGAGGTGCAGGGATTTGGATCCTTCAAATTCTGCTGTTTATATAATTATTAATAGTTTGTATAACCACCTGCGGTGTTAATCACTGTTTTATATCTTACTGTTATACTATGAATCAATTTATTTAAAAATATTTCCGGCACCGTACTTTAAGAAGCTTCTATAACTTTATATCGCGGAGGATTCGAGAAACTTCCTCTTCGCGAACGATCAACATAGTGGAGGTAAAGTATGGCTGTGACGGTGTGAATCAGACAAGAAGTCATACGAGACACAACGCGTAGTCTGGAGCTTCAACGGCCACTCTGCCTGATCTTGCGGTTATATCCATGATCAAAACCGGCACGGTTTTCGAGTGCGGATGGCCCTTCCGCGGCCTCTCCACCAAACCAATATCAGTCTGTTGCTGTGAGTCACCCATCGAGCTTTTCAATGTAGAAATAAGCACAGGTACCCAGTAGAAGCCCCGCTCGTAACGGAAGGGCCTTCCGTTGAATGTTAGATGCATTGGCGACATCGCAGACCACAGACTTAATATAAGGCGACAGATGGCGAGCATAAACAACCAGAAGCCAATTAACTCATCCCTCAGCTCTCCCATAATCCGCCCCCCTACCAACCACAATGGCCCTCGCACAAACCTTACAACATGCCTCCTACAAAGCAATTCAATGCATCGACATGCACACCACCGGCGAGCCCACTCGCATAATCTACTCCGGCTTCCCCCTTCCCCGAGGCCAAACCCTCCTCGACAAACGCGACCAAGCGCAGACCGAGATACGACCACATCCGCAAGCGGCCCGGAGCTCATGCTCGAGCCCCGCGGCCACGACGACATGTACGGAGCCATGATCATCCCTGAAACTGAGCTCGTTGAGTCCGGCGCAGCGCCTATCAGAGTTCTATTCACCCATAACGGAGGATTTTAAACCATTTGCGGACATGCCACGCTCGCACTGGTGACGGTTTCTCGTGGATACGCATGACCTCAGTGTGTTTCCGCGACGGGATGATCTAATCTTCGATGTTGATGAAACGACGGTGGCGCTGAATATCCATGTGCCGTGTGGGCTTGTTCGTGTTTCTGTGCCTGTGACGGAGGATGGCAGGAAATCAGATCCGTCTATCACCTCCTATATCAGATATTAGCGCATCCAGCCAGCGCGAATTTCTATCAATCAAATCCTGCTTTATTTACCCCGTCATCCTTCCTTCTTACTTCCGTTCTTTTGCTATCTTTTGTATCAGTATCCTAGACAACCAAGGCACTTGCGCGGGCCAGGACTCCCCTTGAGGTGATCATTGATGGGATTTACCGGGCGCCGCATATGTCTACTATCTGATGTAGCACTGTACAGCTAGGTGCTCTCACTGCGTTGACCTCTGGTTTTATTTGCACAGAACAGTACGATCGTGCTGCTTTTTCGGTGTGTCACCTCGGAAGAATTTTCGTTATCGATTATACCAGCAGCCCCATATCTACTGTCTTGTTCTCGCGCAACTTTCTCTCCGTCGCGTCTGGCGAGGTCGAAATCGATAATCAATCATGAAGGTAGGAGACCTGTTCGATACTCGCTCTTCCCTGGATCCCGTTCATGATAGACTTGGGTGACGTCAAAACGAGATTGACACAGAGATACGAGGTGTGGCAATGAGGTCACAATCAATAATATTTATACTACGCAATAGATCGAGAGCTGCTCGATATACAGCATATGATTTTCTAGATATTGTTAGAATGATTGTAGCATCACTAGAGTCGTATAATGTAAAGTTATTATGGAAACATATTTTGAGAATTATGAAAAGGCCTGTGCGCTATAGCAGTTGCATTCTTATAAGATCGATACAAGGCCTATATATCGTGATATCTACCCACTGGCACTGTCCGAGTCATCCTAAACCACAAATTAAATCAGCTTATCAACGTGAAACTATTTAGATATCAAATGGATATGTGCTACCCATCGCTGCCGAGAGCGACAATCATATTCAAAGAACGCAAGAATATACAGTTCAAACAGATGTGCCGACTCATTGCCGTCGATGCCAAACCAAATCTCGCAAAAAGCCGCCTTAGTCCCAAGAACAAGGCCTGTTATTCACGAACATGACCATCCGGGAGCCATATCAAGAAGAATATGAGCATGGCTCTTGGGCGAGGAAGCGACGGATTCTGAAGACATTAGATCTCGTGGTCATATGCGCTTCAGTTTTCCTATACTTTATAACAGTAGAAGTTGATTAGGTGACCACCGGTAAAGTTTATCCGTTATATATGTTGTGCTTTCATAGAATTCTGCGTCTTTTGACTAGCCGGGTCCGACTAACCAAAAAAATGATACATTAGGAAAGTCTATATTACTCGATATAGAAATTGGATCTTATACTTGCTGTATCATTGTGTAACCCGAATCTGTTATCCGTCATCATGTCCCCACTTAGATAGACCACGTGATTATCGCCATGATGCTTTGGTGGCTGGCAAAAACAGCCTCACCTGAGAGAACCATTTTTTATTTTCCAGGGGCGTGAGCCAAAGTTCTCTTCAAGGGTAAACGGGATATCAAAGAAGGATCTCTTCTGCATCCCTGACCATGTCAATGTTCCTGAATCTCCCTGTTGAGCTCCGAGAACTCATCCTCGCAGATGTTCTCTACTCACCATTCACCCCGCCGGAGACCCAGCCCGATTTGGAGGCGGGAGTGCAATACCATGACATGGATTACATGGCATGGGTGTGGCAGGGCCCCAAGACGTATTATGTGCCGCAGCGTAGAGAGAGCTCTTCTTTGAACTGCCTATCTCTCTTCTTAGCCTGCCACCAGATTTCCGCCGAGACGCGCGCGCTCCTGGCCCGCTGCCGGAGACCCGACTACCGGCTGGACGTGTCTGTACAGGACGAACGGGATATTCTCCTGACCTGGCTGTGCGTGCCGTGCCTCACCCCAAACATCGCGACCCTTTATGTAGATGTGCGTCTGTTCGGGCACATCATCGACTAGCGGATCGCCCGGAGCTACAGGGGCGACGGCGGCCAGCTCGGCGTCCACTGGGCCTTCTACGCGGCCCTCGAGCGCTTCCTCCGCTACGGTCCGATGGGACACCAACAAGGCAGCAGCGAAGGTAAATGCCGGGGTTTCGCAGACCGGGGCATGCGGGTTGAGACCCTCGTCCTCGACTTCCAATCTGCAGATTCCGAGTTGGAGTTCCCGCCCTCAGACACCGTATCATACGCCTTCTGGCTACGGTGGCACTCGGGGATCACGTTAAGACGCCTCGATGACCCCGCCGTGTCCTTTTCGCGCTTTAAAACGCGCCCGGAGTGGTTCTGTGAACATCTGCAAGGGTGGATTGGTACTCTTCTGGCGATGAACTATCACACTGCCAGGTATGGGCAGTTGCTCTACGATCACATTGGGACGATCAAGATGCTGGTTAACGGACAGCTCTATAAGGAATTCGATCTAGCCGCTTTGTTGCACGCTTGAGCTTCACCGGTTCTGATGAAACGATGGGTCATTTACTTCGGGAGGACAGATTGTCGCTATGCTATTTCGGGAGTGGAGGAAGGAGACTCTGCTCAGCCGGGCTGCCCACGGGCTGCCGGTGGTATGGCCATTGGATGATGAATTGGACACGACAAAGTGAAGGTTCAATGGATGTGTGATACGATGCTCACAGCTACAAGGTTGGCGCACACCCTTGCGATCACGGAAGCGTCTATGCCGCTCTATCAAGGTCATGTTCGTCCATGCAGCTTGATAGTCTATTATTCCAAAATCTGATTATATACCACCCAACGCTCTTTCGTAGATCAAAGAACGACTATTGTATTCTGGATAAATTCTATTTGCTGCTTTAGATTGTTCTTGAAGTTTAAGAAATAAGCACAAGAACATACAATCTCACAAAGTCGTCCTCAGAGGTACAGATCCACCTCTGTAGAAAACTGCAGTAAACTTCGTGAGTAGAAGAAATTTACCGACAATTTTGTATCACAATTTAATCCCAAAACGCGACTAGGAAAGGCTGGGCGCCGCTAAAAATATTCTAAATTTTTGCCCGAAGCAGATTTCTGAAAGATTTCCTGTCGGCCAAATCGCTTGGAAGACGGATGATCAAAAGGGTTTGGATGGCGGAATCATTATTCACACGCCCCGAGAGAGCTCCGAGTCCTTTATCAAGGATAAAAAGGCAAAGTCACATCATTGGAAGATCCGATTTGCAAGCGGGGAGCTCATGATTTTATTAGCAGATTGAGGGTTATCTGCAGCTGTCCATAGTCCACTGTATTTCTTGAACTATGCTCTGTGGTTCTAAAAGCTGTACATTGTGGCTGCAATGCAGACAAACAGATCTGCTGAGACGAGAAAGCCTCAATAGATCTCTTTGCCAGTCCTCATTCATCTCGCGCCATCTACCGAGACATTTTCGAAACAGAGCTCGTTCTTGTTCTGTTCCATTGCCTGCGGCCACTCCGAAGTCGTACATTTTCTGGAAATCTTTCGGTGTGTCCGCAATGATGACACTGACCGGATAATTCTTGAGAAGTAGCCTTTGAAGTTGATTCTTGTGGGCCAATGCCCTTCTGTTATTCGGCACCGCCTGCAACTCAGCAGCCTCGGTAGGTCGATGTCGGGGATTAGCCTGCTGGTCTCTGACGGCTTGCCATTCCTCCTCGGAGAGGACATGGGACGTTGCAAGACCGGTAGTTTCAACAAAGTCTTGGTTCCCGAGGACTGGACCGAAAACGTCCCAACCCCACGCACCACTGTCAAATAAACGTTCAGTATTGCAATCCACGAACACCATGCCCACGACATCATTGGGCCGGAGTTCCAGGAACTCGCGAGAAGTGTAGCCTCCCCATGAGTGGGCGACAATGATAAACGGAGGCTCAATGTTGGCGTTCCTAAGAAGGGTATCAAGCTCTGCCGCGACGGATGCTGCAGATATGCTTGGTGGTGTTTCGTTGGGGCCTTCACTCCTACCCAGCCCTGAACGATCATAGTTCAACCAACGAGCAAACGGAACCACGAGCTTTCGCACTGCAACCCACTCATCGACCGTGCTCCCAAGGCCTTGCATGAGAACGACGATAGGCTCTCCAGGCTCGCGATCTGGCCCCGAAACGGACAGATACAGGCTATGGGGACCGACAGTGACAAGCCCATCCTTATCACCTTTGTCCCAGTCAACTTGGGAGATTGATTGCATTTTGAATTGGATGTGGATTCAAGTTGAGGAAGCAATAAAGTGAACTGATTGAATCTCTGGATAACGGGGAAGTGAATATTTTGAAAGATGCCCAAGCCCCCGCTTCAGATGTTCAACGTTTGTAAACTTGTCCCTCCCTGAGTGGGTAGAGTTACATTACGAATACAATCTGGGGCTTTCCTTGACTGAGTTAAGTTAGCCCAATCTGTGTGGGGCGCTGGCAACGTTTTGAAAGAAAGCGTGAATCTACGGTTTGTATAAATATACCTTTGTATGTATTGCATGAGAATATATGCGCAAAAAAAGAGGTCGACATTTCAATACTTACTAGATCGTTGACCAATGTATGTACGTGTTGCAGTTACAGGGCCTCTTGAAAATGAAACCGGCTCTGTTCACGAGAATCAGTTTCTTCCTGATCTATCTAGATTATTTAACATTCTAAGTCTCTCCCCTATATCACAAGCGACTCAACATGTATCCCCTCGCGAGTACAGAACGTATACTCAATGTCCAGCCTAGCCGCAGACTCTCCCTCGGGGATAAAAACATAAGACAACGCCTCGATCCTCTGCCCCATCGGAATCTGTCCCATGCACTGTACCATCTGCCTTTCCCCAACCGTACCCTCCTCGATTTCGATCACCCGCTCCACCACCCTAGCAGTAATGATGCTATCCCACGCCGCCTCCCGTATCCGCTGCCGTCGCAAGATCCCCAAGACCTGACGACGGACAACAGGATGCCGGCACTTGACCCCGATGATGTACAGCACAGGGATAAGCCCAATCTCCGGCGTGAAGGTCGACCTCTCCGCCCCCGGATCCCGCTGATCCGCCGCCGCGACCTCGCGCGCCAAAGCGACGCAGTCCTGGAACTTGGCCAGGTATTTGTCGTAGTCCATTTCTTTGCCGGGGCCGTACCCGTTGAGGAGGATCCATGCGATAGTATGTTGTAAGCGCAGGAGGGGTACGAGAGGAGTAGTCTCCGCATCTGACTTGCGAGGGATGCCTTGGTGCAGTAGGAACCTTTCGAAGAGCCTCATCCATGTTCCCAGCTGCCGGAGGACAGAGTCCTTGAGAGAAGGAGGTAGCGGCGGCATTGTACCCGTCGGAGACATCTGCTGACCTGTGTTGCGGAGCCGCATGACCTGGGCGACGAGAATCTGGAGGTGGTCGGCGGCTTGGTCGAGGGACCGGAAGGTGCTACGGTCCGAGAGTGCGAGGTGGGATGTGAATGCGTCTTGCATGTTGGCTGGGGTCCAGTCAACTAGGAACATGACGGCCTGCATGTCCAGTCGGCGGATTTGGTGTGTGACCTGGCGGATGACAGCGTCAGCCCCTGAAGATAGGGTATCGTTGGTGTTGCAGTTGTGGAATGTAGCGTTGTCGATGTTGCGGGAGAGCGCCACGCCGCCGCGCAGGTGCTTCACTGCTTGGACGTTGTCGCCTGCCAGATGATCGATGCAGGTGAAGAGATAGCAGACTAACAGTGTGACAGCTGTTGTCTCGGCGCTGTCACCACTTGTCGGGTTCAGCAGGAGTTGAATGGCGCGGTTATAGTGCAGCAAAGGAGCTGGGTCCTGTAGCTGGTCTTTCGAGAAAGCCGGTTGATACACCCGGTTGTGGGAATGACGATCCAGATAGTTTCGGTGGATCGAGGCCAGAGCGATAGCGGCATGCCGTACCGATGGCATTGTCTGGGAGAAGAACATGAGAGTCTTCCGCCAGGCTACGCATGGGCGGTATGGATTCAGACGCTTGATCGCAATATCCTCGAAAAAGCACATTGCCTCTGCCTCGGTCGACCCAGCCACTGGTAAGATCATAAGGGATCCGAGATTCTGCATCATGTGGCCATGGGATGTCGAGTGCCATTGCTTGAACTCGTATGCATCGACCGTGCTACAGGCGTGGTACCTGTCGCCGCGATCTGTTCTGTCAACGATCTCCTTACGATAATGAGCTGGTTCGATCTCAGTCTTCTTAGTCATGGAGGCGAAAGGCATTTCATTATAGCCATCGCAGGTGCGACCGGTAGAATGGCATTTCAAGCATGTAGGACGCGATAGATCGCATTTAATTCGTCTTATCCTGAAGGATGTCAGTCGGGAAGTCTTTCAACACAACTGATCGCCCTGTGGCAGAAGTATTGGTCAAGACATACTTGCAAGTCTTACAGCCTAGTCTTGACTTTGGAGCGAACTTGCGAGGCTTTTTTCTCCAGTCTTGTTTGTCTGTCTTGGTGTTCTTGTTCTCCAACCCGTCCATCGTGGTGATGTGACCTGGCTGAGATTTACAAATAGTACTGTTTCAAACAGATGTTGGTTTCGACGCCACCACGACCCGTAAGCCGCCACCTGTATGCATTGACTTGCTTCGAAAGGGGCTTATGGAGTGCCGATGAAAGTTCGGGGTGATGACCTATTCGTCGGTTCGCACACTAGTGGGTAAGCGACCGGTATATCTTTTTGTATTAGACAGGGAAGTGAAAAAGTGTGGACGATACGGAGTATAAAAGTCGAAAGGTTAGAGAAAGATCATGTCTGATGGGCTGGTTCGTACAAGCGGGACATTTTAAGGGGAGACTGGGGATTTTGCTAAGACTAGACCACTGCAATAGCATTAATCCTATTCATAGAGTCTAGTGGGTTTCATCAAAGGTATTGATTGGCTGGTTCGTACATGCGGGTCATCCCGAATCCCGTCGGATATACATGATTGGCTAGCAGTTAGCACATAGATGAGCCTCTTCCTATTTGATGTGGGCCAATGTTACAGATATCCAGACTGAAAAGAACATAAATCTGGATTGGACCGTGGACTGAAGCCTTGGATCACGACTTGGCTATACTCGGTAGTGATCACATATATTGATTGGTTGATTCGTACAAGTGGAAAGAAGGCAGGGTATTATGACTTGATAGGAAGAATGCAGCTGCCTGTTCAACGTTAGATTTGATACTACTATCTAGGCATTTCGTTCGGTATAAATAGAGGTCTAAGATCTAGATATTGGAATTGTTTTTGCTCTTGCAAGCAACAGATCCGAAAGATCAATCACACCCCCTCTGAGTTACAATGAACCGACTTTTGACAGCGTTCATCCTTATTATGAGCTTGGGATTGGAAGCCCAGGGCTTGCATGATCGGGGCATGGCCTATGGATTTGACACTGTGAGTCGAGCATTACAGCACAGCATTTCCCAGGTTTCAAGCTTCTGATGAGCCATCTAGATCGAACCATCAGCCAACCTCACATGGACGGCGTGTTTCAATACCTTTGGTTGCTCGAGACTGGAAGTTCCTGTGGACTATTCAAACAGAAGCCTTGGTACAACGTCGATTGCCTTCATCAAGTTGGCCGGGAAGAACGCCACCGCCGAGTCTCCGAGCATTGTATTCATCCCCGGTACGATCTCATCCTATCATCATGCAACGTGGTCTGAGTTCGAGATGGTTAGACTGATAGTTCGTTAGGCGGTCCGGGTGGTTCTGGTGTCGACCTACTCCTCACATACCAGGATCTCATCGGACAGATGTTTGGAGAGCAGTACAACTTCGTCTCCTTCGACCCCCGCGGTGTGAACAACAGCGGCTTGCATCTAGACTGCTTCTCAGGGGACACAAGAGCACGGTCGACTTTCTATCAATTGCACAGAACGGGCGCCACCAATGTCTCATCAACATCGCTACAGGAACAGTACTATTCCAGCTCGATCTACGGCGAGTGGTGCAACAATGCTGTGGAGAACGAGTCCCCCCATGCATACTATGTGACTACGCCAGCAGTTGCCCATGACCTGCTCACATTTATCGAAGCCGAGGCTGAGATGGCCGGCCGGTCACCATCCGAGGCCAAACTGTGGTGCTACGGCATCAGCTACGGCACTGTCATCGGAAGCACGTTTGCTTCCATGTTCCCTGACCGCGTGGGAAGAATGATACTCGATGGTGTTATGAACGCAGCGCAATATTATGACAACTATTGGACGGACAATGTTGATCAGATGGACGAGGCCATGGAAGAATTCTCGAGCTTCTGCCAATCCGCCGGCCCTGAGAAGTGCTCATTTTGGGGACCTACGCCGGCTAACATCACGGCCAGAATGGACGGCATCATCCGTCAGCTGCAGAGCCATCCAGTCCCGCTAAGCGGCGTCGGTGGTCCAGAATTGCCGACATTGGTCACCTATTCAGATCTGAAGACGCTTTTCCTCAACACCCTGTACACCCCATTGTCAAAGTTTCCAAGCATGGCCGACATCCTTGACCAAGCCGAGCGTGGGAATTTCTCCGGTCTGGCAGGCATGTATGACCAGTCAAACTCGATAACCGACGCCCGTCTCGCCATTACATGCGCCGATGCGTATCGAGAAAACAAGCTTACTACCATTGAAGATTTCAAGACTTGGGCGGAGTACACGATTTCCAAGAGCAAGTACATCGGTGATATATACCCAATCTACCTGGAAGGAATCTTATGCCGATCATTCCGACCGCGGTTGCCTGATAGTATGGTAGTTCAAGGTCGGCAACACTTTCTTTGTCTCTTTTTTCTCTTTCTCAGACATGAGATCCAAAGTCTAACCAGGCTTTTGATGCAGACGAGATAAGCGCACTCGACGTACCTACGTCCTTCCCGATCCTCTTCGCGAGCAACACCGTCGACCCAATTACGCCGTTGATATCGTACGTCTCGGATAAATTCGCACCGCCAGTGGTTATGTTATCAACTGACATTATATCGTGGTAGAGCGCGCAAGATGTCTTCTCGGTTCGCCGGATCAGTGCTGTTAATGCAAGAAGCCGTTGGTGTAAGTGATTATCAATTCTCGATCCTACAGCTATTTCGATCAAGAGTCTAGGCTTACTCGGGGGATGTTCCCTTTGGATGCAGCATACGGTCATCGATCAGGGCGGTTCAGACTGCTACTTTGCACAGATTCAGGCATACTTCCAAGGCACGGTTCCATCCGCCAATCGTACATGCCCGAGACAGTACATTCCCTTCATAGATGTGTCCCCCATTTAACAATTTCTATATACGCAAAACGCTGGGAAGGCAAACCGGTAGGTTGGGTGTTCTTCCTAGTTCCGAGTTCGCTAGATCGCAAAATAGTGTCTCATCAGCTCTCGGCTTTCGTTCGTCTTCAATGCATACATAAATAGTCGTCTAGATTTTCATTTTCCGAGTAGTCTACATCCCACCGGAGAGGCTGTCTTCATGTCAATATGTAGCCGGCATAACCGACAACCGCCCTCCATCCGCGACCTGGATGTTCCCATTAATGTACGCTCCGCCCTTCCCAACCAAATACAGAATCGTCCCCGCGACGTCTTGGAAACTCCCCTTCCGTCCCGCGGGAACCTGTTTATAGCCATACGTATCCTGCGACCCCGCCGTCATATCCGACGGGAAGACTAATCACAAGGCAGTGAAGTCAGCATCAAGTGCAACCATCCAAGAGCAAGACACAACAAAAGTCACATCCAGAGGGACAAAGAAAAACTCACTTCCAGGATTCACCACATTACACCGAATCCCCCAGGGCGCCAACAAATGCGCCAGCGATTTACTCAAATGAATGGCGGCGGCCTTGCTCCCGCTATACGCCAATCCGGCTGTGATATACCGATTCAAGCCCGCGATGCTGGCCACGGTGATAATCTGGCTGCTGCGCTGGTCGTCGTCCGCGATGCCGTGCGCGCGCCCGGCGACAGCGTCGCGCACGCGCGGCTCATCCTCCGCCAGCGGCCGGCCCGCGGGCCACCCGCGGCGCTTGTTCCCGGCGTCGAGCAGCTTCAGGAACGCAGCCGAGACGCCGACGACGGCGCTGGCGTTCACGGCGAAGGTCGCGTCCCACTCGCCCCAGTTGGCTTGTAAAGTGCTCTGCAGCTCGTCGATGGTGCTGGCTGTGTTAGCGGGCTTGTGGTCGGGGCCCAGGATCCCGGCGTTGTTGATCAGTACGTCCACGTAGCCGGTTTCCTGTGTGATTTGTGCAGCCGCGCGCGAGATGGACGAGGCGTCCGTCACGTCGCATTCGAGAGCGGTTGCGGTCGCGCCTAGGCTTGCCGCTGCGTCTTGGAGGACTGAGGCTCGCCGGCCGAGGAGGTAGACTCGCGCGGCGCCGGTTTTGATCAGCGAGGCGGCGAAGGAGAGGCCGATTCCTGAGGATTTACGTTAGCTAGCTGGATATCTATCATGGGGTCGTTGGTTACTGTACCGCTGCCACCGCCGGAGATGACTACCACCAGTCCCTTCGCGGAGAAGAGATCGGTGGGGTCAATTGTGGCTTGGGTATCCATGGTTTTGTTCTTGGTCTGTGTCTGTCTGTATGAAAGTCTTGAATGGCTTGCGGGAATGGAGAGGGCCAGGGTTTTTGCTTGGAGGGGCGTCGTGGCTTATCAAGCTTATCAAGTGGTAGGGATGCTCTAAGTCGGGGCAATGCCTCCGAAGCCAGAAAGGGAAAGTGGGCCCGCGAGCCCGGAATGAATCTCCTACTCGTTTAGTGGCAGGTAAGCCCGGACTCGAACTATAACCAACCGAAAGAATAGCACTCGGACGTGACCACCATCATAAGTATGCTATTATATACTCTCGTCTTTACGTCCTACTCGCCAGAAGGAAGATAGAACTCACAAGTTCGAAACCAAGGTTGAAAAAAATCTAGCTAGTTAGCTAGGAAATAAATTAGATAGAGAAATACCTAAGTCAGTTCCGGCAGAGAGCCACCCTCCTCATCCCCCTCAACCAACACGCAACGCGCCCACTTGTCAATTGCACCCTGAATCTTCTCGATAGCAGCAGGCAAGTCTGCCACGAACTCGACTATACCGTCGAACTCAAGGAAGCGCAGCGGCTGGCCCGCCGGGGGCTCGATCAGGAAGCGCGCGCGGTCTCCACGTTCGTAGAACAGGAGCGTGCCCATCCGTTGCCCGCGCAGTTCGGGCTGGAGTCGCCGGAGATCTTCCCACAGGTCCAAAGCGGCTTGCTTCGCGGGCGCCCAGTCGTCCTCCATGCAGCGGGGGTCTTCGGCCAGCCTCAGGATGGTCAGCCTGGGATCTCCGTCCCGGTCTTTGTTGGCCGCGCTTACATGCATGACGTAGGGCTCAGGCATGTTTTTCAGTTTTCACTTCGGAACTTGGAGCGGTGGAGATATGGGATATGGAATCTGGTGTCGACGTTCAGTGAACGAGGTGAAGAAGTAATTATCTTCTTGCTGAAGTCGGAGAGGCTAGGGGTTACGGTTGTATTTATAGACTAATCTTTCCTGTCTAGATACACCCTGGCTTCTATTCATGGTGTTCTTTGTTTGAGCTAGAGAACAATAAGACCTTGAATAAAGGGTTATCAAGATACAAGGTACAAATTCCACTCGATTGAGAATCGTATAATGGTGTGGATTTTGATTCACGAACAAAGAGTACACAGAAAGAAAGAGATAGATGACGAGCCTGGGGTCTCTCACAGGTCGCTTACCGCCTCAGGATGTGTAGATAGCTTTGTTCTTTTGATCGAGGAGATGAAGCCTAGGAGGAAGGCGAAGTAATGTTGGATGTGGAAGGCGTCCCAACCCACAATTCCGAGGACCTGCGGCACAATGATGGACCACGAGGACCAGGGTTGCTCGGTGCCCCCACGGATCAGACCCAGAAGCAGGAGGTTGATCACGAAGGGGTGTTTCAGAGATTGATGCCCGGGGGATTTAAGTTGTTCTTCTGGTGATGATGTAGTTATTCTGGAAGTATAGCTGAAGCGCAATGCGTAAGGCCAAGCAGCAGTTTCATAGTCATAGGTGCCTGTAAGGGTGCTGGACGGTCATGGATTATAATACTACAATTGTATCGACACCCTGTCCTTGTATCAATCTCATCTAGACTGTGTTGAGATTCTTATACAACCTAGCAATTGGTCTGTTTTTCTAACGTCGATACATAAGCTCAAGCTACCTACTCCATCAATAGCCACTTGCGATTCATTGTTGCCAGGCGGCAGTCTCTCCGAGCACGTACCACGAGGCCAAGTCTGCACATACCTCCTCATGCCATAACCCTTTCATTTCTGGAATCGCCAACATTGAACCCCACAGCCTTCAACAAATCTTCGCACGCTTTGACATCCTCATATCGCTCAGGCGACACCCAGCCCTCCGACCCCACGCCCAGCGCCTCCCTCGATAGCCGCTCCTGCTCCTCCATCTCCACCTGCACATTATTCAGCTGCAAACACTCCGACACCTCCTCCTGACCGTACTCAATCGGACAGGTCGAATCCGCCTCCTCCGGCCTTGCGATCCGGTCCCAGTTCATACCCAACTGGATCAGATCAGCCTTGAGCGTCACATTATCGCCATCCCAGGGCGCAGCGGCCTGGTGGCACAGGCTTCGCCGCAACACCCCCAGGTCGCATGTCAAGGCCGCCTGATGCAGCGGGTTGAGATGGGCCGTCGCCGTGAGGTAGAAGTAATGCAGCTGGCGACTGCGGAAGAGCTCCCGCTCGCGCATCTGGTCCGCTTCGCTGAGCCGTTCGAAGCCGGCCGGCAGGGTGGGTTCGTGCAGGAGGCTGGGGATCTCCCCGTCGGCGCTCTGGAAATTGGCTGGTACCCCGCATTGCAGGAACAGCGGGCGGATGGTCGTGTATTGCCAGTCAATTAGGCCTGTGATCTCCAGGTCGTCGGAAACGAAGATGTTGCTGGGCTGTAGGTCGGGGTGGCGGATTGTGTTGCGTGTAAGGGCTGGGTCGTTGGGGACGAGGGACGGCGCGACCCGGAGGTAGTTGGTCAGGCTGTCGATGTACTCCCTCGGCGACTGCTTGTAGGGGTGGTGAGGGAGAGGCTTCGAGGTGCGCACGGGCTGGCCGTATTCCTCCAGGTAGACGATCTCCTTCCTTGCGCCGGCAGTCATTACGTCGACGGGACTCGTGTCTGTGCAACCGTCAGTATCGGTACATCCATCAACCTCCTGTCAATAGTCTTATCTTACATGGCCCACGATGCACCGGAAGTATCCGCCGTTTGCCCAACCACAGCCCCCGGCTCACATCCGGTCCCACGCAGAACTGACCCCCCTTCTCCTCCTCCGGCACACCCTCATCTTCTGTACAGGGGTCCGTAATCCGCACCGTCTCCATGCACCGTAAATCCTGCTCGAGAAACAGACTCCCGGCGACCGGAAATTCAAGCGCCATCAGTCTCGCCTCCAGCGCCACGATCCGCTCCACCACGCGTGCCATCTCCGCGGTCGTCAGCTCCGCCCAGCACTCCCGCAGACATCGCCCCGGTGCCACCTCCATGAAGATGTACTCCGTACCCGCAGCATTGTCTGACGTTGCGTCATACCCCAGCACGCGCGGCACAGGGAATCCTCGTCGCCGGAGGTACTCGAGGGTGGCTACTTCGCTCGCGACGGAGAGGTACTTGGGCTCGGTGGCTGGGTAGGGGATGCGGGCCACGAGTTGGGTGAGGCCGTCGCGCAGGGTGAGTAGGAAAGTGCGGTTGAAGCCGCCCTCGCCCAGTTTGCGCAGGTCTGAGACTTCGGTTGCGGGGACGGAGAGCGCGGAGGCAGCTAGGCGCTTAAGCTCGGGGACGTTGAAGGGGCGACGACGCTTGGATTGGTGGTGCGGTTCGTCATGGCTTTTGGCAGAGGTCAGCTTGCATTTTTTTTATTTTTTTGGAAAGGGGGAATAGATGGAGGAGGTTACAGACATCCATCGACCGGATGTGTAGTTGAATAGATCAGAAGAAGACTCAGAGGAAGCGTCGTGTTGCCATCGTCTTGGGGTGGATGCAGGACTTTTAGTCGGGTTGCAGGCCGATAGCGCCCTAAATCGCGTGCACGCTGCAGTAGTCACCGGGCGTCTAACCTGGACCAGAAGGTGCTTCATGACGACCGTGGACGTGACGAATCATTCTCTGACTATGGCCGAAGGGATAGAACGAGAGAAATCCGAATGAAGCCTTCCGTGAAGCGAAATGAGGGGGCGGAACGTCATTTGTAGTTCAAGGCTCGGAGGAAGAAGGTCGTGGGCCCTTTGGTCCGATGCAAAGATCATCCCATCGCCAACTGCCCAGTCGCACTAGCGCTGTTTGCGAAGAAAACGCCAGTCGCCGATCGCTCAGGCCTGGAACTGACAATTGTACCACAGACGGGTAAAAATCCATGTTCTTGTGTGCCATCCTTTCTTATCTCAGCTTCGACCTTTATTCTCCGATCTCTATCGGACCAAGCCTGCCACACCGCGTCTCTCCAGTGGAGGCTTGCATGGGCAGAGACAGGCTCAAGCATATGACTGGCAGAATAACCAGTGCTTATCAAAGATGTCAATACTTCTACAATCTCCCCACTTACCGCTGAACGTTTTATCTGGAACCGAGTGCGAGCGTGGTATCCCGATAGATTTCTCTTCACAAGTTGCCGGCGGTTGCTCATAGTCTGGAGATGGGTAGGCAAGGTGAGACACCGAGGTATTGCCAAGCTAAGCTTGACTTGATTCACACTAGGGCTGCTCTTTTATGTGTCTCATATCCTTTTGTACTCTCAGACAGGCCGGCCGTCTTCCCGAGAACCCCCAGGTGGTCACCGGTTCGCTTTCCGATCGTCGGTGACCGAGCACAGGGACATAGATGCGCCAGGAAGGGTGTTCTAGACGCTGATCGCTTCGGATAAGCTACATTGACGGTCGGGATCCTGATACGCTAAGCGTGAGGGAAGTGGGATATAATGAGTCATGATAGACTAGTTTTCAAGTACCATGTACTCCACAAGAGCGACCTTGAGCCCATGGTCCTGTAACACTCTTGTCGGTCATTCTTCCGGCATCGCGAGACCAGATGTCTGTTGCGGTCGGATATGGATTTCCAGAACTCCTGATTAAGTGACGGTGATCACGTCCGATAATCAAGTGGGAAAGGACGCAGGCCCGTCACGATACTGCCCAATTCCCAGTGTCCCGTGTGGTCCTCGATCATGGCAGGAGCAAATTTGGAATATAACTTGCATTTTCGAAGAATGCCAGTAAGTGCTTATCGAAAAAAATAAAGAACATCTAAGCATACACTGAGGAGCATTAGGATCATTAGGATCATTAAACATTGTGGATTGTTGTTAGTCTTGACCATCTCCATTGCTGCACGGGTGCTGCGAATTGACCTCGGACCGCACACAAACTCGTCCGCGGAGAACGTGTAGTGAGCGGGAAGGTAATGTCTTGCATGTTTCGCACTTTCATGTTTCACCAAGCATTGTCAACCTCATCATCGTACATGTTGAGTAGCGGTGGTCCAGGAGCAGCAACGTGTAGTTGTCATGGGGAACTTCTGATCTCGAACACCGGGCGGTCTCGACCGGATGCCGCCCTTGCATGGAGAGACAGCAAGAAGCGGAAGTCTCCGATCGGGGAAAGGGTGCTCAAAATAGATTAGAGACAGGGCTTCGGATCCCTTGCTTTGGCAGCTTGGCTGGACTGGACTGGTAGTCTAGCTGTACCTAGCTGTGAAAGGGGCGACTAGGCCTGTCCAGGTAAAATGCCGTACCAACTAACCGACCCGACTCCGACATGGTTCTTGGCTAATTAGCGTCCATGCACGCGAGTCGGCTGAATTGGTGTGTTGTGTCAACGCCGTAGAGGGCTTCTGGAGGAAGGTGTTGTGATCGGGTGCAATGGCGTGGTTGACACATTCCCCGGGGGAAGAAGACTTGAAGAAAGATAACGTTAATGAGCCCCTGCCCCTGGAATGCGATCGGATGGAACCAGAACTGGAGCCGTGGATCCTTCAAGGTTTCCTTTTCCTTGGCTGGCCATCTAAATCGAGAAGATCAACACGAGATGCGATCGACCCCCAGCTTGATTAGACTACTCGTACTTGGTCTTAGTCTTGACTGACATATTGATGACGATGGGTTTACTTGGTTTGTTGCCAGGATATTCCCTAACCTGAATGTACGATCAACTGGGATGGACCCAGTGGGAATGAATCCGCCTTTGTGCAGCATTGATTCTGGGGAAAGGAGCAATGAGAGGGGCAAAAGAATCCACTGCATTGCATCATCCAGACCCAGTGGATCCAGAAACGAGGTTATTGGGCAGTGAAGCCTGCAGAAGTGTGTTATTTTTACCACCGGTCAGTCTGACAGGACTTCACCACGTCTCTGAGGAGGGAGTGGATGAGGACGGGGAGGGAGTGAATAACTGGGGGAAATCAAGTCAAAGTCAAAGTCAACAACAACAACAACAACAACAACAACAACAACAACATAACCCAGGAAACAGAACAACAGGGAGCATGATCGGGTCAGCCGAGAGAGAGAGAAAGGAAGAATTCAAGAAAGAGAAGGGAAAGAGAGAAACCTTGAAGACTGTCCAGCCAAGGAAGACCAACGGGCGTTCGGTTCAGGGTCCAGACACCACCAATTAGGCTTGAGTTTCTCCCGCCAGGCCGCGCAAGTCGTAATCCTCCCTCAATCTTACTCTCTCTCTCAATCTCTCAATCTCACTAGATTATCACTCACACACACTCTCTCTCTCTCACTCTCTCCCTCCCTCCCTCTTCTCCCTCTCTTGGCTGTCTTACTTTCTTTTCTTCTCTCTCTTCTCTCTCTCTCTCTCTCCCTTCCTTTCCCTCCCCGCCCCCTCCCTCCCTCTTCCTATTTGGGAGTCAAATCTGAATCAATCCTCAGTATTTTCCCTATCTTCCCTCCTATCCTCCTCCCTCTTCCTCCCCCCTCTGGGGCTTCTCTCGTCACTCGTTCCACTTCTCCAATTCTCTCTCCTCCTCTTCCGCCCATCCTCTCGTTTGAACCCCCGACTGCCAACAGATCATGGTTCACAGCTGTCAGTAAACAAAGCACTTTCCTGACGGTCTCCACCGCCATCACCTCAGCCATAAAAACGCCGTCGTCATGGCACGTTGGCCTCAGGCCTGGACCGCCAGACCGACAACCTCGCCATCCTTCACTCTGATCGCTTACCTCTCGCTTCTCATCCACCTCACCTCAACCATCACCTATGCGCAAACTGTCGCTATCCTACCCTCTACCGCCTCGTCCTCCTTTCCCTCCTGCGGCCTGACCTGCTCCATCCTCCACCAAGCCCAGTCCGAATGCTTGCCGCCAGCCGCTCCACAGACGAATTCCGCAACCTACACCTCATGCTTCTGCCTCTCGAATAACCTCACCGAGCTTCAGACCTCCTCGGACTCGGCCTGCGACGACACCTGCCCCAACGCCTCCGATCGCTCGTTGATTCAGACATGGTACAACAACTACTGCGCCCCCGGAGCTCCGCTCACCGAATCCGCAAGCGAGACTCCCGCGGAGGGAAGCTGGCAGGCCCATTCCGCTCAATCCGTCACCAAGATCCGCGCGTACAGGAGGAATGACGCTTCTCAGGCTTGGTAGGTATCACGGGGCTTGCCTCTTTGTTCGAGGGTTCGGACCAACGTGCTGACGTCTGCTGCCACAGGTGGTCGACCCACTACAAATGGGTGATCATGGTCATCATCCTGGTCGTCGGATTCAGCATCATCAGCGTGGTGGGCGTCTGGGCGAAACGCCGTCACGATCGGAAGTACCCGGGCCTGTATCACGCCGCAGCGACCGGTGGCACTGATAGTGCGTTGCTGGCCGCCCGCCAGCAAGAAGCCAGTCCCTCACCGGGGCCGGACCCCCGCGCGCCGGGTCAATTCATGCCCGGCCGGTATGACCCCGCGCCGCAGAATTCGGAATCCATCGCTAGCAGTTCACGCACCAACGTCGCCCCCGCCGCGGCAGCGGCAGCAACAGCTCCAGCTCCCGGCCCCCGACCAGCCCGCACGCCATCCCGTCTGCAGAAGACGCAAACCGTCTCTGAAGGTGACACCGAAACTCGCGAGGTGGCTCGGTGAAACCCAGCTGAGGACGGGGGTTCATGTTCACATCCATCCACATCTTAGTCATCGCGGGGACTTTCTGTATTTATCCCACTGCCGCTGCGAATGACGGGGGAATCTCGTGACTGGTTCAGACCGACACACGACTATCTCATCTCTTTGCTCTCCCTTCTCCTGTTAATTCAGTTGATTTGGCGACAAATCGGCCTTGAATCGATAGCAGACGCCTTCATGGACGAAAAAAAAAAACATGGCCCCTGCCCGGTGATCTTGCATATATCTGGCGTTTGAATGTGTCTATAGGGTATCGATTATCGCAGTACAGTATCAGTCTTCTACTTTTTTATGTTTGCACAGTGCAAAGCATGGCCTACCTTCGTTTCTGACCACCCCTGTTCCGAGTTTTGTGCATATTCCCTTCACGGATCAGGTTTCCTTGTTTGGCTGTGTCTGACGTCATTTCCGTCGAATATATCTTTCCGTTCTTCCTCGTCTTGTCACTTTTCTCATTGTTATTATCCTCTTGCACATTATCTACTATCGGGGTGGGGCTTACGAGAACCGCCCTTCTATGGCATCTATTGCATCACCGCCTATAGTCCAGTCGTTCATCTTCAGTGATGAGCAATGCTTGCGGATCGAACGAGTCGGCAGACTACGATGAAGCTTTGTATAGGATCGATCCCCGCTTTCAAATTTAGAGTCGTCTATCTTCACTGATGAACCTGCGGAAAAGAATTCAAACGCGCAAATCATCTTCACTTTCTTCAATACGAGACAATCCACCAACCAAAACAAGATATGCTAGCTAGAAATAAAGCAAAGTGTCGTGATTCGTACAGGGGTAGATAATTGATAGATGGATTATATGATACACGAACCTCTCTCTCCGGAACGCGAGAGAGAGAGAAGAGGGAAACAGCCGTATGACCCCGTTTCTCTTTGAAGGGGGGGATCTCATGACACGGTGATACTCACGATCTTGATATCCTGCTCGGGCTTCTCCTTGTAGGTCTTAGTGTTTTCGATCTTATGCACGACGTCGAGCCCCTGCACGGCACGGCCAAACACGGTATGCTTCCCGTCCAACCAGGGGGTCTTCTCGGTGGTGATGAAGAACTGGCTGCCGTTCGTGTTGGGGCCGGCGTTGGCCATGGACAGCGTGTAGGGCTTGTCGTGCTTGAGCGACGAAAACTCGTCCTCGAACTCGCCGCCCCAGATCGACTCGCCGCCCGTGCCGTCACCCAGCGGGTCGCCGCCCTGGATCATGAACTTGCGGATCACCCGGTGGAAGATCGTGTTGTTGTAGTAGCCCGAGCGGGCGTGCGTCGTGAAGTTCTCGACCGCCTTCGGCGCCGCGCTCGGGTACAGGCGCAGGTGGATGTCCCCCATCGTCGTGTGCAGGATGGCGGAGGTGCCGAGCTCGGCGGATTTCTGGGGCGCGGTGGCGGCGTCGTTGGCCGCGGCGTCGCGGGGCCGTTCGTTGTGGATGTCGCGGGTGGATTTGGGCGCGTCGGTCTCGTTGGTGAAGAGGTAGAACCGCAGCTTGCCGTAGCCCGTGCTCACCAGGATCGGGTCGCGCTCTTCGGATTCCTGCAGCAGCGGGTTCGCGCTCGCCGCCATCGACACCGTTACCACCCCCTTCTTCTGCGGCTGGCCCTGGTACAGCGCCACGTTGAGCGCCCGGAACGCCTCGTCCCGTCCGTACACCCGCACCACCCGGTTCGTGTACGTGTTGATGCACTTGACCCCGTGCAGCGACCCGTACAGGATGAAGTGGCCCGACTCGTCGAACAGCACGTTGACTTTTGGCTTGGTGACCGCGTTCTCCAGCTCCCGCTCCACCGCCAGCCGCCGCCCGAACTCCACCTCCTCCAGCTGGTACAGCGCCGTGCCCGCCTGCTGCATCTCCATGATCGTCGTCAGCGACTCGTCGTATTTGCGGTAGAGCTTCCCCGACGCGAAGTCGAAGACCCGGATCTGCCGGTCCGGGAACGAGATCGTCGCGAACTGTTCGCCAGACGGCGAGATCGTCAGCGACGCCGGCGTCGATTTCGATTTCTTGAATTCGAACAGGTTCGTCGACGACTTCAGCTCGAATACATTGTCTGGTTTCTCGAACGACCCGTCGCCCGCCCGCCAGTATTCGATCATCCCGGACTCGTCGGCGGAGATCACGCAGTCGTACGCGTCGTTGAAGGCGATCGCTACCACCGGACTGCGGTGGATGGCCTTGACTATGTGTAATGGCGTAGGGTTTTCGCCGCGGCCGTCGAAGATCTGGATCACGCTGCTTTCTTCGTCGGTCACTGCCAGGAGCGGCAGGGAGGCGCCGCGGCGGTGAACCCAGCACACGCAACGCGGGTTGAAGTCGAGGGTGAGCATGGCCAGTAGATCTGCAGGAAACATTAGGTGAACGTAATCGAGCCAGAAGGTAAAGAATGAGCATACCGAAGGTGATCACGTCAAATATCTTAACCGTTTTGTCCGCTCCGGTCGTCGCAAAGCTTCTTCCGTCTGCGCTGACGCTCACATGCTTGATCTCCGTCGCATGGGCCTTGAACTCCTTCACAAACTCGATCCCAACGGCCATTTTCTTCCAGAATTTGACGACTCCATCGATCGACGAGGTGATCAGGAAATCCGTATGCGGGGTGACTGTGAGGAACGATAATTGGTCCTTGTGCATGAGCGACTTGGAATACCGCGGCGACGCAGGCAGCGCATTCACGTAGACTTTTTCAAACGGGAGCTTGCGGCGTTTCCTCTTTGGGGCGTCCGCGGAGGGGAGGGCTGGGCCGAAGTCATCGTCGGATGACGAGTCGTCGCCTAGACAAGATAGTCAGTCAGTATCTGGTCGAGCTCGAGGATGGCTGGTTTCGCAACCGTGTGCTGGTCCACCGGTGTTCATGCGGGCGTACCATTTTCACCGGCGCCATCGACGGCGGATATGGGACGCTTGGTAGACGCCAGCTTCTGCTCCTCTTCAGCAGGCATTTCGAATCTAAGGAATTAGTCGGTTGAGGTGTAGACTTGAGGGAAGCTTCCGGGGACGAAACAAGCTGGGCGACAGGAGAGCGGCGACAGGCCGGGCGGGCGGTCAGCTCGGGCAGTATCACGAACTTTTCTGGTTTGTCCCGCATTAGTTAGAGTTGCCCGTTCTCTGCGTCCTCACCGTCTAGGTTAAGCAACCCCTGAGCTGCCAGCCTTTCCCCCGACGGTAGCCATCTTTCCTATCACCTACATTCATCATGGTGGGTTTGTCCGAGTGACTCTGTGTTCATTTAACCTCCAGTTCTGACCCGCGTTTAGGCGTCGTTCGCCAATCCCACGCAGATCTTCGCCGACGATGTGATCGAGGAGAAAGGAGAAAATGCTCGTCTGTCTGCCTTCGTCGGTGCTATTGCCGTCGGTGACCTCGTGAAGAGCACTCTGGGTCCCAAGGGAATGGACAAGATCCTCCAGTCAGCGTATGTGGGATGACTTACGAGAGAAAAAGAGCAAGGCGGGGTTCCGACCGCGAGCATCGGGCTAATTGCATTGCTATTCCTTAGGTCGACGGGCGATATCCTTGTCACGAACGACGGTGCCACGATTCTCAAGTCGATTGCTCTGGACAACGCTGCGGCCAAGGTCCTGGTCAACATCTCCAAGGTTCAAGATGATGAAGTCGGTGACGGCACGACATCCGTGACGGTGTTGGCGGCGGAGCTGCTGCGCGAAGCCGAGAAGCTGGTCAACCGCAAGATTCACCCCCAGACCATCATCGAAGGTTACCGGATAGCCAGCAAGGCTGCCCTGGAGGCTCTGGAGAAGGCCGCTGTGGATCGCAGCACGGATAAGGAACTCTTCCGCAAAGACCTCCACTCGATCGCCCGCACAACCCTCAGCTCCAAGGTTCTGGCCCAAGACCGTGACCACTTCGCTACCCTCGCCTGCGATGCCGTCCTCCGCCTCCGCGGTTCGACCGACTTGAGCCACATCCAGATCATCAAGAAGGCCGGTGGCAAGCTCAGTGACTCGTACCTCGATGAGGGTTTCATCCTGGACAAGAAGATCGGTGTCAACCAGCCCAAGCGCTTGGAGAATGCCAAGATTCTGGTTGCCAACACTGCTATGGATACGGACAAGGTGAAGATCTTCGGTGCCCGCGTGAAGGTCGAGTCGACGGGCAAGTTGGCGGAGCTGGAGAAGGCTGAGCGCGAGAAGATGAAGGCCAAGGTTGAGCGGATCAAGGCCCACGGTATCAACTGCTTCGTCAACCGTCAGCTCATCTACAACTGGCCCGAGCAGCTGTTCACCGAGGCCGGCATCATGTCGATTGAGCATGCCGACTTCGACGGTGTTGAGCGCTTGGCCCTGGTTACTGGTGGTGAGATCGCCTCGACTTTCGACCACCCCGATCAGGTTAAGCTGGGTCACTGCGATGTGATCGAGGAGGTGATCATTGGCGAGGATACTCTGATCAAGTTCTCGGGCGTGGCTGCCGGTCAGGCATGTACCATTGTGCTCCGTGGTGCCACGGAGCAGCTCCTCGACGAAGCCGAGCGTTCCCTTCACGACGCGTTGGCCGTCCTTTCCCAGACCGTCAAGGACCCCCGCGTGACCCTCGGAGGTGGATGTGCGGAGATGGTGATGGCCAAGGCCGTCGAGCAAGCCGCCCAGAACACGACGGGCAAGAAGCAGCTGGCCGTCGACGCCTTTGCCTTTGCCCTGAAGCAGCTGCCCACCACTCTGGCCGACAACGCCGGTCTGGACTCCAGCGACCTTGTCACGCGCCTGCGCCAGGCCATCAACAACGGCATGACGAGTTCCGGCTTGGACCTGCTCACTCCCGGCGGCGGCATCGCCGATATGCGTGAGTTGGGCGTCGTGGAGGCCTACAAGCTGAAGAAGGCCGTGGTCTCTTCCGCGTCGGAAGCTGCCGAGGTACGAATCAACTACCTTACTTTTGTTTCCCCTTTGATTCCCCGTGATCCCGGCTAACATGCTCCTCCCGTGCAGCTTCTTCTACGTGTCGACAACATCATCCGGTCGGCCCCCCGCCGACGTGACCGGGTTTGAGGGGAGACTCATGTGCAAATAATTCCAGATACGATGTGGAAAGGGGTTATAAATGAAACTCAAAATTTAGGTTCACTATTCTAATGCGATTGAGACCCGGAGACAGACATTGTATGTTAAACCGCGCGCTGTAAGTAGGGGCGCCGTAATTACCACCTTCAAGACCGTTTCGACGGACCAAAGAGCCTACATCCGCCTCGTTTGTAAGTTGTTAGTAAGATTGACTTGGACTTCGATCGCCTAATCTGAGCCCTTGAATTATATGTGTTGGTTATATGGCGAGATAAGGTAGGGCTTATTGGGGCGTAGATCGGCAATCATGGGTATGCCACTAATTTGGAAATAATATAATATATCGACCAGACTGTGGAAGGTATTCCCTATAGAAAACGCATTGTTCTGCAGTTTTTCTTGCATAAAGCCTGCTTGGTTGTGGAAGCCAAGTTCTGCTTAACTTTGAGTGGATGTAATCTCCGGACAGGTGTGCTGAAAACGGTAGGGCATCCTGCGGCTATACGAGCAATATATAGTGATCCGCACAGGCACCTGGCAATCCGGCTGGCAGTACACACATCAATCCATGCGCGAGATACTTGCAAAATCTAGATGTGACAAGGCATTAATTCCTTTCCAATAATCCTGATGTCAGCCAGCAATGGTAGGAAAACGGAGTCCAAGCAAGCAAGCAAGCAAATGGGGGTGCCTGAAAGCTTCTGTGCGGGAGATCCGCTGGAGTTGCTGGACCCTTTTTTTCCTCCCTGTTCCCCCGCAGGGTCCCGTCAGTAACCGGAGTTGGTTTAGTGGTATGACTTAAGGTACAGTACCATCGGATGGACTCAATTGAAGGTCATCAATGTCACACCAACGGCAGAATCTTCCCTCGCTCTCTCTCCCAAATAGCCTAATGCCGTCATGGAGGTCACATCCACATCCACATCCACCTTTTACTACACCTCTTCCCCTTCCCCTTCCCCTTCCCCTTCTCTACTTCTATCTCTACCTTTTCCTCCCTCACGGTACCTCCTCGATAGCCTTGACTCCTCTAGGATACCCACGGCAGCTCGTTTCATGATTCCCTCATCTTTAATCTAGACGCGCCAGGCCAGATCACGTCAGACCACTTCACAAGTCAGCATACCTGCCATCATCTCCTCGATCTCAGGAATCCCCCTCCCTCCCTCCATTCCTCGATTTCGATCCCCTCCCGCGTTCTGCCAATCCCTTCCCGCCCTTCGTTCCCCCACCCTTCGCCCACTTCTTCGCGCATGTCGAGGCTATTGTCGTCTCATTCCCTCGCTTGAGACACATATCATAGCCCCCCCCGAGAATGATCCTGTCCCATCGCTGGTGGACGGCCGCGCTGGCCGTCCTCACCATCAGCCAGGACACAGTGACAGCCTTACAGTTAGATGTGAACGATGAGCGTGAGCGCACCCCGCTCGCACGAGCTATCTCTGCGCTAAGCGCTGACCTTCTACTACTCCAGAATCGATCAAGAATGCCGCCGCGACAGCGGCCTACAATATGATGAGCTACTATCACGGCAACGAATCGGGCCAGATCCCCGGCAAGCTCCCGGATACCTGGTGGGAAGGCGGCGCCATGTTCATGACCTTGATCCAGTACTGGTACTGGACCGGCGACACCTCGTATAATGCCGTCACGACCGAGGGCATGCTCTGGCAGAAGGGCCAGAACGACTACTTCCCCGCAAATTACAGCAACTACCTCGGGAACGACGACCAGGTCTTTTGGGGCCTGGCGGCGATGACAGCCGCCGAGTTGAACTTCCCGGAGGAGGATGGCCAGCCGTCGTGGCTGTCTCTTGCGCAAGGCGTCTTCAATACCCAAGTTCCGCGCTGGGATACCACCAGTTGCCAGGGTGGGCTACGCTGGCAGCTCTGGCCCTATCAGGCTGGATATACCACCAAGAATGCGATCTCTAATGGAGGCCTTTTCCAGCTGGCGGCGCGATTAGGGCGCTATACCAACAATGGGACGTATAGCAACTGGGCGGAGAAGATTTATGATTGGATGGCGACTACGCCGCTCTTGAGGCTGGACGAGTGGACGATTGCCGATACGACCACGACAGGAACGAACTGCAAGGACCACGGAGATCTGCAGTGGTCTTATAACTACGGAACGTATATCAGCGGGGCTGCTTACATGTATAACCTGGTATGGTTTCACACTACACGGAAGATGGCCATCGCGGCGCCGGCAATGCTAACGAAGCTTAGACCAACGGTGCGGACAAGTGGAAGAAGGCGCTCGATGGCTTGCTCGGGACGACCTTGCAGAAGTTCTTCCCTCAGCAATTCGGCGGAAATGTCATGTCCGAGATCTCCTGCGAGCCGAACATGATGTGCGATCGAAACCAAGACTGCTTCAAGGGGTTTCTGTCATCGTGGTTAACGTTCACCACCATGATCGCACCGTACACGGCGGGCGAGATTATCCCCAAGATCCAGCAATCTGCGTTGGCAGCGGCAAAGCAGTGCTCCGGCGGCAACTCGGGCACTCAGTGCGGCCGACGATGGCACCAGGCCACATGGGACGGGGAGACCTCGCTGGAGTCTGACATGAGCGCGCTGAGCGTCTTCTCATCTAATATGATCACACACAAGGGTCAGCAGGACAGCCAGGGACCACTGACTTCGGATACGGGTGGCACCAGCAAGAGTGATCCCAGTGCGGGCACCGTCCCGGAGAACCCGCCCACTGAGCTGGCGGAGATCACCGCTGGAGACCGGGCGGGTGCTTCGATCCTCACGGTTGTGTTCGTCTGCGGTTGGACTGCTGCGGTAGCCTGGTTGGTCTACGGTGGGTAGAGTGCGTCAGTATATATCTTTTTTTTTTTTTTTTTCCATTTCGTGCGGCGGTCTTCTGTATATAGGGAAGGGGAATCTGATGGTTCAGAACCGGCGTTGGTTTGATTGCTTCTTGCTTGCTAAACGGAAAGAGATATTTGCTCCAGCTGGCTGTCCGTATATTGATATGTTTGGTGTGCGAATTGTGCCGATAATCGTTCTTGTTGTTGATCCTTTCTCTTGCGTGTTGACTGTGCGATTGTGCGAAGACCGGGTGTAATGCTCTAAGCTGCGAGCTCATGCTTTGCTAGATGCGACATTGCCGCATTATAGAAAGATGAATTGAGATTTGCCAGAAGTCGTCTGCTTTCACTTGAGCCAAAGAGCTCTGTAGTCGGGCGAGTGACACTGAACTCAACGGGACTGGGAAATTGCTAACGATGTCCCTAGATGGAGGGTTGACTTCTTCGTTCTTTGTCACTATGTGTGGGATGGCAGTGTTATAGTCTACAAGATACAGAATACGCGAGATGATTTGAGTTTCGTGATGAAGAATGTCACATTGATTGCTATAATACTTGGAACCCAACGGCGCAAGGATGAATTCAGTTTCTGACTCTCAGCATAAAAGAGTTGGGGGGGAAGGGCTTGAGGTCCCACGGCCTCCAATATCCTATCCTCCCACCGATATCCAGTCGATATCAACAAGACACACACGTCCCAATTCCAATCGGATGGTTCCTTGTCCCAAAAGGATGGTTAGAGGCGGGGACAGGTCAGCATCGCCCGGGATGGCCGACCGAGGTCGACCGTCCACGAGAACTGGCAAGCTAAACGCCTTTCTTCATCTTGGATTTAGTTGTGTGATGAAGAAAGGAAAGAAGAAAACGAGATGTGGAAACAAAGAGGAGAGAGAAAAAATACCCTTTCGTGTCCTCGGCAAGCGGCATCATAGTTTCTCCGCGTGCACGTACCTTCCGGAGATGCTAGTCTGCATTGGAACTAGCGCAATCAGCTTCCCGCGGGCAACGGAAGCGCAGCAGAGCAGTAGAGCAGTTGTCCGACCGCTGATAGGAAGGGAAGCGCATTGCCCTTGCGGTAAGTTGTGTCGCCCTTGACCTCCGCTCGTTGCTCCTCTCCCTCTCTCTCCCCGTTCTTATAATTCCGGGGAAAGGTCCTCTTTCTTTCCTCTGTTTTCCGATTGTCGCATGTCTCTTGATCCTCCGTGATCAATTTCCTCGACGTACTTGCTTGCTATCTTACTCCCGACCACTGCCATTCCCACCATCATGATGTTGGGTCGTTGCGCACGACAGGCCTCGCGCCTGCTCCCGCGCACGGCGAAGCCCGGTCTCGTGCTTCCTCGGTCTACGCGCTCGGCCGTGGCCTCTTTTCCTTCGTTGCCTGCGCAATCTCGCTCCGTTTCCTCCTCTAGCCCCGAGGTGCAGCAAAATGTGTGTTCTGGTTCTTCGTGGCTGGCTCCCAGGTCCCGGGCGTTGTCTGATGTCATACCACCCGTGCTAACTATTGGAGTAGTTGCTTTCCGCCCATCTCGAGGAGTCCGACCCCGCCATCTACAACATTCTTCAGAAGGTGAGTCCAGGTTGCTAGGAGTGGAACGACGACAGATATTGATTGGGTAATTGCAGGAGAAAAAACGCCAACAACATTTCATCAACCTCATTCCCTCCGAGAACTTCACCTCTCAAGCCGTCCTCGATGCCTTGGGCAGTGTTATGCAGAGTCAGTCATCCACCACTGCAGATGTATACCTGGTTTTATCGCGATCAAGCATTGACTTGTCCTAGACAAATACTCCGAGGGCTATCCTGGAGCTCGTTACTACGGTGGCAATGAATTCATCGATCAGTCCGAGCGCCTGTGTCAGCAACGAGCGCTGGAGACTTTCGGTCTCAACCCCGAGGAATGGGGCGTGAATGTGCAGCGTGAGTGGCCATCCCGAACTTCATAGAACTTGGTCTAACTTATTGCAGCCCTGTCCGGATCCCCTGCTAATCTGTACGCCATTTCCGCCGTCTTGAACACACACGACCGTTTGATGGGTCTGGATCTGCCTCACGGCGGCCATCTGTCTCACGGCTACCAGACCCCTACCAAGAAGATCTCTTTCATTTCCAAATACTTCGAGACGTTGCCCTATCGGCTGGACGAGTCGACGGGTCTCATCGACTATGAGGCTCTCGAGAAGCAGGCTCTCCTCTACCGCCCCAAGATGATCATCGCCGGTACCTCCGCTTACAGCCGTTTGATCGACTACTCCCGCATGCGTGAGATCGCCGATGCGGCCGGCGCTTATCTGCTCAGCGACATGGCGCACATCTCCGGCCTGGTCGCCGCTGGCGTCGTCCCCTCCCCATTCACTCACTCCGACATTGTGACGACGACGACACACAAGTCCCTGCGTGGTCCGCGCGGTGCGATGATCTTCTTCCGCAAGGGTGTCCGCCGGACGGACAAGAAGGGCAACAAGGAGATGTACGACCTTGAGGGCCCGATCAACGCCTCCGTCTTCCCCGGCCACCAGGGCGGGCCCCACAACCACACGATTACCGCCCTGGCCGTGGCGCTGAAGCAGGCGCAGTCTCCCGAATTCAAGACCTACCAGCAGACCGTGCTATCGAACGCACAGGCTCTGTCGGAGCGGCTGGGCTCGCCGCTCAGCAGCGGCGGACTGGGCTACAACATCGTGTCCGGCGGCACCGATAACCATCTGGTGCTGGTAGACCTCAAGAACCGGGGCGTGGACGGCGCGCGGGTGGAGCGGGTACTAGAGCTCTGCGGTGTCGCCAGCAACAAGAACACGGTACCCGGCGACCGGTCGGCGTTGAAGCCCGGTGGCTTGCGTCTGGGCACTCCCGCCATGACGACGCGGGGCTTCCAGCCGGAGGATTTCCGTCGGGTGGCGGACATCGTCGACCGGGCGGTGATCATCACACAGAAGCTGGACAAGGCGGCTAAGGAGAGTGCGACGGCCAAGGGCGTCAAGAACCCCAACACGGTCAAGGCCTTCCTGGACTATGTGGGCGAGGGCGAGGAGATCTCGGAGATTGTTCAACTGCGCCAGGAGGTCGAGGACTGGGCGGGCACGTTTAGTCTCCCCTGGGCTAAGGATGAGTAATTTTGTTTTTCTTTTTTTTTTTGGTTAATAATTTCTTAATGTCCTCCGCGCCGCATGTCTGTGAAGATCCCATATCCCCATTAGATGAATGAATATTGATGTCCTTAAACCCCTCTTCGTATTACTGCTGTCTACCGCTTTGGAGCTGCGGTACTCCCATGGAGATACGTGCTTATAGCTCTGCGGCGCGGCTATGTGATTGGACAGAGATACCGGAGCTGTCCTGCCACTCGAGCCGATTGGACCAAGCCGCCGAGGTTAAGCTCCAAGCCGTTTGGATCCCGAACCGATAACGTTTTGTCCGTACCATCTGGTAATCTGTGGTATCATAGATGGGAGACTCGAGAAGCCTGGGGATCGATGACTTAGAGTATATGCTTGATTTGTAGAAAGACAATTATAACTTGAGCGTAAAACCTCTACTCCATAGCTCAGCAGTGTTGTGCTGTCTTAGCTGAACGCATCTAGCGAAAGGAGCCATGACAACGATGACGTCGACCCCACGTGACGGGGCCCCAGCTTCCCCTCTTGTCTCGGGGGAAATCGATCGGTAAGTAAAGTAAGTAACCTGAACCTTTAGTGAGTTCGTCAGTAACTTTCATCACCACTGGCAATTAAATAGCTGGACCTCTCCCCTCCATTAGTCTGGCTCTCGGATTCATTGTCTTCATCCTTCATTCCTTATCGTTGTTCCTAGCGCTACTCCCTACCTACGAATAACTTCACCACATCCCCTCATCGCACTTACTCCGAGACTAACGTTCCCCGCATTTGACTGGTTGGAAGGAGGAACGAGGAAGGAATTAAAAGAGAGAGAGGGTTTCCGCTCCGATAGCTTTGTGTTTGCGTATTATGGAGAGGATTATTCGTCCGGTTGCGAAGCAGTTGTTGAACTCTCGGCCTCGTTATCCCTTCCGCGTGCCTCCGCCTGTTTATCCCAGGCGGCTGTATAGCAATATGGGTCACACAGTACCTCCGGTTAGTACCATCACTGGGGATTGGGTTGGAGGGTCCTGAGTGATGAGGATACTGATCTGTCTTTGCTGTGTCTAGCTGAAAGACAAGTCCCTCTTCATTGAGAAGGCCTACGTCAATGGAGAGTGGGTTGGGGCTGAATCAGGCGAGACCTTCGAGGTGCATGGTGAGCAAGCATCATTAGTTGCGACCAACTGACAAGAGTCGAGCGATCGGCTAACCCGTCTCGAAACCCAGACCCTGCGTCCGGATTGCTCATCGGAACATGTCCCGAATTTTCCACCGCCGATACCGAGAAGGCCATCCTGGCGGCCAAAGAAGCCTTCCCTGCATTCCGCACGACTCTGGCCCGCGAGCGCGCGCGCATGCTGCGTCGGTGGTACCAGCTGATGGTGGATAACGCGGACGATCTGGCGACATTGATTACGTGGGAGAACGGCAAGCCGTTTGCCGACGCGAAGGGCGAGGTAAACTACGCGGCTGGGTTCTTCGAGTGGTTCAGCGAGGAGGCGCCGCGGGTCTACGGCGACACGATCCCGGCGTCGGTGGCGGGCAACCGGGTGATCACGCTCAAGCAGCCCGTCGGCGTGTGCGGGTTCATCACCCCGTGGAACTTTCCCGCCGCAATGATCACACGCAAGATCGGCCCCGCGCTGGCGGCGGGCTGCACCGTCGTGGCCAAGACCCCCGGCGAGACGCCCTTCACGGCCAACGCCCTCGCCGAGCTGGCCCACCGCGCCGGCATCCCCAAGGGCGTCGTCAATATTGTTACTGCCTCGAAGAACACCCCCGAGGTCGGCGAGGTCATCACCACCCACCCCGAGGTCCGCAAGGTGTCGTTCACCGGCTCGACCAATGTCGGTCGATTGCTCATGAAGCAGGCCTCGTCCACCATCAAGAAGGTCTCGTGGGAGCTGGGCGGCAACGCGCCGTTCATCGTCTTCGATGATGTCGAGGACCTCGACGCCGCCGTCGCCGGCGCCATCACCTCCAAGTTCCGCAGCTCCGGCCAGACCTGCGTCTGCGCCAACCGCATCTACGTCCAGCGCGGCGTGTATGATGAGTTCGCCAAGCGCTTCGCCGAGAAGGTCAAGGGCTTCAAGCTGGGCGCTGGCTTCGAGGAGGGCATCACCCACGGCCCCGTGATCCACGACCGTGCGGTTCAGAAGGTCGACGAGCACGTCCGCGACGCCGTCTCCAAGGGCGCCAAGATCCTGGCCGGCGGCCAGAAGGCCTCGCACCTGGGCCCCAACTTCTACGACCCCACCGTCCTCACAGAGATGAACAATGAGATGTTGCTCGCCTCGGAAGAGACCTTCGGCCCCGTCGCAGGTCTTTTCCCTTTCGAGACCGAGAAGGAGGTTGTCGACCTGGCCAATCAGGCCGAGGTCGGTCTCGCCGGGTATTTCTTCAGCAGCAACGTCCGGCGCATCTTCCGGGTCGCTGAAGAATTGGAGGTGGGTATGGTCGGTGTTAACACTGGTTTGATTAGTGATGTTGCTTCTCCGTGAGTGCTCCCTTGTCCTTGTATTTTCGATGATCTCACCGGCTAATGATGGGCAAAGATTCGGCGGTGTTAAGCAGAGTGGCTTTGGCCGCGAGGGTAGCAAGTATGGCATCGAGGAGTTCCTGGTGGTCAAAAGTGTTACCTTTGGCGGAATGGGCGAGCCCCTTCAGTCCTGATTATGGTTTATGTAGCGAGCTTTATGTATGAAATTCAGGGCGGGGACCCTGTTTGTCTGTTAGGATAGGTATTGTAGTTATGTCTTTGCGTTATCCTCATTGAAAAAGCACGTACAGTAGTGCTGATGCTGGTGCCGATAAGGCGAGCCCGCTTATCGGGGCTTATCGCCCGATAAGAAAGCGGAGGACCAAGCGCGGAACAACCTTCTCCCGGCCAAATATTCTCCTCCAGCCAGTAATTATCATATGAATTTCTTCTCCAAGCGTTGAACTTCCATCTTCCACTTGGTCAATTTGTGGCTATTCTTCCTTCTAACCCTATTTCCTGCGAACATCATCCCATCCGCAGAACCTCCTTCATTCACCTACTCAGATCCACAACCCTCACCACCGACCTACCGCTCAAACCAACACCCACCGACCGCCGCAGCAAACCAATTCCCTTCTAAGGGAAACAAGCGACAAGATGTCGCTCTCCTCCATCCTCACCCACTCTCTCCCCAAAGGCCTGCACCTGCCGCCCTCCCCAGTATCCTTACCGCAACGCCTCTTTACCGCCACCCGCCACGCCTCCCTAACCTCAGCCATCAACCGCGGAATCCGCCGCTCGCAGTACCGCGAGGACGAGATCGACGGCGGACGCGCGCAGCGGCTCTCGCCTCGATTGGAGCAATCGGAGCGGTCATCGTCATCGCGAGGGGCTAGGGATGTCGGTCGCTCTCGGGGTCGAGGTCGGCGTGAGCATAAGTTTCCTTGGGAGGATGAGAATAACGGCAATTCATCGGGGTCGGGTTCGTTACGGCGCCGCTACAACGATAACAAGGATACCCAGTTTGAGAATCGTCGGTCTTTCGCGGAGGAACGGACGGGGCGCCGTGGCGGCAGGGATAGAGGCCGGGATCAGGAGCAGAGGCCGTATGCCGATGTGCTGGTTACGCGGATGCAGAAGCGCAGTGAGGGCGAGGAGAGACAGTATGCGCGGAAGGGCAGGGGGGGAAGGGAGGATCGAGATCGGGATGAGCGACGGGGGAACCGTGGGATGAGGAGGGAGGATCGGTCGCCGAGGTTCGAAGCGAAGAATGCGCGGCAGCCGCGCGAACGGGAAGCACGAGGGCGGGATGAGCGAGGGAGCTCGTATCCGCCGTTTTCTAGCAACAAGAGGTTCGATGAGGAGGAGTTTATTCGTACCGGGCAGTTGCGCGAGGTTGAGGGTAATGCGAAGAAGGTGGAAGTGGAGGCAGAATCGCGGAGGAGGGAGAGGGACGATCTGGGCCCGTCTGCCCGCGTGCGCAGCACGAGGCCCGGTAACCCCAAGCGCAGAGACGGACAGCACCACCATATCAGCACGGACGCGGAGCCCGAGCGCGTCAAGAAGAACGTGCTGCCGCCGTCCGAGGTGCCGTACACGACGCCCGCGTCGCAGTTCATCTTCGGCACCGCAGCCGTCGAGGCCGCCCTGCGTTGCAGCCGTCGCCAGCTCTACAAGCTCTACATCTACCAGGCCGAGGGCGAGCGGCTGTCCGAGGCCAAGTCCACGCTGCGCAAGCTGGCGCTCGAGAAGCTCGTGCCCGTCAAGATGGCCTTTGGCGACTGGGACCGCCTCCTCGACAAGATGAGCGCCGGCCGTCCGCATAACGGCGTCGTGCTCGACGCCTCGCCCCTCCCGCAGCTGCCTGTCACCTACTTCCACTTTGTACACTCGGTCGGCCCTAACATTGAGCCGTCCTTCCGCGTCGAGCTGGGCGCCCAGTCGCGCGAGGAGGCCGCCGTCAACGGCCTCGAACCCCTCGTGCCCATCAACCGCTCCGCGCTTTCGTCCTCCACCACCCGACAGCGCGACCCTGTCGTCGTCCTGCTGGACGGCATCCAAGACCCCGGAAACCTGGGCGCGATTATCCGCTCCGCGTACTTTCTGGGCATTGACGCCGTGGTGCTAGCCGGCCGCAACTCCGCGCCGCTCTCGGCCGTCACCATCAAGGCCTCCGCCGGCGCCGCCGAGAACATGCCGCTGCTGCAGGTGCGCAACGAGCGTGACTTCATCGCCAAGTCCAAGGAGAACGGCTGGCGGTTCTACGCCGCCGCCGCGCCGGGCCCTGGCGCCAAGGTGTTGCTGGGCAGCGGCGGCCCCGACGGCGCTTCGGGACTGCCGCAGGCGCCCAGTGTCATCATGATGGGCAGCGAGGGCGACGGGCTGAGCCCGCATCTGCTTTCTGCCGCCGACGCGGTGGTCGGCATCCCCGGCGCGCGGCTGGATGAGCAGCTCGGCGTGGCTGGTGATCCGGCGCGCGTCGATAGTCTGAACGTCAGTGTTGCGGCCGCGTTGTTGTTCGAGCGCTTCCTGCAGTCGCCGGTTATGCTTGATGAGGCTGCGCCGAAGACGAAGCGTCGGAGTAAGTCGGTTGGCGCTGTATAGTGTATTCTATGTATGATTGTGCTGTTTGTCTAGATAGCGGGCTGTATAAAATTTGCTGCATGTATATGTTCGTCTCAATAATTCACATCATCTATCAAGTATACTCGACCTCCCGAATAACTAATTAAAGACACCACAATCCGCAACACTCTAAAATTACCCCCCACGCAGAGACCCGGCGTTGACCAGGAAGCTGAAAGAAAAGGGGGGTCTGGGGGTTCTCCCCCAGAACACCTCTACCCCCCTCTCCGTCGAATCCACCAAAGTCTGCCGTTCTGGGGGAGAACCCCCAGACCCCCCTTTCTTTCAGCTTCCTGGAAAGGCGCCGATAGAGATCACTGACTACCGACCCTCTTCAGCACAACCAAACACGCCCCCTCCTTACTCCCCTCAACATCTCTATCACTACCTTCATCCTCCTCCCAAATCTTTACCTCCCACTCCCTCCCCATCCCAGCCTCAGGACCAACCACCATCAGCCGACAAAGCTGCACCACCCGCTCCCCCTGCGCATAATCCCCACACTCCAACAAAACCATCCGCGCCCCAACCTCCTTCACTAACCCCACAATCCGCGCATAAAACACATCCTCCGCCCTCCCTCCCTCCAACCCCCCTGAAAGGGAGAGAGGGGGAACCAAAGCAGCTAAAGGCTCATAAACCCGCACACTCCGCGCGGTGGTCCCGTCCACCAGCGCCCGCGCCGAGATATACGGTGGGTTCGAGATGATCACGTCCACGCGTGCTCCGTTTGTTTTCTCTTGAGAAGAATCTGGAGTGGAAGGGGGACAGAAGGCCGGGATGCGCTGGAGGAGAGTCTCGATGCTCGGGACTTTTTGGGTGGGGGTTTTGTCTGGGTTTGTGGCGGCTGTGGATAGCACGTCGGCGAGGTGGAATTCGATGTCTGAGGGTGCGGAGGGGGGTAATGTGCGCAGGGCGAGGTTGTGCATTAGATTGCGGTACGCGAGGCGGAGGGCGAGTGGGTTGTTGTCTAGGCCGAGGATTTTGAGGGGCCGGGGGTTAGGGTTGGTGCGGTAGGCGCGCGAGAGGAGCGTGTGGAGAAGGAGCGCGATGCAGCCTGTTCCGGTGCAGAGGTCCAGGATGCGCAGGGGACTCTGGGGTGGGGTGGTGATCGGGTTATTGGCTGTGGTGGTGTTGGGTTTGAGTTTGTTGTCCTTGGAGGCGCTCGGTCGGGATGAGGCGGTGCGAACAGGCGGAAACTGCTGCAGGATCTGCGAAGCCGCCGCGTACGTGAAGGTCTCGGTGTCGTTGCGCGGGATCAGCACCCCCCGCTTGCACAGGATCGTGAGGTCCCCGAACGGTTGGTCGCCCAGCAGGTATTGCAGCGGCGTGCCGCGGGAGCGCGCGTGGCAGAATTCGCGGAGCGTGCGGCGCCATCCCTTTCTGATGGCGGCATTCTTACGCGGAGGGTTCGGGGCTGGTGAGGTTGGTTGGGGAGCTTCCGGGTGGTGAGGTTCGTTTTGTATGATGAGGTCGAGGGCGTGTTGGCGGAGCCAGCGGAGCTCGTTGCGGGCGGAATCGATAGTGCGGCATTCGCGGAGCAGCAGCGGGAGGAGCGGATCTTGCTGGTACGCCCGCAGGATTGTGGGGGTGGAGAGTCGCGGCATTGAGCTGGGCTGCAGTGGGGATTGGTCTGGAACTGAGTCGAGATCGGGATAGGTCTGCAGTGGGTTGTTGTATATGGGTGGAGATGCTACGGCTAGATTTTCATGGCGTGTAGGAGCGGTGAAAGTGAATTTGTGGTGGTCTGAAGAGGGGAGGATAAGAAAGAAGCTGTCCTTCATATCATACTCACCTCACAAGACATTCCGCCGGCGCCGGCTTTTTCCCGCTACAGCCTCCCCACCGCCTCCGCAACAATGTACGCTTCCGGCAGAATGGATCAAGAAGACGACGGCGGTTACGACCGGACTTGCACATCGCCCATCCAGCTCTCCAGGCTTTCCATTCCACCGAGAACATCCCGAAGATACCAACTCGCCAACTCTCTTCTCCCCGCGTTCGCCCGCCCCATCCAAAACACCGAGTCTTGGACGGGGTTCCGCTTCGCTGCGGCCGCCTGCTCTGGGAGCCGCAGCATCAGCTCCAACAGCCACCGGCCGAAGGGATTCTGAAGACGCATCGCCCACTCCGTGATCTCGGGGTCGTCGGCGGGGACGGACTCGGCATTGGCTCGCACTAACGTTCGGAAGAACTCCAGATCGCGCGGGGCAAAGCGCACCGCGGTGCGGAAGTGCGTTGCGGGTATTGCGTACGGAACTACCGCGGTGGTGTCTTGGTCTTGGCCCTGGGCAGTTATGTGTGCTTGTTCGGTGACGCGGAAGTAGTATTCGTCTAGTTTCAGGAGGGTGAGGAGTGCGGGGAGATTGTTGGAAACGAGAGAGGTGTGGATGCCTTGTTGTAGGGACGGGCGGGAGAGGGCGAGTGTGTGTTTAGGGGGAGTCAGAGGAAGGGTATCGGTGGTAAATCCTAGCACAAGTCGGTGGATCTCCAGGTAGGTAATCAAGGCTGGTGAAAATCCGTCGTCTGAAGCAGCTGGGGACGGAGATGCGGAGTCGTAGGCTGTGCTGCCTTGAAGATATTTGTCTGGAATGAGCAAGGGGCTGAGAATAGGGTGGGTGGTTTGCTCGCCGATAGCGTGGTTGGTAATGGTGATGGAAACTGAAGGGTTGATGGAGAGGGTGTAGTTGGTTGTGGGTGCAGGTGTCGACACGTCCGGGGTGGTGTTGGTAGTCTCGAAACCCTCAAACACATTAACTTCTCCTCCCTGGTTGAGGAAACGAGTCAATGCATTCTCCTGATCTTTCACCATGCTGATTCCTGCCCCGAACCAGTGTCGCTGAACAACCAAGTTCATCAGTTCCGGCAGCTGGTCGAGTATCCGCTGCACGGTACACCATCGACAATGCAAAATAGCGGTTTGCAGTTCTCGTCGCTGCGCAACACTGAGAGGCGTGTAGTCCAAGGGTCGAAGTATGCGAACGATTGCATTTCTCGACCCCCGACTACCGGACGATACAGGCATCTCAGCGCTGTCATCCCACAAGGTCAACAGGATCAAAGCACGGTAGATGCGCTCAGTGGACACAGCCGTAGAGAGGATGGGCGACGCGCGCGCGAAGTTCACGTTCAGTGAGTATAGGAAGATTTTCTCAATCAACTCATTCGGAAGGTTCTCCAGAAGCGAGTGTTTTTTCTTGCGCAGCTTGGTCGGGTTGGCAGTCAGCAGACGAGCGCGCCTGTGGCCTCGAATCTGCGATGCGTTCAGCTTCGCCTGCGGCGACAGTAACGGCCGGCCGCCTCGCGGTCCGCTGGGGATGGGCTTCGGAGCGTCATCGTCCTCGTCGCTTGGACGTCTTTTGCGGCGGCCGCGAACATAAATTGGCGTAAGTAGCATGCTCGTGTAGTCTCCGCAAGTCGTGCGTCTATACTTAGATCATGGTTGAACTCTGATCGTTGTAGGTGGTTGGTAAAGTATGCGTGTAGTTAAGCACTGCTCGCTGCAGTTGGACCTTGTTGCTTAAACTTCAATCTTGATCAGCGATCTGAGTCGGCGAGTGCTTGCCTCAGGCATCAATCAAACCTGGATCATTGAGATCGTATAAAGAATCACTTTCTATCAAGGCTTCAGGGCGAATGGAATGAGAATATGGAAAAGCAAAGCCATTTGGTGGAGAATTGATAACCGGATAAGCTGGCTTGGCGACTTGTTTTGTATGTTTGCCCTGTTTGCTATGTTTGACTTTTTGAGCCACTATCTAATCTCTTATCTTGCTCGCTTCTGCCATGTCCTCTTGGAGCACAGAAGATTTGCCGGCGATGGCCTTTCTCTGGCCTACAGCTGAAGATCGTGAAGCGGTTAGTCACGAAATTTTTTTTAAAAAAGATAAGGAAGAGACAGAAAAAGTCTTCAATAAAGCTGATCAAAAGGCGAATCGCATACTTTCAGATACGATTCTCACGCTTGATAGTTGATTGTATCTAGATACTCAAGCATTCACTATGAAACAACGCGCAACAGTACATACACTAAGACCCTTTAAACATCATGGACATATCATTCATTTACGCAACCCTCACTTACAAGGGCTCAGATTCAGGTATACCACGTAGGCGTCGGCAACTCATGCAACAACACATACCTCCTCAGCTCCCGATTCTCGTAAGCCACCGGGTCATGCAGCGTATGGGTTCGAATACCCCGCCAGAGCCGGTCCAGCCCGACCTTCAACGAAGTGGCCCTTGCGCCCGTGACCTCGAAAACGCCATTGGTGACGCTCAGTCCAACATCCGTCGTGACGGCCTTGACGCTCGCGATCCACTCGGCCACCTCTCCGCGCTTCTCCGCCGTCAATGCGGAGTGGTCCGCAGCGTGGCGTTCATAGAGAGCAGAAAGCTGATCGCCCGCACGGTCGGCCAGCGCCTCCGTCGCGCGCAGGTGGGTGAAGAAGTTCCCGTACCGCTCGAGGATGTAGAATTCGTCGGTGGCGGACTCCTTGTTGTCGCCGCCGAAGGGCCAGGGTCGCGTGCTGGTCGTGGTGTACTTTGCCGCGAACTCGAGGGCGCCGATGGCGATGCCGAGGTAGAAGTTGCGGAAGACTATTTGGAACCCATTTCGTGGGACCAGTAGCCGTTTGGACTTCTCTAATATCAGAGAAGGTGGTCTTACGTGGGGAGCAACAAGCTCGTGGACTGCACACCGAGTACATCCTGGATAGGCTCTTTGGTGAAACTATCCCAGCTCAACGCATCAGTCCAGGGGGCGCGGACGTTGTCGATCTTCTTACCACCGGATTCGGCGAGACGCCGACCGATGTTGTACCAGTTGTGTGCGAATTGGATTCCAGGCTGTCTGGTCTCCACTACGGCGAAGATATGCTGGCCGGTGCCCTCCAGGACACCTTCAAGTACGGTGAGGTCGGAGACGACGCCTCCGGTGTTGAAGAACTTGGCACCGTTGAAGACGATCTGATCCCCATCCGAGGTGATCTTGAGGTCGCTGTCGCGGGGGTTGACGGCGCCGCCGACGAAGTAGTTGTTCGAGATGATCAATTCATGGGTGCGATCGGTTTGTTCGGCAGTGCCGACAATATCGGCGGTTGTGGACCAGAGGAAATGGTAGCCGAGGAGCATGCCGATCGAACTGGGGTTCATTAGCCTAGGCTTGGAGTATCACAAGCATCAGGCTGTGCTGTGCTTACCCGTCAGCCTTGGCTACTTCCCGAATGGCCATGTACCCTATGTCCCAGGGCTGTGCTGCTCCTCCATACTTCTTAGGACCAAGTAGCTTTAACAGTCCAGAATGCTTCAGCAGGCAACTTCCGCTCTGGGCGATTTATTCTCCTGGTCTCTCTGTGCGGCATCCTGCGAAAGTACTTCAGCCACTTCCCGGGCTCTGCCAATCCAGCCTTTCGTCGTGGTAGGAAGCGATGACCATTGATCTTGGAAGGCGCTGTAGACACTGGGGTCCGTAGCTGGAACCTCCGCTTGTGACATGGCGGAAGAGAAGCAGTGCGGGCGATAGTCTTCGCAAAATAACCTCGGAGCCTGAGATATATGGTTTTTTGAGGTTTGGTGTTTGTCGCAATCAACAGACGCAATGGTTTAGATTTATAGTCATCTTTTCGAATTGCTCATACAGCACAAGGATGGCGTAGCGAAGAGTATCAGCAATCAACACATGCCGAACTTAGATTGTATGCTGGGGTGAGCGATTCGTCAGTCTCTGGAGTGATGTCGTTATCAGCCCCAAGTTTGGGACAACACCCAAATTCTGTTCAACCTTCAGGGTCACCATGACCAATTCATAGGAGGTTGTGGCACAGAGCAGATCGTAGTGTGGGGTACTCACCGGACCCCACAGTGTTAATTGAAGTTGCAAGGGACAGTGCGGCAGTGGGATCGGAGCCTACAATTGCGTGACGGGCCGCAGGAGGAACGCAGTGGGTCGGGAAGTCTCAGACAAGACCCGTGTCTTTACCTTCAAGCCCAGACTCACAAATATATGAGAGCGACAAATATGATTGGCATTGAACAAAGGGGTATGATTAAACAGATTCACAAGACAAGAATTTCCATAATCTCATTTCTCAATGCGCCACTTCCACATCCATCTTCACCATAATCTGATGCAACTGCGGCGTTGCCGTGTTATCGCGCGAGTGTTGTCCCTGTCGCAGCTGCTCTGTACTGCTGGAAGCACCCGACCGTCCTGCCTTCTGCTTGCGTGCTGTCGACGTCTTACCGGTGGCCGGCTCCATCGGGTAGACGTATCCGCCGCAGCGGGTAGTCGGATCGTTCGATGTGGCGGCGCGCCAGGAAAGACGGAGACACACAGCGATGGGGACGGCCGAAGCACAGATGATAGCAAGATGCAGTTGCACGCTCGCGAGGATATGGAAGGGGGCGCCTGCGTACGTCAAGTCTGAGTTCAAGTGAGAGGTCGTTTCAAGCAGGGCGATGCGGGCGACGGCGACGGCGCAAATCCTACAGTTTCTGAGGTCAGTTCCAAGGTACCACCACCACCAATCTCCGTATGAAAGCACTCGAAGAACGGAAGGGTTGGGAAACATACAAGACACCGATGCAGAAGACGGTAATGAGGGCATTTTGTCTGGTCACTGGCAACTTGAGAGTCGTGATTGTTACAGCAGGGAGAAGAAGCATGGCAAGATCGGAGACAAGGTCCAGAACAGCAGGTGGTGTGTTGGAGGTCTTGAAATCACTGCAGCTGCCGTGAAGGTCCAAAGACAAGTCTAGGCAGTTCCAATAATAGCTGACGGGGATGCACGAAAGGATCGAGGCGATGGTTGACCCCGCAGCCCAGAGTATGGTGTATACTAGATTCCCCCACCAGATAATCCGCAGAGAGGCAAGTTCAAGCGGCAATCTGCGTCGATAGTAGAGTAGCATGGCTACCTTTGCGGCCAGCATTGCCGGTCCATAAAAGACAGCAATCAACCACATACACTGCATAGATTGGCTTGCGTTAGTCCGTTGCAGTACGGGGAATTCAGCGCATCTAGTTAGAGAACCAGCTTACCACGTAGGCTGACTTGACATGGAACGTGAGGTAAGCGCTGGATGAGATTCTGGATGAATGAAGGCCAAATCCATAACGCGTGCCAACTAGGGTTGCGATGGATACGAGATTGGCGAAAGCCTGGCTCGTTCAAGCACCGATATCAGCAAAAGGGGTCAAGGCAGGGCAAAGGGCGGACCTACCAGAGCCACGATAAGAGCGTAATCTTCCACCAAAGGGCGCTTATGGAAATGGCATTGAACGTGTACCCTGATGGCGACGGCGATATTTCCCAGGATAAGCAGGGAGATACACAGTCCCAGAGCCAGCGGCTGGTGTGACTGTGACTCCTGCTCATCCACGGTCGGCGAGCGAGGGTCAAACATGAGAAATGACGACCGACTTGAAACAACAAGCGGGAGCCAGAGAAAAGGCCGGCGAGCAGGTTTGGGTGACCATAAGGCTCATATGTATCCTTTCAATGGGCATGGTAGGCTGAGCCCTGGCCCCCATTTGAGGAGGGGCAGGAATGCTATGCAGTGTGCCATGCTGCTGACGGGCGTGCCATCCTGCATAAACCCACGTGTGAAGCCATACTTGGACTTCTGGCCCCAAAATCACGCTCGTGGATTCTGGTTTTTCTAGACTCTCGCCCCCACTGCCATAAGAAGGCCGAAGCTTGGCACCGGATGGTTGACGACAGTGCTCAATCTAGTTGGGGGTGTGGGCTTACATGGTTGTATTCTGCATGATGACTGATAGGGTGAGCACCGCCCCCATAGCCAGCCATGAGAGGGAGAGGGAGAGCCGACAGGCTGAGAATACACTAATTGACACTAGTCAACTAAGAAGGCCAGGGAGGGAGTGTGATGATAAAATGAAGTTATATAGCTCCGTGTGGACTTCTCCGGATGTGCATGCCGCCGCTATACCTAAAACGATCACGGGGTTATCGCAGCTGCAAACACGGCAAACAGCTGAGTCAGCCGGTGACTGGGAGTGGCGGGGCAAGAAAAAAATATCCCGAATCCGATCTTGCATCACTTCCTATCTCTTGACTCTGCTCAGTCAGTTTCGTGGATATCGCGGTTTGCGTCCGGAAAGTCAAGATGTCGATGGATTTGGATGGATCAGTTCCCATGTTGGGGCTGCAGGACCAGCCCCCGGTCGCTGCGACGTGAGTCCCTTATCGCCAGCCTGATCCAGCCGGAATATTGCTAACGGATCCCAGCATTCTTTGTTGCAACTGCGGTGCTCCCATCGATGGAACCACTTCGGCTGGTGCTATGTGCCAGGACTGTCTGAAACTGAATGTCGACGTTACTCAAGGGTAAGTTGAGACTTGAGACTTCTTTTCCAGCTCCACGGACGGAACAAAGTCTGATCGACTCGCAATTCTAGAATCCAGCGCGAATCGACTCTACTTTGCTGCAAAGACTGCGAGCGATGGCTCCAGCCCCCGAACCAGTGGGTGGTCGCCAATCTCGAATCGAAGGAACTCCTTGCGCTTTGTCTGCGCCGTCTTCGTGGCTTGTCGAAAGTCCGCATCATCGACGCCAACTTCATCTGGACCGAACCCCACTCGAAACGCATCAAGGTCAACATCACCATCCAGCAAGAGGCTTTCCAGGGTACAATTATCCAACAATCATTTGAGGTGGAATATGTTGTGGCCGGTCAACAATGTCCTGGTAAGTTTGGCTATCGATCTGGCTCCAGTCCGCCGACCCGGGCTTGCATCAACGCGGGTCTTGCTAACAAACCATCATTCTAGATTGTCAGAAGAGTTTCACCCCGAATACGTGGCGAGCTGCCGTTCAGGTTCGACAGAAAGTGCCCCACAAGCGCACTTTCCTTTACCTAGAGCAATTGATCCTGAAGAACGGCGCCCACAAGGATACGGTCAACATCAAGGAGGCCAAGGATGGTATTGATTTCTACTTTGCGCAGCGTAATCACGCCGAGAAGATGTGCGACTTCCTCAACTCGGTTGTCCCTTGCAAGATGCAAAAGTCCCAGGAGCTTATTTCCATGGATATCCACACGAGCACGAAATCATACAAACACACCTTCTCCATCGAATTGATCCCGATCTGCAGAGACGACCTTGTCGCGCTACCGATCAAGCTTGCCCGCCAGTTGGGGAATATCTCACCGCTTACTCTGTGTCACCGTGTCGGCAACACAGTTAATTTCCTAGACCCGACCACTCTCCAAACGGCCGACGTCCAAACCGGCACTTACTGGCGCTCGCCGTTCAAGAACCTCGCCGATGTCACCCAGTTGAAGGAGTTCATCATTCTGGATATCGAGCTGACGGGCCAGTCGAATGGACGGTTCCACCTCGCCGAGGCCACTGTCGCTCGCGCCACGGACCTAGGCTCCAACAACACCACGTACTTCACCCGCACTCACCTTGGTGGTGTTCTGCACCCCGGTGACTCCGTTCTCGGCTACCATCTCAGCGGAACTATTTTCAACGATGATAACTTCGATGCCATCGAGCAGAGCCACCAGTACGGATCGACCATCCCGGACGTTGTCCTCGTCAAGAAATTCTACGCCCGCAAGAAGAAGCCCAAGAGCCGCGCCTGGCGCCTCAAGCGCATGGCTCGCGAGTATGAGGAGGAGGCTCTTGCGGGAGCTGGCCAGCAGAGCCGCAAGAAGGAGCAAGAGGCTAACCGTCTCGAGGAGGACTTCGAGATGTTCTTGCGCGATGTCGAGGAAGACGATGAGCTCCGGCACACTCTGGACCTGTACAAGGTTCGGAAACAGGCCCAGGCGGCGGATGCGATGGATGAGGACGAGGACAACGAGAGTGAGGATGAAGTGCCGCAGATCAACATGGACGAGCTGCTTGATGACTTCGACGAGCTGAATATGGATGACGAATGAGCTTTTTGCGAGTAATATCCCTGATGATCATGGCTGGTGTTTATATTCTACTTTTCTAGAGGGGCTCAAGCCGATACGAAAAGTTTCTGCTTGGTTTTGGTTTTGATTAAGGATTCAAGGTTCATAGCATCCATGACGGCATTTCATACTTTCATCTTTGCAATAAATTTCGACTTTGTGATTGAACATCGGCAAGTATCCGGTCTTGTGTAGTTTGTGCTGTGTGTGTAGTTAGTGTGTAGTGTCGGGTAAGCATCACCTTATCAAGTCATGCAGTCTTGCTTGGGAGCCAGAAAGTGGTGATTAAATGAGTTGGTCAAACAAGTCAAACAAGGCAAACTGACCGAGAGTGATTCGGCGCTAGAACGAACCTCATCACCGATCATCTTCCTTCAAGACCCCTGGTGAACCGTGACTTAGACTGCAGTGATCATCTCAAGACCTGCAGAACCTACTGGAGATCCAGCCTATTTTACAGCACAATAATCGGTGGGACTCAAACTGACATACCAGGAACATAAGAGATCAACACGACAACGGTCAATTTCTCCGATGGTTCATCATCATCAGCTGACAGTAGGACAAGCGCTTCCTTCAGTAACACTCTTTCCCTGCTGCTGTCAGATGCCGAATTCCCGATTGGACAATCAGGACCCATCTCACTCCATGGCAGTGCATCTGACTGCGCGGCAAAAGCAACCAAACCAGACGGGCATGATACGAACTGCTTATCGGACCAATCACCAAGCTGTCTCGCCTATGCGGTCCGAGAGGTCCAGCTGGTTTTAGTCCCCAGGGATGCACATGCCCTGAGTTTAGTATCCGATCTACCGAGTTTTCGTCGATGAAACTGGATTGCCAAGGGTCTGGGACTGTCACCTGTGCAGCCCTGGTGATGCAACTCCCGGATGCCAAGGAGGATCGCCCGGATTATTTGATTGACACCCGCCCTGCAGCATTGTTGACTTCTCTTTGTTCGCCTTGTTTCTGGCTGGGGAGGTACCGCACTTCGGATGGTGCCAGCATGCCGATAAGACGTGTGTGATGTCTTTCCTTGTACCCGAGCGTATATAGCCTGCCACACCTCCTGAGGTCCGACGGAGAAATAGTACCTCTGTTTCGATACCGAGGTCCCCTGTGTCTGTCGATTGCCGATTTTCTGCCTTTCTCTCCACAACAGTAAGGCAGTAGCTTCGGGTTGTAAGAGTGGCAATGCACTCGAATCCCAATCTATTTAGTTCCTTTTCTTTCTTACTTGCCGCTCTGGGAATCCAGCCAGGATGGGCCTATGTCGCGCAAACCCCTCTGACAGGCGACACCTGCACGCAAACCACCGTGGCCATCTTGTAAGCCGATTGGCATTAGATTGGAGGTAGTGAACACTAACCGTGGCAGGGGAGGGGGGATGGCCGGGGTGGCTGCAGCGGTATGTGTGCGTTGAGTAACCCACACCACCCGACTAATCCGAGCAGCAAGCCTTGACAAACGCATCCGTCTCCGATTTCCTCCTGATAGAATCGCGCGAAACACTCGGGGGTCGAGTGTGGCATACTGACTTTGGAAAAGATAAGGAAGGCAGGCCGTATGTGGTGGAGTTTGGGGCCAACTGGGTATATTTCTATGCCCCGCAATCCAGGCATGTAAGGCTGATCTAAACTGACGGTGATGCCCCACATTAGCTCCAAGGCTTGGGCTCTGCTGATACAAGTACGTATCTTCCAATGCTCAATTCTTTTCATCCACAGACTGACCCTTCTCTAGTAAACCCAGTCTGGGCCTTGGTAGGCGTTGCCACTTTTGTAGCGAACCTGGCTGACCAACAGGCCAAAAAATACCATCTGCGTAATACCTATTCCAACTACAGCTCTCTCCGCACCTACAACGAATCCGGCGAAACCGACTATCGATATCTCCTCGATAAATATGCCGAGGCTTACCAGATCGCGGCGCGCGACGCCGGTCAGATTCTGATGCAGAACCTGCAGGATCAAACCGCCCGCACTGGGCTTGCCCTAGCTGGCTGGCGACCTCGCAAGAATGACATGGCTGCCCAGGCGGTCGAATGGTGGAACTGGGGTATGATCCGATGAAGCAACCGCAGGTCACTACTGTCATAGGAAGAAACCCCGATGGAGGCAGACAGGGCATACTCCCCCCTTTGCTTCACTTCCAGTGACCCCAGACGAGGGAGCTCCGGCTGAGACTAACGCTTGTTGTGCGCCGTCTAGATTGGGAAGACGCCTCCCCGCCAGAGACCAGTTCCTTCGTGTTCGGGATGGCCGGCGAGAACCTGACCTTCAACCAGTTTGGCAAGGCCAACCACTTCGTCCTCGACCCTCGCGGCTACAGCACCATCATCGAGCAGGAAGCCGCGGCTATCTTTGGGGACGGACCCTCCTCACGTCTACGACTCAACACCCATGTCACCGCCATCGACCACTCTCACAAAGGAGTCACCATCCACACCAACAACGGCGACTGCATCGAAGCAGCCTACGCCATCTGCACATTTTCTGTTGGAGTCCTCCAAAATCACGCTGTGGCCTTCCGCCCGCCTCTCCCGAGGTGGAAACGGACTGCGATCGAGAAATTCAACATGGGCACCTACACCAAGATCTTCCTGCAATTTCCCTACACGTTCTGGCCCACCGATACGCAGTTCTTCCTGTATGCCTCCCCGACCACCCGCGGCTACTACCCGATCTTCCAGTCCCTCTCCTCCCCCACCTTCTTGCCCGAGTCTCATATCCTGGTCGTAACCGTCGTCGAAGAACAAGCCTACCGCGTCGAACGACAATCCACGGCGCAGACCACGGCCGAGATCCTCGCCGTGCTACGGGAAATGTTCGTGGGGGTGACAATCCCACAGCCGACGGCCGTCACTTACCCGCGCTGGTCGCAGGAGCCCTGGGCGTACGGCAGCTACTCCAACTGGCCGGTGGGGACCACGCTCGAAATGCACCAAAACCTGCGAGCGAACGCGGGCCGACTCTGGTTCGCGGGCGAGGCGACCAGCGCGCCGTATTTTGGGTTTCTGCATGGGGCGTGGTTCGAGGGGCAAGAGGCGGGCGCGCATGTGGCGGCGCTGCTGCAGGGTCGGTGTGTGACGCTACAGGAGGGCGGGGAGGAGACGTGTGGCGAGCGGAGGCATTATGAGCCGCTGAATGGGACGACGCCGATTGAGGCGTATAGCATGGTCAATGGGTGGCCTTTAAGTAGTACAGATTTGTAGGGGGAATCGGGTGGGCTAGAGGGGTTTCATATATATTGGTTATACTTACTACAGTTGGCTGGGCATCGCGAGAGCACTGCATTTGACCATTCGTCTGGGCTGTTTTCTTAATACATTACTCGTGGACTTTGCATAACGTGAATGCACTATCACTCAATTGTCTTATGACTCCATGCAATTGTCCGAATACATTATCGCAACCCTAACGCAAACTTGAACCACGTAATCCCGACGGTATCAAGCCCGAGCATCCCCTACCTCAACCAGCATATCGCGGAGATGCGCGTGCACTGCATGAGCATCACTGCAACAGTCAGATAGAGATAGCAAGTAGCTAGGAGAAGAGAAAACATACCGCACCGGCCGTATGCCGCGACGCGCGGGGGATAGTCGCATCGGGCCGCAGCACCCATTCAAGCGCCTCGACCAACTCGGGACCCCAGGGATGCGAAACCGGCAGCAATCCAGCGTCCTTGTCATCGTCGTGCCCTGAGCCGGGGAGCGTCTTGATATGCACGTCGACTCTCGGAGGTGTCAGTCCAACCTTCCCGGTGTGTGCCCGAACAGCAACGAAGGAGATAGGGTACTCACTTCTCGCGCAAGAGCAGCGTAGCAAACAACAGCTGCCGCTGCTTTAATAAGCTGTCGGCAAAGGTCAGGATATAAGTGCGCGGCATGGCGCCGAGGGCAGACCACATGCCGATGGCGTGGTGGCCGGGCTCGACGCGGTTGACGTCCAGCAAGTCACGGTAGAAACCGTAGCCTCCTTCCTCCTCCTTCTCCTCCGCCTGCTCCTCTTCCTGCCCAGTCTCAGACATCACGTCCCTCCTTGCCCCTGTATCACCCTCCTCCTCCTCTTCACTCTCCTCAAACTCAAACTCAGACTCAGACTCAAACACCAACCCCTCCTCCTCATCACTCAAACCCCAATAATCACCAACCCCAAACCCAACCTCCCAAGCCTCAACCCCAGCAAAAGGCTCAAACCCCCACCCTTCCGCGACCCCACGATCCAAAAACGGCATCCAAGGACAACAAAGCACCTGCCCAACAACCCTCACTACCCTCGCCGAGCGCGTCTCAACCTCGCTGCGACCCGCAACATTCGTGCGTGCAAAAAACGCAACCCAAGCCGCCAGCGCCGCACCCGCATCCTCCCCGCCGACGACCACCCGGGTAGGATCACCATTCAACCACGCGATCCGGCGTTCGAGCCAACAGAACGCCGCCCATGCGTCCTCGTAGGGGTCCGGGTATGATACCGTGGGTGTGTGCCGGTAGTCTGCGCTGATGAGGATGATGGGTGTGCCCCGGGTGTAGAGGGCGGAGACGAGGCGTGCGCAGGTGGCGTCTTCGCTTGCTAATGTGCCCGTGAAGAAGCCGCCGCCGTGGAAGTAGAGGTAGACTGGGAGGTTGGCCGGGGTGTAGCCTTGGGGTTTTGGGGTGTAGATTCTTAGGTGGAGGGTTTGGGTCTTGGGGTTGGGTTGGGGGTGCTGGTTGTGCTGGGGAGGAGTTGAGGTTGGGGGGCTCGGGAATGGGGGTGGGCGGTGGATTGGGTGCGTTTGGATGGTTACTGTTTTGTGGAGGTCTGGTTTTGGATTGGTTAGCATTGGTGCTACTTGGGGGTAGGAGGGTTTGGGGCTGGGGGATGGGGGATGGGAACGTGCTTTCATGCGCCATCGCGGCTTGGGAGGCTGCTTCGCGTTGCCGGTTTTGTTGCTGTTGCTGTTGCAGTAGGTGGGCGATGGCCGGTTCGGGGTATGGTGTTGGAGGCGGCGCGCGTATATGGATATTCCCTGGGGAGTCGTCTGTATCAGACGCTTCGCGGGTCATGCTGTGTTCGTGTTTGCTAGGTGAACTGTCTTTGATATCGTGCATTTTGTCTTGATGGGTGCGTTAGGGCTGGGTCAGAAGAAGGGACTTGGTGATAGTATCAACCAGAAACAGTGCAGACGAAGAGCTGGCTGAACACTTTCATGCGAGGTGATCAAAATTTGTGTTCGAATTCGGCTCGACCCTGCGCTTTATTGAGTGGACAGTAGTACTTCCTTTGTCTGCATATGAACTCCTCTCTTTGTCTGCTACCGAATATACTAGCAGATCGTTGATTGGGCCATGATAAACTAGGATGCGAACATTACCGCTCAAGACTCCTTCTGGTCGATCTGGACTACTGGAATATACTGCGAAAAGTCAATTGCTCATTATGCTCAGGGTAGAAAGCGAGCTGATGATATCGGTGATTGAAACATTCATGCAATCAGCTAATGAAAGCTATCATCTCATCAAGGCTTAAATATACAACAAGCGAGCGCTAAACCAGAAGACAACTTAATACATTCCCCCTCAAAACCTAGACAAGGTTCCCCCGTAGAGCCTGCTCCCGCTCAATCGCCTCAAACAACGACTTGAAGTTCCCCGCGCCAAACCCAGAGAAATTATGCCGCTGGATAATCTCAATGAAAACAGTCGGACGGTCCATGAGATGCTGCGTAGTGTCAGAACAAAGCCAACTACTTAATTCTGAGTTCATGCAAGCGAACATACCTTAGTGAACAACTGAAGCAGATATCCCCCCTCATCGAAGTCAATCAAGATATCCAACTCCCGGATCTCCTCAAAGTCCTCGTGGAGCACCAGACCCGCCTTCTTCAGCCGGATCTTGATATCCTCGTAGTAGTTGTCGGGAACCTTGATGAACTCCACTCCGCGCGCCTTAAGGTTGCGGATATCCCGGATGATGTTATCTGTCAGGAGCGCAATGTGCTGCACGCCGGCTCCATTGTAGAAGTCCACGTACTCCTCGATCTGCGACTGCTTCTTCCCCTTGGCGGGCTCGTTGATGGGCATTTTGACGACTTCGTTGGGCGACGCCATGACGATACTCTTTAGAGCGGAGAATTCGCTATGTACACAACATATTTAGCGTGGTTTCTTGATTTGAAGATGTTTGGCTCACTCACGTGCAGATATCTTTGTCGTCGACGGACCAGAAGCGGTGGAATCCGAGGGCGTTCTCGTAGCTTTGCGATGCATTAGCAACAGCCTTCTCCTTTCGATCTCTGATAGCACGGCCAAGGGAGACTCACTACTGGCAAACCTGGTCCATCTCATCCCAGTCCTGGTTCCCAACACAATGATCAATCCGCTGCAGATGCACCCCAGGCAGCAGCGCGGAGATCGGATCCGCATCGCCCTGCTCCACGCGGTAGCCAGGCAGGAAGGCGCCGCGGTACTGTCCCCGCTCGATCAGAGTATGTGTCGTCTGGCCGTAGGTCTGGATGGTGGCGACGCGGACCCGCCCATCCGCGTCCTCGAGGGTGCGCGGACCCGAGATGGCTTTCGCACCGTTGCTCACGGCTGCGTTGTAGACGGCGTCCACCGAGTCGACCTCGAACGCGACGTCCTTGACGCCATCGCCGTGCTGCGCCAGGTGCTGGTGGATGTCCCGCAGCAGCTCCTGCTCTTCCGGCTCGAAGCGGGAGACCTGCTCCAGCGAGCGGAGCGGAGAGGTCAGGATGAAGGTGATATCGCCGTTGCGGACGACGTGCGAGCAGATCGCTCGGCTGTTGGTCTCCAGGCCCCGGTAGGCGACGCGCTTGAAGCCCATGCGCGTGATGTAGAAGGTGGCGGCTTGTTTGGCGTTGCCCACGTACCAGTGCACATGGTCGTAGCCTTTGTAGCTGGCTAGGCTGGAGCTGTTGGTTGGGAGGGAGGGAGAGGGTGAGGAGGTGGCGATTGGAGCCATGGTTTGGATATGAAGCTAGATTTGGCCTTGCGATGTATAGGCTTATAGATAAATAAATAGGAGCTGATTGTCTGTCAGGGAGGTGTAAGCTTGATGCTTGCTATGATGATGGGATCGTGAGGCTTGCTGTGGAAGTCCTGAGGATGGAACATGGCTACCTTATAACCCAGACTAATGACGGATATTATCCTTACAATCCTGAAGTCTACTGCCCGGGTCTTTCACCATCGCGAGCCCCGGACGGCCTATCGCGCAGAGTCAAAGGCGAGTGACTTCGCGGACGGACGGTGGATGGCGTCGGCTGTGGGCGGACATTTCCGGCTGGCGACGGGTGTTTGAGCAAACACCCGTCAGCTCTGTCTCGGACGGTTAGAAGCGCCTTTCCTGACCTCGGCTGGACTCTGGCCCTGCTGACCAGATATACGGTCTCTCTCCTCTCATTCCTCTCAAATGGCATCCATATCGTCATCCTCGTTGTTGTGCAAAGCAGACTGCCGTATAGAAAAGCATCCGTCGCGGCTTGCCCAACTGTGCACCGCACCTCTACAACTCAATCCCTACTCACCTTTCGCGACCAGCACCTGAACTACGCACACATCAGTCAAAATGACAACGATCGAGCCGAGCACACCATCCCTCACCACCAACGACTCAGCCGTCCTTCAAGCGCTCTTCGACGCGGAGTCCTCCCCATCGTCCGCAGTGGCCATCGACTCAACCCTCCCGGCCTTACCCGCCCACCTCAACATCCCAACAGAGACGCACGAGACCCTCAAGTCAAGGGAACTAGAGATCGTGCGCACGCTGCAACAACCAGAGCCCTCGCTCCCCACCGTCCACAAAGCCATCAGCGACCTGAACGCTCTCATCACGGACGCACCCAGCTACCCGTCCGCATACATCAATCGCGCCCAAGCCCGACGCCTCCTAATCAACCTCACCCCAATCCCTACCACCACCTCCTCCTCAAGCACACCAACAGACCCCGACACCAAGCTCTTCGCAACAACCAACCGCGCCCCCGCCTCCGCCCTGCTAGCAGATCTCACACAAGCCATCCAGCTATCCAGCCCCCGCTCCCCGGCAGACCCGGTCTCACCCGCCCAAGCGCGCCTCCTGGCCGATGCATACACGCATCGCGGGTACCTGCTACTGAAAGCCGCACGGTTCAAGCAATCGCATAAGAACGAGGTAGGGGGACCGGACCGGTTGGACGGGCTGGAGGCGCAGCAGCTGGAGGAGATGGCCAGCGGGGATTTCTTTCTGGGCGGTCGGTTCGGGAATAAGGTCGCGCAGCAGTTGGCGGTGCAGACGAATCCGTATGCGAAGATGTGCGGTGCGATTGTTAAGGAGGCGTTACGGAAGGAGGCGGCTGCTGGGTCTTCATCGGTGATGGATTGGTAGACTGGCGAGGGAGGCTGGGAAGAGAAAGATCGAGAAAGGGAGGCCCACGGTGTCATGTCATGCCATATTGCTTGGGTGAGGTGATTGGTAATTGGTAATCGGATCCGGGGGGGTTCCTTCGGGGATTGAGGCTGTCAGTTCTTTTTTTTTTAAAAAAAAAAAAAAGTGTATACGATGAAGTCATCTGATGAGCATATTATCCTCGTATTCAGTTTATTTGCGGCGATGGTGTCCTTGCAAGTGAAGGGCATGATAGGTGGTAAATAAGTTGATAGAACGAGACGCCGATTGAAGAAAAGCTAAGACGCCGATGGATTTGGGGGAGGAAACCCCGATTAGGCAAGGCGGGGGCAAACACGGCAAACATGGCGAACACCGTATCCCCGAAAATGACGTGATCGCCGAGACCGGCCATGGGCTGTTTTGTACTTTAACTCTTGTCAGGAACTGTCATTTTGACTTCCGGTGCATTATCTGTGAATTTTACCACTTCAATTCTCTTCTCTTCTCCCTCTCTCCTCACTTCTTGTTCTTCTTCTTGTTATATTGCTTCACTCTCATCCTTGCTGCAGTCCTCACCATGTTCCGCAGCAGCGTCACCCGCGCTGTCCGCGCTGCCCACCCCTCCAGCGCCCCTCTCCGCACGCTCGCCACCGCCGCCTCTCCCTCCTCCACGAACCCCCCCGTCACCCCGACGACACGCAACCACAAAGTCCTGGTTGTCGGCGGCGGCAGCGCCGGACTCAGCGTCAGCCACCAATTGCTGCACAAAGGCCCATACACGCAAGACGATATCGCGATCATCGAGCCATCGGAATGGCACCACTTCCAACCGGGCTGGACGCTGGTCGGCGGCGGGGTGAAGACGAAGGAGGAGCTGCGACGGCCGACGCCGACGCTGGTGGACGGGAAACTGAAGCTGTACGGACAGGCGGTGGAGAGCTTCACGCCGGAGCAGAACACGGTGACGCTGGCCAACGGCGACCGGCTCGGGTACGAGCAGCTGATCGTGGTGCCGGGCATTCACGTGAACTTCGGGAATAGCATCCGCGGGTTGGCGGAGGCGCTGGCGGATCCCAACCGCCTGGTCGCCTCGACCTACGGCTACGACCACGTCGACAAGGTGTACCGCTCGCTGCAGACGCTGAAGCGCGGAAAGGCGCTGTTCACGCAGCCCGCCGGTGTGCTCAAGTGCGCCGGTGCCCCGCAAAAAATCATGTGGCTCGCCCTCGACCACTGGAAGCAGGCTGGTCTGTATAACCCCGCTGATCCGGCTAAGTCGGCGATCCAAATCGCTTTTGCTACGGGTCTGCCTGCGATGTTCGGCGTGCCCAAGTACAGCGCTTCGCTGGAGGCGCTGCGCCAGGAGCGCGGCGTCGAGCCGCTGTTCCAGCACGACCTGGTGGCCGTGGAGGGCAACACGGCGACGTTCGCCAAGGTGGACGGGTCCGGCGCGCAGGTGCAGCGCGAGTTCGACATGCTGCACGTCGTGCCGAAGATGGGGCCGCACGCGTTCGTCAAGAACTCGCCGCTGGCCGATGCCGCCGGCTTCGTCGACGTCGACCCCGCCACCACCCAGCACAAGAAGTTCAAGAACGTCTGGTCCCTCGGCGACGCCTCCAGCTTGCCCACCTCCAAGACCGCCGCCGCCATCACCGCCCAGGCCCCCATCATGGTCCGCAACCTCCTCCGCGTCGCCGACGGTCAGGCCCCGGACGCCGAATACGACGGCTACACCTCCTGCCCGCTCACCACCGAGTACGGCAAGGTCCTCCTCGCTGAGTTCAAGTACGCCGGCGTCCCCAAGGAGACCTTCGGCGGCCTGCTCGGCATCGACCAGGCTACCCCGCGCCGCGCCTTCTGGCACATGAAGAAGAGCTTCTTCCCCTGGGTCTACTACAACAACATGGTCAAGGGCACCTGGGCCGGTCCCAAGGGCTGGTTGAGCTAAGTGCGAGTGCGCAGTGATGTATGATTAGTGTTGATTAAAAGCGTGTTAGGGAGACTGTACATTTTGCGTTCTTTTCTGTTACCGTCGGTCTTGTTAATAGAGTTCGCGTTGCTTCATTAAGATACAATTAGAGGTGTACTTTGTGCAGTGTCCGATATATCTCTACCGCTCCTCTTCTCAACCTACTAGGAAGTTCGAAGTAAACCAAAGTAATGAAGCAGTAATTACATACATTCCAATATCAAAGCATTATACACAGTGTCATAAACCCATGCTCTCATCACCATTCGGTTCACACATTCAGATCGTCAAGCTCCCTGTCAACTGGATATCCGCCACGCTCTTACCCACATACACCTTATACTCGCCCTGCTGCAGCCCCCAGTTCTGCACGGCCACATCCCACGTACTGAGGTCGCGGCGCGTGAGGCTGAAGCTCACCTGCTTCTTCTCGCCGGGCTGGATCAGCACCTTCGTGAACCCGCGGAGCACCTTGGCAGGACCACCGGGAATGCCCAGGTAGAGCTGCGCGACCTCCTTGGCGGCGACGGCGCCCGAGTTCTCCAGCGTGCAGGTGACGGTGACCAGCTCGTCCCACAGGGAGGGCAGGCCGCCCTCTGCGACGGCGGCGTCGGCGGGGAGGTAGCTGGTGCTCTTGTTCGTAGCGGTGGGGCTGACGACGAGATCGGAGTACGTGAAGTCGGTGTACGTGAGTCCGTAGCCGAAGGCGTACTGCGGGGTGATGTTGCGGGCCTCGAAGTGCTTGTAGTCGATGTACAGGCCCTCGGTGAAGTTATCCTGCGGGTAGTAGATGTTCGCTCCGCTCGAGGGGAGCACCGGGTCGAGAAGCGCACCGTAGTCGCTGGCCTGGCGCGCCACGGTGTAGGGCAGTCGGCCTGAGGGCGATTGCTTGCCGTACAGCACTTCGACGAGCGCCCGTCCGCTGTCTTGGCCCGGGAGATGCGCGTACATCACCGCCGTGATGTTGGCGTGGTCGATCCACTTGTCGACGAGGCGGACGCCCGCGTTGTGGATGATCACCATCGTGTTGTTGCACTGCTTCGCCACGTTCAGTACCAGCTCGTCCGAGTAGCTGTCCGCCAGCGACGGGCGGTCCCAGCCTTCGGCGGCGGCTTCGTTGATGAACACCAGGCAGGCTTCGCTGGCGGGGTTGACCACCGGGCTGTGCGAGGCAAAGTCCCAAGCGAGGAAGGTGTTGTCGTCGTAGGCTTGCCGTTGGAAGGCGTCGAAGGGCGCATCGATGTAGGCTGGGGTGCTGGCGCCGGAGCCGCCGCCGGAAATCATCGTGCCGTTGAGGGCGACCCCCGGGCCGGTCGCGCTGGGGTCGGCGCTGGCAAGGAACATGGACATGAACATGCTGGGGTCGACGGCGCTGCCGTTGGGGTAGGTTTGCGTGTTGGCCCAGCCCATCGACCACATGGCCCAGGAGAGGTCATCCATAGTGTTTTGGGAGGCGGCGATGGCGTCGTAGCCGAAGAGGGACAGGAAACGAGGCTTCGAGAGAGGGAGTGCACCGTTGGTGTTCTTCACCAGGACGTGGCCCTCGACGGCGCTTTGGAAGATGTTCTCTTTGGAGGCTGGGTCGCGGGCGTCGACCAGCTCGTGCGGCTCGAGCAAGCTCACTGGTATGCCATGGCCGGGGTTCTCAAATTCGGCATACTTATACCAGGCTGCCACGATACGGGTGGCCATATCATCCAGGCGAGAAGACGCGAGGGAGCCGTTCTTCACGGCGGCAGCAAGGTGGCCATTTTCCCAGTACTGGGAGCTGGGCATGACCATGTCCAGGCCTGCTTCGGCGCTGGCCAGGCCCGTGTGTTGGGCGTGCCAGTCAGAGACGACAAACCCTTGGAAGCCCAGCTCGCCTTTAAGTAGACCATTCATGGTCTTGCTATTCTGACAGCCGTAACTGTTATTGACACGGTTATAGCTGCACATGACCGAACCGGCACCGGCTTTGACGGCGTCCTGGAAGGGCCAAAGATAGAGTTCATGCATGGTTTGATCGTCAATGTTGGATGAGAGGGACTGGTTAAGGGCACCGGACAGCAAGCCAGGGATATTCCGGCTAGTCTCTTGCTCATTGCCAATCAAGTGCTTAACGCAAGCAATTACCGACTCTTGCAGGCCACGCACGGTGTCCCCAGTCAGGGCTCCAGCAAGGTACGGGTCATTGCTGAAACCTTCCCAGTTGCGGCCTCCCCGTGCGATACGGCCTAGAGGACCAGCAACCGGCCCCAATGCCACGTTGGCGCCTTTGCGCTTGAATTCCGCGCCCATATATTGGGCGCGCTCGTAGGCCAGGTCCCGGTTCCATGAAGCGCCGACGTGCAAGCCGGACGCGTAGCCGTTGACCATGTCCGTACCACGAACACCGCTGGCGGCATCCTGCAGACAGATACCGGGGTAGCCAAGACGAGGCACACCAGCAGTATTGCCTCCGCACCCATTGGTTGTGGAGGTTATACCGTACGTGATGTTGTTCTTCTCTTCGTCCGTCATCTGAGCCACAAGGGCTTTGGCCTTGGTGAAAGCATCTTCCCAGTCACCCAGACCTTGAACTTCGGCTACTAGGAGTTAGCTATAAGAGAAGATGAAGCGGAAACGCTACACTCACGAGTAGGATAGACGGGCTCGGAGCCGCCATAGGACCAAAACCGCTCAAGCTCCGTCAGGTTAAGGGGGGAGCGAGGTTGAATGACTGCTGCTCCCGCCAGTGGGATGGCAGCTGCTGACAAGGGAATCGTCAGCTTCATTGTGGCCGAAGCTGCTGATCGAATGTGAAGCTGATTGTTTTGTGATTGAGCTGGATGGAGCAAGGGAGGGGAGGCAGCTCCATTATATAGGCACGAACCTGAGCTGAAGGCCTACCAAAGTCCACTCCAATTCCGACATCCACACGGCTTGACCCGTGTATCTCAACCGTCGGTCAGTTCGAGGTCACATCTACCGTCATGCTGGGCGAACATGGCCGTTAGTCCGTACCGAGCTCGTGACAGTTCATGTGGGCTACGCTTGGCATCGGGGAGGAAACTTGGACGGGACGTGGGGGGAATACCAGGCGACTGGAAGTCTAACTCGTCACCGTCTATGATGGAGGTAGAAGGATGTAGCAGGTCGACAGTGATTTAGTTGGTACAGTCCTATCCAGGTAGGGTTGTGCCGAGGTTTTTGTGGGCTTCGGGGAATAAACCGAGTCCGGGGATGGGAAAATGCGGGGACTCCACGAGGGTTTTTTTTTCTTACGCCTGGCAGCCGAGCCGTGCTGCCACCTGTCGGCAAAATTCCGGCGAAATTTCCCCCCATATGACAGAGAAAAGATGGAGAACAGGTAAAGCAACTCTGGTTAGTTGTGGCTACCGCTAGACTAGTATAGGGCCTGACAGAGTCACGCGGTTTGCGGAGGTTTTCCTTGGAGGTGGATCTGGAGTACTCCAGGTCAGGACAGGACAGGCTCGTATTGCTTGGGGCAGTCCCGGTGGGTCCAGAATCAGTCGGTAATTCTTGCCCCTCTGCAACAATTTGCAGCATCTTCTGCAGCATTGCCCGTGAGGAGAGCAGTGTGGGGTCGGTCACTGGGGTGAAGGATGAAGATTCCGACGCCTGGGGTCACCCAACATCATCGCAGGCATCAAACCACGCCGAATGCGCTCACTCGCTCCCTTTCGGGTATGGTTGCCCAGTAATTGGGGTGAAGCAAGGGCTTCGGCCGTCTCTGCCCGGTTTGCCGCAGTCAATTCACTTCACGTTAGTCATGGATGACTGAGAGAGCCTGCGGATTCTGTCCGAGTTGGTACTGACAACACAGCTTTGAAGAGACAGTTCCAGATGGTTCTGTCTTCGCTCAGTGCATGCTCGGTCAATAGACAGAACGTCTTCCATCAACATGATCCACGATTTGAAGTTGACCTCTCAAGAAGGTGGAAAATGGAGATATATTCGGCATCTCAGCCAACCCCCAGAGTTGTTGCCGACGGACGGGAAACGAGCGGGACTGCAGAAATTAACAAACCCTCATTATGGTTCTTGGCCCGAATTCCCCCTCCGACATTCCATCAGGAAATTTCTCCGACCACTACCACCATTACCAACCAACCACTGAAAGAACATCGGACATCTTGTGCCAAGTCGGCAAATCCGAAGGATCAATTGGTACAAAGAACATTAATCCCGGCTAAGTCTTTTGCAGGCCGCATTCTACAGGATCAGAACAAAAGCTTGGGCCACTCCATAACATCGGATGTCATTCCTCGTAAAGCTCCCACTAGTTAACAGAGAACACGCCGATTCTCGGGGATGGAGGCAGAAATCTACTTCAAACGCGCCTCCACAACCATCATCGGCACTCCGGGGGCCCTCCACTCCTGCGCCAAAGCCAACCCCGCCTGGTCGAACAGGCGCGCAAAATCCTTGGCCGTCCGCTCGGTCCCCCCAAACGTCATCATGGTGTGGTCCATGTAGGCGTGGGACATCGTAGCGCCGACCTCGGGTATAATCGTCTCGGTAATGAGGATGCGGGACTTGTCCCGATCCATTGCGCCCGCCAAATGTGCCAGGATCTGGCGTACCTCCTCGTCCGGCCAGTCGTGCAGCGTCCGGCGCACATAATACACTAAAGCGCCTGGTATAGATAGTCGGAGTCAGTGCAGTTACTCGACATTTGAATGTGTAGTCATCATACCTTTGACCGGCTGCGGTGTGAAGAAGTCATGCGCCATCAGCTCGATCCCATGGCGGGTCATCTCCGGCCCATTGTCGGCGATGACGCTGGCCCGGTCCTGGAGGATGAAGCGGCCGCCCAGTCCTGCGGTGTTGGCCTTGAGTTGGCGAAGAATGTGACCGCGTCCACCTCCGACGTCGACGATGGTGGGCTGGTCCGCTTGAGCGAGCGCTCCTAGCCGCTCCTTGAAGGGATACAGCCCGATCTCCGCCAGCAGAGAATCCTCGGCGACCATCGCATCGTTGATTCGCGTCAGACGCTCCGGGCTTTGAGAGACATGCTCGAACATCGTCTGCCCCTCGCAGCTGTGCACGAGTGTGTACGGGTTACTGCGTAAGCCGATCCGATCTTGCCATTGATGTCGACGGAGGAACTCGTGGGTGCGCAGCATAGCGGGGCAATATTCATCTACCCTTGTCCGATCGGAGAGGTGAGAAGGTGGACGGTATGGGTAGGGGACTTAGCAGAACTCACATTAGTCCTAAGACTGCACGCATCTGGGGTGCCAGGTAGATCTCCGAGTTCGGGGTGTGGGCGTACTCTTCTTCACCTGTCTCGCGGAAGGGCCCGAGGGGGGTGACAGCCCGCATCATGCGCACTGCATCAGAGTCAGAGACACATCTAGAGACTTGTAGCATGGGCAGGATCTATGGGACCTATGACCTCTTTACTCACGCCCGTTTTGGCAGCAATGTCGGTGGCCGACATGCTCTTGGCCCCCAAGGGGATGGCATCAAATACGCCCGCTTCAAGCAGCGTGCGGATAGCGCCTAGATTGGCCATCTGACATCCGAGATCCATCGTTAGTCTCAGCAATCCGAGCAGGGACCTATCGTGGACTCACATTTTCGAAGTTCGCAAACACCAAGTCGGCGGGTCCGCGGATGGTCTGCACCAGACGCATCGCTTTGACCATCAGATCGTACCGTGCATCCTGGCTGCTAAGCGAGGTTGACTGTGCACGGTACTGACCAGCAGATTGGACCACGTCGTCGAGACACTGCTGGATGCGATCGAGGCTAGGATCGAGGGGCGCCATGATAGGTAATGCAGCACCCGGACAAGCTCGGCTGAATAGTAGGAGATTGCATCCGGCGACAGGGGGGCCTGCAAAGTCTTATAGATCGGTGCTTTTGCGCGATGTGCATGTTGAGAAGTGGGATTGGAAGGGACGATCTGGATAGTCAAATTGGATACATCACCTGCAAGTTTGCAGGATCTTATTGGCTAGGCTCCAAAAGGCAACACGACCTGCACTGGCAGCTATAGCGAACTGCCATTCGGGGACAATCCTTGGATCGACTGGAGATCGTTGCCCTGTGCATTGTGGTGGCATGCAGTGGGCCCGACACCTGTCACATTTCACTACTGTACTCCTCAACCACCACAGCGTCATTCTTTCAGGAGATAAGGGTCAGTGACTGGTGAACCGTGATGAGACAGAAGACTATGCTTTCAAGAGAGCCTGAGATCAAGTCTTATCGTTCCAGAGCGTCAGGTCTCGTCGGAAAGGGCTGGAGATGGCTGAGATGGCTGAAACTGGCGGAATCAGGGCTCGTTTGCGGCAGCGCTCAAAGTACCGCAGAACGAAAGAAACTTCACCCCCCGCTGCAAGCACGGTCTTAGCCAAAGCCTATTCATCCCAAGGCTCTCCTGAGAGTGCACAGTCACCACTTGGGGAACAATCGCATTTTCACTGTGTCGGTGCGCTGCTGATCTCAACCCGGGCCCAGCCCGATAGAACAGGCAAGACTGCATCTACGGTTCCTGGGCAAGATGCACATCCCCATCCCAACGGGAGATCGAGATAGGGGCACTATTTGTAATCTCCGCAATTATTGATCTAGCATTGAGCCTGCTTCGCTGGGGTGCGACCGTGTGATACGTCGCCGCCACATCGCTCAACGCGACCGGCGATCCTAGCCTGTCATCCTCAGAAACGGTGCGATCGTCAGGGAGGCTTCACCCGCACGTACTTAGTCGGCCCCTGCTTCGAAGAAGAACAGGACTCGGTGCTTGGACCCTCAGTCCGGGGATGACATCCGGCGGAGACAATAGGGTGGTTCGAACCTTGAATTGAGACTTTGGGTTTGTTCGCATTCGAGGTGTCACCTCGCCTGACCCAGTTTGATACAAAAAAATTGGAAAGAAGGGGACGGTGGCGTATTGGTCCGACCACATCGAGCTGGGCGTCAGCCAAGAAGGTACGATCGCCCCGTGAAGACCCAGACTATGCGCTGCAGAGAGGAGACTATGCCAGTAGTCGTTGCCTCTTGCATATGATACCTTCGATGTGTCGGAGATGAGGAGACGAAAGTACGGAGCAGGCAGGATCTATGACAGGATATAAAGAAAGCATGGAGACAGGGCTCGTCGTGCATAGACTTCTGATCTTGTGGAATTTTCAACTTCACACAGAAGCGCAGCATCATCGCTGACTGGCACCCTCGACTGCTTCCATCCATCATGACAACCACTCTGGATTTGAGCAAGCTGCCAGCTGCAGATCCTCCTCCCGGAGTGACCGCCAACTTCGAGAACCCGGAGAATCTCAACTATGAGATCTATTCCATCAACATCGCTCTCTGCCTGACGGGTACCGTGGTCCTGCTGCTGCGTCTGTATACTCGAGCTTTTCTCCAGAAGACTATCGCGGCCGACGACTGTAAGCACTGGTGTCGATCTTCATTGCGAAATATGCTAAACTGTGTCGATAGGGTTCTGCATCTGGGCTCAGATTTGTGCGTGGATCTTCGCGATTCTGGGCATTATAAGTAAGCTCTCAGCTTGACTTCGGCCGCAGCATGGTTTGACATTCGACAGATATCGAGAATGGGTACGGACATCATATCTGGGATCTGCATCTCGACAAGATCAAGCCCTTCAAACAGGTATGTTCATTCCTGGGTTGTCCCCGCAAACACTATAATCGCTGATCGACATTCGAACAGAATGATCTGGCGGGCGAAGACGTCTTCGTGGTCGGCATCTGGCTGGTCAAGACATCGATTCTGCTTTTCTTCCTACGCCTCAGTCCGGAGAAGCGCTTCCGACAGATGACGTACGGAATCATGATCTTCGTGGCCGTCTACAACATGGTCAGCCTGCTGGTCTTCACTCTGGGCTGCATTCCCGTCCAGGCCATGTGGGATGTCGCTCTGATGCCGACCGCTCGCTGCGTGAACCAGTTGGCCTTCGTGTATGCCAATGCTGCCTTTAACCTGTTCTCGGACATCATCACCCTGGCGCTGCCCATCCGGCTCTGCTGGCAGCTTCAGACCACCCTCAAGCAGAAGGTGCTTCTCATGATGGTCCTCATGATGGGTTCTTTGTGAGTTGACTCCTCGTCCCTGATGCTTTCTTTATGGCATGGGTGCTAATTTGGTGCATAGCGCCTGTGTGATTGCGATCGTCCGGATCGTGACCATGATGCCCTTTATCCACGACGGCGACCTCACCTGGTATAAGGTGACCTTGGCCAAATGGGCGTAAGTTCTCCATGTCCCTTTCCGCCTGCAGCCGTGCGCACATCAGACTAAGTCCGGTTTCCCGCAGGATGGTGGAAATCAACGTCGGCATCATTTCCGCCTGTCTGCCCGTGCTCCGGCCACTGCTTCTGCAGCTTGCGCCGCACATCTTCGGCAGCAATATTGGCAGCGCGGCCAAGCCTCGCGGCCAGGGTAGCGACGGCAGCGACCCGGTGGGGGCGCGCAAGAAGGTCATCCGCAACTGGGACTATCTCTCGACGCTACGCAGCGCCGCCGTGCCGGAGACGCAGGACGACGTGGAGGCGATGCATGAGATGGTCAAGCACGACGCGAACGAGCATGAGTCGGGCATCGTCATGTCCACGGACTATACGGTCGTCAGCAAGCGGGAGTCTACCTGATCTATCAGTGTATGGTCCTGGGGTCAGAGTCTGTGTCGGGGAAGGGCCCCCACAGTATTCTGGCATCTGCTGGCATTGGGGGTTGCCAGCAAAACCACAGCCAATTTCTCTTTCGTTGATTCCTGGGGATGGGTTTTCTTTAAGATTCTAGTTTTTAATTCTTTTATTTCTTTTCCTACACTCCGCACTATGAGTTTCATCGGTCGGAGGGACATTATTCTAACCCTGTTCATCCTGTATTTAGTGGAAAATATTGAGTGAGTGGTATGAATGAAAGCCCTCATCCGCTTCTTTCGGCCTTTCATCGGCCTAGTCGGAGTAAGCCCTGAAACCCCGAGACATTCCCCCAACATCAGCCCGGTCGCATCTCTCCCTCTTAGCAGTGAACCCCACCTGTCGGCCATGGTCGGAAATAACAGGGAAAATCCCACGCGGGCTGATGTGAGAATCCCCGGAATAGCCGGAAGCAAGTGGAGCTTTGCCTTCCTGCCTATCTGTCTCTGTCTAGTGAGGTGACATCCGGCACGCCGCACCCAAAATTACGCTGTCGTATCACGCCAAATCCAACGGCGATAGTCACAATAAAGTCCCGACCAGCCGAGAGGGTGGCACAACAAACGAGATCGTGGAGGGGGAGAGGGAGGGGGAGGTTGTACAGGACTTGTCATGGCGGACATGCGAGCCAAAGTGCTTGCTTGCATGGAAGCATCCTGCAAGTAATCGCAAGTCACCGCATCAGTGGCGAAGAATTATCCGAGAAGGTAGGTGTGGGGGTTATGACGGAGGTGGTGAAGGGGGTGATAAGAAAATGCCCTATGAAATCAAGCATCCTGCTTATATGGGGTCAGCAGCAGTGGAGAGACCAAGCTTTTTAGCCGGGCCGGACAAGCTTTGCCGAGCTTTTACTATTCCAGATGTCCATGGGAGGGGTTACATGGACATGAGGTCAGAATCCTGGACATTGTGTGGGGAGTGGGATGATTGTTGCGTGTCTGGTGGGTGCATTGCAGGGTTTCGAAGATAAGAACTGAAGCACAAGTACCAGGGGATGCACAACCCAGTCCAATCGATGGCATGTGTTCCAGTGGGTCAGTCAGTCAGTTAACCAATTCAACTGGCAGGTCTTGTTCAAGCCCCGACTCCTGACATCAGTTCTTTTCTCATGTTATCGACTAATGCACCTCGAGCCTGCCTGCCACAAGAATCCAGTGCATAGTAGCGCAAGACAGGTTCCCAATAACCCCATAAATCGCTCTCACCCCCAGCCAACCCTCAATCCCTCTCCTTCTCCCCCTTTTTCCACCTTCATCCCCACCCCAAAATGGCCGGCCTCATCTCCGCCGCCAACCTAGGCGCCATCGCCGACCCGCGCCTGGGCAACGAAGCCGACCTCATCGGCACCGAAGCAGAACACGGCGTCATCATCGACACGAACAACCACCATGACAAACATGATCACCGATCTCTGCACACCATCGCCGCCCCGGTCATGCACGGCAAGGGCTCCATCTACCTCGACACCACCATCAGCTTCGAGAACTACCTCTTCTGGGCCCGACGCTCGCGCGAGGTCGAGAAGCACATCCGCACTGATGACAAGGGGTTGCAGCAGCTGGGTAATGTGATCTTGGGTCGCAGGGGCAGTAATACCGCTCCTCCGCCGCAGATTGTGGATTCCGGGGGTAGTAATGGGGAGAAGGTGTCTGAGAAGGTTCCGGGAGATGATGGGGCAGGGGATGAGAAGGTCCCAGCGGAGAAGATGGAGGGTAGCCAGGGGGGGAAGAGTGACCAGGGCTCGGGCTCCATCGATAAGTATGGGCTTTTGGAGACCGAGTGGGAGCAGGCGCAGCGTGCGGCGAGGACGGCTACTTGGGGTGAGTGTTTGATGTCGCTGGTTGATTTGTGGGGAGTGTGGAGGGTGTGGCTGATTGTGGTCGGTGCTTAGGGTCGATCTTCTATCTGATTACGACGGATATTCTGGGGCCAACGAATGTGCCCTGGGCGATTAGTGTAAGTGGGCCTGAGTTGCTGGGCGGGTTGTGCGGTGATACTGACTATCTGCGTGCAGCAAATGGGCTATGGGCCTGGTTTTGTAAGTTGGCTTCGTTGCGAGGGATGGTGGAATCAATTGACTGACGGCTCCAGGCGTTGTATACTGTGTTTGGTCTCATGGCATATTAGTGAGTCTTCCCATCAATATGGAGAATCGGTGCTGACCTCGTTTAGTTCTGGCATGCAGCTGTGGAAGATCTTCACGAGCTTGGACTCGACGCGCTATCCCATGCGCAGTAGGTTATCCCAGTTATGCAGGTCACGGAAGTAAGAACTAATCGCATGCAGATTACGGAGACGTGGCTTTCCGGATTTATGGCCCTTGGGCCCGGATTCTGGTCAACGTGCTTCAAAGCTTCCAATTTTTCTTGAACGTCACCCTACTGATCGAAAGCAGCGGACAAAGTCTGGCGCAGATGGCGGCGGGCGTCAATCACACTGGCTATCTCTGCTGTAAGTTTGTCTGAGCCCTGCAAAACACAATTGCCGCATAGCTAATGATTACTTCGATAGTCATCGTGGCGGAGGTCATCTTCATGCTCATCGGTTTTGTCTTGGGCCAGATTCGGACCCTCCAGCGCTTGTCGTGGCTGTCAAACCTGGCCATCTGGATGAATTTCATTGTGATTATCTTGACGTATGCATATCTCATTCCCGCCCAGACAAGCACGACTGATCCATTGCCAGCATGGCCGTGGTCTACGAGTATCCGCCCAACTACAGTGCCGTCGAGAGCACCTACGGCATCAAACCCGGCCCTATCGTGAAGAGCGTCAACTGGCCAGCAACAAACACCCTGTACGACCGCATGACCGCGGTGATGAACTGCGTCTTCGCATACGGTGGTGCGACGCTATTCAACGAGCTGATGGCCGAGATGCGGCGACCGTACGTCCTTCCTCGGCTCCTCACTTCTGGATGCTAACCCACCGAGCAGGTTCGATTTCTGGAAAGGCTTCCTCTGCGCCGAGGTCTTCATCTACGTGTGCTACCTCGTGGAGGGCATGGTCGTCTACAACGCGCAGGGGAACTACGTCTATAACCCAGCTTATCAAGGTGAGGGGACCAGCAAGCAATAACCAACCGCCAGTACACTCCCTAACCCAACCCAGGAATCCCCAACTCAGCCTACAAGTACCAAACAGCCGGCAACGCTCTCTCCTTCATCTCGGCCGTCATTGCCGCCCTGCTGTACGGGAACGTCGGCATCAAAGTCTTCTACTCCTCCGTTCTCCGCGATATCTTCCACATGCCGCCTCTCGACCACCGCACAGGCAAATACATCTGGGTTGCCCTCGGTATGTTACCCGACCCTTAAACCCCCTACTGCCCCAACTAACAAGATGACCAATCAGTCCCAATCTACTGGTGCCTCGCTTGGATCGTCGCCGCCGCCATCCCGCAAATCAGCAATCTCACCTCCTTCGTCGGCGCCCTCTGCATCCTGCAGTTCTCGTTCACCTTCCCGCCGATGTTGCTGGTGGGCTTCAACGTTCAGAAGGACGCCATTCTGCCGGAGGAGCGCTTCGATCCGCATACCGGCGAGACCAAGCGCGTGGATGCCGGATGGCGCCGCTGGGTGAGGGGATACCGGCGGCAGTTCGCTCGGAATACATTTGATGTGGTGTATTCGTTGGCCGCGTTGGGGACGGCCGGGATGGGGCTGTGGGCGTCGATTGTGGCGATGAAGCAGAGTTTTAGCGGGACGGCGTTGACGCCGTTTACTTGTAAGAATCCAGCGGGGTGAGCATAGTTCTCCTTCGGGGCGGGCAGGGGGGTTGTGGTGTATAGTATGTAGGCAGGAAGGGGGGTTGTGTTCGTTAGGTTTGGGTAGTGCAGTGGGGAACATGGATTTATATCTGGTGCCTTTTCTAGTAGGCGCAACGTTGCAATGCATACAATGCTATGAGTTACAGATTATCGCACAGCCGCTAATCATGGGAAGGCTATCCTGCTGCCAAGACCCCACGGTCCATCCTCAAATACCAGCACACATGAAATCTGCATACCACCATGCACACCGAAGCATCCACCCAGCAACAACCCATCTACTCCGTAATGCCAAACAATCAGAGCCAACCCCTACCGCAGACCTACCACACAATCGTCTCTTCCATAAACCCAACCTCAGGCCGACTACTCCCTCCAATATACCGCAACGAGGCCGTCCTTCCCTCGCCGAAATGCGGCGACGAGGAGCGCACGCGCGCCGCCAAACTGATATCAGCCGGGCCATAGCTGACCCCGGGCTTTACCCCGGCCGCATGTTCTTCGATCTCTATAATCCGGCGCGCCACTCGCGCAGCGACATCGGAGTCCCAAACCCCCTCGCGCCGGCGACAGGTGGCGAGGAGGCGGAGAGCGCGGTGCCGGATTGTCGAGTCGCGGCAGCGGGTGGCGCAGATGTAGAGGGGGGTTAGGAAGCCGAGGGAGAGGGTGAATGTCGGTCTCGATGGGGCTGTGGGGCTGGGAGCGAGACGGGGCTTTGTGGGCGCGCTGGTGTCTTTGCTGCTAGGCACTGTGGGTGTACGATGTGTGTTCAGCCGAGCTGTGCAGTCGCCCGTCACGGTCGAGACAAGGGAGACGATGGACTGGAGGTCGGCGGTGAAGTAGTCCCATGCCAACTCGGACGGTGGCCAGGCCATTCGTAAGTATATGCTGAACAATAGCTTCCAGGTCTTGAGGATCGCAATTGGGTGGGCGTTTAGAGATGCCGTGCTGGGGTCCGTCTGCAGCCTGTATGTGGTCTGGCGGTCGAAGTCCTGCATCCAGGCTTTCAAGTCCCCGCGGACCCGGAACCACTCAGCGAGTAACTGTTGTTCGTACGCTATGCCGGCCGGGGAGTGGTCGGTCGGGGTTTCTGCGAAGGCCTTGAATAGGGCGTCATTCTCCGTGAAGCGGTGGTAAAGTTGTCTGAAAATATGCTGGTGGTCGCTGATGTTCAGTCCTGGGCCTGTTGGGATAGGGTCGGAGGTTGGCGGGAGCTTAGGCTGGGTCTCGGGCTCCATCCCTTCCATTCCCTCGATTTCGAGCACCTGGCTTTGCACCGCGTTGAACAGCGAGAACACTGCTGGTGACGCTCTCTCTGGAGAGGCGTGTGAGCGCAGCTGTTGCTGCTGGAGGATTCGAAGTCCGGACGAGGCATGTTGGATGGCGGTCTTGAAGCGACCCTGCAGACACTCGCAGCAAAAGAACAGGACACAGGCCAGCAGAACTGTGTTTTTGCTGTTTTGCGACGTGACTAGTTGTCGGATGGCTTTGTTGTAGTGGCGCAGAGTAAACGCAGTGTCTTCTTCACTCAAGCAAGTGAAGGAGAGATGCACCGAACCGACTGCGATGGCCACCGATCGGATCACCGGCTCGCTGGTCGTTGCCTGCAACAAACAAGAGCCCACCTCTGCTCCTAGGCCGTGGATGGTATAGTGCTGAAAGAACTCGAGACAGCGATGCTCGTCCGTATTCAGCCGGATTGCAGGCGGGGGCTTCCGGTGAAGTGGGACATGCTGTATGATGCGCAATGAACACGCCTGCTGGACAAGCGACTGCGACCCAGTCCAGTACCCATCGCAAGTCCTTCCAGTGGACAGGCATCGATTGCACTCGGGTCTCTGCTCGTCGCATTTGACTCGACGAATCCTGTCGTGGTGAGCCGTCTGCCGGTGTACCTTGTACGAGCCCACACCTACTTGCAGGTAATGCAGCCGTTCCGGGACCTTACAAAACGCTGTCCCCTTGCCATGGCGCGTTCAGTCCGAGATGCGAAGAGTGTTTCATTACTCGCTTCTATCCCAGCTGGGCTCTTGACAGTTGACGCCGTGGACAACCTGGAGTGCTGGACAAAACCCTAGGCCGGTTAGCGTATGCGAGGGCAGGCCGGTGAGTGGATGCAGCAGGAAATTCTCAGACGGTCAGACCCGCCGGCTGGCCGCAGTCGACTTTAAATTGAGCCTCCTCAGCCTGATGGATTCCTGCGCCAGTGGCAACTAGTGAGGGTTGCGTTAGTGATGCGAGCGGGCCAGTCGTCGCCGTTATGGCCATCTCCACCCGCGTTGCACTAGTCAACACGATGGGGCAGTCAGTAAGCATTGCAGCGCTTTCACTCTCGATTCTTCTTGCGTTTGCGTCACATTAGGCTATGCGGCCAGCTTATTAGCTGCTATGTATGATTATTTTAGAGGTTATTATGGTAATGTGCATGATCAACCACGTATCACTTACATGGGCTTGTTGCGTGGAGCATGATAACGAAGACAATGATAATCATCTTATCGTAGCCATCGTGCTTCTTTCAATTGGGAGAGACTGAACAACGCATTCCACCGAGTCTCTACAGCAGTCTAGAGAGTACAACATCGAAGGCAATGACAAATGTCGTGGCCTCAGGCTGCAATTCCGGTCTAGCCCCTATATGCTGATTAAGTAGCATATGCACGTGATCGTGCCCTGTTTTGCAAGCCACACATTCAAGATCACATGACGCTTCATAAACCTGATTATGTGCACTATTTCTGTACACAAAGTCCGTAACATTCTCAAGCTCACTCGAAATTAGCAGCAGTGAAGCCCTACAATCACGGCAGCGGACGATGAATAAGGCCCAACCAGCAGCATATTACTGGTATAAGATTCTTGCAGGGCTAGACTCCTCCGGGCCAGCAAACGTGCCCACATTCAAGGATGTCAAAGTGGGCCGTTGACGTGGAAGCCTGAATCATGCATGCATGAACTTCATTATCACCTCCCAGTCTGCCACCAGACCCTTCCCTCTGCTGGACCCTTCACGGCTCTGTGGCTCGGAGTCCAGTCCGTATATGTCCCCTACATCGCGAATATGTCGGTCGCACTCACTGACAGAGAAATCAAGACCATGCTGTTCAACATCCACCGTGGAAGTCATTTTGCTGGCACTGCCAGGCGCTTACGTATGCCTTCGTCCTGAGACGTCTTTCTCGTTGGCTTGATCAATCCATCCTGGAGGCCAGACACGTAAGCATGGCCGATCGACCGAAGCAATTAGCTGCAGGCGGAGCTGATAAGTGCGTACCCTTTTTTCATCCTTCCCTTCGGCATGGGCGAAGAGGGGTCCGCGTCCCCTGCATCGGGCTGCCGTGTCTAGGGACTGGTATTTGGTTGATACTTTATATGCGAGCTGTGGTCCGTATATGTCTTCGTATTAATCCAACACGCAGCAATCTGGAATACAATTGTACGTGCCGGCTCTGCTGAAGGTTTCCGTTCAATTGCCCCATCCCGGCATATCGATGGTGTACCGCAACCTCTCAAGTCAGGCCAGTGACTACCCCGACTACGAGTTATCGAACGTCCCGTATACCACCGGCAACAACACTGCCGACGCTTCCCATCCAGAGGTAATGGCGAAGTCTGCGAAACCTGCAACGGCCGCGAAACCATGGTATGATCCACGCGGTTGGTCCTTACTGACCAAGTCGCTTGTTGCCGCCGGTGTCGTGGTCGCCATTGTTGCGCTCATCGTTGGTCTTGTTGAGGGTCTGAAGTCCTCGTCATACCCAGACTACTCTTCGTTGAGCTATACCTTGTCTCGCCAATACTCGGGGTCTTCATTCTTCGATGAATTTGAATACTATACCGCCACCGACCCGACTGACGGCTTTGTCCAGTGAGTGCGGCTTTCTTTCGTCTACTATAGAGCTTGGTAGTTGACATTCGATTTTTAGATATGTGGATTCATCGACCGCATCAGAACTCAACTTAACCTACGCGTCCAATTCCAGGGCCGTGCTGAGGGTCGATACCAGCACTTCCAACCAAACAAGCGGTCGGAGGTCGGTGCGCGTCACTTCTAGGGAGACTTACGAGAACGGGCTGTTTATTTTCGACATCGTCCATACCCCATACGGGTGTGCGACGTGGCCGGCGCTCTGGCTGACCGATCCGAACAATTGGCCGGAACACGGCGAGATCGACGTGCTAGAGTCCAACAACAAAGGCACACACGGCAATGCGATGACGTTACATACGACCAGCGGATGCAAGATGAACGTCAAACGCAAGGAGACCGGATCCCCGACATACACCAACTGTCTGAACACGGCGAATGACAATGCCGGGTGTGGCGTAAGCGGCGGCAAAGCGACATATGGCCAGCAATTCAACGAAAACGGGGGCGGGGTAAGTGCACAGTTCCGATGAAAGAGCTATGGCAACGCTGGACTAACGCTGCTGTGTCAATGACAGGTATATGCGATGGAGCTCCGCGACGCCGGCATCCGCGTCTGGATGTGGGCGCGCGATGATATTCCAGACGACATCTCGAATTCCAGCAGCAGCCCGGACCCGTCCACCTGGGGTGAGGCGCTGGCGGACTTCCCCAATACCAACTGCGACATCAGCTCACATTTCAAGAACCAAAGTATCATTGTCAACATCGACGTCTGCGGGGATCTCGCGGGCGCAAGTACGTACTATACTGATCTATATGGGTGTCCGGATACATGCACGCAGTGGGCCGCAGAGAACGGTGCGAACTTCACCAATGCATATTGGGAGTTTAATAGTTTCAAGGTTTATCAGACGTCATCGAGCTCGTCGTCGTCTACCTCTTCTGCCGCTACGGTAGCGTCAACAGCATCCTCGTCTGTGACTACTTCTGCGCGGTCGTCGTCGACTACGTCCCAATCGCAGACGCAGGGTCAATCTCAGGAGCACTCTCAGACTCAGGGGCAGCAGGGTCAGGAGCAGAGTCAAGAGGAGCAGCAGCAGCAGCAGCAGCAGCAACAACAGGGAGGGTAATCGTCTATAGTTTGTCGGGTGTGGATTGCTTCTTGTATTTGCTTTTTCGGGTTTATGTCGGTAATTAGATCCGATATAAGAATATTGATGTTAATCATTATAATATAATTGACTTGTGTACTGTGCCATGGTGATCATTATGATATAGTTCCTGGTATTCTTGGATAGTATCGTTGCTGATGGCTTAGCACTCATTGTTATTGACATTTGCAGAAATATATCTTTAACTGGACACAAGAGTGCAAATCTCAAAAGCTAAGTAGAACAAGCTACTTTCACGTACAAACCATAGACGAGGATAGTGTCATTGTAAGGAAACACGCTGCAAACCTAACCTTTGTCTACAGCAGTGCCATACATATATAGCATCGTCGATTAAATTCGAACGTCCTGTTCACAGTCGAACAGCACATGGACAAGAACATATTGCCAAAAGATAAGATTCTCTTCAACAAATTGGGGCTGTGGTTTAGTGGTATAATATTCCCTTAGCATGGGAGAGGTCCGGGGTTCGATTCCCCGCAGCTCCATCTTTTTTGTCTTTTTCTCTTCCCATCCGTATCTGCATCACATCGGATCCTGTTGTTCCTGTAGCCGCTGTTTGCTTGTTTTGTTACTTCTCCTTGCATGAAGCATTATTGGTCACTTCGCACTATGACCGGCTATCTATCCGACCACTCATTCATTTGCCCCTTGCATTTCTGACAGTCTGGTCTGCATTCTTGAATGCGCTCACCCTTACTAGCTCCGTACAAGCAACAATAAACCGCATCAATGCATCCTTCATGAGTAACACCACAGAATCCATAAGTTAAAATGCCAAACGAGTCAGAACAACTGTGGACGACTCCTAGTCTTGAGTCTAGGAACACCCTCCGCGGAGCGGAGATAGACACCACCGCGGAGATAGTCTCCAAGTTAACGCACCTCAATGCGGCCACCTTGACGTCAAAGCCCGTTTGGAAGGCAACAACAACAGCCTGCAAGTGGGAGACTAAACAAAGTCCACATGGAGTCATTTTCAACAACTAATCCAATTGCTCATTATCATTCGACCTAGTCTCCGAAGTAGACGGGCAGCAACAATTACACCCCCATGACGCAACAGCCCTAACCAACCCAGCTTTAACGTATTTATACCTCATCTCAATCCCAAGTCTAAACCATCACAATCGAACAAAGACATTCTACACAGATCAATTAATCCCACTGACACGAACACCGCTCTTCCTCTCCAAACAAATTACAGAAAAAAACCACCAAAATGTCCTCCCAAGCCCCCCAGAACCGCGACTTCCGGTCCGCGAAGAATGTCGAGCCCCTCAACGAACACAACACCCAGTCTCAGGACGCCGCCGGCCAGCCCTCCTTCTCCGGCCCGGGCGCAAACACCTCCGCTGCGTCGACCACCAAGCCCCATGGAAACAAGATGTTGAATAAGCTGGACCCTCGGTTTGACAGTGATATGCTGGAGGAGCAAGAGCAGCAGCAACAGGCGAGGGAGAAGGGGGAGGGGCCTGTTGAGTAAGGGTCTGATGTTGTGATGTATGCATGCATCGTGGTGCGAGCGAGAGGTTATGACTTATGTATTGATGGATGAGAATTGAAATTGGAATTGTTCAAGCGACGGTATATCCGTACTGTACTATACTACTTATTATGTGATATGCACATTGAAGATTAAATCAGCTGTGGCTAAACCTGCATCGGAACGTAGAAATATGCAGCGAGAGGTATATTGAATGAGAGAAATCAGTTGGCGCTGTTGATAATCGCCTCGGAGATCTTCTCCGCAAGCATATCTAAGCAAAAAAATTAGCAACCCCCTCCTTTCATACTAAGAATAACCAGAGATCGAGGAAGAAACACTCACAGACAGTCGACTGAGGATGCCCCGGCGGGAGGAATGGGAAGGCGCTGGCATCGACGACGCGCACGCCGTCGACGCCGAACACGCGCGCCTCGTTGTCCACCACCGCCATGTTGTCGCTGGCCAGCCCCATCTTGCACGTACAGGCCGCGTGCCACAGCGTCATGACGTTGTCCTTGATGAACTCGAGGATCTGCGCGTCCGTCTGCGTCTGCACCCCCGGGTTGTACTCCTCGCCGATCACGACCGGCGCCATCGCGTCGCTCTGGAACGCCGCCCGGATGCGCTTGAACATCGCTACCGCGACTTCCTGGTCGGCCTGCGTGCTGAGCCAGTTGGGGTTGATGATTGGTAGGTCTGCTGTGTCGGCTGACTTGAGCGTCACGTTGCCGCGCGACGTCGGCGTGATTAGCACTCCCAGCATTGATGCGTACTGGTACCCGTCTCGCGGTTGGTTTGTCAGCAGGTTGGATAGGTTGCCGATGTAGCCTGCGCCTGAGATGTACTGTTTATGTGGGTGGTTAGTTGAGGGAGATCATGGGTTCTGTGTGGATGAATCCCACAGGGGAAAAAGGGAGGTGCTTACCTCGGCCTCGGGCCAGTCACTGGGGAAGGTAGCCAGGTCTTGCTGGGTTTGCTGGCTGAATACGGACCGCAGGCTCGCGGGGATCTTCTCCCACGCGAGGTAGTCGGCGATGGGGTTGGTGAGCGGGCCGGAGCGCGTGGCGACGATGTTGAGGAACTGGCCGACCAGTTCCAGCAGGTTCAGGGCGATCGCCGTGAAGGTCTGAACGTTGACTCGGTACGAGGGCGCGAAGAAGGGGTGGTCCCACATGTTCTGGCCGACTCCGGGGCGGTTTGCGACGACCTCAATGTTGTGCTGCTCAAGAATATCCTGGGGCCCTACGCCGGAGACCATAAGGAGCTGCGGCGACTGGAAGGCGCCGGCCGACACGATCACTTCCTTCTTCGCCTGGATGGTGAAGATGTTGCCCAGCGCGCCCTTGACCTCCACGCCGGTGGCCTTCTTGTCGCTGTTGAAGATGATTCTCTTGGCGAGCGTGTTGGTGTACTTGGTCAGCGTGGACGGCTTGATGGCGGACAGGAAGGACGACTCGGAGCTGCTCCGCAGCTCGTCCTTTGGGTTGATGGTCGAGGAGCAGTACTGCGCGCCCATGAGAGAGCCCGAGTTGAAATCCTCGGTCTGGTTGATACCGATGGCCTGCATGCCGAGGTCCATCCACGTCGAGAAGGGCATCGCGTAGTTCGAGTAGGATACCTGCAGCGGCCCTCCGCTCGATTCGAAAGCGCTGCTGGCGTACTCGGTCGTGGCGTTCTTGAACCGGAGCTCGGTGTTGGGAGGTGTGAAGGTCACGCTGCGCTTGTAGTAGGGCAGCACTTGGTCGAACTCATAGCTGCTATCGTTGACGGCGGTGGCCCATTGCTCCATCGACTCGCGCGTGGGCCTGTTGCGAAGCATATGTCAGCCACATAAGATTCTGAATAGGCCACACTGACGCTTCGTTACTCACCGTTGATAAATCATGAAGTTCATCGCCGACCTGCCATGCTGTTAGCGCTTATTGCCACCAAGCCACCGCAGCGCATGTCACTTACGATCCGCCCAGGCACTTGCCGCGAGCGTAATGGATAGACCGTCCGTTGGCACCCGGCTGGTTCTCTGCGACGAATCCCCAGTCGTGAAGGGCGACAGTCTTTGGATCGGAGCCGACAGGGAGCACATCAGCTGCGGGCACCTCCGCTACCGACTCCAGCTCATAATAGCCACCTGCCTCTACCAAGGCGACCTTGAAGGATCTCTGGGCCAGACGCGTGGCCATGACATTCCCTCCCGTCCCACCACCGACGATAACATAGTCAAAATCATTATCTAACAGGCCGCGTTCCTGATTATAGGTGGGCGAAGCGGTGGTCGCCGGGACCAGCCCTTGTATAGCGAGCGACGCGAGGAGTACGCGACTCAACATTTGGGTCTAAAAGGAGCGTGAGTGCCAGAAAGGGCGAAATGAGAGTGAGATGAGTGAGAGACGTGAAAAGAAAAACAAAGGAAAAGAAAAGTGTCAGAAGCCAACGGACAGCTGCACCAGGAGCTTATGAAACATGGCTGTCAAGCCAGGGGCTGTTCTCAAGTATGTACAGCGGGACCGAGGAATTGGGATTGTGGCTGCCCAGACCGCGAATCTTGCAAGCACGGATTGTGGACCAGGCGAGCTGAAAGCGATGAATCTATTCTGATTTCTAAATGGTCCACTCTGCAGCACCCCAAGTCTTCAGGAGCTGCGAGCGAGTGCCGAGTCGAATCCTGCCAGGGATTCATTCCCTCCAATCAGGCCATGCGGCGTCGAGATACGTCACATATTGAATAAGATTGGTATTTCCTTTCCCAGCCAAGGAACTCGCTTGACTCGTCTTGCAGATCCGACGTTCTGAGCATCGTAGCCCTGTAAAGAATGTGATCTGTCCCGGAGCAAGAGAGCAAGATCTGGAATTGGACTCCGGGGCCCCCTTTCGCCAAGGAACCTGCTCGCGGTTGGGAGTTGAAATCCACCCTGGCAAGCGGGATCTAAGATTTGCAATCAGTAGGCACGCAGCCAGTCCATCTCTAGCACCGGATTCAGGCTGAAACAACCGCACGAGCGCAATCGCAAGTGAAGTGGGGAAGTGGGTGAAGTGAAAGGGGGGCAGATCGCAAATATCGGGCGGGCGCAAAATTGGGCGGTGGCAGACAATTGGACACTATTCACACTACTTGTGGTTAGTTTACCCGTAAATCCTGCAAATAGAAACAATAGAAACAATGAATCCTCCTACGAGTGAACTGCTCCTTGTATTGTGCTTCACATCTGGAGGCGCCAATGCTTCCAATTGATTTATAAATAAATCAATCTGCACATTGTGATCATTTGATAGTCTCAGCAAAAGGCCAAGTAAATCTCAGAGCCCGTCAGCAAGCTCAGAAAGTATCTGAGGTGAGATCTGATCCTGCTGAGTGGCTCCGATGCATTGCATCAATGCATCCTGGGGGAAAATGGCTGCTGGGGGGACAATGCGTAGGTGGAGTCATCTCAGCCCACCCCCGCACATCCTTCATTGAGATCATGTCGGCAATTCTATAAAGCCATGGCATATCGCTCTGTAAATTGTCGGGAATTCGAGACTAACAATTTTTGAGTAGGGTTGTTGCGACTTTTGAAGGGGAAAGGGGAAAATGGGCTGAGATATCATGCTCTGCACTATGGCCCAAAACGGTAATGGTTGCGAGAACCCCTGCATTTCCCCATGTTGGTCTTTGCCTTAATCGCATTGATGTCACCCCTCTTGCCTCTACAAGCCTGTCTGCTCAGGTAGGTTGTTTCTGCTGATTTTTTGCATCGCCTTCTGTATGTACTAGTCACAATTCTCTTCAAATGTTGGCCTGTTCTACAGCATAGTGAATGATGGAATATACTGGCTTGGACCAAGCAGTCGCTCCCAGCTAGTAAGATGTCCATGTAGTAAAACTCCGAGACAGATACTCTGTGTCAGTGTATTGCTGATATCTTACATAAGGGATGCGAACTTAGGTGAAGCACTACCTTAACGGACACCAGAAGACGGAGATCCCATTAGGCACACAATCCTCCACCTGTTCTTCTCAACCACCGAGGCATCAACCACCCCCAACAAAAGAAAATCTGCAAACCTTACTGCACGTGCCATCAAGTCTCTAACAGCCTAACAGCCAGTTGAGCCGCCGCCCGTTGTCGCCGCAGCCAACAACGGCCCTCCGGTTCGAAGGGATCTGCAAAGCCGCGGTGATTGCCCCTCCATCAAGCAGCCAGCCGAGCCACGCTCTGCTGCCACCACATGAACCCAGACGGCGTTTGTCACATGCTGAACAGCCGAGTTTGACAATCTGACTGAAGTCTTTTCCTCTTCGCTGCGGCTGGCGCCAAAGGTGAGCCCTACGTATATAGTGGCCCATCCGGCCATCCGCCCTGGCCGCCATCAGGCACATCCCTCCACCGGCTGAAGGCTGACTCAACATCAAAAACAACAACACCATGAGTGGTACACATTCAGATCCCAAGGACTCGATGAAGTCCACATGGCGCCAACTCGACCGCGACCAGTGGAGTATCGCCCACTGGTTCGTCGAGATCCTTGGCGTCCACCACGTCAGTCTGGATCAAGATGTACCCATCCACTCCAAGGAAGACAAAATGCCCTACATCGGAGCGCTTTCTCAACATCGTTGGATTCTCTGGCATTCCATCTTGCCTCTTCTCGTCCACCAACTCTACGTCTCCTACACCGGCCGCCCCCTAGGCTTCATTGCTGCCTACTTCTTCTATAGTCTGGCCTTCAAGTTGATCGCCATTCACGAGCTACACGTCCTTCGCCGTCTCGGTCACCTTTTCGGCTTCTTCGACGGTGACCAACACGCTCGCGACGGTGTTCCAGACGTGGGAATCGGCAAGGTCGTGCAGTCGCTCATCTCCACCTCGACGTTCCGTCCGGTCATGACCGTCTTCTTTAGCTACCGACCCAGCCAGCCCCCATCACAAATCAGTTGGACCTGGCTAATCCTTGAGATCGGGCTGTACGGCATCGTCCTCGACTTCTGGTTTTACTGGTATCACCGCATCATGCACGACATCGAGGGTCTCTGGAAATACCACCGCACGCACCACCTTACCAAGCATCCCAACCCGTTGCTGTCCCTCTACGCCGATACGGAGCAAGAGATCTTCGACATCGCGGGCATTCCCTTGATGACCTACTTCTCGCTCAAGATGATGGGTTTCCCCATGGGATTCTATGAGTGGTGGATCTGCCACCAATATGTCATGTTCTCCGAGCTGGCGGGCCACAGTGGGCTGCGGGTCTGGACGACCCCTCCCTCCACTTTGAGCTGGCTCTTGACGCTCACGGGGACTGAGCTCGTCATTGAGGACCATGACCTTCACCACCGAAAGGGATGGAAAAAGAGTGCGAATTACGGCAAGCAGACTCGGGTGTGGGACCGGTTGTTCGGCACTTGTCGTGAGCGGATCGAGTGTCGGGAGGAGAATGTGGACTGGGATAGAGAGGTTAAGATACCGTTGTTCTAAGGGGGTTAGAGCATAGGGATGCTGGATAAAGGGCTGCTGGTTTTCGGCCGATTAGAGTGAATGCGATCTTTGACGCCTGGTTAGTGTCTTGTTTGTGTGTGAATATCTGAGTGTTGCGCTAGATCTCTGTACACCGTAATACTTACTGCTTCCCCTATTGTGCTTCTCACATCAATTTCTTCTGGTCAGGACCTCTACTCTGTTTCGCGAAGAGAAGTAAGAAGTAATATTTTAGCCCTTAGCGACTTACGCTGTACAGGGCTACTAGGTTCGTCTGTTCTCGTCGATCAATACAGCGAGTTTCCGCCCTTCATCAACATTGGCTAAAGTTGACAGGGGTACGAAAGTCTAACTATGCTCATAAAATAATACAAACAAATGTCAACATAAGGAGTACAAGAAACAGTCATGAATCCCTTGGTGTTTACCTTCTGTTGTGCTGTGCTAGGCATACACGACCCCTTTCGAGCAGGGACTTCATGTAATCGAACTTTTTTCCATCCTCCTCCAGCTTTCTCTTTCGCATGTCTGGCACTGCAGCTACCAAGAACACCCTCAAGTCGACAAGGACTTCAAATAGGTTCCCAGGAACAATGACAGGCCAGCGAGATATCCAGACATTCCCAGAACCAGAAATCTGTATGGAAAATATTCACAAAGTTGAGGCAGACATGTCCAGTCCAGTCCGCGAGCCTGACGTCCCCAAATATCCTTCCTCACTGAGACTTTGGCTTGCTGTGATTGCTCTTTGCCTCGGAATATTTCTCGCAACTTTGGTGGGTGAATTTGACACGGGCAAATCACTTTCCTGACCCCGTTGCAGGACAGTACGATCATCGCGACCGCCACGCCCTACATCACCGACGAGTTCCATTCGCTCGACGAGGCCGGATGGTACAGCAGTATCTATACAATGGCTATCTGCATGTCCCAGCTTGTTTACGGCAAGCTAAGCGCATCATGCCCGATTCAATGGATCTACAGTGCCGCCATGCTTCTCTTCCTGATTGGGTCTGCCGTCTGTGGCTCAGCGCCCAACTCGCCAGCCCTCATCGCCGGTCGCGCCATCGCAGGCCTGGGATGCTCTGGTCTCCTCATCGGTGCCTTCTCTCTCGTCCCATTCCTCGCCGCTCCAGAGAAACGCCCGATACTGCTCGGACTGATCTCGGGATCGCGTGGGCTGGCCACGACGTTTGGCCCATTGATCGGCGGTGCTCTGACCGAACGGGCTTCGTGGCGCTGGAACTTCTATATCAATCTACCTCTGGGTGCCGTCATTCAGATAGTATTCTGGCTGTCAGTGCGACCTCCTCAGCGGCAGCTGGAGCGATTCAACTCGTAGGGCCAGTTCGTTCGGAGCATTGATCTGATCGGCTTCATCGCCTTGGCGCCATCTGTCGTCTGTCTTCTCCTAGCCCTGCAATGGGGAGGGGTCCAGTATGGTTGGGGAAATGCCCGAATCGTTGTTCTTCTTATTCTATCTGCAACTCTTGGAATTATATTCATTCTCATCGAGGTCCAACAAGGCAGCAAGGCCATGCTCCCGGCCCGCATCTTCAGCCAGCGAACCGTAGCCTCAGCTTCATTCTTCGCCTTCTGCACCAGTGGCTCGATCTTCATCCTCACATACTATCTTCCCATGTGCGCCGACCCTACCCCAACCTTCCCCAAAGCAAACCCCGCAATACTAACACAGGAACTAGATGGTTTCAAGGAGTCAAGGGCGTCTCGCCCATGCAGTCCGGCATCGACATGCTCCCGTGGGTGATAACAAGCACAATAACCTCTCTCGCAGCCGGCGTCCTGATTTCCAAGATCGGACATGCGCAGTATTTCCTCGTCATCTCCACCGTCTTCGGCGCTCTGGGCTCGGGCCTCTTCACCACATTCAGCCTACACACCACCGACGGCCAATGGATCGGATACCAGATTCTCTACGCTATCAGCTCGAGTCTCGCCAGTATTACCCCTCTGCTGGTGGTGCAGAACGCGCTTGCGCTGGGGGATGTACCGATTGGATCTAGTATGGTCATGTTTACGCAGACGCTTGGCGCGTGAGTTTCACTGTTTTCCTGGGTGTGGGAGGGAAGGGAGTGGTGTGTTCCAGTACTGACGGGATTTGAATCCATAGATCCATTTTCGTCTCGACCGCACAGGCGTTGTTTACGAATAACCTTTCTGAGAATTTGCGAGGGCTTGATGTTGCGGGGCTCAGCGCGAATGTGGTGGCTTCGGGGGGGATCACCACTATTACTCGGGACTTGTCGGGGGAGACGAAGACCATGGTGCTCGGAGCGATTAGTGATGCGTTGACGCAGTCGTGGTATCTTGCTGTTGGGTTGAGCTGTCTGTCTATCGTTGGTGCTCTTGTAGTGGAACAGGGCAGAATGAAGAGGGAAAACTAGGTGGTTTGTGGTCGTGCTGGTCTGTTATGTGGAAGCGGACAAGGCCAGAGTCCTTGTTATGCCCAACGGGAGTAGGGTTCGGATGGCCATGATTCCTGGATTTTCTATGAGCGGTTCTCCGGACTGTTAAAAAGGTCCGTGTCACTACTAAGCGACCCCCGATGTGAAAATGAGAAAAGGGTAAACAAGGAGGAGAGAGCCCTGGGGTGTAGGTCTGTTTTGATGAATACTATGAGCAGCCGTAGGTAGTAATCAGAGAGAAGGGTATGCTCAATCACTCCGAACTCAATGCGACTGGATGTAAGCTCACTCCAAGGGGAATGACCTAATCAACTTCTGGCACTCCATTTTAAGACTTCCTTTTCGATCTCAGGTCCAGTCTGCTTGGCATATATTCCAGCCCAGAGTCCTTTTACACAGATTCTTCAGGCTAAACATAATCAAGCCTGCCGACACCACACATATCCCGAATAGGGCTGTAAAATGTGCTGAATACGCATCGACAACTATTAAGAAGTCAGCTTATTGCGAAGAGTCCATCATGTAGACAGATAGACAAGGCAGAGTGCAACGAGAGTGGATGGCTGATGACCACTCGTTGGATTCGAGATGGCAATTCATGGACCTTGAAACTGGATTACGCATCATGTACCTAGCAACCAAGAAGACCACTTCCCATTAATCTGCAACAATCTCGCTTAGCCCACTGGATGTAAGAGATAGCCACATAACCGTCTCCGGTCGGAGAAAAGATTGAATGGATAGTTTCGTAAAGGCTGTTTCTGAGATTCAGATGGCGTGCTATCAAGTTCCTATCCTTGGACGACAGCCAAAACACTTGACAGGTAAGCAACGGACCAACTTAACAACGAAATAGATAAGGAGCATGGAAATATGGTGCTATGGTGTCTATTTAACATCCCTGCTCTCCAGCCATCTTCACTGTTCCGACCCCTTCATCCCAGCTTCCTTCCCTCCTTCTACCATAAAACCAACCAGCATCATCAATCTCACTCCTCACAACTAAAACTCCCCGCAACATCCACATCCCCAACCCCATCATACCTCAAAACCGCAGGAAACCGACACAACTCCCTACTCATCCTCCTTCCGCCACCAACTGCCTCAGCAAACAACGTCTCAGGCTCAACACCCTCCTCAACCCAGCGAACCAAGCTCCCCAACGCATCAACCGGAACAGGCCCGTACCCCGTGGGACCCGATCCACCGAACCCGGCACAATGGCCCACGCCGGGCGCCAAAAACAGCCGGAAGAACTCGTCCACCTCGACGTCCTCCTCCCGTCTCTCGAACACCTTCTCCACCGTCTCTCGGTACATGATCGTGCCGCCTGGTGGCACGATCTCATCTGCCATCCCGTGCCAAGTTAGTAGCTTGCCGCCGGCTTGTTGGAAGGCTTCGAGGTCACCGTGTTCTTGGGCGAGGAGGTGGCCGAATTTGGTGCGGGAGGTGTGTACTGCGTTTAGATACTCGGGGAGGGTCATGGTCGTGATGTTGAAGGTCGGGTCCCCGTGTAGGAAGTTCTTGAGCCAGCTTACTGCTGGGATGAAGGGGTTGATTTTTGTCGTGGTTATCGGGGTTGTGGTTGTGTTGGGGTAGGGGGGTAAGGAGGTGGTGGTGATTGTGTCGGCTGTGCCCTTGAAGGAAGCACCCGGCGGCAGGCCGTACCAGAGCCGTTCGTCGGTCGTGGGATCGACGGGCCCGTCGAGGATCGACTGCACTAGCGTCGCGTGGTCTTCCGTGATGGTCAGTCTGGTGTTTGTGTCGGCGCAGGGGATGGTGGTGTTGATGAGGGTGGTCGGATGGAAGGGACAGGCTCCCGGGCCGTACATCGAGATCAGCCCGTCGACGACGCCGTCAAGCCCGTCGCAGGTCTCGATCATGGCGGCCTGGAAGGCGGAGAAGACGCACTGCGGCGGCGGCGACACGGTGGCAGTGGTCGTGTTGAGCATCAGAATGGGCGGCCAGAGGAGCCACGCAAAGAGCTCTGGCAGGTTGATGCCCGGGCTGTTGGCCAGGATGCCGTGGTAGTCCGTTGGATACAGCGCCGCGGCCACGTAACCCTGCCGGCCGCCGGTCGAGCAGCCGCTCCAGTACGAGTATTTGGGCGCGGCCCCGTAGAAGAGCGTCGTGAGGGCCTTGCCGACCACCGCCAGGTCGTGGATCGAGCGGTGCGCGAAGTTCTTCAGCAGCGCCGTGTTGAGCGTTCCGTCCGGCCGCAGCGCCCATTGTCCGCTTTGCGGATCGATCGTCCCGTTCAGCGTCAATCCGCCCTCTGTCGCTGCCGCCGCGTAGCCCTGAATCACCGCTTCTGGCTGTCTGTATCCAATGTAACCTGTCGCCAATCCGCCGCCCCCCGTTGCTTGGAAGCGTCCGTTCCACGCCTCCGGGAACGGCAGCCACACCGACAGCTTGACGATATCGCCTTCCCCAGGGTGGGTGAGCGTCGCGGTCACGTCGCAGAAGTCGAGCTTGTGCCCCTGGGTGTAGAGAGATTGATAGCCGTAGACCTCCTGCCCCGTAAGTGAGAGAATCTCAATGCCACGGATGGCTTTCAACGAGTCCAATGTGAGTCCGGAGCAAGGCTGCTGCTGTGAACGTCGAGCCAGCGTAGAAGCTTGAGCGAGAAAGTGAACGATGCGAGAGAAGAGCATTGTGAAAGCTCATCCGGGGGCTGTGGTTGGTACTGGTTTGCGTGTGTTGTTGGTGATTTTTGTGTGTGTGCGTTGGCAGGTGGTTAATGTTTGTGGATGAGCAAACAAGCGGCGTCGTGGGCGAGGTGTGGTTGGCAGGAGACAACAAAGAACTTACCCCCGATGCCCAGATATTCACCGACCGGTAAGGGGAGCCAGACGGGAACCATCCGCGGATCAGTCAGGTCCGGTGCCTGTGATTCCGTTTCTTTGTTTGCTGTGGCGTGGAGGGAGTGAAGGGGTTGCGGTGCGGATATTAGGGATAGGGTTGTAGGACGCCTCTCCCGTGTCATACATACAATCAGCGGCTACTTTTGACTGCTCGCTGCTCTCCGCTCTGTGATTCTGATCTCGAGTCCTTGGCCCGATAGCGAGGTAGATTCTTCAAGATCTCTACTCTGCAGGAATGGTTCCTCACAAGGTCATTGATCCATTCGATTCAACAGTCCGACGCGGTCACAAAGGGAGGGTCCCTTTCCTTGGGGTTGCTACGCAGGCTAATATACAAGATTCGCCCCAAAAAGACCGTCAATATCTCTGCTGCAGAGAAAAGAGCGAATAGTAGACCTTACCAGAATTTGACAACACCCAGTTCAACGTAGTGGGGCAAGAGGATTCGGCATACTCTAGTCTGCACTGATAAGGGTGGCTGCTATCAATCGGCCAGGACAAACTAAGTGATTCGCGACCATTAAATTTTGGATATGGATCCAGGAAGGACAATAACCTTGCTGCCTTGCTGAGTGGCCTCCCATTTGACCTGACCGGAATAGTTACATTGCTGCGTGGTTAATGGATAGATAATATCTGAAAATTAGAGTATGTAATTAAAATACATCATAAAGCTAACTAATGTGCGGATTTTGCGGACACCATCGTAGTGAAGTAGACATCGCGCAATATCAAGTAAATCCCGGATCACCCGCTAATTCCCACCCCCAGAACCCCGTTGCGCCCCCAATAGAACAGTGAATAGAAAGCCATAGAGACCCAACGGCAGATGCAGCCTACCGCATGTCCACATGGAACAGGTATCTCTGTCGGATCTGTGCAACGTCGTACACAATGTACTCGTTGTACTGGAGCGATGCTGCTTGGGCGGTTGTCGCCCCGTGCACAGTATCCGGCATCTTCACGCCCTGTAGGTTGGGGTGGACACAGCCCGCGTCCTTCCAGTCCGCGGGGATCGAGCGACCGCGACCAAGGGTGGCAATCTTGCCTTGTTTCGCAGCGTCCTCGCCGGCGTTGAAGTTCCCATAGTCTAGCTCCAACATCGGATCTCCGAGCTCCGCATCGCACAGCAGCAGCAGACCTTTGTTCCCACTGCCATACGAACAGCAGTAGTTGGCCGACTTGGAAGACATATCGGCGAGGTAGACACCCTTGCCGAACATGTACCCATTGACGGGAGCTTCCGGGGGCGCAATCCGCAGACCCTGGCTCAGAATACCACCAAAGTTCGTACTGCGGGATCCGTGCCACAGAAGCCGACGGTCGCTATTCTTGATCTTGGCAAATCGGGACGAGTTGAAGCGTTCAGTCTCGCCTTGGCGTTCGATGCGGAAAATGTTGATGACCTGACGGGGTTAGCTGTGACCTTTGCATTTGTATCAATGTGTCGGCTCACCTTGAGGCCCAATCCATGTGTCGCACCACGCGAACGGACCAGGTAAGTTTCCAGCTCCGAGAATTCGGTCGAGTCACGAGCCACTAGCTTCGGTCAGTCACCACCGATACAACATCCGTATACTGGACTTACATGGAGTCATCTCATTCATTCCCAAGCCTTGGAATTGGCGGTCAAGCTGGTGGATCATCTCCGCATCCTCCGCGTCCTTCATGATGTTGTTGGCGACCTCCATATCAGTCAAGGTTTCCAGCAGCTCGATTTCCTTCTTCAAAAGGTCACCTTGAGTGAGAACAGGGGGTCTGTTTCTGCCAAACACGTGAGGAATGGTGGTAAAGTATCGGTTGCTCAGTCCTTCCGCAGCGGCCTGGAAGGTCATGCCGTACTTCGACGTTGCCGAATTCGGATCGGCCACGAGTTCGGAGAGATCTTTCAGAGCTTGGAAACCCGCACGAAGCGTACGCTTGCTCAGCTTACCGAGCGGCAGCTTTTGGGCATCGTACGACATGGCTGCCATGGTAGATAGGAAGAACTCCTGATTGAAGATGAAGGCCATCAAGTCTTGAACTTGAGGCGGCAGGGTACTCTTGACCTCCGCCTTGGGCTTCTTTTGAACCATCTTCTTCGCAGCGGCGGTCTCGTCCTCCGAGTCGGAGTCTGAATCCTCTTCGTAGTTGCGCTCGATGAAGGTATATTTGTTGTTCTTGGGGTTGTCGAGGCGGTTCTCCCAGGTCAGGCCTGATTTGTCCTTGAACTTCTTCTTGAATTCGGCCTCTGCACGCCCATAGGAGCCATCGCCCAGAAGGGCATTCTGGCCGCTCTCTCCCACTCGACCCCAGTGAGTCCAGGTCCTGAATTCCGTTTTCGACGGGTTGGTCAGAAGCTGGATGCGATAGAACTTGTTATTGTTGTTGGTCGAGCTGGTCTGATTAAGAGTGGCGTCCCAGATGGTTGACTCGGGGTCAATGTACACCTTGTGCGAGCCTGAAACAGCAAAGTGTCAGTGGGATCTCCGGGCCTCTTGGAAGCGGTATGGCCGCGCACCTTTGAGCGAACAGTCCTCATCCACCGGGATGTTCAGCGACTTCGTCCCGGCCTTCTGGGCGTTCTTGAGCTTCTTACTCGTACCGTCCTCGTTGACACCTAGGGCCTCCTCCAATGTGCGCTTCTTTTTCTCACCCTCATCAGTCTTGTCGTCGGTCTTGGTGTCGAGGAGAAAGTCCTTCTCCGGCAGTCTCTTTCCGGCCGCGTCGGAGTCGACGAGCCAGTCTAACGAAACAATATTGCAGTAGGGGACCTTGCATGCCTGCGTATCTACAGACAACTGTCAGTGGGCCCAGATCCAACAGCAGCATGCAGCTAGATTCTTGGGGAAAGAAGCTTTCTTCGTGTAACTGTCCGCCACGCTGCATCCGTGGGATCAACTCACATTTGCGACTCTTGTTGGTGACCTCCTTGGAGGTTGAGATCAGGTGCGTTAAATCCTCGGTGATGCCGGAGCTAAACTCTCCACCGTTTCGCTTGATGATGGTCGTCAGGTCGGCTGTTGACGCTTAGTTGACAGTGAGACTGGCGACTGACAAAGTGAAGCTGACCTTGTCTGTAGCCGGGGAAAGTCCCGCCAACGGCGATGACCAACCCATCAAAAGGTAGTTTTGTCATGCTGGTAAGAGCAGGATGAAGCAGGGATGATGATCAGGAAAGGGGGAAATGGCGTCGTGAGCGAGAGAGGTAAACAACGATCGCTAGTTCGGTTGCGAATACGAGGTTTCGGTGGATCGGATTGAGTCAGTCCTCTGGGTGAGTGGAAAGGAGGGCTCAACGTTAAGGAGAATTGAAGACGGAGGGAGGTTGTAATGAAAGGATGAAGATGGCAACAAGAGACGTATCGAAGGAGATGGCCATGGTTATAAGGGTGTGGCGAAGATGGAGAAGTGAAGCTACTTGCCTGTTTGGTCCCCGCAACTAGGCCGATCGGCAGCTTGAGGCCCCCGCGCCCGGCTGTTGCCTTGAGACCCTTACGGTGTGATTGGCCTGAGCTCGGGGTGGGCCCGCCAGGCACCCGCAGGGCACGTGATGTTGCCTGTGCTGGGTGGGACTGAATTGAAGCCTGAGGTACCGAGGGCCAAGCCATTGCTTCACCATGACTTCAGTCTAGACTCGCCCGCCGCCAACAAGCAGTCATTTCTGGAGACTTGGTATCAAACTGTGACCTATCTTCTCCTAGCCCCCAAAATACGCCCTTATCTCTGTTATCGCTCCAGAACCACCTTGGAGAGGAATAAAAAAGAAACACAAAAAAGAAAGTGGCGCTGCCCGGAATCGAACCGGGGCTGGCACGGCCACAACGTGACGTCATACCACTAGACCACAGCACCTTGATTATATAATTTGCATCGGTTTCAAAGGTTATATTGCACAGATTATTATTATTGAGTGGCCGAAACATCGCAACTACTTCCCTCTTCTCAATGCCAGCCTACCTACCTCTTTCTAGGCAACCAACAAGACTACTACGACCAAGAAGAAATGAAAATCAAAAAATGCTCCCATTCAAAACTTTTCTATGCTAACCATGCAAGGACCATCTATGGCCATGACATTAAACGCTCCACGTCACAAAGATATTATCATTACATATACAAAATAATATAATTATTTTTTGCCCCTGCGCGTCCCCATAAAGACCTTTTGCGGTCTGGATCTTGCAGCCCTTTAATGCACCGCGGAGCCGTTCTCCCCCTCCACGTGGTCATCCTCATCCGGTGCATGCGACTCCTGCGCCTTCTCGTAGAAGGGCGCAAACTTGCTCTTCATCCGCAGCTTGCGGCCGAAAAAGTAGAAGCCGACGGGGATGGGGACCAAGACGGCGGCAACGCACCCGAGGAGAGTCGAGGCCCACTGGATGCCCATGCTGTTGTACATCTGGCGCGAGAAGAGCGGGAAACTGGCGGCGACCATCGACCGACAGAAGGTGTTGGCGGCGATGGCGGAGGCGGCACTATGGGGAGGATCTGGTTAGTGATGCTGTAACGCTTCCGGAGCCGAGAAGATAGGCGGTACGGTACTTACAACATGAGGTAGGTGTCAATGAGATAGTTAAACAACTGAATGAAGATGATCAGGAGTCCGAAGCCGGTGAACAGGCCGCTCAGCGTGGGCACGATCCAGTGGATGCTATCCGTGAAGCCCGTCCAGCCGAACCAGAAGAGACCCGCCGCAAAGAGCGCACCGCCGACAATGACAGGCGGGAGACGCCACTCGGGCACAGGCACGCCGCCATTCGCGTCCAGCTTGCGGTTGTAGCCCCGCGAGCTCCAGATGATGTACAGCGCCGCGATGAATAGGCCCACCACCATGCCAAACAGGGGCAGGCCGCTGACGCCGGCGCGCATCTGATAGACCCCCTGGAAGACCAGCGTGTAGGCCGTCAGGAAGCAGTACAGCAGTCCGTAAATGAAACTGAGGTAGATGGTGACCGCCAAGATCAGGGGCTCGTTGATCAACAACCGCAGCGGCCGCGAGAAGTTGTTGACCACCAGCTCGCGCAGGTCGACCTCGATCTCTTCCTGCTTGGCGTGGATGCCCCAGTTCTTCGTGCGACGGCGCAGCTCGGAGGCCTTGGAGACGAGGATCACGGGCGGGTACGACTCTCGCAGGAAGAAGATGTTCAACACAAAAGCTGCGTAACCCATAATCGCTGGGATGTAGGCGGTCCAGCGCCATCCGAGGTAGGAGGCATTGATGAAACCCGAGATAAATGGTGCTAACAAGGGACCCAAGAAGACCGTGCCGGAGAACATGGCGATGGCCACACCACGCGTGCGATTATCGTACATATCGGAGAAAACAGCGGCGACGACCGCCAACGGGGAACTGCCGAAGATACCGCAGAAGAAGCGACAGATCATGAGGGTTTGTAGGTCTTTGGCGACGGCGACCCCAGTGTTGAAAATGCCGAACCCTAACATGGCGACGACGATAGGCAGCTTCCGTCCCTTCAATTCCGACAAGGGGGCCCAAATCAGCGGACCTGATGCGTAACCGACGATGTAGAGCGAGCTGGACAAGGTCGCGACTTCGAGGCCGACGTGGAAGTGCTTCGAGACATTGGAGGTCGAGCCGCTGAAGACGGCAGAGTCAAAGGTCGAACAAATACTGGTGAAGGCAAGGATGGCACTGATGTAAATTCTGGGGGAAGAGTTAGTCGATCAATGGCAGACGGACCACGCGTAGTCATCACGAAAGCTGGGAAGAGAGCATACTTTCGCATCAAGGGCCAGTTTTGAGGATATAGAGGATCGGCGGGGCCGTCAAACTCGACGACATAGTCTTCACGGGCCGGAAGAGGCGGAGGGTAGGGCTTGCCGGCGCCGAATGGCGGCAGCGGGGTTCGTGATGGGCGTGATTTGACGCTTTCACCCACCGTCAGGGCATGCTGGAGGCGCTGGGTCTCAATGCGGCTGAGAGCATGCGAGGTGCCTGTGCGCAGGCGTTCGAGGTCGATTTCGGTGTTTCGGGACTGCAGCCGGTGCAACTGGGGGTCATAGTCGACGGAGCTGCTTGACCCCGTCGAGGCCGAGCCGGATGAGGTCGGCCGGACCGGGTCCTCATAGGAGCCCCGGTGGGCTTCGTCTTTAGAAACATGGGGCGCATGAGGGCGAGCATCGGCCTCCGCCATCTCGAGCTCTTTGTCGAAGGAAGCCATGCTTGATGATCGACTTTAGAGTACGAGAGATGGGGGAGGAGGGAGAGATGAAGTGCAACAGAGATGACGACCCGAAGCCGGATTGAAAAATCAGGAAAGAAACAAGCTTCAGGGACAGGCGCCAGATAACAAGAGAGAGCAATCAAATAATTAATGATCAAAAGAAAAAAATAGGGAGCTCAGCCTTTTTTGCCCTCCACCAGATCCATGACCAGGCCCCAATCATCCATTCCGACTTATCCGTCCAACTGCTCTCGCCCCACATTTAACGGCTTCCGGGCATAGTTGGCATTGCCGAACCCAGACCTACCCAGCAGAGGAGACCTCGTCACGGATGGCTCTCTGACTGGTAAGTATATGAGTACAGCACACACCGATAGACGAGCAGAACTGGTGAAGGTCCCAATTGACCGCATGTTTCATCCATTGAGCTGCTGCTGCTGCTGCTGCTGAAGCCATGATTGCGAACCTTTGCGATGGGTGCCTCAGGCGTGCATTCACCGCCAGCGGGACGATCCCGCCATGACGTCAACCAGTCACTAGTTTCGAAGTAGATAATAAATCTTCTTCCATCATGATTACTGCTCTCTTCACGAACCTTCCTGAGGATTCTTGGTGACTGACAATTGATTCCCATCCACTTCACACAGCGAAGGCAGGTGGTCGGTGGACGCACTCGGGGTGTATGTGTTGCGCACCCGTGGCTTCCACGCCTGTTCAAACTTGCAGACAGCCTCGAGCCCCTTCGGAAGTGCCGAGCCCTGTGCCACGTGAGCGACCCTCTCTGGTTTCGGCGGGTGGAAGATTGGAAAATTCCTCTCGGTGGCGCATCGATTCGGAATCAACTCCGCCGGGTGGGGCGGCAAATCCCGAATCAGGAAGGCGGAATGAGAGCAGCCTGGAGATCATGGATGCCCAATCATATTATGGACGATCCACTGGTCAGGCATCTTCTTTTCCTCCTTCACATGCATTAGGTTCAAAGGTTCAGGGTTCTCTATCTGATAGTCTGTTTCTGACCTGCCTGCAGCAACCGTAGTTCATCATGCACAACATATGCATGTAGGATTCTGGCTGACTCGCTTGTTTCGAGGGTTCACCGCCCGGTCGGCTGCTAATAATAGATTTGGACTGAGCTGTAGAAAGTATGATCTTTTCGCGACGAGATGTTAGAAGTATTCACCGCGAAACACGTCCGTCATATACACCGATACTTGCGCCAAGCCGCGTCTTTCACAGCGGAGCCAGGCCCTCCGTTCCGGCCGAATTACTCTTGGCCCGAATGAGCTGTCTCAGCGTTCGGTTCGCCGGACAATCCACCCCGAGCGATTCCCCTTGTTGCACCACCCAGCCGTTGATGAAATCAATCTCGGTCGCGCGCCCCTTGCGCAGATCCTCGCGCATGCTGCTCGAATTGCTCGCGGTCTGCTGGATCACACTGATCAGGGAAGCCTCCAGCGAAGGGAAGGAGAACTGCTGCTGCGCGTCGGGTCGGTCCTGCAGCGCGGGCAGTCGTTGAAAGACCCGCGAAACCTCTTGGAGGAGCTGTCGCTGGAGGGGCAAGACCTCAAGGTTGTTGAGCAGGGCCCCGTTGCGCACGTCCAGCAAGGCCGTCAACGGGTTGATCACGCAGTTGGCCGAGAGTTTGAGCAGTTGGGCCTGGAATAGGTCGGCCCAGGCCGATTCAGTACATTGCAGGATGGAGGACTCGGTCAGCCGGTCTAGCAGGTAGCGGGTGGAACTGGACGGGGATGGAGCGGGTTCGGCCGAGCTGTTTGCGTCTCCGCCGACGGTCCCCACGGTAACCGAGCCGGTCATGCCTGCCAGCACGGCATCGAAGGGCGACCGTAGATAGACCCCCAGACGCATAATGCCGGAGATGTAGGTGGGTCGGGTGTGTGGGTTGGGGAAGAGCTGCTCGTTCAACTGCTCGACCTGACCCAGGCCATTCTGGAGGAGACAGATGGTGGACTGGCGGTTAAGTCGGTGCTGGATGGATCGCAGGGCAGCGATGGTGGCCGATGCCTTGACAGTAACCACCAGGCACCGGATGGGGTCAGTCGCTTGCTGGGCCAGATCTTTTCCCAGCAGCTCAACGCCAAAGCCGCCTTGGTCGGTCGAGGGGCCCGATTCCCCGATCTGCACACGCAGTTTCCCCTCGCGCGCTACGTACTGGTCGTACAACCCAGCTCGGTGGAGGATTAATGTCACGGGTGGACGCGTGGGCAGGGACCGTAGCGAGTGGGCGATAAAGGTCCCGATGCTCCCGAGTCCCACAATATGAATGGGAGAAGAAGCCATGAAGAGAAAGAGAAGTTTGAAGGATGAAGGATGAAGTGGGATAAGTTCAAACTTCAGTGCTGCGGAAGGTTTGATGTGTGGATCGGGGGAATTATCTTCCCGGCAGTGCGGCCCGGAGCGAATATCAAGCAGTGCGCCCCGCTATATACTAAGTACTGTACATTAAGGGGAAGAGTGAGGACAGCTGACCGCTTACCCTTGGTCAATTTTGCTTACAGCTTTTTAACAAAGGGTAAGTGAGCAGAAGCAGCCATCTGGGAGGGGAGGAGATCCAGAGTCAGGTGACCTTCTACATTCACTCAAGATGACTGGAAGTGTGATGAATTGTGGTACAATGACGGAAAAAACATAAATCTCGGAATTAATGACGATACTGTCATCGATAGGCTCATGACTTATGTTAGAGCTGTCCCAACAAAAATTTAGCAGCTGTTCTGACACCATACTGGTAGTTCTTTCTCCTTCCTGAACCCAACACCAACAAATCACGATTTTGATCCCCAAACTAGACATCTCTTCTACTCCTCATACTTAATCGTGACACCAAACTCACTTCCGTGTTTTTGCTTCTCAAACCTGACACCTCTTTGACTCCTCATATTTACTTGTCGTACCATTCATCTCAACATGTGGAATTGCAGCTTGGAGGGACGAATCGTGAACCTTAACGGGGGGAAGTACAAGATCGAGGAACAACTAACATATTTTGGGTCCGAACTCGCAGGGTCATGCGTCAGAACTATTACAAGTTGATCCAGTAACACCCGAGCTATCTGACCTACGACGTGCGCACCGACAAGCTCTATCTGGTCGGCCTGGCGGGCCTTGCGTACACTGACCCGAACAGCAGTACTTCTTTTCCGATTGACGAGGAGAGTCCCTATGTCGAAGCGTTCGATATCTGGCGGGCGCCATATCAGAAACCCGACAAAGGCTCGGGAGAAGCAGGAAAGCCGCTATCACCCAGCAAGCAGGCCGGGAAGAAGACACCATCAAACCAGCCAGCCAAGAAGAAAAGCCGACCACTATGGAGACCTTGAGTCAAAGCAATTTGGGAATATGTGCGCATGAGCCTGGAGGGTCTAAAGATATTATTAAACAAAGTACCCTAACTATTAAATTAGTTAATAGTATTAAGATATTAGTTCTTATATATTCCCGCGAATATATAAAAAGATTCTAGAAAAGAAAATATTAGCAGTATCTTATAGAAACCTATCAACATTACCTCCCCAGTCTAACATGGAAGTTGAGTACGCTTATTCGGAAAATAGCTGTGTGGCAGAAGCATTACAGCCGACAGTTAAGACTAAGTCCTTAACTATGCACCACAGTCGATTCACTCCCTTTTCAGATTTTGGAAACTATTCTCACCCTTCGTTAAGTTCTCCAATTCAATCCACCTCACTCTATCTAAATTATTGTAAGACATATCATACATCACTAGTATACATTTCATACATTTCACAATCGTTGAAAGCTGCTGCCCGCCCTGCCCAACTTCCATCCAAGCTTCTCCTGCACACTAAGCCTTTTGCTTATGTCAACTCCATCCACCTTTCCCTGGGGATGTGTTAAGTCTTCAGACACCCACGCAGATGTACTCATCCAACCAGAGGTCCGTACAGGCGGACCCGACTTTGGGGTTCCACTGCTCAATATCGCCGACGGTGATGCCGTGACTGCTAGCAATGGCCGGGCACGTATCGCCCGAACGGACGAAATAGAAAGTGGTACAGCCAGCCACCATTTCGGGCTCGAAGGGCGTCGGGGTAGCGATGGCGTTGCCGGCGGCGGCTGTCGTGGTCGTCAGCACTGTGGAGCCCAGGGTCTCGACACAGACATAGTAGCCCACGTCGAGATCGGCGCAGGACGAGCCGACGGCCGGGGTCCAAGTGTAGAAGGTGAACAGTTGGATGTCGTGTTTCGCGGCGATGGCTTCGCAGTTATCGCCGGATTGAACGAGGTCAAACTTGCTGCAGTTGACGGTCATGCCGGTCTGGATGGGCGTGGGCGTGGTGATGCCATCGGCGGGAGTGGTGGTAGTGGTGGTCGCCGGCACCGTAGTGGTAACGGGAGCGGTGGTGCCGGGGACGTCTACACAGTAGTAGTAGCCTGCCAGGATGTTGGAACAATCTATGAGGCCGGTCAGTACGGGAATCGGTGTCTATGAGTTGTATCCCTTTTCGTTTCACGGCGTACAGACACAGATCGGAAAACATGGAAGGACCTACCAGAGTCGACAGATGGATTCCACTCAAGGAACTGGGTCGCGCTGATGTCAAACTCGGCTTCGATCTTTTCGCACGAGTCTCCAATCTGAACAAGATAGAATTGGTCGCAATTGGCGGCGGTACCGGTTTGTTGCGGTTGATATGGAGTCGATGTGGATAGCGGTGCCGTGGTTGACGTGGAGGTGGTGAGAGTTGAGGAGCTCGTAGTCGATCCACCAGATAAAACTGGGCCGACCACACAGCAGTTCTGACCGGCCACGAGGTCCGGGCAGGTGATGCCCGGGTTGGGAGACTCGAAGGTTGGCACTTCCATGCCCCAATCCGCCGAGAAAGACTGGCAGGTATCTCCGGAACTGGCTGCCGTCTCATAGGTACAAATCACTTGCTGACGGGGGCCGATGGCCATACCCCATGCCAGATGTACTGCGGGAGTAGAAGAAGACCTGCCTTGTGGGATGTTGGAGCCATCATGGTTGGTTAATGCTTGTTCGAGAACGAAGAAGTGAGATACTTGGGCAAGCGAAAAGACAGTGATGGGGAACAACAAAGCTCTATTCTGCTGGGACGAAGTCTGACCGTCGAGCGTCTTATACCCTGTCGTGCAACCGGACAGCCATGGAAATTAATCTCAGCACCGAAAATCATCCGGTATAGAGGATGGTGTGGGCCTTCAATTCTTCGAAAGACATGGAAAGAGAGAGTTTGAGGTGATATGCGGAGTACTCCGCACTGAGACATTGTCCACCTCTGTGGGGCGTGCAATGACACCCGTCTTCCGCGCTTTTCCAGCCCCAATTCAATTGAGGATCCGGTAAAGCTTCGCAAAGCTTCTCAAGGCTCGGGCTTAGATCATAGGTAGAACAGACGAAGAACCAAATGTACTGCAAGTGTACAACTCATAACGTTCAATGCTGACCGGCTCGGACTCGACGAATAACTATGCTCCGGCAATACAGTTAGAAAGTTTTTGAGTATAGGTGCATGTCGCTTTTCCTGGAATAGGTGTTTACAGTCTGTGTAGAGTGGCTTTCCCGTCTGTCCAAATGAGCCTCTTCCATGTATCGAGGTGACTCATTCGCCGCTCGAGGTAGTCGTCAATTCTTTGCTGCCTAAAGTCCCGCTTGAAAGCATAATCCTCCACTGCCTGCAGTGAGCGGCTACCCTGTCATCTTACTATTAACTACAAAAACAAACCATTCTAATCATGCATACAATGAAATGCGAGGTCTATCGAGCCCTCGTGTTCAACCGAGTAAGGTGGATACCGAACTACTAGTATTTACTAGGTATGTACATACTGTACAGTACTGTAAGGCGCGCAGGCACCGCCGGCGTTCCGATCTGTCATCTCACAACCCCAAGGATCCCGAAAAAGCTTCGCAAAATTCTGTAAAGCTTGGCTCAGACCCGAGCTTACCGAAGGGGCCAATCATCCTGCCGGCAAAGAAATTCTGCCCCCCCCCCCCGTCTAATCGTCTAATGCATCGAGTCAGTCAATCGAAAATATCTGTAGTAAGCATTGGATATTTGGTTTCGTTCAATGTTGCTGCCTTAAGCACTGCTCATCAGGAGATCGAAGGGGCACCCCATTTCATTTCCCTATCCATTATGAACTTCAGATACAATTATGTCGTCTGGAATCGTGAATTCAAGGAGCTGAAAACGAGGCCTCTGCTAGATAGTACAGGTACATTTCTCACGCCTACCACAGGTCCATAGTCTCCACGCTTTATCAGGCCCTTGTCCGCGGGTGGTTGTCGATGTGCGAGGCTAGTCTTGCCTCACGGGGCCGATCACTCCTAGAGCTGTCAAGGATCACAAGTCTGCACTTGCTTTGGTCATTGACTTTGAGGTACTATAGGCACGACACCACTTACATTAAGCGATATATGGAAAGATGCCAGGAGAAAACTCTACATGTTGATATTACTTTAGTATCATGATCAAAGACTACTCCAACGATTGATAAGGTTTTCCTCAATCGAGATCTCGATTGAGAAAACCTCTGTCGCCCTTAGGCCTTGTTGAGTAGGAGAGGTTGTGTGCGTAAATTCCCAAGATACGTCTGGAATCTCATTGCGATCGTGTGTCTTTCCCGTATCTTGGTTAGTGGAAGCGAAATTCGAAGCCTGGGGTCAACCGGAAACTGGTAAGTAAATACCTACCTCGGTACGTACCTTACACTCTAAACCCTATCAAGCTTAGTGCTTGCTGCCAAGACAAACAAGCTCATTGATCGGTGGGTGTGTCCACTTTTGAACGCCTCAATTTTCTGCTTTCTGGCAATTTGTTACTTTGTGGCTTGGAGTGCGGCCGTTAGCTCACCGCGGAAATTGGATGCAAAAAGTTTGGGAGCCTACATCTGGAGTCGCGAATTGGTGGATCCGACACCGCTTAAACACAACTTACCAGAATTACTGTATACGAGCTGAAAAGGCAATCCTTTGTGCGGAGCCCACAATGCTAGCACGATTTTGATACGAGGAGAAGTACTTGAGAAGTAGCCTCAATGTTGCTGATTTGCTACATATGAGAAAGACCCGCTTGCCCTTCCAGGCATTGAGGCAAGGGGCTCGCTCGCGCACTAGATACTGTACTGTACATTCCGTGATCATCTGAGGTGGATCAAGGCAGTCACCAGGGTCAACAGCGTAAGCCATGTCGACACTGCTGCTGCCATATGAGATGGTCCCGCGTCGTTGGAGGATTTGAGCGGAGAAGCCGGACAGCTGACGTTAGGGTACACTCCACTCTCCGAAGGAGAACATGCCATCTCCGTGGCGGCTGCCATGATGCTGGATGCGGCCGAAGAATTGATTGTCGCCGAGCACGGGTTGGCAGTCACATTAGGACCCATGAAGCCGCATCCGTATTCGCCCCCAGTGACATTATATGCATAGGCGACTGTGGCGCCACACGTCTCGGAAGATGTGGCTGCCACGAGATCAGGGGCCTTCCCTGACTGGCGACTGACAGTGAAGGTGGTGGTATTGTTGGTTGTGATGAATTGAACACCTTGCTTTTCCGGATTGTCGGAGCAATTGTAAAGTTGCAGACTCCAGCTTAAGGTCCAGAAGCCTTCCGGATAATTGATAGTGTTGAAGAATCGAGTGACGAAGTGAGGTTCCGATGAAGTCTGGTTCCAATCGTCCAAAGCCAGCTCCAAGCCCCCGTCAGTGACGGAGCCCGGGGAAGTCTGATTATTGCCTTCCCACACGCTCCAGAAAATACTAGCTGCAGTAGTATAAGATAAAGCCGGATGCTGCAGCGCAAACACAATGGGCATCAGCGCCTGAGGGGTGTAGGTCATATTGCGCGGGGATATCAAGTCCACTTCAAAGATTCCCCCATCGGCAGCGGTAGCAGTGCCCATTGCCAGCACCGAGTTTGCCATCAGCGCATACCAAGCAAGAAAGCGAACGTGACTCATGCTTGAAGGTGCTTGAAGGTGCTTGAGGGTGCTTGAGGGTGCCTCAAGGTGTTGTTTGAAGGGGAGGTTGGAAGGTGAAAAAGGATTGAAGTTTCAATTGGAGGGCAATTTGGACTGCCTCAGCTGGTTGTCATTGTGGGAGGAGAACAACCTAAGGAAATAAATAATGAATGGTTTTTTCAGGGGGCCGATCGGAAGCCACGGGATGGTGTAGGAACTCTCACCCCATCTCTGTAGGCTGCGCCATTATTGCCCAATTACGGTCTGTGGGGTCTTTTCCATGCTGGACCCCTCTGTGATTCAGTCAGTGAATTAGTTAGTGAATTACTAGCGTGCCCTTACCCCGGATGGGGTTCTGTGTTGCCTCTAATTATTGTTTCTGTTATTACTGATCCGCAATAATCCCATCGCTCTTTTCACCTTTTCCTTTGCTGTTCATTCATCGGTCGCCATCAACGTGCCCATTCGGCTCCCCGCGAGTCCCGGGTATCAGGGCAGATCGGTCTTTTGTCCAGCCCGATGTGCCGCATCGGGGCCTAATCCTGGCAACCGGTCTCTATATCACAACTTCGAACAACTCGCCTCGTGCGAAGAGTCTCTTTTCTATTCCTTTTCATTCTCTGATCCTGTCGATGATCCCGACAGCTTTCATCGCATCTATACTTGTACCTCTTTCGGTCCTGATTGGGCGACGCTGCCGGTTAATACATCAAACCTTGCCTTGCAGTCGAAAGAAGCCCCAGCCCCCGTAAATGGCACATATCAGATTGGATCCTGGCCTTCCAGTGAGGGCCTATCAGTTTCACCTTCGCTCGCCACCCTCGTCAAGCAGTTCCGCCAATATCTGTCCAATGGATTCGGCGCCGTGAACCATCCAACCATAATCTTTGCCAGCTACGGCTCAACCTCGGTGGGCCTCTACGTCGGTCAAGGTCTGCAGAGTCAGGGTGTTGGTGATGTCGCGCTGGCATACCTGGAAAGGTCCATTGCAGGATCCAACGCTAGCCTTGGAGCGAGTGTGACCATGCAATTCCGCCAGCCGGGTCAGACTTCTCACCACATTTTCGGCCTTATGGCCACCGGCAACGGAACTTTTGCTGCTGTACAAGACGCGCTCACATCGTGGTCCAAGGCGGAATGTTTGGCATTCCCATCGGTCCAAAACGTCACGGGCAGAGTCCCCCTTGCGACGCCATTGTACTCTTTTTCCTCCAACGCTAGCAATATCAGCGTCAACCTCAACTCCAACTCCACCTATGCTTCTCCCGACTCGATATCCTCTGTTCGTCGGCGCAGGTCCCTCGCTCCTCGGACCACCTGCTCCACCGCTCAGGTCGTCTCTGGTGATACTTGTACTACGTTGGCGGAGAAATGTGGTATTACCCCGGCTCAATTCACCAAGTATAATTCCGAGTCAAAGGAGTGCTCTTCTCTGGTTGCAGGTGAGCACGTCTGCTGTTCGGCCGGTACGTTGCCCGACTTCGCTTCTAAACCGCAGTCCGATGGCACTGGTGCGACCTACACTGTCCAGCCGAATGACAGCTGTGTCACGATTGCCGCTGCGTACGGCCTCACGATCGATGACATCAACAATTTCAACACCGGTACTTGGGCATGGAATACCTGCTCGCGCCCCCTCTACGCCCATGAAGTTATTTGTCTGAGTGAAGGCAACCCACCCATGCCCGCGTCTGTCTCTAATGCAATTTGTGGGCCACAGGTCCCTGGCACCCCGACTCCGCCCAGTGGAACAAATGTCTCCCAGCTCAACGAGTGCCCTCTTAATGCGTGCTTGTGATGTATGTGGCCAAGTAAGTAGTTCCCTATTCCTCACTCGATGCCTCAATCTGTGCCTGTTACTGACAATGATTTCAGTGTGGTGTGACAGCCGAGTTCTGCACCAACACTGGCACGGGTGCTCCTGGAACGGCGGCGAAGGGCACCGAAGGCTGTATCTCAAACTGTGGCACTGAGATGGTGCGGAGTAGCCCTCCCGCCACCTACCGGAGCATTGGTTATTATGAGGGTTTCAACTTGCAGCGTCCCTGCCTGTATCAGGACGTCTCTCAGATTGACACTTCTGCCTACACCCACAATTACTTTTCCTTTGGCGTGCTATCCTCCTCCTATATGGTCCAGATTCCCCACAAGACCACGCTGTTCGAGTTCACCCGGTTCAAACAGATCCGGGGCGCCAAACGCATTCTGTCAATCGGTGGCTGGGCATTTTCCACCGACCCGAGCACGTACATGATCTTCCGTGAGGGCGTCACGGCCGCCAATCGTCTGACCATGGCCACCAACATCGCCAACTTCATCAAAGAGCACGATCTCGATGGAGTCAATATCGACTGGGAGTACCCGGGGGTAAGAACATGCACCGCCCTCACCCTTTCACCTACCGCTGTGTTCCAGTGGCTAATCAACCTTCCGTTCTTTTTCTATTCCAGGCACCGGATATTCCAGGCATTCCTCCTGCGAGTCCTGATGACGGTGACAACTATCACGCTTTCCTTGCTATCTTGCGGAATCTTCTTCACGACCGGGAGGTTACGATTGCGGCGCCGTCATCCTATTGGTACGTCAAGGGCTTCCCCATCAAGAAAATGGCTCCGCTTCTGGACTACATCATCTATATGACCTACGATCTGCACGGACAGTGGGATGCTCACAGCGATTGGTCTCAGCTTGGCTGTCCGACGGGCAATTGCTTGCGCTCGGACGTGAACCTGACGGAAACCATCAGTGCTCTGGTCATGATCACCAAAGCCGGGGCCGTGTACTCAAAGTCCCGGGTACATCGCCAATGCCGAAATCGAGGCCATCCTCGCCGACCGAAGCCGGGTCACCCAGAGTTACATCGACATTGCTAGTGACTCTAATATCCTGGTGTACGACGACACGCAATGGGTCGGCTGGATGAGTGACGGCATCAAGGCTTCCCGACGATCACTCTACAAGGGCCTTGCCATGGGGGGAACCACCGATTGGGCGACCGACCTGCAAAAGGACAATCCTCCCCCTTACCCGGCCAAGAGCTGGGCCGGGGTCATCGACGACGTCGTCCTGGACAAAGACCCCTATGTCGAGGGGAACCGGACCGGCAACTGGACCTCCTTGACGTGCTCGGACCCGGCCATGCAAGACGTTCTGTACATGCCGTGCGCCCAGCGCTGGTCGGAGCTGGACGCCTCCGATGCGTGGTCCGATGCCATCGGCATCTGGGAGAATATCGATAAGCAAAAGCTGACTGGTTCGAATGACGAGAAGAAATTCTCCTACTCCCTCATGAATACTTTCCATGTCGGCGAATCGACCAACTGTGGCTTGGTCGCGCCAGGAGGCTCTTGTTCCGACTCCTACCCGTGTTCCGTTTTTGAAGGCTTCGGCAGCGGGGGTTCGGGTCCCGCGGCGATGGTGATCTATGAATCTCTCACAGTCATCAACTCGGTAAGCAGACGAAATCAATGAATGAATGAATGAATGAATGTGGCTGCTGACGAATTTTCCCCGCAATCCAGATGTACTCCCAATTCTTCGATGCCATCAGCGTAGCTGCTGGAACGTACATCGACAACCAGCTCCAGGACTTTGAAAGCACCTTCGCACCGGTGCCTCCGGCTCCCAGCGACGAGTGGCTGGTGATCTTGACCAACCTCCTAGGTCTCGGTCTCACTGCGGTGGCTGCACCGTACTTCGACGGAGGTAAATCACCTGGACAGACATTTCGAGTGTCTCCCCTCCTCACCCCCCAACCCAATTCTGACGATTCCATAGTTTTTGAAAGTCTACCGGCGCTGAGCTCAGTTCTGGGCGAAGCTGGCGCCGACACCGCCAAAGACATCAGCAATGCCGCGGTTGCCTTTGGGGCCGCAATTGCGTCCGCCGCCATTCCAGAAGGTGAACAGTAAGTGACCTCAATCGAACGGAGAGAAGGGCGAGGGAAGGACCGTGGCTGACCAGACCCCTGTGTGGACACAGAGGCCATTGGACCGCACATTCGCAGGAGAGTTTCACCGCCACCCTGGGGTCGGTGGTCTCCGGATGGGCGAACGTGACGCAGAACCAACTCTGGAATCTGTTCAACGGATCTGAGACGTCGATCGCGCTTCTGACGCGAATGATCGCCAATGGAGATCTCATTGAGGGCAGCAGCGCTGCCCCCTCGGTCAAACCCAGCACGACCCCGGAAACCACCACGCAGAGCGAGAGCTCCATCGACAAGGCGTTCTTCGGCTTCGCGATCCCGTCGGTGTGGGCCGTCTCCGGCGCCGCCGCCTTCGTCGTGGACTCGGGCTATCCCTGCAGCGCGCAGAACCCACTGTCCGACTACATGACGGCGGCCACGCAAGAGGCGACCTACTCGTGCTACAACGACAAGCTCTACTATCTGGTGCGTGCCGACGGGAAGTGGAGCGGCTGCCCCGCGGAGAAGAAGCTGGGCAAGCGGATGGATTGCCCGGACTGCGGCACCTCCGAGTGCGGCGAGGACGCGACCTACTTCACGGCGCCCCCGGCCTGAGCAGCCTCGGCGGGGGGGCCTGGGGTGGCATCACCCTGGACGACCTCATCAAGGGCTCCGTCCGCACCTACGCCGCCAACGGCAACGTCAACGGCGGGCCCGTCGCCAACCCGCTGGACCCGGACACGCTGCAGGACCTCTCCAACCAAGACATCACCACCCCCGGCTACATCCGCCTCCCCGTGTGCAGCCCGCAGGTCGCCTGGGCCTCGTGGTCCAACCCGTCGCAGTCCAACGCCAGCGCCCCGAACTACCCGTGCAACCCGCTGCAGGGCGTGACCAAGTGCAGCGGCTACACCTACGTGGACCAGACCACCCCGGCCTCCCCGCTGGTGTCCGACTGCAAAACCATCATCCATAACATCCAGGGCACCGGCGGCCACTGGACGACGGGGATCGACCGCCAACGCGCAATTGCCACGTACGGCTCGTGCAAGTTCGGCGTCCAGAATGTTGGGGTCACTGGCGACGTCACCTACTACACGGGAAGTCAGGATATTGTGACCATCATCACCGAGGCCATCGCCAAGTACGAGTGGGAGGGCCGTGTCGGGGCGAAAGGCTATATGGAGTGCGACGGTGACGCAGGCCACCAGAAGGTCAAGTGAGGCCTGTATTAGTATCACATCATGTATAACCGGATATTAGCTCCCAGTTGGCTTTGTCAACTGAGTGTCCAACTACTGGCGGCTTACCCCCGTCAGGCAGACTAGGTGCTCTTTTGAGTGCACGATGGCTCGAAGCTAGGAGAGGTGCCAGGTCATGGCCTACAGTGGGGAATATGCACGGGATGAGTTCCTGTCACACTGCAGCTCGCTTCCTTACTGGACGCAGCCAATTGACGCCCCGAACTGGCTAGCGCAGCCAAGGCTCTGTTTGACCGTTTGGCACTCCTTATAACCGGGGAACTCCAGGCTGTTTTTCCGCTGATTTCCTGCCCAACACCCACCTTGCAGTTGATAATGTTTGGCCGGGACGAGTCACCTGGTAGTACTAATCATGTGACCATGCCTCTTTTGTTGCAGCTGCTATTGACTGGCATTTGGCCTTCATGCTACGATAACGTCCTACTTGAAAGATTTCAACAAATCGTCATCCTCTAACAACCCTTGCCTATATTTCCGAGCGACGGTTATGCGATACAATAAAATCCCTCTGACCGAAGACGCCGCGCTCCCTTCCCCTTCTCCCAACAACCACCTCTTGCAGCCTCCGTCTGGCCAGATCATTCGACCAAAACCCTCAGCTTCTGCGCCCACGTATCCCTCGGCCGCGGCAGCCTCTTTGCCTTGAGAATCTCCTGCAGCTCCAATGTTAAATCCACCTCAGGGGGGTCCCACGGATTGCGGTAAAAGACCACGCGATACCTGCAGTACAGTAGTTGCCAAGGTGCGGGCTGGCAGGGGTGGTAGGTATAGCAGTTCAGGCTGGCAGGTCTCAATAGCAGTTCTCTTGATTCTTAACTAGCTACTCGGGTCAGGCTATTCTTAGGTTTATAGACAAGACATAGCTCGAGGAGCTACAACAGGGTCAGGGATGAGTCGGGAGGTTAGGCAGGTTGTGCGTCACGTGCGGGGCGGTCAGGGTCAGCCGTATGTTTGGGTAGACGGGGTAGGCAGGGTAAGTGTAAGGACTAATATCCTTACAACCTTCGCGATAAGCTTATCGCGAAGGAACATCAACTACCCCTGCGAGAATAGGATGAGAGATCACGTGAGAGACTAGGCGAGTGGCCGCGAACACCACACAAGTAGCAGCTACCCGCGAGAATGGGAAACCAGCGATAACATCTTAAGGCAATACAATACTATCTTGACTCCCGCGAGAGATATTCGCTCATCACGCTATTTCACTCCTCAGTCCTTAGTATAAAACTATATTAGCTGTGAGAAAATAAGTATAATTTAGCAAAATTATACCCTGAATAACTAAAGAGAAGTAAATAAAATTAAAGTCAAGACAGTAATAATATTTTATTTACTAGAGTAAAAAAGAAACAGGTAAGTACTAATATATAACAGAAGGGATTCGCTGGTGGTTATCTACCTAACTACTAATCTCCCGGCGTGTGGCTTAATATGTACGGCTGAATAGACGGGAAGCCCTGTTTTCTACACCCTGTGGTTGTATGTGCTAGACATAATTATAAGATATACTATATTGAACGACAAGTGAGACCACATGCCGAGAGATCTCAATCCTTCCTCCGGCAATCCCATTTGTGTAAGCGCATGTAGTAGCATCTCACAACTCTCTATCCTCCTCAGCTCATCTGACACCCGGTGGCGTTCGCTGCAGCTGAAGAAGGTCGGACCAAGAGCGATGTGGACAAGCTTCGCAGCTGAAAGACTCACCGTACATAGATATAAATAGTTCAGCTTGGCGAATTGGAATGAGTGTATCATGCGGGACAAAAGGTCTGGACCCCGGCTGCGCGGATAAACCCGCAATTCTTCAGCTTACATGCTTCCACATTCCGGGATGTTTGTATGGGTTATCAGCTGAAGCTGTATAAAGTCGGGCATATCTTCCTGTGCTGATTGTCTTCGGCGTAGTTAAAAATTCCATGAACCCGTGCAACATGGATCCCAGAGTCCCCAATCTCTCGTTTGACCTTGTTATCGTTGGAGCTGGTGTAGCAGGTAGCCTCCTTATAACCAGGGTCTATAATATATACTGATCAAGTCAACCCAGGCTGCGTCCTCGCAAGCCGCATCTCGCATGCTCGACCCGACCTTCGCATTCTTCTAATTGAAGCGGGTGTCGACAAAGATGACCGCGTGCTCCCCGCCCTGGGGCTTGCGGGAGGCTTCGATTCGAGTATCGAGTGGAACTACCGCTCGGTGCCACAGCCACGGGGCTTCGGAGGCGACGTTGTCAACCTCACGTCGGGCAAGATCGTGGGCGGGGGCTCTGCGGTAAATTATCAGGCCTTCACGCGGGGACCGGCTGTTGATTAGTACATCCACCCTTCTATTTTTTCTGTGCTCTGGGACTGCTCAGGTATTAATGACGTATAGTGACCAGTGGGCCGATCTAGTCCAAGACCAGCGTTGGTCCTGGAGCAGTCTTCTGCCGTACTTCAAGAAGTCCGAGACGTGGTATCCTTCGGCCGAGTTGAAGGAGAAGGGTCTCATTACGGCAGATGTCCATGGCTATGATGGCCCAATCAAGGTTTGCTGGGTCATTCAGTTGCCACGATGACTCGGTAGCACTAACCTCTTACTCTAGGTCAGCCATGCGACTAACAGTGGCAAGCCGCGCAATTACCCCCTGCGGGAAAAGACTCGACGGTTCCATGAGCTGCGCGGGTGCAAGCAAGCCGTGGATATCAACGATGGGCAACCGGGTGGATACGCAGAGGGGTTCAACTCCACCTACGATGGACTGAGAAGCTATGCTGCCGGGTATGTGCTCGGAGAGAGTGTCACGCTGTGGACGCATGCGTTCGTGGAAAGGGTGATTATCAGCGGGACCACCGCGAAAGGGGTGATCGCGACGCGTCTGGTAGGCGATAAGAAAGAACACTTCCTAGTCGAAGCGACGAAGGAGGTCATCCTGTCCGCAGGAGCTCAGAGCTCGCCCAAGATCCTTCTCCTGAGGTTGGCCACACCACTTCCATTCCCCTGATATTGAACGGCCATACTGAAAGCTCTTCAGTGGCGTTGGCCCTGCAGCCGACCTGGCGCAGCACAGCATCAGCCCCGTTGTTGAACTCCCCGTGGGACACAATTACGCCGACCATCCAGCCATCTTCACCTACTGGTCCATCGACCTTCCGAACGCCGTCCTCGGTGACGGAGAGATGCAGAGTCCCAACCTCGACTGGACCGCCGGTCTGCCCTACGACTGGATCTCGTTTGCGCCCGCTGATCAGAAAACCCGCGCGCTGGCGAAGCAGGTCCTCGACCCAGCCAGGTACAAACGATACTCCGCCGAGGGCAAGCTCCAAGTCGAGGCGTTCGTCGTGTAAGCTTGTCCTGTCGTCGTGAATCAGCTCACACCACCACCGTTACTCATAGAGTCCCAGATACACATCCATCGACACATGTATTAGGAACCCCCCAGCACCAGGATGGCCCGCCAAGGGCGTCTTCACCATCGCCCACATCCTCGTGGACCCAGTCTCCCGTGGAACTGTCTCCCTGCGGTCAGGCAATCCAGCTGATTCCCCTACCCTGAACCCAGAGCTACTCGCGTCCCCTGTTGACCGATCGGCGCTGTATGAGTGTGTTCGGGATTGCGCCCGCGCGATTCAAGATGTGGAGGGTCTTGACGCGGTGGAATGGGGAGTCGACGACTCTCTTCGGGGTGACTGGTCCGATGAGGCGATAGACAATCGGGCACGGAGAATGGGTTCAGGCACTGTCTTCCATCCGTCAGGAACCTGTTCCATGGGGCAGGTGGTGGATGGCGACTGTCGGGTGTTAGGGATCGATGGGCTGCGCGTGGTGGACGCGGGCGTGATTCCCATACCTCTGGCGGCGCATTATCAGGCCCCCATGTACGCCATCGCGGAGCAGGTAGGCATTGAACCCGGTTGCTGGAAGTTTCGCTAATCAGGTTCAGGCTGCTGATATCATTTTAAGTGGTTTGTGACTATCTTTGCGTGTACCGGATTGAATTAACCGTCGGTAGTAAATACGGATGGGATTGCATTATTGTGAAGTGTTAAATGGAGAATGAAGATAGCAAATTCAACACATAGAAGCGTGGAGAGCATCCAGTGTGGTATAGTAGTAGCAGTTGGGTCAGTTGGGTAGGTGTGGTATGTCGGAGCCGAGGAGGGCGAAGAATGAAAAAGAAAAAGAAACGACCGAGACGTGACTCGAACACGCAACCACTGCCACATCCTCAACCGGAAGGCAGCGCGCTACCATTGCGCCACCCGGCCATTACTGATTGTCTTATTTACTGCTAGTAATCATATACCACCATCTGGCACCATGCTTCTCTGAATTTTCCTCAACATACATCAGCCATGCACTGTGATCTGGACGCTCCCATGACACTTCTATATGTTATTGACTACCTCTTATCTACCTACAGCTTTTCTATACGCTCTAGAAGGATTTTCGAGTACTTATTGGGTGATGCGGCTACACGAGTAGACACTTAGTGTCATGTGGTGCACTCTTCCAACGGAAATATATTCTCCTCAACAATCACACCACAATTTTCCCACCTACGCACATTCAGCGAACAGCCACCACCGATGACGACGGTGGCTGTCTCCGAATGGGATTCCAAGATTAAACGGCCCAGCCAAGAAGAGCAAAGCGAATGCCAAATCCTCGACCCGAGTAACCAGCGCGGTGCAACCCCAGTGGAGACGGTCTCTCTCCGGATTCCCCAGAAACAGTGGGGAAATCTCCATATCAGGCAACAATCGTCACTCTCGCGAATTTCTCTTCACGATTTCTCCCGACCCGATTTGACCGTAGCCAACGGTGCTTCACTCTGCACATTTTCTTCGGCTTGTTTGCCGACGGGGTCCACTGCATAAATTCCTCCGACCTTGGCTGGGGACGGCAATGACGGTTGCTGTGGTGGGCGAGGAAACTCTTCCGAGTTGTCTTTCGTTTTAGTGGTACTCTTTCACCCGGAAAAGGACTCCTCACGAGCAAACTACCATATCTCCAATCCGTACGATGACATGTGAGCGGTAGTTGGAGCCTCACTGCTCCAACACCATCGACCCATGTCGGCAATGCCTTGCCCCAGGCGACAGTTCGGGCGCGAGACCCATCAGTCTATAAAACGGACGACAACCCCCGTGTCGATACTCAGGGCCAAGGGTCAGTCTCGATCAAACCATGCCGCATTTATATCTCGGCGCACTCGGCGTCCTTGCGACGTCCCTGTCCCTAGGACAGGCTCGCCCAACTTGGTCCCTGGGAAACGGATTTGAGCTCGCGTGGCAGTCCGACCTACACCAGGTTTCCATCCTCCAAGGCAACCAGACCGTCCTCAGCACTGTACCCGGTCGGGGCTTCCTCAGTGCCAGCTCCGGCAAAGATCACATCGTGGAGTCGAGTGGTAACTTCAAGATCACCAATGTCGACCAGGGTCGCTGCCAGGGCCAGAACATTACCGATGTCACGCGGTCAACTCGCCAAGATAGTGTGGGCAAGGAGGTGATCGTTCAAGGTTACCTCTTGAACTGCAGCCACCAGGACATCGCCTATTCGAGCAGCTTTTGGGTGCCCACCAACCTTACGGACCGGGTCGCTTTCGAGGTGAACGTGGATGCAGGCCGCAGTGGGAGCGCGCCGTTGGAGAGACTCTATCTCACCTTCGCCTCGCACGCCTCGGAGGACTTCTACGGTCTGGGCGCCCAGGCCTCTTTTGCATCGATGAAGAACCAAACGATCCCGATCTTCTCGCGCGAACAGGGTGTTGGCCGCGGAGATCAGCCGTACACAGCCATTGAGGACTCGCAGAGTTTCTTCAGCGGCGGCGATCGCTACACGACTTATACTTCCATCCCCCAGTACATCAGCTCCGACGGTCATGTCTTCTACTTGCTGGAGGACGACACCGCGTATGCAGCCTTTGACTTCCGTGACCCAGACAGCGTCACTGTCCGGTACGACGCTCTCACCGTGCATGGACACTTTATGAAGGCCGACAACATGCTGGACGGAATCACCATGCTCACCAACTACACGGGCCGAATGCCCTCTTTGCCCGAGTGGGTGGACCAAGGTGCCGTCCTCGGCATCCAGGGCGGACAGGACAAGGTGAACCGCATCGTCAAGGAAGGACTTGAGCACGACTGCCCCGTCGCGGCAGTCTGGCTGCAAGACTGGTAAGGTGTCCGAACCACACACTACCAAAGCACCACTAACAATGGCCCCAGGTCCGGAACGCACCTCCAATCCGCCCCCTACGGACACATCAATATCTCGCGCCTCTGGTGGAACTGGGAACCCGACACCAGTCTCTATCCGACCTGGAGCGAGTTCGTGCAGGACCTGCGCACCGAGCAAGGTGTTCGCACACTGGCATACGTCAACCCGTTCCTGGCCAACGTCAGCAGTAAGTCCGACGGCTACAAGCGCAACCTCTTCCTCGAGGCCACGCAGAACCACTACACAGTGCAGAACGCCACGACCAACACGACGGCCATCATCTCCAGCGGCAAGGGCATCGACGCCGGCATTCTCGACCTTACCAACGCCGCCACCCGCACCTGGTTCGCCTCGGTGCTGCGCAACCAAGTCTGGAGCGCCAACATCTCCGGCTGCATGTGGGACTTTGGCGAGTACACGCCCATCACATCCGACACAAAACTAGCCAACACAACTGGCGACGCCTTCTTCTACCACAATAGCTACCCGCGAGACTGGGCGGCCTTCCAGCGCTCCGTCGCGTCGACCACCCCGCTCGCCTCGGAGATGGTGACCTTCCACCGCAGCGCCTCGATGGGCGCCAACCGACACATGAACCTGTTCTGGGCGGGCGACCAAGCCGTGGCGTGGACGGTCAACGACGGGATCAAGTCCGCGGTGACGATCATGGGCCAGATGGGCATTTCGGGTTACGCACACAGCCACTCAGACATCGGCGGATACACGACCATCTTCGAGCCGCCGACCGCCAACAGCACGCCGTCCGGCGCGATCCCGCGCTCGCCCGAGCTGCTCGGCCGCTGGGGCGAGCTCGCCGCCGTCAGCAGCGCCTTCTTCCGCTCCCACGAGGGTAACGTCCCCGAGGTCAACACCCAGTTCTACAGCAACAGCACTACCTACCGCTACTTCGCGTACAACGCGCGCCTGTTCAAGAGTCTCGGCCCCTATCGTCGCAGCGTGTTGACGAACGAAAGCGAGACCAAGGGCTGGCCGCTGCTGCGCATGCCCGTGCTGTATCACCCCGAGGATGTGCGTGCCCGCCGCATCAGTTACGAGAGCTTCTTCCTGGGCCGCGATCTGTATGTTGCCCCCGTGCTGGACGAGGGACGTCACGAGGTTGAGGTGTATTTGCCTGGCTTGGATCGGAGCCGCACTTACACGCATGTTTGGTCTGGGATGAGCTATCGGGCCGGCCAGACGGTGAAAGTGCCGGCGCCGTTGGGTAAGCCCGCGGTGTTTGTGGTGGACGGTGCCCGCAGCAAGGAGTTGGATGTGTTTTGGGAGTTTGTGCGGAAGGAGAATGGGACAGTGTTGCACGTTTGATTGATGTGAGAGATGGAGCCGGTTACGCACTTGTCTTTATGGAATGAGAGCGGAGGTGTAAGATAGACTTAGCCGGATTGTGGTTTAGCACTTACGAATGGACTCAATGATGGTTATGCCCCAGCTTTGCAATGGGATATTTGAGGCGTACTGTCGCTTCTGGGAGGATAGGTAACCCAGATAGTAGCCGCATTAATTACTTGGACAAAGATAGAGCGACATGTCCTTGCACGTCTATTTCTTCAGTCACCATGGTACCCAAGCAGAGACTAATGATCGAATCTGTGCACTTTAGCCTATTATCGACAGTTTCCGCTTGGCAGCCATTCGGCTGAAATTCTGCAGGATGAATATGCGGGGACAGCTGCAGCGTCCGCTTGGCATTGCAAACGCGTATAGATATCACGCCCGCTCTGAAAGGTAACCACATCCACCCCCTGTCGCAAACCCCCCTGAGAAAAGCCCTCAACCCACCCGCACCGCAACGGCCACACGCATGACAAATCGGCTCGTATCCACCTCGGCCAACTGGGCAGCGAGCTTGACAGTCTCCGCCTCAACCAGCCGCTTCACAGCGTCCAACGCATCACTACCCTCGCTCCCATCCTCCAAAACCAATCGCCCCCCAACCGGATCCCACACCCACACCGGGCCCCCGGCTACAGCCTCGAGCACCCACTGCTCCCGCTCTGTCCGGGGCACCAACCCCCCACCCAGCACCAGAAACACCTCCTCCGTCCGATAGAACTCGAACATCACGGCCGTCACCGTCCCGCGTTGTCCCTCCCGCATCGTCAGCCCGGCCACCGGCAGCGCCAGCCGACTCATCTTCGGTGCGGGCCGACTGATCTGCTTATCGGCGAGATCGGGCTGGAAGCACCGGTCCCAAGGTTCAGCGAGGAAGTCGTCGAGGTGGGTGGGGGCGATGTACAGGGCGTCGTGGAGGGGGTCGATGGCGCGGGTGAACTTTGGTATCTTGCTGTTGTTGTTGTTGTCGTTGTCGGTGCCCTTGCTGGTGCTGGTGTTGATATGGTTGTTGTGACCGTGATCGTGATGACCATCCCGACAGCCACCCTCCCGGACATTGTAGCTGTACCCCCACTCCCTCAGCAAAGGGAGAACCAGCCCCCGCGCTTCGCGGCTCACGGTTATTAGCGGGACACACACGACCACCGGGTCGAGGCGGTCGTGGTGGAACTCGAAGGAGATGTTTTCGTCATCGTCGGGATCGTAGTCTGGGTCTGACGGGGTGACATATCGCGGGTCCCAGTAACCGCGGCCGGGACGGTAGAAGCAGAATTGAGGGCGGGAGAAGTCGTTGATCAGGGATAGTAGGGCCAGACGCCAGATTTGATTACGGAGTTCACCGGGGAGCAGGGGGAAGAGGGAGAATGATCTTTCGGAAACGTTTGGGGGGTGGTTGGGTTGCATCGTGGGGTTTAGTGCTGTGTTGGTTTTCCTGTTCTGAGACGTACGAGGGATATTGAGATAGGTGAGGGAATGAGAGGAAGAGAGACGATATTGAGAGAAGAAATTTGGAAAAAGAACGAGAAAGTAAGGAGGAAGGGAGAGAGGGAGAGAGTTGTCGTCGATGGCCCCCACTAAAGTAAGTCCACGCTAAGAATCCGCCCCTTTAAGCCGTCTTGGCCCCCCAGCCCTATTGCCCTACCAAAAGCTTCGTGAACCCTGAGACCCTGGTTCAATGTCCCTGCATGCAGTCAGCACTACAATCCACTATCTCTAGGCAACCAGAAACTCGACCACTGACACACATCAACTTCCACACGCTACCCACAATACCAAAACAAACGAGCTCCGCAAAGCACTCCGAATTGACTCGAGCCAGTCCAGCTCAATGGGGCGGTTGGTTTGACGTTGCTTACAGCTGACACAGCTAGAGAATAATCGCGCACTAAGCACGAGCACAAGCCCAAACCCAAGCTCAAGCACCTTTGCAAGAGAGTCAATCCGTGCTACAATACACCACAGTCAGATCATATGCTTCCAACCAACATGGCCCCCAAAGCTGCGTCCGCGAAACTCCGAAGCAGCACCCAGCACCCATGAGAGAAAAAGTATAAGAATGCTTAAGAGTAACACCTCAAACAGCAAGAACAGAACAACAACACGCAGTTCCTCATCAGATCAATCCAAACTAATTCAATCAGCTCTTTGAGTCTCCAAACGGTTTTATTACCATTCTCTTTTCAACCTAAACCAACCAAGTCCAATCGAAACCACTCAGCAAAATGCAGAACCTCAAGCTCATCCTCCTCGCCGCCTTCTTCTTGCTGAGCGAGGCCTTCGCCATCCGTATCTCCTACTGGGCCTATGACAAGACCGGCGGCCTGGAGAGGAAGGGCAAATATGAGCAGAAGAACGGCGGCGAGATCCCCGATGACAAGGAAAACTACCTCATCCAGAACATTGGCACTTGGTCCAACCATGCCTACACTGCCGAGAAGACTGTACGCAACATCATTGTGGTGAAGGCGGTTGACAAGACCCAGACCAAGAGCGGCGCCACCCGCTTGAACCAGGTGGCCGAGAGTCTGGTCCGCCAGCATATTCCCAAGGAGAAGAAGACCGAGGAGAAGCACGAGGGGAAGCACGAGGGGAAGCACGATGGGAAGCACGATGGGAAGCACGAGGGGCAGAAGACTGAGGGAAAGAAGCACTGAAGGAGGGGAAGGAGCACGGCATTCGGGGGAGAGACTTCGGAATAAATTCGGTTCTTGGACCCGTTTGAGCGGGTTGAGAGGTAGAGGGGGTATTCATTGTTTTGGGGCAAGGAGAGAGGGATTGAGGAGATGAGTGTGTGCAGGTGTGGAGGATGGTGGTGTCGAAGGTGATGTTGAGTGATGGCGCTGAGGGAAGGGAGACGAGGGTATGGGGAGCAGAAGCATTGAAAACTTGTACCTCGTAGCTTGAATCACTATCCAAGCTGGATGTAATTATTGTTCGTTTCACACAGGCAGGAATATACTACGACTACAGGTACTATACATTGTCCGTTGTGCATCTCTCCAGTAACCTTGACTAAGACTCGAAAGTGACATACATCGGACTCTAACTTACATAAAGAAAACTACACTATAGTTGATGATCCTCACGGTTTTAAAATCGAAGGCTTGAAAAGCTGCAGTCAAACCTGAATTCAATCTAACTAAGCCATAACTGTGTACAAAGAGCCTGGAGGAAGGAGGGATAAACCAAGCAAGACCACAATAGCAGTAGCATAGCTCAGGGCAAGCCCTCAGGCATCAACATACACCCCGTTATCAATCTCCTGAGCAACAGGCACATACCTCCAATCACTCCAATACGAAGGGGTAGTTCCGCGTCGCCCATTACTCGTCGTATACACCCCCAGAAGCGTCCCTGCAGAAGAGTTAGCTCATATAGCTTCAATATGCACCACAATGATACTCACCCGTAAACTGCCCACTCCCACCACTGACAATCTGCGCACTCGCTTTACCCAGTACGCGCTCACTCCGAGGCACTCCTGCCAACGCCGCAGACAACACAAAGCTAGAATCATCCGACGTGGTAATGCGGAGCACAATCGACCGTCCGCGCCACGCAGCCGGCATCGCTTCAACCACCGTCTCAGGAACCGCGAGACCAGACCGTCCGGACGCCTCAACGCGGAACCGGAAGTGCGTAGACAGCTTCCCCGCGGCATCACGCAACCGCACAATCCCGAGATCGATATGCTGATCCTGCGTCAGAAACACCGACACCCCCGCCTCCTCCCCCTCAGCCGCCGGCTCGAACCGTACAGTAGCCGAGTATTCGAAGAGGGTGCTCGTTTGCACCCGTCCGAGAAACGCCAACCCATCCCTTCCCGGCACGAACGAGGCATTGCCCGTTAGGTTCGCCCATGACGGCGCGACGCGCAGCGTGTGCGGATGGCCCGGGGGCGAGACCGTGAAGAAAGACCGCTGTTGTGGTCGCCACGTCTGGAAGGTTCGGGGCAGTGATGTCCCCGGCGCGAAGTCCACTTTCTCGCCGTCGGTTGCAAAGGGCCCTGTACCTTGAATCTGTCGGGTTTGTTTGGGTAGGGGTCCGCTCATCGATCCCCGCACCGGCGTAAGCTCAGGCCAAGCACCGTGATCCCATCGGCCGGGCGTGAGGATCGTCTCGCGACCCATGGGGTACGTCTCCCACGCTGGCCCGGAGCGCGTCGCCAGCGCGACAGACCACCAGTTGCCGGCTTGGTCTTGGAAGAGGTCCGCGTGCCCCACGGTTTGGAAGTAGTTAGTGGTGTTCTTGTTCGTGAGGATCGGGTTGCCGACGTAGGACTCGTACGGGCCTGCGATGCTGGTGCTGCGGGCAATGGAGACGGCGTGGCTGGTACCCGTGCCCCCTTCGGCGATGAGGAGGTAGTACAGCCCGTCTTTCCTGTAGATGTGCGGGCCCTCGGGCCAGACGTTCTCAGTGCCGTTCCAGAGGTACGTCCACGAGGTGGCGGACCAGCTCGAGACGTCCACGGGAGACTGGAAGATAAGCGGCGTGGTGGAGTGGTTATATCCCGCTATGGTGAGATACAGCTGGCCGTCGTTGTCGTCGTCCCAGAAGAGGTCCGGGTCATAGCCGGACAGGGTGGTCGTGATGGTTATGGGGTCGCTCCATGCGAAGTCCGCGTAGGGGTTGGTGGTGGTGAAGACGAGGAATTCGCTTCCGCTTCCGATAGCTGAGGAAATCAGAGCTGTAGTGAGATACAGTGTGCCCTCGTGGAAGCGTAGGGTTGAGGCGTAAATGCCCTCTGATTGTCCCGTGGCGTTGAGCAGCAACGGGGCCTGAGCGGGACGCGACAGGGCATGGCTGACGAGCTTCCAGTTGATCAGGTCCTTGCTGGCGTAGATAGGAATCCCCGGGAAGGCCAGAAATGTCGAAGTCGTGCAAAAGAAGGTATCATCCCATTCAGGGATGAAGGTACAGCTTGGGTCTGAATGCCATCCTGGTATTATCGGGTTATTGTAGTTGGTGTGACCAAGCGCGGGGATAAGGTGAAATAGCAACACCGTTGCCAAATAAAAGAGGCGCTGCATTATCGTAGTCTGCAGTGACTTGCTCTGTTAATCTTTGGAGTATGCAGGGTGTAGGATGTAGTAGCCAGTTAAGTATTCTGTGTGTGCTGCAAGTGAGGAGACTTTGGGGCGCATTTAGCCGGAGCACAAGCACACCGGCAGGATTCCGACAGACAATTAAATTAATTCTGGCAATCCTGGAGGATCATTTAGGCTCAATTACAGAAGAAACCATGTGTTGCTTGAATTTAAGACCAACCTTTTCCCACCGAATCTTTTCTGATAACCTCCACATCCAACATACTATACATACCCGTATCTCATTATGAATAACTCATAAACCTGAATGATTAAACATTAAAATATTGCACCAGACACACCCAAAGATATGAGAAAGCCAAGCTGATCGAACACCGAAGCTGGAAGATTGAACACCAATGTAGTAAATCCAAGACCTTTCTCACAGCCTAGCTTTCGTCCCCGATACAGCTTCTCGAAGAAAGTCTCCAATACCACCCTCCATCATCCACGCCTCACCGGCCAGCCCCTGCTGATTCACCGGCAATTGTTCGGTCCAGCTCATCAATCTTTCATAAACATTACCGTCACGACAGCCCAGCGCGCTACAGAGACCTGCATCCGTGAAGTCCCAGGCATCTGTCAAAGCGACAATGTCTGGCAAGAGCTCCCCCAAAAGCTCATCGATGCGTGCACGCATCTGCACGAACTGAGTCGTGTCCAACATCTGGTCCTCGGCAAAGGGAATCGAATTGAATGTGGGACCGGGACTGGTGATCGTGGTCAGTGCGAACAGCTCCACGAGGCGTGAGAGAACGGGGAGAAGGCTGGGCTGTGCTCTGCCGATGGCTGACACGCGTCGCTGCATCGATTGCAGCACGAAGTATTCTGCATAGGCATGGGCAGCGGGGAGCAGGCGCGTTAGTGATGCGTTCCATGCTTGGTCGGGGGCGGACGTGCGGGTTTTTTCGGCGTGGAACTGATACGCTGCGGCCAAGAGTCGGTGGAAATGATGTCGGAATATGCCCAACAAGGTTGCGGGCTCCAGGAGCTGACTGCTGTTCAACAACAGGCGTGGCGGAGCCTGCTCCCCATCAGCCTGAAGCCATTGCTCGTACCCCACAAAAGCATCCATCATGTCTGGATCCACCGGCTCATCAGCCTTGACGGCCTTAATCTGCTTGAACAAGTAGCGCAGGAGCTGCTGCCACATGACATAGTTCTCGCCCTCAAAGGTCGCTGCTGCGCATGCGGTGGCCACCATCTCCGGTAGCCCCGATATCACAAGGTAGCCATGCCCTCCGCACATCTTGCGCGCTTCCTCTGCTCCCGCAGCGACAGCCTGCGTCGCCCAGGCCTTCAATCCAGCACTGGCGGCATGGATGAAGGGCAATCTGCGGGAATGGCCCAGTATCTTCTCTTGCTGATACTCCGCGAACCGGTCATCGAACTCCTTTGAAGACAGCAGGACAGCATACGCTTGAGACACTAGAGTCAACAGACGTTGATGCTGCGACTTGTATGCCAGAATGGAGACCTCGGGCGCTGCTGGCGAAGCGAAGGGAGGCGCGCCCTGCTCGCGCACCACTGCGTATCGTGTGGCAACCGTCAGCGGTTGGGCCAGCCCAAACGCTGCCCAGTGAATGACCACGCGTCGGACTTCCAGCATCGTCGCATAACTCTGTTGAGCGAAGCCCGGGGACCCCTTCTCCTCATCCCGCACATACGACCCATCGGCGAGGACCCGCGCATGCGCCGCCAGCAGACTACTGCGCGACACGCGCAGCCCCTTGAATCGGGCGTACCCATTACACGTTCCGTTGTACGCCATCTTGAGGCCCAAGTCCCCCAGCACCACCCCCTGAACGGGAGTCGAGTCGGCCAAGTGGCGAATTTGCACCACAAACCAATGCACGCCGTGATCCACCCGGCCCACCACCAGCCGCGCGGCGACTACGGCATGTGAGCAGCTCAGTCCCAGCCCCCCCGGCCAGAACTTCGTCGCTGTCACCGTCGGCGAGTCAAGGATGAACTCCTGCGTGGCGCCGTCGAAGGTCGCTGTCGTCTCCAGCCCTCGCACGTGGCTACCGTGGCCCAGCTCCGTTTGCGCGTAGCACCCGTTGATCTCCATGCGGTCGATCCGGGGCAGCCAGTACTGTTTTTGTTCGGCGGTGCCCTGCAGATTAATTGTGCGGCGGAACATGAGGAAGTTCAGGCCGAACGGGGTGGCGTTGGTCAGTTGGCTGCGCTCGGTGAGGTTCGTGAAGTGCTGGTGGCGGTGGCGCAGCATGTCGGTGACGATGGCCTGGCCGCGCCGCATCCCTTCCAGGTACTGTTCTCTACGGTCGAGCCCACTGTAGATGTGAGGGAGCTGCATGGTGTCGGTGAGCCCTAGGGCAGATTCCACGCGCGCGAAAGCTGCCCGGCGCGAAGCGACGTTCTCTTCCCTAATTCCCATATTAGACATAAACTCTAAAGGTGCAGTCGTAGGGCGCAGGATTGTTTTGGCGGAGCTACTTACCCATCGTGAATGATGCATGTCAAGAGCGTAGAGTCGAATGTAGCTGCGTGTCGGGCCTGGTCCATCAGGGCCATCTGCTGATTGAGAGCCATCGTGTTTACTCAAGACAGAATAAGCCGGTCAAGACCATTAGTTTGCTTGACGTCGCATTCTTATAAGTCAGCGAGCACATGGCGTGATATCCACATATATAGGCCGCAACTCAGCGGCAAAGCATGCGGCGAGCCCAGGAATGATAAACTTTTCACTGGTGGTGTAGTGATTGGATCGCCTGCACCAGCATAGGTGCTGAGCCGAGGCTATTTCGTCGACACTTGGTCCAAAGCAGCATAGCTGAAATGCAAGGGGTGATCGGCTATCAGACTTTTCGATACCAAGACTCGATCCCATGATGTTGGAGTCGTAGTCGGTCCCACCCGCTTCTGGCCCACTTGCTGACGAGTTCAAGCCCTCGGTTAGGGCATGTGTCAGATGTTGGAATATTTTAAGGGGTAAGGTGAAGAAAAGACTGACATGCGAGGAGTGAGGAGCAACAGAACAGAACTAAAAAAGGTGGAACAGTTCAAGTGTATGTGTCTTTCAATTTTAGATTGGTCGAACAGGTCATTATGTACTAATTTGGCTTTGGCCATTGATAACTAGGTTATTAACTAGAAATCTGTAAGCTGCCTAGCTTTTTTCCAGTTCTTCTACTTAGTGTGGGTCGAAGGATTTTGCCTACTGCATGAGCACCGTGCCAATCTAGTCGGGCTTCATTATAGAAGAAAAAGCCAGACAGCACCAGATTGCTAAAATTAATAGTCTCAATATCTTGTTCTCTCATAGTTCAAAACCGATTTCATCAGTCATTGTGTGCCTGGCTTCTATACACTCAGATGCATTCCCTAATTTACTGTAGCTTTTCTAATCATTTTTCTTTCTTGTTCGGTAGATTTCCGAGAGTCTTCATATTACCTCTCCCAAAGAGAAGATTGAAACTAGTCAAACCAGGGACCTCTTATAGGACCCGCGCCTCCTACTTTTTGTCCGACTCTTTCTTGAAGAGACTGTGAAAACTGAGCAGAGCATCCTTGTATAGAGGATCCAGGTGGTCGAACTCCACCTGGCCCTCGTACTCAAAGGGAAGCGGCTCATGGTCAACAGGCGACTCGGTGAACATTCGGATGCGGTAGTTGCCGAGATTGATGATCTCTGAACTATTATTCTCCAATAGAGCCTGCTTGCGCATAGTACAGTCACACTGGCAGTGACACCTCACAGCGGTCTGGCTCGGTCTCTCGAGCTTGTGAATCCCAAGCCTACCCATCGCCAAGAGACTCCGCGGTCTGCGAGTCTCACACTCACAGAGACATCGGCACATCACCACGGCGCCAAGGGACTCGCTGGGAGCCCGCTGGCGCTTCTCCTTCAATTTGTCCCATTCCGTTTGAACCGCCTCAATTGCACCGTCCCAGTCGATGGTAAAGCTTTCACGTTCGGTGGAACGGAGCTCGATAATCGATTGGTCGATCTTTCCAAGATCAACGAGGAGGATCACGTTGATCCTGGGAAGCTGAGCGGTATGAGGCATATTGAACGCCTCTGCAAAAACTTGAGAGGTGGAATGATAGCAGCACCAACTATGTCTTCTGGCTCTGGTGAAGAAACGAGACAAAGTATAGCCAAGGTCGCCGGGCGTGAAGAAGGCCTTTCTTGGGAGTTGATGGTCCTTTTATGGACATATCTTTCTCAAATTGATGACAAGAAGCCTTTTTGACTAGCAGAGATTCAGGAAATCCCCTGTATCCCAACAGAGAATACAACAAAGATCAATACAGAAAACATCGCAATCACCAAAGCGCTTCGGTTAGCTCGTCAAGTTGAACAAAAGAACCGGGTGAGAATTTCCTGGTAGTTACACATTTGACATCTTACCTTTGTTTAACACCTGGGAAACATCCATGCAGAAAAGAAGCCCTTCTTTTCATGCCCGAGAGCTGTATGTGGCCTTAACAGTAGTTAACCTTAAGCTAGTGCTCTGTGATGATAGCAACCTTATACACTATGCCCTTTTGGCCACCCCTTTGCGCAGGGCTCTACCTCATACACAACGATCACCCAAATGGTAGCAACGAGCTCAAACTCGACTTCCGCATCTAAAGGAAGACTTGCAACACCAACGCACGTGCGGCACTACAGCTACCAAGAGTCAGTACATGGTTCTATGACAACCAGAGCGATGATGCTGGGTGAATACAACTGACCGGCTTAACATCATAAGCGCCAAAGACCTTCGCATACCCTTCATTCACCTTGGCGTAGTGGGCCATACTCGAGACGAAGATGGTGACCTTGACCACCTTGCTCAAGTCGCTCCCACCGGCAATGAGCACCTGTTTCAGGTTCCGTAATGATTGGACCTTGTTACAGCGTGTCTTAGATAGGTACCTATGCATTCTGAGGACGATACTCACGGTCCTGTCCACTACATCGCCGGCGACGAAGGCTCCGGTTCTCGGGTCGATGCCCAGACTGCCAGAGCAATAGAGCATGCCGTGGAGATGATGCCCTGCGACATGAGAGGGCTCGGAGCGGGAGCCTCCTGGCTGAGTACGGCAATCGTGGTAGAGGACATTATAAAGAGACGAGGTATCGAATGACCAAACTGTGTAAATTCTCACCCTGGATCTGTCGCTCGTATAAATGAACACATTTATTTAGGAACTGGGGACTGTAGTGACCTGAAACGAGTTTCCGGTTCCGCGTGCCGGACGCATTGATGGGGGGCAGGTCATCCCGAACAAGGGCAAGCCAGCCCTATCCATGCGAGACAGGAACTTGCGAAAGGCCTGTGATTATTCTGACTCCCCCGGCGAAAACTTAGATGAGTCGAGCTATCCATCGACTCTCCTAGAGTTTTTGTCATTCTAGCATTCGACGCTTTCGTGATTACGTTCTACTCAAATTGATATCGATGTTGAATGAAAATGACATCCACATCACTGTTCCAGAGGTCCACAGGCATCGCATGGTTTCTGACGAGGAAAAGCACTCTCCAGACTGGGATATGCGAAGGTCATAATCAGCGCTGGTACTATTCTTTCTTTGTCGCATCGAATGGATATTTGAAGCCGAGTACAGCCCATCGGAGAGCCCATCCGAGCTGAGCCGTACGGGGTTCAAACCCGACTCCGACCTCGGCAATGTGCTCTCGATGGAGGGAGTTACCATGAGCACATGAGGGAAGTCTTTTCAAGTAGCAGGTAGATAGCAAGTGGAGTAGATGACTGCAGAGCCGTAGCAAAGGTGAAAGAAATGTTGTTAATCAAGTGGCATCCCATGGGCTAGCAATTTCGGAAAGGCATGGCGAGACTTTTCCCGGATGTCTCGCTGTCAGCTTCATCTTCTGCATTAGCGGGGTATGCGGCTTGACTTCTTCCTCTCGATACTCAGTTAGTCTCATGATATAAGTTGTCACTGGCAAGTGCACTTGACTTCATTCACAAAAAAGGTCCGGAGTATGATCCTTCGCCCACCTCGTCACTCAACTCTGATCGTCTTCTCTCAACGGACCGTATCCTCACCATGATAAAAAGTAGAGTATTAGTCGTAGGCACAGGGGGTGTTGGCACCATGTTGCTCCATGCGGTGGAACAAGGTACTAGTAGCCTGGCCGAAGTAACAGCTGTAATGCGATCGAACTATAATGCCGCCGTGCAAAACGGAATCGACATCCACTCCGTGAAATGGGCCAGGCCAAGGGCTGGAGGCCAACAGCCATCAAAAAGACCGTCCCACATCAGACCTGCTTGGTAATACTTAAGCACATACGACCACAGGGTGTGGAAAATAGGGCTTCCCGTCCGCTCAGCCGTACTCAAGCCACACGCCGGGAGGTTAGTAGTTGGGTGGGTGACCACCAGCGAATCCCTTCTGTTGTATGTTTTTGCTTTTTATGTTCATTCAGCATTCAGTTTGTACCACTGAGGTAGTATAAGGATAGGTAGGATTCTAGATCAATGCCACGGCGGACTGAATACAGTGTTCGTTCAACTTATCCACGAACTTTTCAACCATTTAAGTGGCACCACACCCCCCTTCTACATCCTCGCCACGACGAAAAATATTTTATAAATCCCTCCGACCGTGGCGGAGATCATTGCTG